AGCGTGTGCTTAGTAGTAGTTAGGGGTGTTAGACAAGTCGCCTGCATGTAATGTAAGTGCAGGTTAGCCCGTATAGATGACACTTATACGGATAAAGCTCTAGTCTTCGTAAAAGTCTAAGAGCGGTATGTCGTCTATAAGACTAGAAATGCTAGCTTAGGTAAAACTGACTTCGCAGTCGACGTCATCCTTAAAGGTAGCACCTGCTATAGAAGGTACGCCTATGCTACTGTCTGTAAGGCTTCCGGCAGACAGCGTAGACGCCGTCTTAATAGACAGAGTCTTACTCGTTACTAGCGACCGTAGTGTAGATAGCGTAATAAGGAGCTCTAGTTGGTTGTAGTCGTTATGTAGTCTAGATATTGCGCGAGAGCTATGCGATGTAAGGGTAGCCGGAGAAGTCGCTTAGGTCTCGGGGTGTAATGTCGAGGAGTTTTTTACGGCTCGAGGCTAACGTGTAGGTTAATGTTAGCCTAGGGTCGGTATAGGTTTCTTATCGTCTAGGTAGCCTATGTCTACTAGGTGTTAAAGGTATGCCCTCTACATGTCGCTATTTAGTAGGCGACCGTTTAATAACGCCTTTCTCGTGCTCTTATGCAGCTTGCGCCTAGCTAGAGTTAGAACGAGTGTAGACGAGCGAAAGGTCGATGTATAACGTACTGCGCAATTCGGCCGGTGATTATCTCGTGTTCGTCCATATTTCTGTTAAAATGTGCAACGCTAATACTGCTAATTAGAGAAAATCTGTCGGTTAAGGGAAGATGCAAAGTGTTGGTAGTAATTCTTAATGTTGTCGAAACAGAAGGTTACAGCCGAGAGGATTAGAGGAAGGGAGCACGAATGGAAGAGGCGATAAGAAGAGGAAGTAGCGATAGCCGATGCATATATAGGAAGAAGGCACATACGAAATTGCGTCATCATTCCGCCGGAGCAGACAATGCGACAATGCGATGCAAATGAACGATAAGAGGGGACGTCTAATCGAAAAGTTATATTCTTCTATAGTTACTCGGCTACTTTCTCTTTATACGCTAGAACCGGTGATTTGTTAGTTTCCCTACGACCTTTTTGCCTATCATCTCCGGATCTTCTTCTTCTTCCTATAGTGCATTTTTGTCGTAATCCGCGACCTAATTAAGGATAAGCTTACGCTAGTTCGAACGTTCTCTCGCGGACATACTACCGAGACGGAGTGCCTCTTTATGTAGCCCAAACATAAAGCTTTATAGTGCTTTATACTCTACTATTAAGACATAATCGGTATTCGGTCCTGCGTCCGGTATGCAATATCCCTAATTTGACGGATGTCTAGGAGCCGTAACGGCTAATGGACGTAGTGGACCGTTAATAAACAGGTCAGCCTACTGCCATATGCTGTAATATGTTATGCTAGGACCGAGATTCTTAAACTTAACAGAAAAGTGGTTTTGTGCGCCTATCTAGGTAAAGAGCGCAGATATGCGGATTGGTCTAAGATTCGCTAAGGCGGTAGTTAGCTATGGCTCGTGAAATTCGCCTGCTCCTATGTTAAAGCTCGACATAAAGTAGCTGTTACTGTAGAAAGAGACAAGAAGCTCTTCTCTTGCGATTGCACCCGTTTAGAGGAGTAGATGCTAGTTTAGCTTGTAGCTAGAGTTAAGTCCGTCGTTAGAATAGACAACAAGATGATATGGACGTCTTCTAAGATCAAAGTAGGTGCCTCTTAATATATCCCTTTGCTCTAATTTTTCTAGCATAGGCTACATTCTTACGTTATCGAGGTAGTTGTTAACTATGTCGTCGTTTGCCTTTTTAGGATTAATATATGTCGTCTAGAAACAAACAAAGTCGAGGTTATCTTTATCGTCGACGGCGAGGATATCGGCAAGGTTCTAAAGCTTATATAGTTAGTCGTCTAGAGGGTGTTCGTCTTCTTCATCTTCTGCTAATGTGTCTATGTTAGTTAACGTCATTCGCGGATACGAACATAATTACGTAATGCATACCTAAGCTGTCCGAGTCGTTGCTATCTAAGTCGTCGCTGTCCGAGTCGTCGCTGTTACTATAGCTTATATCGGCATTACCACTTCCATTATTCTTATCGTCTTGCTTAGTAGCGAAAGGCGGCTCTTAGGTGTCGTCTTGCTCGGTAACAATAGGCGGCTCTAGTATAGCAGTTAGCTTAGGAGAAGTAGGCGGCTCTTTAATGTCGTCTTGCTTCTTTATAATAGGTAGCTCTAGTGTGGCAGTTAGCTTAGGAGAAGTAGGCGGCTCTTTAATGTCGTCTTAATTCTTTGTGACAGGCGGCTCTTAGGTAGCAGTTAGCTTAGGAGAAGCAGGCGGCTCTTGCTTGTCGTCTAGCTTAGATGCTATAGCCGGCTCTTAGGTGGTAGTTAGCTTAGGAGAAGCAGTTTGCCTTAAAGGGCTAGGCGGATTAGAGGGGCTAGGCGGTGTAAGGGAATCGGTTAGCTTAGGGGAATTGCGCGGCTTTAAAGTGACACGAGAGTTAATACCTCTAGGTCGCCTAGGTAGCATAGTCGGTATATAAGGAACCCCCGACCTCGTGATGGAACGGCGAATTACGTCTCTATAGCCTAGATACGACCTAACTTAGGGCTTTAGCGAGGAGCGAGGTTTAAGCCCTTTATTGCTAACTAGTGAACTTGCTACTACGAGAGAGGTAGGCGTTGTTATTGTAGTATTAACCTTTGTGATGCCGTCTCTCTAGATGTCTCCGGGTGTAGATGTAGTCGACGTGGCTACGATTTAGACAATAGACGGGACATTATCGGCGTTATCGGCACGTGCATATGCTAGGATTTCGGTTGTGCGCGCGAATTTACGTGGACTTCTATCTCTAATCTTATCGCCTATCTTTCTCTTAGGGGCGTTTGCTGCTATAATGACAACCAAAACTGGCGACGGCGGTGTCGATTGTCTTAAATACATTATGTTAGTGCAAGCGGGCAGAATACTGGTCGACAGATGTTTACCTTATACTTAATAATTTTCCGGGTTATATAACGGCGCGTAGTAAGGACGATATGCGAAAAATGTAGGTTTAAATGTAAGACGTCGAATAGTGGCAGGTAAAGAAAAAATTCCGCTTACGTATATTTTTCATTGTATGAAATCGGCAGACACTAACAATACAATAAAGCTCCAGATGCGTGTTTTTCCCTATCCCTAACAACCACCAAGCTAATTCTTCTTTTGTTTACTTGCTGTCTAGCCGGTAGTATTTTCACGTCCCTATTAGCAGATTTTCGCCGCTTATAGCTAGCATTCTTATCTTTCATGGTTTCCTTGTTGCAAGGTCACTCTAAAGGTTAGCTTTTCACTATACGCACACATTTATCTTTGCATAAGCTTGTTATTTTTTCCGTATAACCATCACCATTATCTACTCCTCGACCGCGCGCATTATTACTGCTCGACTCTAAAACCTTCTTCTTAATTACAATTCTTACGACTCTTACGACTCTTACGACTCTTATAACTCCTATAACTCTCATAACTATGCTAGACTAGCTAGGCGACGAGGGAGCGGATAGCGAGCTATAGCCTATATGTAGCGACCTTCGTCTACGTCACTTTCGCCCGACACCTGCCGGTGCATTCTACGTATTCTTACAGAAATCCACCATAATTACTAATGGCGCCGTTACATGCTTTCTTAAACTCACCCCCTTAACACTGCGTACACTATACTATAACGTTTACGAAGCCCTCCGCGCCCCTGTCGCATTCGTGGCAACCGAAGACATCTTAGTTAGATTATAACACCGTAACGAAGAAACGAACACGCTTAAGTAGACCTAAGAGGTAGTCTGTAACGCCGGCGAGACGGTGCTTAGTTAGCATCTAGCTTCGGGCGATGATACGGACATTTTTCTGGCAAAGGTAAAGGCACTCTTCATCTTCGATCATCTAGATCTATTCGGTCTCCCTAGCAACAAGACCATTATATCTAATGAGTAGGATACCGACGCTAATGGCAGATGGGACATTATCCTATATTACTATCGCCTCCTCGTCCTCGATCGTGTCTTTAACTCTTGCGCCACTAAGATGAAGCAGTTTCCCTTGCTTAGAAGTAGTAATACCGAGCTGGACAGAACGATGAACATACAATGGGGCCCTAAGGGAAGACTTAACTTACACAAAGGCCCGGCCCTAAGTACACTAAAGTCGCCGAAGAAGCGTAACACTAAAGCGGTAAAGCTTAAGACACGCGCCCTCGAGATCGAAGACACGACATACGCACAGAACAAGAAGTACAAGATCTAGTTCCCTAATCTATGCTTCGACGACACTGGTTCCGGACTTACAAGACAGCAAGATATCGATCCGGAAAACTTACTGTTAGGGATGGTCTGGGAATTCCTGCACGGAAAGGGTTTACAGAAGCGCCATCACTACCTCGAATGGACACATGACGATGTTGTGTACTACGTTACCAATGACTCGAGGTTCCGTAAGATGGTCAAGACGGTTAGCGATTCTTGCAAGGCTGCAATGGATCCCTTAACCAAGAGATTCGTTTTAATGTACAAGGCCGGTATGTTAATCTTTGAATAATGTGTTTGCGAATTGTACTAACAATGGCCATTATAGGACGGATCCCAGACGGTGCAGACGACCCCCTTGAATGGGAGGTACTCTAAATGGGGCACAGAGTACGACTGAACGTGCGAGACGATAGCGTCATGTTAAGAACAAGCGTGTAGCCGGCACCATTAGCGGAAAACCCTCCGAGCAGCGCATAGAACGGATATGCAGCAACTCAACAGTGTAGCAACTTTCTAATACCTTTTTGACCTTCCATCTTCCGCATACGTCACGTGCGTGCACTTTCACCTTTGGGCAGGAACGAAGCAAGTTGAAATCTCCCAGCCATCTTTTGATTTTCGCTGCTGCCTTATCTGCCCTAAAATCTGACGGCATTGCCTTCGACTTGCTATTACTAGTTTCTGGCTGGGTCGTCACACTGGTGCCTATTGCAACTCTTTTCTCTACACTCACAGCTCGTCTGCGTCAACCATCTGGACTACGATACCAGTTGATGCACCGCCTCCATTGCAGATGGCAGCACATCCGTATTCGCCCTTCTTCAGTTGGTGTAGCAGGGTAACCAAGATCCTTGAGCCCGAGCTTCCCAATGCGTGACCGAGAGAGATCGCACCGCCTCTTGGGTTGACGTTGTCCATTCCGAGGCCGAGAATCTGGTATTCCATGTAAGTACACATTCAGACACCGCATCCCGTTTGTGAACATACCTTGGCATTTGCCTTGATCACTGCTGCGAAGGCCTCGTTGAACTCCCACACCTTGACCTGCTCCTTGGTGATACCTGCTCTTTCGAGCACAATAGGCACCACCTTGGAAGGTGCGATGGGGAAGTCGATGGGGTCGACTGCCGCATCCGCCGTTGCGACAATGCGTGCAAGCAATTTGTTACCCTTTCCATACTTCTTGGCCATCTCCTTGTTACCAAGGACCAGTGCTGAGGCACCGTCTGACAATCCTGAGCTGTTGGCGGCCGTCACTGTACCCGAGCCAGACTTGTCAAAGGCGGGCTTCAAGGTAGGCACCTTGTCCAACTTCAGTCTGTACAGACCCTCATCTTCTGAGACGACCGTGTCGCCCTTCTTGCCCTTAATGGTCACTGGGACTATCTCGTCCTTGAAGAGTCCCTGCTGGTAGGCTTCCTGTGCGCGCTTGTAACTTAGGATGGCGAAGTCATCCTGCTCTTGACGAGTAACACCATGGTCTTTGGCCGTCTTCTCGGCACAGTTGCCCATGTGGATCTGGTTGTATACATCCCAAAGACCGTCCTTGATCAATCCATCGTCGAGCTTGATGTTGCCGAATGGAGGGAGTTGAGATGATCGCGGCAGGTAATAAGGAACTTGGCTCATGTTCTCCATTCCTCCTGCGACTTGTGCTTCTGCCAGACCGAGCTGGATCTTCATGGCGGCTATTGATACAGCCTTCATACCCGAGGCGCATACTTTGTTGATTGTGGTTGCTTCTACCGAAGAGTCGAGGCCGGCGAAGATTGCTGCTTGTCTTGCTGGAGCTTGACCGACACCTCCTTGCAAGACTTGACCCATGTAGACATCGCGGATGTGCTCGGCGGGAACGGACGAACGGGCAATGGCTTCTTTGATTGCGTAGGAACCGAGCTTGGGCGCCGACACTGAGGAGAGGGCTCCGTTGAACTATTGCTTCTGTCAGACGAGTTTCCCAAATACATAGCTATAAAGTGCACGTACAACTCCAACAGGAGTTCTGACAGCGCTGAGAATGTATGCGTCTTGAATCTCCTTTGCCCGGGATGTGGAGGAGCTGAATTGCCTATAGCTGTTGAAACACGTCTGGCGAGCAGAAAATGGTAGGCGACGGAGGGGAGTGCGAAGCGTAGCGGACGACATTGTGTAATTTCAGTTGTGTAGAAAGTAAAGAAAAACAAATCAAGTCATGGAAAATAATGGAGCAATAAAGCATCACATGAAAGGCGCATCTGTTCACCGAGGTGGAGCGTGGAGGAGCGCGGGGCACTTCCGTCCGAGAGCTCCGTCATGTTTCGAAGCCTCGGTTGTTGACATGTTTTTGGAGCCGGTTGATGCATCGTCTTTGCTCCTTTTTCCCTATGCTACTCATTCACCCTGTGTAGGGAAGGTCATGACCGACCAATCTTCTCCTTCGACCCATCCATGCATATCTCAGTCCATCGTAACATCATAACATCAGGCCACTAAAAGCCGCCGGGTCGCATTCCCATAGCAAATGGCGGCGGCATGCGACCACGTCCTGGTCCGCCCATACGCGGCGGTCCCCCAGGCGGCATCATGAAAGGCCCACCAGGCATTGGCAGCGACGGCTGCATCATCATCCTCTTTCCTCCTGTCGACTCGGTCTTCTTCAAGTCAGGAGCAACACGTCCGCCAAACACAGGCTCTTGTACTGCAATGCTCTTCTCGCCGGGCAGCTTGAATTCGACTAGATTGAAATAGTAGTCAAGCACTTCCGGATATCGCTGTAGACTGTTCTTCCAATCCTCATCTATTCCTCGTTGGTACGCGCCTTGCGCTGCTGACATTTGCATACGCAATTCGTGCATTTGTGGCTGTGAGATGGGCGGCCGTCCAGAGTAGATCTTGTAGAGTTCGTAGTATGGGACGGTGGCTAGATGTGCTTGGTACTGTTGTTTCCTCATGTCCACCATTTGATTATAGGTAAACATTATCCATTCGCGAGCATGACCTAGCGCCCAGTGTCTGGCCAAAGTCAGTATGGAGAGAGGTATTGTGGTTGAAAACGAGCGTACCTTATCTGTCGCATTTCGGCGCTTGCCATCCAGCGGTGATGTGCATCATCCAGCGCTCTTTTCAGCCTTTCGTCCTCGTGCTTACACTGTTTCGATGCCGGAGCGCCGCAGACGGCGCATGATGCTTCTGCTTGCATCGATCGACTTGAGTATGTATATTCTCGATATAGCCGGCCTCTTGTCCGTGTCGGGTATAGAGTGATCTATCTCGAATACGCGTTGAAGGGGTTTAGGTTGCAAAGGACAGAGAGCGATGAATAACTTACAAAGTGATGCAAGGCGAGCGAGTCTAAGCAGTTGGGCTACTTTAATAGAGTGCTAGTTATGTTAGGCCGACTTTGCTGCATAGTGGTCACGTTCATGGTCGCCGATTGGTGCTGTCCCGCATGGTGAGCTGTTCCCTCGCGGAGCCGCATTGAAATGGGTCAATGTCAATCTTGGGCATTCATGGAATTCACACCTGGAGCGCAGTGCCAAAGTCTGTGATTCCCACTTCGAGGAAATATCCCGGATCAATCTTGACGGCGAGGAAGGAGCTCAACACGAAGTGGGCATGAACAACGACGAGTACTCAGCCTCCCCACCTGCTAAAGTAGACATGTCATTTTGACTCTCAAGCCGTGGTGAGCATCATTCCAGCCATCACAATACACAAATCTTTTGAGGAAGAGGACGTCTTCCACAGAGAGCGACTGTCTGACGCCCTCTACTTTCGAATCCCATCGCACATTGTAACAGCAGTGTGTCGGTGCAAAACTTCAGCACATGGGGAGGGGGTTGAATTCTATCCAAAACCATTTCACAAACGAATCTGAACAAAGTTGCAGTGACGTAAATTACATTAGGATATTGCAGTCATACTAAGTAACCAGAAGAAGCCACGAACGCCGCCGTCTGATTACAGAAGATTGTCTTGACCTTCAGTTTTACGGTTGAAGGGCCACATTCAATTGGAGTCATTCTCCTGGACCAGTAAGGGAGCTAGATATAGATGGGGAGCAAGTTGACGTCCGCGCAACTCGAGGGGTTCTCATAATGGTAATAACTGCTACTGGTAAGCATCTAACACAAACGAGAGAGATCTGATACACCGACCTCCACTTAGCAAAGAGTTGAGGAACACCGTGCCACCAGTCACAGACAAGCCACCCTCCGAAAGCGTTCTGGTCAGCAGGAACACTCGGATTCTCAGTCCACTGGAGGCCGCTGGAATTGAAGAAGAAACTAGGTTGACCGTCTCCCGCATTGATGCGAACAGGTTCCCAAGCGGAGTAGAAGTTGACGTCGGCGATGATCAAGCCCCAGGGGAAAGATCCACCGAGATCGAATAATTGGTTGAAATAAGGCTGACCATTTGGCTGTGTGATGTTGGTGGCATTCATGAAACCTTTGATGCCGCTTGACTGGTTGGTATAGAGAACGGCATCATTCAAGCCAGCTCCAGTGTGAGAGGCAACGAGCCAGAGGTTGTCGAATTTTTTCTTGGTTCCTTGACCAGGCTTCAGCTGAGTATGAAGCTGATACTCGCGAGAAGTATTGAGGCTTGCTAGAGCGGTGACAGCGAGACCGAAGACTGAGAAAATGGTTCTTAGGTGCATGGTTGGCGGTCCTGGCGTGAAAGATGAAGAAGGGATTGAATTACGATGACGATGATAATGATGAGAGAATGGAAGAGACAACCTGCCACTTTATATGTGAATACGAAGACATGAGAGCTCCAGTAGCATGACCTCTGCTGTACCAGTCAGAGGTCAAGGAAACAACCTTTCACCTGTATACTAATTTTACGTAGTTTGTACCACCACAACCTGCAGATCGTTCAAGAGAGGACAAAGGTAGGGACGGATCGACCGATGCTACTGTTTTCCTACCTTTACCGTCTTGATCCTTTGGGTTGCAAAGCGGTAGATTGAAGGATTAGCTTGTGACCAAGGAACGAATGAGATGGAGATGTTCATTTTACGACGATGTCCCAAAGCGACAATATGGTGATATTCAGGTGGGAAAATTGGACAATTGATCGGAAAGTCTTGTCTCCTCCGGGCCATCGCCAAGCTTCAAGAACTTTGTGGCCGTGCTTGTCTTCAACGACACCTCGGCAGCAAGACCATGCTTGCTACCTAGTTGACATTCTCACTGATCGATGCCAAAAGACAAAGCAAGTCTGCGGACTCAGGCCAATGGAGCGGGGTGAAGATGCTTGTGAAATGAGCATGTGCTAACTCGATCGTTGAACACACCAGCATGATACTCATTCATCGTCCTCAATGAACGAGTACGATCGGTGCAACCAAGTGTGGCACCAGTCAGAGCTTCGCATCCTTTTTTGTTTACCAGGAAGTAATGAGGAACCGGACTCGTAACTCAAGCCTTTTAGCTAAACATCAAGCTCCGACATCATTTTGGTTGATCGGTATGGGCTAAGCTCCTGCGTACCAGTGTAGTTATATCCGGAGCTTTCAAGCGGTCTTCCTTGTACTCTTTCGAGCAACCGTTCTTTAACTTGAGAATGGAGACACGTGCAGGAAGCCAAGAAGTGCTCTGTTGTAAGACGAACGATGAGCATAATTTTTTATCCAGTATCAATACAAGAACGAGCCGAGATTGCAGCAACTGGAGGCACTGCTATCTCGGCTCATTCTTGTACTGATGGTTGTCAGCTGTTGCGATACTTTCAAAACCCACCTCTCTCTCTCCCTCTTCCATGCCAAGTTCCATTAATAGCCATCAAAATGCAGAAAGACCATGCTCTGGTAGAGCGTGTCCACTGAGAGCACACAAATTTCGGGCTCTCACTGGACGGTCACGCGGCAAACTCAACTCCGTGCATTGAGACTGATCCTCTGGTGCACACAAGAAGGAAGGAAGCACCGGCAATTTGAGCCACCACCAGCGTCGAAGTCAGCTCGAGATCCAGCCCTCCCTCAACCGACAATCCATCGCAATACCACCTTGCATTACTTCACGTTCATTATACACTAGCAATGCCCTCTGAAAACGCACCAATTCTTCGCCTGCTCCATTTCAACGATGTCTATCGCCTCGAGCCTTCGGAACACGATCCAGTTGGGGGTATTACTCGCTTCCAGAGCTTGTGCAACCACTATAGACAAGATCCGAAATATCAAGACCAACCACAGCTCATCACGCTCTTTTCGGGAGACGGCTTCGGACCGAGTTTGGAGAGCAGTGTGACCAAAGGTCGTCGACTGAATTTGCTACTGATAGAATCTGAGCTGATCCGGTGTGACAGGCGCCCATATGGTTCCCATCTTGAACAATGTTCCCGTTGCAGCTGCTTGTGTCGGAGTAAGCACCAGCTTAGAAGTCTATGCGCTCGTACTGACCTTCAAAGAACCATGAGCTCGACATGGGCGTTCCCCAATTTGAGTACCTTGCATCACAGTGTGCCTTCCCTTGGCTGCTAGCCAATGTCACCGACCCTGCGCTAGGAGACGACGTACCTCTAGGACATGCACACAAGACAGCTATGCTCACCTCATCTAATGGAATCAAAATCGGACTTATCGGTTTGGCCGAGAAGGAATGGCTCGAAGCAGTCAACGCTTTACCATCTAACCTCATCCACACCGATCCGGTAGTCAGTGCAAAGAAGCTGGTTCCAGGCCTCCGAGCTCAAGGTGCCGAGATCATAATTGCATTGTGCCATCAGAGGGAGCATCATGACGTTAGGCTGGCGCAGGAGACGCCAGAAGGGCTTATCGACCTTGTCCTCTCAGGTCACGATCACCACTATCGCCAGGCTCGCGTACGGAGCACCCAAATTCTATGCTCTGGTAGCGACTACAAGCAACTCAGCTACATCGAAGCGTCCCGTACCGACACCAAGTGGGACTTCAACATTACGCGCCGAGACGTCAATAGCGCCGTCCCCGAGGACCCTCACACAGTCGCTCTTATGGATAAGCTATTCTCGTCGCTGCAAGGCAAGTTGCAGAAAGTGATCGGCTATACAGCTGTGCCACTGGATGCGCGCTTCGCTACCGTCAGAGCCTCTGAATCGAACATGGGCAACTTCGTATCAGATCTAATGCGCTTCTATTACAACACGGACTGTGCTATGCTCGTAGGAGGTACGATACGAGCCGATACAGTATACCCGCCAGGCATACTACGACTCAAAGACATCGTTGATTGGTGAGTAAACTCTATCTCCGGCCCCCTGGCCTCTTCCTTGACCACCTATCAAAATGCACAAAGTTTTCTCAGACAGGGCGAGGGTCCAGTGAGAGTCCAAAATTGCTCGATCAAAACGTCCATCTCCCCTGAGGAGGTTCGTGCCGGTGCTCAGCATCTGCTGCAATGCACGATATCTTTCGGTCACGCATGCTGTCCAATGAAAGCGAGTCACTGACAGTTTCTAGCTTTCCGTTCGAAGATCCTGTTGTGGTAATCAGGGTCAAGGGTCAGCAACTTCTGGAGGCATTGCAGAACGGCGTGTCCAAATATCCTGCTTTGGATGGTCGCTTCCCGCAGGTGTCTAATATCAGTTTCACCTTCGACCCATCGAGAGATAGCCATGACCGAATCGTCGCGGTACAAGTCAATGGAAAGCCACTTGACCTGGAGCGTGAATATACTCTGGCGACTCGTGAATATATGGTCAAAGGAGGAGGTATGTGTTGCTCGCATTTATTGGTGACAAGAAGCTGATCCCGCGCAGATGGCTACACATGTCTCCGCACACAATTACAAGGGGGATCGACAATCTCAATTGTTGACGAGGAGAACGGTATCCTCATTTCGATGCTGCTACGACAACACTTCCTGTCGTCGATGACTGTCGGACGGTGGAAGCATTGGGGCGCTGCACTCGGTCATCACTGGGGCACAGTACAAGAACAGCTACGACGAACTGGCTCTGTGGTCGAGCGTACAGACACGAGCCACACTTTCCGACGAGACAGCAATGATGCGTCAGCTCGCAGAACCAGCGTAGATGTATCATCTGGAAGAAGAAAGAGCAGCGCCGTCTGGGACAGACCACCAATTCGCATTGTGGAGCCAGCAGAGATAGGTCTCAGTGAATCCGAAGATGAATCAGAAGTGACTGCACCGGTGCTGGCCAGAGAACTATCACCCGAGGAACACGAGCTGGTGGTAGCGAGGAAAGCTATGCGGAAGTGGTGGAGACTAGCTGGCTTGAGCAAACGCCATGCGATGGGTTACGAGACAGGCGAGGAGTTGGGAGTTGGTTGGACCAGAGGCATTTGTCCACAAATGGAGGGACGCATCAAGATGGTGTTGCGTGTGCTTTGAAGTAACATGATCGACCTAAGGACCTAGAATCCATTACTCCCCCTCCTACTACATCCATGAAGTACTACCCGTTGAGCTGGTGTGCGGAATAAGGATGAAACTGGCGGCATTATTGTCGTGACTGTACATAGTGTCGTGAAATCGCTTCATCTTCTCTTCTTGCCAACAACCTTGGTAAAGCCATCGTCGTCGACCTCGGGCTCTTGTCTTTCACGAGGCGCGGGAACGAGAGCAGGAGCAGCATCGCCCATTTCGACGTCGTCGTCCTCGTCATCGCTCTCCTCTTCACTGCTCTCATCGTCGTCGTGCTTGTGCTCAACAACCTGGAGATTCTGGGGAACCCTTCCGCCACGCTCCTCGAACCTCCTCTTGACAGTCTCGAAGCCAGAGAAGTCACCTTCGGTGGTCTCTTTTCTGAGCTTCATGATCTCTTCGGCGACAGGAATTTCGCTCTCGTCTTCGACGTTCAGGTCAAACTCGTCCTGCATGACCTGCAACAAGACGGCTTCGACATCGAACTGGTCTGTATCGGGACGTTCGGCGAAGAGGTCACTCACGGCACCAGCGAACCAATCGCGCTTTGCAGAGCTGTCAGGGCCGCCCCAGTTGCTGGTGACTGCGATTGTGAGGGCAGGCCAGAGGCCTAAGGCGTACCAGATGCCGAGATCGAAGTTGGTTTGAATTTTTTCTGTGTGCGATCAGAATGTTGTTTCATGTCCTCCTAAGAACATTTCGACATACCTTGATCCGCCATGGTTGTGTTTTGGTGGAAGATGGACAATGATGGAATAGATATTTTGCCAGGCGCAAAAAAGTCGAGCTTGGACCATGCCCCAGGTTCCGGGAGAGGCTGGAGAGTGGACCCTGGGGAAGAAGATCGACCAAGCCACATACGTTCGATCACCAAGGCTTCATCTCCGCCGCGCTGCACCGTTGCGCTTTCCCGTTCCCGAAACAAATACACGGCTCCTGCCTTTCTGCACCTGTGCGACTCTTTGTCTCAAGCATTGCTTTCCTCGTCGTCGCCTGCATCCACGAGTCCCTGTCTTGCTTGAAGCTGCTATGCGTTCATGACAAGGATCCCCATAGACTCGAACACGATCGATACGAAGGATTCTCCTAATCTAAACGATCAACCATGGTCTTGAGCACTCTCGGCGTGGCCGCCGACGTGACACCCTCGGTCATCGAGACCTTCTTCTCACACGCAAGTCTCACCACAATGTCGCACTACTATGCCTGCTTTACTGACACGACATGATCAGTACCTCAACCGCAAACCACTCAAAGGAAAACCTACCGCCCATGTCTCATACCACGAAGGTCTGCGCCTGATCCGCCAATTCCTCGCATATGCCTCTCAACACACCGTCGAGGACATCCAAGCCTTTACCGGCCAATGGGTTCCTACCCCGACATGGGTCAAGCTCGAGGAAGTCTCCATCTCGGATGCCCATCTGGAGCGTTCTGCCGAACTTGTAAAGGCCCAGCTTGGCCTTGCCGGTTTGCAAAGAGTCGGCGGTCAAGAGTGGTGGCAGTGGAGACGATCAGAGATTGCACTGAAGGGCGAATGGATTGAGATGCGCCAGGACTATAACGACCGAATGGCTGCAGACAATAAGAGCGACCGCGTCATTCTCTACGTCCACGGCGGCGCCTACTACTTTGGTTCGGTCGATGAGCATCGCTACCAGATGCAGCGCCATGCAAGAAAGCTCAAGGCCCGTCTGTTTGCCCCAAGGTACCGTCTGGCTCCTCAATTCCCTTTCCCGTGCGGTCTACACGATTGTATCGCCGCCTATCTTCATGTCATTGAGCATTGCCATCCCTCGACTGTACTTCTAGGCGGCGACTCGGCTGGTGGTGGCATGGTGATCAATATGCTTGTTACCCTTCGCGATCAAGGAATTCCTCTTCCAGCCGGCGCCCTTCTCCTGTCTCCGTGGGTCGATCTAACCCATTCTTTCCCGAGTGTAGCTGGAGAAGGCAATTTCGACTACATCCCTGCCAATGGTTTCCATCACAGACCTTCGATGGCATGGCCACCTCCGAATGCCAACGATCTGAGAGAGTTGAAGTCTCCGCAGATCGACTCACCGAGAAAATCGAAAGAGGAGAAGAAAAAGCTCGAGCGAGAAGCAACAATGGGCTTCTCTGTCAACGACATACCCAAGGATGACGGAAATTTTGCCTCCGCCCAACACCCTGGAGCAGCCCGCCCGCGCGCTAAGAGCGTCCCGGGCGGTGAACACCTGACAATCGAACTGGACGGCAAGATGATTGAGCTCACTGATCAAATTCAGATGTACACAACAAACGACATGCTCGCACATCCCATGGTTTCACCTGTCATGCAACCATCGCTCGGTGGACTACCGCCACTTCTGATCCAAACTGGAGGCGGTGAGCTTCTGCGTGACGAACAGATCTACATCGCTCATAAAGCTGCCAACCCATCTGCCTATTTGCCAAGCAAAAAGGTCATGGATGAATTCGACCCCAACAGGGAAGTACTTGACAAGTATCCGCCTACACATGTTGTTTTACAAGTTTGGGACGACCTTTGCCACGTCCCGCATACTCTCAGTTTCACTAGACCGGCCAAATACATGTACCGCAGTGTCGCTCAGTTCGGTGCTTGGGCTTTAGCTCGTGCTCAAGATCAAGCCATCACTATTCTTGACGATGATGCAATCAGTATCATCAGTACCCAATCTAGCCATGAGAGTGATGCCAACTCATCAAGTGAGGACGTTGACCGCGGTAGATCCGTGGACAAGAGGTTTCCTGACGCTCTTGGCACTCCGATCCGCGCTCACACTGTTTCTACAGCTTCTGGATCCGTCGGAAAAGCTGGAGATCCCTTACCTCCATTCCAAGGTCATATGGTTCGTCAGAGAGTCGACCGACATGGTGTCACATATCCGCTTGCTGCTGTATCGGACTTACCATGTCTAAAGCTGGATCCCAACACCATTGGCATGATCAAGCCTGGACCTGTGCGAAAGTGGATTGCCAAGAAGGCTGACTGGGACGTGAAGTACGGAAAGGACAAGCGTTCGATACAGAAACAGCGCATCAAGGAGATGGCCGAGGGCTATGACACATTCGGACCGGGAGAAGTCCCACCACCTACCGCTTTGGCTGGACGTCGTAAGAAGGACATGCCAAGCCAGAAGTCGCGCAAGGGTAAATCATGGGGTCTCGCCATGTGGTCTGGATGGGGAAGCAAACACGACGAAGACACCATTGGCCGCGAGCAGAAGGTCAACCGAGCTCCCACGCAATCAGTCGTGCTACCAGAAGCTGGTGCCGCGATTCCAAAGGTCGATCCCGAGCGTGCGGCTACGATCAAGGCATCTCCCACTTTCGACCGTAGCCTCAGTCCCAGCTACCGTACAGTAACAGATTTGGGCCAAGCAGGCCCTAGATCTCGACCCACTACCTCCGACACGATCCCACCTACACCACCTGCCAAGGACTCACCAAAAGGTAAACAAGCCATCAGAGATGACGAAGCCCATCTAGCACCATACGGCATGCACACCAAGATTCCTGGTTCAGAAAACACTTTCTTGAGCAACAACAGCGCACGCCCTCACAATGGCGAAGTGGCTTATCCGTTCAAGTTGAAGAATGAAGCTGCCACCGCGAGTACAGTCACCTTGGACTCTGCAGCACATATCCGACCAATGGGAAGAGGTGACGATGTCAGCAGCATTGGTTCTGTGGCGGCAAGCCCCAGACCTGCTACCCAAGGCGGAGTCAGCTTCATGGACGGGAATGGCGAAGGCATTATTGCCGATGAACCTGGCGTGGGCGTCTACGAGACCGAGACAGGATCGAAGAGCAGGGACAAGGGCAAGGGTAAAGCTGTCGAGGCAGCCATTGGTAATGAGGAGGAAGGGGCAGCTGCGAGACCAGCATTACAGACATTTGTCACTGCACATGAGTTTTGATGACTCGAGTTGAGATGAGTTATATTTTTGACAGAAGACGTTGCGAGGTGTATTGTTAGGATTAGATACCCCCTGTTCTGATACGAAGCTGCGAGTATATGAATTATTGTTTCCGTTTTTACTCGATCGAAGCGTAATGCCAAAACATTCGAATTGACTATCAGATAAACAGTCTCGTTCGTAGTCAAGCGATTCCAGCATTCAAGGAAACTGGAAGTGTAGAGTATCTTGTGCTATAGAGTACGTAGTAAAAAGAAACGCCTCTCGCTTGTCTTTTTTAGTACGACAAAAGAAGTGTCAATCGCTCCTTCCCTCCTTCCACGATGCCTGTTTTCGCCAAACGAAGAGAAGTGTAAAAAGTGAAAAGACATGATCGCGCCTGCCTCTTGGTTTTTGCAAACATCATAAAAAGCAAAGTCGATGATCCTTCCTTCCCTAAATGAAGTGTACCAACCAGGTAAAAAGAGAATGAAAAAAAGTGCAGAAAAGCCAAAGAGAAAGTGTCGAAGGCCACAGGTAACACAGCGCAGACGGTCAAGGGGTCCGCGACTCTCCTCTCTAGAGACAAAGGGGGAAAGGTGCGAAAGCAATAAAAGTCAAGAGATCAAATCTCACTCAATCCTGCCCCTTCACTGAGAACTCTAACCCTCTCCCTAACGGCCTCAAATTCCTTGACCGCTTCGACATGCTTTTCGCAGCCCACACTCCAATGCTCTCGCACGCGTTCGTCTTCCTTGACAGCTTGTGCATAGCTCATGAAACCTTCTCCGGTGGAGGCCTCACCCACGGCTTCCAAAGCCTTGATGCCGGCCTTTACCAACTTGGCCGCTCGCTCTTGACGAGTGGTGAAATGGGAAAGTAGTGCAGAGTTGAACTTTTCGAACTTGTCGAGGTAGACGCTGAAAGTGGTGCAGTAGGTTGACCATGAGGAGCGGGTGAGCTTTGTGGGCGTGGAAGGGGCGCGGGGCAGAGTGGGCAAGACCAGGTTCTGGGGTGTAAAGGTCTTGGTAGGGATGGTGTTGGCGGCCTTTGAGGTGAAGGGCAAAGTGGAACTTATGTCGGCTAGGCCGTCAAGACCTTCGGAGGGTTTGAGGTCAACTGCGGCACTCAAATCGTCCAGGCGGACGTTGAAGCCGTTACTTTCGCGTTTGGACGTGGAGGAGGCATCGTTCTGGCGGAGCTGAGTGGTATCGACGGGATAAATGCGAGGTTCTTGAGCAGATGTAGCTTGGGGTGCAGCAGGTGGTCCGGCTGGTGGAGCGTCATCAACGTCCATTTCATCCGGCGACTGTGTTCGTGGAGCAGCCTCTTCCTCCTCATCTGCCACCGTTGCAGGCTTTGGTGTGTTGACCGGGATCTTGTTGGCGACTCTCGAACCCTTTCTGATTGCGGTCGAATTGCTTCTAGATGTGGTTTTCGATTCAGACTTGCCAGGCGATGAGCGTCCAAGGACATTGGGGTCGAATGCCCACGACGCATCCTGGAAGTGTTTCGCCCATTCCTCGGGCGAGTACTTGGCCGGAGGTGGAGGAGGTGATGGCACGGCAGATTCTTGGGCAGCTTCGCTGCTGTTCTGCTGTGATGTTTCGTGGAAGGTGTTGGCCCTCGGTTGTTGTCGGAAGGCCCTTGAACTCTTGCGCGAGGGCGTAGCAGACTTGCGGCCAGTTGTCGTGGTTTGGGCAGCAGCAAAAACATTGTTACTAGTAAAATCGCCTGCCCACTGTGACGGCACGAAAGATGTATTGATACTGTCTTCGCTCCGGCTTTTGGCCATGTTGGGCCTGAAGGTGTCAGCATTGATGGGCATAGTAAATCTGGTAGAAAAGAGGTCAGCATTCAGACTGAATTGTAACGGTTGCAAAATCAATACAGGCCGGTGAGGTCGTCTTTTGTGAAACAAGTCTTCTTGTGTTGAGGTTGAAGTGCAGGGTTCTCATCCTTGGTAAGATCGATGAGATCATCGGGATCAGGGATATATGTCGGTCTATCAGGGGAAGTTGGTTGACTCTGTCCCACATTTGTAGACGATGGTGTGTCCGTAAGGTCTACCCAGGCGCGTTGAGCAGCTGAGTGGGTGCGCTTGACGGGAGGAACGGTGGATGGAAAAGCCCATCTGGGGATGTGGTCGGGGCTTTTTGTGTGTTGATAGCTTGTCCCAAAGGGATAGACAGGGGAGGGCATTTTTTCTTGTTGCTTGGGAGGAGTAGAGAAATGGTTGGCATACATTGTTGGTTTGTCCTTTTCGCCAGCATCGGCTGCTGCGTCTGGACCTGAGTTGGTACTTCCACCGGCCTCGCCTGGAGCTTTGTGGGGTACACCATTCTTGAACTGTCTGCTCGGCGGGTTGGGTGTCTTCTTAGGACGGGTAAATGACCGTCCGAACGGATCAGCCGACTGGTCAGCTGCCGGAGGTGGAGGGTTCGCCTGTGCAGTGTCAGGAGTCGTGGAAGCGGAGTCGTCTTCAGTCTCCGAGTCTTCGCTCGAGCTGTAGACGACAAAAGGCTTTCTTGCTGTGCCCGTACCCGCCTTGCGCGTCGATTGACGGAATCCTGGTCTTCCTTCTGAAGCCATGGGCACATGGGAATTACTGGCTGTTCGAGGTGTTTCCTCAAATGCGTCGGCTGGTCTTGAGCGGTAGCTTTCGAAGGGAGCCTCGGGGTTAGTCTGTTGTGATGTAGCGCGTGGGGGTGGAGGTGGGTAGTAAGGTGGGTCTGCGGACTTCCTCCTAGATGATGAGTAGTTGGCTGTGCTTCCCGCTTGACCCTCGTCGCCGGTCGAAGAAGGATCAAAACCACCTTTCTTCGGCGTACGGGACGAGGCTGAAGCACCGGGTTTGCTTGCCCCAGCTTCATTGTACTCGGCCCAGGCAGAGCGGAAGCCACCAAAGTTGTTGTTATTGCTATTGTTGGCGGGCTGTGGAGGAGCACGGTAGTTCATGCCCGCGCGAATGTCCTCCTCTGTGGGGTAGCGTGTATCTCGTCTCGGGGGTGGATTGGGTACCGGTCGCTTAGGAGATGGGCGTGGCGGTGGCTGTGGAGTAGTACCAGTCTGCGATTTCATGTTCTGCCATGCATTGAAGACATTTGAAGGGTCGGCTGGGTTCTTCTTGCTCGTAGGAGCGGGCTTGGGAAAGTTTGTGAACCGGTCTGCGCCGGAACTGCCGGATGCTGTGCTACGCCATGAGGCGGTAGGGTTCGGAGTACGCCTGGGCGGTGGAGGGAAGTTTGATGTAGCCTGATACATGGGGTTGGTCCCAGAGCTCCTCGGCGGCACGTTGGGTTTTGTGAAGGCACCACCACCTAGACCTGCCTTCCTGCGGTCTGCATCGTATCGTGTTTTTGATATCGGGTCGTGGAGGATCTCGTGAGCGGCCTGGATGGCCTGGAACTTGGGCACGATTTCGGACTCTTTACCGGGGTTTCGATCGGGGTGATATTTTAGAGCTGTGACTTTGTGTAAGCAAAGAGAAGGCCGTGAGAGTGACGGGGACTGTTACCGAGCTTGCGGTATGCCTTCTTGATATCCTCGACGGAGGCATCCTGTTCTCGACGTCAGCTGTGGGTGCATCGACTCTAGCTGGCGAAGCAGACGCACGTTGGGCAGTTCCAGGTCCGCATAGTAGTTTCGTTTGATGTCGGCCTTCACCATGATCCTGGCAAGACTGAGGGGTCACAACAATAAGGCGCCGTGCGATGCGATACCATCAAGGCCCTGCGTCGTGGAGTGGTGCTGGTGGAATGTAATGAAAGTCGTTATTCGCAGACAGGTGGAAACAGAGCTGCAGAGGTCGGAGTCCAAGATGAGATGAGAAGAAATGACGGCTCGTCAACGGTTGGAATCGCGTGTCATGCGTTGTCTTCAAATTTACGCTTGACGGTCGCTTGGTTGTTGCGCAAAGCTCGCAGCCCCTCCAAACATGTGAAAGCCTGGAGATGTTTTGTTTTGGATCGCCGAAGGACAAGTGACGACGACCAAGATTTATTTTCAACACAACCGAAAGCTCAAATTCTCATAGTAATATCACCAGTAAGATATATGTTGATGTCGAAAGAGACCGAGACAAACAAGCCAATCGGGAGGACATGTGCTGTCGGTCCTACGACTCTGATCTGCAGGTGACGCCTTGTTGGTTGCTCCTTCTCCATCGCCGCCCAAGCAACCAACACCCAGGATTCAATCATCACCAAACCAGATCATAGCTTGCCACCCATGAGCCACAGCACTGCCTCGGTTCTGTGAGAAAACAGCAAAATATCCGCTCCTTCACTTCCAACTTATGCTGCCTATTGACGTAGACGTAGCTGCAAAGAATAATGACCCGGCACCGACCTCCCTTTCGACTGTAAGTCCTTGCAACCTTGGCTGCAAGAAGGCAAGATGCTTTTGATGATCAAGTACATGTCCAATGAGAGCGATACTGTCTCTTGATCTCTCCGGACCTACATAAAAAACTAAAAATCATTGTGCCTTTTGACTACTATGTTGCAAGGAGCCTTTGCTAATCTGAGAGCTCGGTTCTGGTGCAATTCATGTGTCAAAGGAGAAGACCTCCAAGTGTCGCTCTCTGTGGAGGCCGTGCCACTGCTCAATATCATCGTGCATTTCTACACGTTAACCAGTGGGCATCGCTGCGGCTTGAGAGTCGATGTAACAAAATTTAGCACGCTAGGAAGGCAAAGAACACCGCTACATTTCGATAAGCTCTGTTGACCGCTGGATTGCATTCTAGATACCACCAGGTTGAATCACACGAAAGCATGTATGAACGCTCCCTTGACTGTACTGTGACCACCAGTGACTGCGTTTGGATAGAAGAAGCAACAACAGAACCTGCCAAGCCAGAAAAACTGCTGCAGAACAATACTCGAGTAGCATGCGCAAGGAAATGACAGTGCGGAGAAGACATCATAGAAACGGAGCGAAGCCTGAGACCTCAAAATGCACATTTGACGAACGCTATCAGAGAAAGATCGGAAGTGTAAAGGTCGCAAAAGCAGACAAGACCTCAGCCACTAGAATTGACAAAACGGATGATGCATTCAAAGACAAGATTCGGATCATCGACATGTGCTGTAAAACAAAAAGGAAGAAGTAATGAAATTTTGATATTCGCTGCGTCTCGACGAGAGGGGGGGATATGAATTGCAGTGATGCAGGAAACAAGATCGATGGAGCTCAAAGGAGGAAAATTTGGAAAACACCCGCGGCGTTTGTTTCTCGTCGTAAAGTCATGACATCGCAGAAAGGATGAGAAGGTTGTAACCAGAGCGCGTTCGAGTAAAAAGCAGAGTCATGTACAATTGCCCCAGTCTCTCTTTGTCTGTGGCTTGTGCTTGTGTGGTGGTTGTTTTTGTAGTAGTTGCTAATTGTATGTTGATGGTTGTGAGAGGGTGTCTTTATCCAGAAAGAAGAGAGCTCTTGGGAATGAGATGGTTAGAAGACAGCTGCCAGCCCACTTTTTGAGTGTCGCTTGCTGAACCGAGGCTTCCTACTCTTGACACTCTCGTTGTCGCCAGGATCTTTGCGCAATGTGTTCCGCACAGAGTGTATCGATTGCTGCTCACCTCCACCGTCACCACCACTTGCACTGGTGGGGCTAGACATGGTCGATGCCAGATCGCCGTACTGAGATTCCCCCGAGTACGAGTTTGCGATGGATTGTGATAGTGCTGTGTCCTTTGCTTGATTGATCGCCTCCATCCACTCTTTGGTCGAATACTTGGACCCCTCTGGATCTGAAGTGGTCGCCCGAGGATCTTCGAAAGAGAAGTGTTTATCACGCTTGGATGTTGTCAGCTTTGGCACTCATAATCTACAGTTGAGCAACTTACAGTGTCGATACAGAAGGCAGTCAAGCCTTTGGCGTCTTGGAAGGTCTTCCAAGACGTTCCATTGGCAAGCAAGTTGAGGTCCAGCTTTGCTTTCTTCTCATTACCTCCAGCAGCTGCGATTATGACTCGTGCACTAGAAGTGATCATAACAAGTCGTTGGCGCTTTTTGGTCGTAGCTCCACCAAAGAATCGCGAGAACTTCCTCGAAGCTTCCTCCCCACCGTTTGCAGTAGGACTATGCGGAGATGGACAAGATATGACGTTGAGATTTCCCAACTTTATGATACGTTCGTTGTTCCGTGTAAGCACAGGTGACCAGTCGATATCAAGCTGGCTGGGAGGTGCTAGCTCGGTGATGGCTCGTAGCTGTGGACGAGGCACCTGCTGCGGAGGCTGGGTTGTTGGAGGCGAAGCTGGATGAGAACTGGGGACTGTAGGTATGCCCGGGATGGTTGGCGCAGGGGCTGAAGCCATGGGATCTCCGCCATTGAGTCGGATAGGTTGGGACTGAGACGGGCCAGGCATATAACTTCGGAGACGTGGTGCCTTTTGCTTCCATAACCCTTTACCCCACTGGATGCCATCGAAGAACGGATGTGCTTTGATGTGATCGATGGGCAAACGCTTGGATGGATCGAGGACCAGCAGTCTCTCTACCAGGTCTCTTGCTACTGCAGGGAAGCCGTCGGGGAAATGGTAATCCAAAGCAACGATCTTCTGGAAGGTCTGGTATTCGTTTCCGGCCTTGAATGGCGGGCGACCGGCGAGCAGTTGGTAGAGAATGCAGCCAAAGGCCCAAAGGTCACTCGCTTTGCAGGCGTTCTTATCAGTCAAGAGTTCTGGACTGACGTACTCAGCAGTGCCAACAAACGAGACAGCTCTCTCCTGTTCGACGCCATCCATTGGATCACCGGCACCCGGGCCATCGTTGCCAGTACCGCCACCATCTTGGGGCCTCGATCTGATATCCAGGATTTTGGCAGTTCCGAAGTCGGTAATCTTGGTGTGCATCTGTTCGTCGAGCAAGACATTTTCCGGCTTGAGATCTCGATGGATAATACCCTTCGAGTGCATGTAGGCTATCGAGTCAAGGATTTGAGCGCCGTAGAAGCGTGTGCACTCTTCGTCGAAGGTGCCCATTTTCTTGAGGTGGCCGAGTAGTTCACCACCGTTGGCGAGATCGAGAACAAAGTATAGTGAGCGCTCGTCTTGGAAGGTGTAGTACAAGCGGACAATGCCGGGGTGCTCGGTCAGGCGATTCAGCGCATCCTTTTCGATGTTGACATATTTGACCTTCTTCTCCTTGATGATATGGCGCTTGTCCAGGACTTTAACAGCATACTCACGGTGTATCTGGCGATCGGTAGCCGCAAGTACTGTGCTGTATGAGCCTTCTCCAAGAGTACGACCGAAATGGAAGTCGTTGACTCCCTTCTTCACGATTTTGGAGACAGGCCTTCCGTTCTGATCAACCTCTTGTCTGGTGGCGACTGCAGCTCCACGCTCTTTCCATTCTTCGCTGCTAGGAAGCGGACCACCTTCCATACTATATACAGAGCCGGCAGGGCCAGGACCATAGCCGGAGGTAACACGCTTAGAGCTTCTCCGGGGTGGCATGACATTTTGACCGTCTGGACCACGATAACTTCGACTGGCAGAGCGAGCAGGAGGGTGTGCTCCCATGGCAGCAGCGGCGGCTCTTGAAGCACTCCTGGCGAGACCAGACTGAGTAGAAACATCATCACGATATCTGTACGAGGAAGCCTGCGAGATGGCAGAAGTGCTGGAGGCGTTCTGATGTGTATACATGTTGGACATGCGGGGGTTTTGAGGGTATTGGGGAAGTTGAGCCTCGTAGGAGCCGGCACGCTGGCGATAGAGCTGTTCGGAGTCACCCGAGGCGGCACGGTATGTTCTGGTGGAGTTATAGGGGTCGGTCGAGGCTAGATGGCTAGGAGCATAGTCTGAATGTGAAGGAGCGTTCGAGTGAAACGAGGCAGCATATTGGGAGTGAGAGTCGTGTTCGTTCGGGTAGATGGACGAGAGTTGTGACAAGCCACGCGAGTGGTTAAGGGCGGTGATAGTGCTGCCTGACGACTGGGACGAGATGGTGGGGCGGTCGTCAGGAGTCGAAGGGGTGGAGCGTGGTAGTTGGCTGGGACTCGCCGTGGTGGCTGAGGATGAGTGGGCAGAGGTAGCGGTGGGCGGCGGTGTATGCAGCTGTGTCTGGGAGGTATGTGTTTCTGGCTGGGCGACGGTGATCGGAGTGTCTTGGTCGTCGTCGTCGTCGGGATTGGCTATGCGCAGACCGCCCAGCGAGCGCGACAGGCTCAAGTCGCCGTTCATGCTTTGTCTGAATGATGCCTCGTCGGAGACGAGAGACGGGGCCAAGCCAAGGCCAGACACGACCAGGCGCGAGTCTGAGTCTGAGTCTGGCGGAGAGATATGCGGTGTATCCGAGGAGATGGTCGTCTTTGGCGGAGTGTGCTACTCTGGGCACGAGGGACGGCACAGTCTGCTTGACAGGAGGCTTCGTCTTTGCATACACGCAGGAACAGGGCCGACAGGAAACAGGACTGGAGCCAAAGTTAACTTCCAAGTCGACAACTTGAGATCCTCTCGAGCGCCGTATGAGGGGTGCACGGGCCCGAGAGAGGCCAGCCACACATGTCAGGCCTGTTGTTCCTCGCTCCAACATGCACAACAACGACCTCGTCAATTCGTGTCAAGACGACTCTATTCCTGCCGCAGCAACGACTCTCGAGCTGTTGCTCGTACATCATGTTTGATGTCGTGTCCTCCTTGCATGTCTGTCCTGCCTTTTCCCGCGCCGCCGTGAGAAGGTACGCGTCCATACATGGAAAGATCCAACACGGCTTTACATGACATACGTCTGCTCCGCCTCGTCTTTGGGATGTCTTGCTCTTTTCTTAGATCAGAGGATGCCGCCATGTGCTTGTTGTACAGAAACCAGATCATCCCCTCTTTTCGGCCATGCGATGATGGTCGCACCTTCCTCAACTCGTCTGCTCTCATGTCTCTACCGCGCAGAATCTCAGGCGTTTCAACACCGCCCAAGACATTGACACTTGCCAGTCTCAACGCTGCTTGTTACAAAATCATCCATCCATGTCTGCCCGCATACCTTTGTAGAAATCATCATGCTCCGCTATCGTCAATCAAGAGTTCCTCTTGCTATGGCTGATGTCAATCAAATCCAACAGCATCCGAGGCCCAAAGAGACTTCCTGTCCTCCTGTTACACAGACTGACTGCGCTTATGACCATCGAGCAAAGAACCAACATCAGAACAATCGACGCCGTCCGCCACAACCTGGCTTCCAGCTCCGTCAAGGACCTGGAAGATCCAGAGATGGCAGCATTGTTCGGCTGGATCCGAATCGTCATGTTGCGCACTTCGCCGTACACGAGCCAGCTGATCCTTTTGAAGGTACCGACACATCGGAGGATGCTCTTGCGAGCTCTGGGTCCATCGCTCGGCTTGTCCACATAGCAGAGGTCAGTCCTACCATCACACAAGTTCCTGGTTACGATCCGCCTCCTCTTCTGCACGTCTCTCCTGAGAGGCCGCCCAGACCGGACGGACATCCACCTGTGGCAATTGATCATTTCTATCAACGACCTGCGGCTTCTACGGCTCTACCCAGGCAGCATCATGACGAGTCTTCCAACGAAAGTGACAGCAACCCTCGTTCTGGCGACCCGTACCCGCCACATCGCCATATTGCTACGCACATCGATCAAGCACGCAATGACACAGCCATCACGACTCCTTCTCAACGAGGTCAGAACCCAACCGCCGTCTCGTTCGCGCCTCGCGTACATTATGGCGGTGCCCTCCGGGAAGGTTCTCACCATCGATCCAACATCGCCTCTGTCTATCTTCGGGAGGGGCATTTCAGGATTAGACCATCCTCACCACGTAACTCTGACACTGGCCGTGCTGAGATAAATCATCAGACAAGATCCAGGCCCATGCCGCGACCCAGGGGCATTTCAATGCGTGGACGACCATCAGTCAGGGGCACTCGCCGACCTGGCGGACACATCAGAACACCAGATTTGGCCTCGGCTGATATTGTGAGGGACCGCTACCCCATCTTCCCAGCTCAATCTGATGAATCGAGACGACAAAACCCCTTCCCGCCGCGATCTGGCAGTATACCTCAAAGAAGAGGTATCCGCTCTCCTCCTTCGGAACTCAGGACCAGTCAATTCCTCTATTCTCAGCCGAGGTTTTCGTCAACCGCGCGATCGAAGCCTTCTGTGCGTCCCAGAGCCTCGAGTAACAGTCTTTCAACTCAGACTCTGTTGGGCGCTTTGGAACAGCCATTGGTGCATGGCCTCATCGATATCGAAGAACCCGACGACTGTCTAGCTCCCTTTCACGGCAGTGTTCGGTCTTCGCGCGTTGAGAGTGGGCTCACGTCTGTGTCAAGATCCGAACATGGTGGACATGTTGGAGAACATGATGGAATGCCTTTTGCACATCAATCCCCTTTAGATCAACTGACTCAAAAGTTTCGGCGCTTATCCACAGACATGTCGGCAACATCGCAATCATCATTCGGGCGTACGTCTCGTGTCACATCTACAGACGGCAGGCTCTTGAGTGGAAATTTGTTCTACTCAAGTTCTGATGATGAAAGTGAAGACAAAGACTTCAGGTTTTGGGACCGCCCTGATCGCCGTGGTTCATCGCACATTGACGGTTACTACGGCACTGATGGACAGAACAACGAGCCTTCTCGTCAGCCTCGGCGCCATATCGGCATAGCAGCGCGAATTGCAGACGTAGAGGCTGATTGTCAGAGTGGAACGATCAGACCACCTTCCTTGTCCGCATCCACACAGTCTAGTAGCTCAATTCATGGCATCAACTCGTCCATGTTGAGCAGCTCTCCTCCTGGAGAACTACCTAATCACTATCCTGCCACACCTGGTCGGCAGTTGACAAGCTGCGCAAGGACGTCTTTCGTGGCCCAATCTGCTGTCCGATCTCAAGCTACCCCAAGGGTGAGGGTTTATAACGAAAGAAATGCCCCTGGTATGCAGCCACAGACACCAGCAGACGTTGATCGCAAGTCGAGGATGCCTGTATATCCGGAGTCTCTGGTCCCTGACTCCCGTCAATTGATGCGGCCACATGCTGGAGCTCCTCCGGAGGAGCAGTCGCCTCTGATCCCAGCTCGCAATCCACACAGAAATACATACCCTTCTTTACAGCACGCTCACGCTCAGTCGCACGCAACGACCTCGCAACCATCGAGTCCCTACTCACCCAATCTCGACCTCAGGACTGCCGCTGCTGTCAGTGCGGTAGAAAGAAGACGAACAGCCCGAGGATTCCCGAACGAAAACGTGGTTGACCCGAGCACAAACGGCATGGAAACTGAAAGGGATACATTGATGAGACGTAGAGAGCAAAGTGGTGTCGATATCATCGACTATACGCCTCCTCGCGAAGGTAGGTACGAACAGTACTTGTCGTGATGGCCCATGGAGAGCAGGGTGAGGGGCTCAACGACATTAGTTTTGGTCACGATCATTAAGGTTGATGAATTATGGACAAGAGGTTACTACTAGAGGTGTCAGTATCGTGTCCTTTGCTGGTCCTTCAGTCAGAGCATTGCTGTGTAAAATAGACACGGCCATTCATCTGTTTGCATGCTTTACGACCGCGAATGCTACTGCCTGAAACTCCATCGCGCGATTGAACGATACATACTCTACAGTACACATGCTTTACTCCGATTATACAGGTGTTAACCTACCGGAACCATCCATCCTGAGACACAGATGCTCCCTCTAAATGCTTGTATACTGTACACTGCGACCTAGAAGCCGTGACTACCATCTGGCAAAATTGATTGCGTGAAAATAAAACAATTATTTCCTGGCGAGCACGGCCGAAAGTCGGCGATCTTCAGCAGCAATCTTCCAAGCTGTCAGCATCATCGTGTCCCCTTATCGCGCGGTATCTTCGTCATCTTGCATGAAAACGTGCGGCTGGAAACAAGAACCAAACAGTTAACCGTGCCCCGCACGTTCTCATGCTAGTTTGAGGATGGGGAGGTGAAGGCATAGTTGTGCAGTGGGAAGAGATGAGTACAACTTGAGCTAAAGGTCCGCTCGTCCAACAGTCTCACCAGGAGTCGACATGATCAAGGATACCTCGTAAAACATTCCCCTGATGGTCGTCTAATAGTAGTGATCTGCAAAAGAGGCGTTCGTGCGTCGTCAAGCTTTCTCGAAAGAATTCCACCGATCTTCGAATTCGCGTTTCAGATTCGTTGGAGGGACGGAGCCGCCAGCCGCACAGTTGAGGACGCGCAAGACTGCGACACAACCTGTGACATCTCTCCTGCATCCCGCCTCCTCCTCCGACCTTGCCGCATCAATTATCGCATCGTCACTCGTTTCTGCAATTCGACTGTTATCTGCTCCTGTACGCTGAATCGATCTCGATCATTGTCTGCCCTTTCCTTGGATTATTGTCTGGAACAATTTTTGAGTGAGAAGTTTCGCTGGACAACGAAAAATCATGGGGCAAGCCACGCGAGCTGCAGGAAGACGCAATGGAGTCGCGGCCTACAAACAAGCCCTCATGAATCTGGCCCAGGCCCCGCGCTGGAGAGGACTCATCATCGGCACCGTTTCGTTCTTACTTGTGCTGTGGATATGGCAAGCGAATTCAGATCCCAACGCGCCTGGGTCGAAGCTCTACAGCAAAATCTCAGGCCGACCACAGCACCAAGACTTTATGTGGAAGCCTCCATCCGTGCTCGAGCCATCTGAGTTTACTTTGGACCTGGAAGCAGGCAAGAGTTCTACAGCACCAAGTGGGCTCAAGAAAGGGAACCCCCAGTTTCACCTTCTAATTCATGCGCCAAAGATTACCACAAATGTTTGCAGGAGTTTGCTGTCTAGCTTTCTTCTGGACTACCCAACTCCAACATTGATAGGATACAGACCATCACCACCAAATGAGACTCATGAGGGAGACTTTTGGCAGGACTACGGCCTCGCAGATACAGCCAAATACCTCACCCAACAAGGCCGGATCTCCGACGATGACTTTATCGCTGTTGTTGATGGAGAAAGCACAATCTTCCAACTGCCTTCGGAGGCCCTTTTGACAGAGTACAATGCACAGGTCAAGAAGGCCAATGCTGAGCTGGACAGCAAATATCATGACATCCCCGTGAAGACATCGAACAAGCAAAAACTTCAGCGCTTCAACCAATCAGTATTTTTTGCAGCGGAATACGAAATGGTATCTCAATCCCGCAGCTTCCTCAGCAGATTCAGACTGCCCGAGAAGAAGCAAGCAACTCACCTGAACAACAATCTCGCGATCGGATCCGGTTCTGGTCTCCGTCATCTCTTTACGACAGCAGCAGAACAAAACACTCGTATCGAGCGTACGGATCGTGAAACCTTCAACACCATTTTCGCACAACAAGCACTTCTACGTGCGTCCATGGCCAAAGAGCAGCGCGAGTTCAAAGCATGGTTATCACGTAACGTGCTGCCGTCCAACAACAAACTCAAGATCAAGTTAGCCGAGGACCTTGTAGAAGCCAGGCAGGATCTTGGCATGGGTCTGGACTACAGGGCAACCATGTTCCAAACGATCCCCGCGGCAGCTCAGCACGTCGCCGACACAGTCGTCGCACTGATCGACTACCCTACTTTCCCCATCCCCGAGATCTTTCAGAAACTGCGCAGTCCATTCACCCTGCACTCCTCTACACCACACCTCAACTCCACTAGCGCAGTTCTCGTTCAGAAACACAACAACACACTTCCCTACACTTCTCACTGGGCCGATATCCCTCTATTCACCAATCCCAAGACGCAACAAGTCCCATCGTTGATCTCTATGCTACCACCCAAAGAAGAGTCATCCTCTTCTTCAGGTCTCCTGACAGCTCCGGACACAAACATGCGCGAACTCTGGGAGTCAATGTGGTTTTACCCTTATGCCCGCACACTTTTGAAGCAGTACCTCCACAAATCCACCAGCAAGGAGGTTGCCTCTGAAGCAGCGGTAGGCGGAGAACGCTGGTACGATGCCCGTGGTGGCCGCGGTGGTGTCTGGACAGTTGGCAACGAATGGCTTGAAGCCGGAGAACTGTGCGCACCTTTCGGCAAAGAGATCTTCGAAGATGGGTTGAGGGGCTGGATGGAACCTGTTCCTGACGGTGTGGAACTGTCGAGCGTAGAGAAGACTCCTGATGGCAAGGGTATCGTTATCGGGGAGCAAGTGAGGAACGGCCAGATTCACAAGATCGTGGCTGTTGCGGCTGGACAGTAGAGAGAGAGGGTGAAGGAGTCAAGCGAAGCATTACTATTTCTTTTCCTGGTTTAGCGATAGAGGAGCGGCATTTGGCGTCGTGTGGGGGTTGTTTCAGTTTTCTGTTCACTCTTTTTGTGGATAGTGGAGTTTTCTTTCTGTTGCTAATGTACATAGCGATGCATCATCTTAGACTGGCTTGCCCAGAGCAACACATAAGTTAATGGTCTTATTCTGTTTGTTCTGATGAACCGATCATATTGCAGGATCTCTACTCACCATATGCCATCGTTGTCACCGATGCAGCTGTCAAGTTGCACAAAAATCCTTGACAAGAACCCCACATGAACGCTCGCCTTGGACGATAGGCTCCTACCAAATAGTATCGTGAAGTTTCCTGCGTGAATCAACGGCACCACTGCAGTTGGAACTTGGAAGAAGGCAATGCCAAGCCCCAGCGTGACTCGTGACAGCCAAAATAGAATCCGGAAGTCGGCAAGAAGCCGTGGAGCCTGCGCCACGATTGGTGGCTTTGTGATCGCTCGTGGTCGCGGTTGCCTGAACTGACGTGCCAGCGGCCGAACGTCTTTATTCCCTTTGCCATCTTCATTGTTTCGATCATCACAATCTTACCTTGTGATTTTCGACATCTTCTAAACCATCTTGCATCAAGAACTGAACAAACGCATCACCGAGAACCTACTAAATACCGCCATCATGCACGGAGAAGTGCTGCACCACCTCGTGCGCCGTGGCTACGAAGCCATGAGCGACAGCGAGTCTCGCCAAACAATCGTAGCTGAAGTCAGCGCTGTCGAGATGCTTCCTATCATCCTCACTGGTGCTCTTTTCGCCTTCATCTTGGCTTCGGTATGTCGGCCCAGGTCGAGATGTTGCATAGCATGTTACTAACACGATAACAGGTCAGATACACCCTTGGAGGTGTCGTGGCCAGCCTGGCCATGATCGAAGAACGCCAGACCACTGTCGTCGAGACACGTACCCTCGCTATCGATGAAAAGGAGGATCCCGATGCTCCTTTGGACAAGGCTCGCTTGATCGATGAGGAGGTTATGGTCATCAACCAGACTCCCCTGACATCTAGCATCCGCAAGACTGTCCAACACCTGACTTCAATCGGTGGTTTCAGAGCCCGCTGGAGAGGTCTCGGCTGTGCTCTCATCTACAACCTCGTCCACTCTTTGACCGTCAGCTTCATCTCCATGGCCATTGCTGCCTTCACCGGCCTTCCCGTTGTAGGACGCGTCTTCGCCAACATCGCTGCCAACGTCCTCTGCGCTCGCATCCACATGGTCTGGACCCACACCGTCGTGTCTGAGCCGTCATCCATGACCTGGTCCCAGCGCCTCTCCCAAACTGACAGGAAGACCTGGCGCGTTCTTGCCCTCCCTGCCTTCGTTCACTCGATCGCCGAGCTCGCCACCTACGGTCTGCCTGTTGCCATGTTCCTCTTCGTCGGACCCGAGATCACTGGTGACATGGACAACGAGCACTTGCTCGCCAGAGGCGCCATGTCTCTTCTTGCCTTCATCATGCTGAACGTCTTGATCTTGCTCCCCGCCACCGTGACCCGTACTCGTGTCGAGGCCAGCTTCTTGCCCGAGGAGGACAAGACTATTGTTCCCTTCGACCGTACCTTCAACGGTGCCATCAACATGCTTTCCCTCGACACTCGTGCTGGCCGCAAGAGCCTGTTCATCGAGGCTTGGCGCTCGTTCGATATGGCCAGCAGAATCCGTCTGGTCAAGTTCTTCGTCAAGGAAGCCGCCATTGAGCTCTTCTTCTCTGTTACTGCCACTATCGCCATCGGCGCCCAGGTTGTTGCTTTGGGTATGTCCAAGGACAACGTCGTTGTTGCCATGGATGGCATGTAAAGGGTTGGAAACATCTCCCTCCCATGGTCCCTCGTCCCTCAAATTGTAAATGGAGTTTGGGGTGTTCATATCTTCTCAATCAATCTTTCCTTTGATGACCTATGGTCTACTACTCCCACTGTGTCTACGTCTTTGTGTCCCTCGTTGTAATGCATAATTGCTAGCTGATCTTTGCTGCCGCACTCGAAGGCTGCTTTTTCTGGCCGACCAAGATGATCTGCCGTTTATCACGGTTCACGACCTATCAAGGTATAGCCTTTCAACAGAGGACGACTCATACGACCACGCACGCCGCCAGCAGAGGCCAATCTCGATCGTTATCCTTCTTTCCACCTACTTCTCAACAACAACAATAACAAAAAAGATGCCACCATCAACCAAGCATCTCCTGGAGAAATTCCTCTCCCTCTTCTCCTGCTCTCGCCTCGGTGATGACGAAGACGACGACAACGAGGCCACCTCGCGTCCTCTCGTGATTGTAAGATCTTCGTATCCGAACGCACCCGAAGGGACGATTCACTGACGGTACGCAACGATAGGGAGGTCCCGTGGACTTTCGTCACCATGAGACGGAGGGTGGAGGGCCTCTGCGCGCGCCTATCTCTGGTGCCCCTGAGCCTTTTGTGCGTTAGGTTTGTATCGCTATATCGAGCTGGAGGGACCTCGGTGATGAGTGTTTGATGCTGTTCTTGGAGAGCGTGAATCAAGTTGAGATATGTGTGTGCCTGGCTTCATGCAGAGAGGGAGCCTCTCGACGACTCCCAAGCACACGCCACCCAGCCCAAACATCCTTGTGAAAATGCAAGATGGTTTCCGATCCACTTAGAGGGACCAAAGAGAGCGAGTATCAAGTACGACTCTCAATGGACATCACACCCACATCACAAAAGCACTCTGCATTTCAACAAGCACATTCAGACATAACATCATTCATTTGGAACTCTCCTTCCTATCCCAACCTGCATTGACCCCCCCTCTACCACTCATCTTCACTGAGCAACCTTCTCTTCATAAAGAATCTCCGTCTTGCTGTCAACAGCAGCACCCGCATAAGCATCAATCTTGTAACTGGCAAACTTCCTCGCCGAAACACCCTTAGTAAACAGCAAATCCATCTCCTCGTAACTGCGGTCTTTGGCTTCGGGGAGACGGAAGTATGCCCATACGAAAGTGAGGAAAGAGGTGGCGAACCAGAAGAATGCTGTTTTGCCTTTGAGGTTCCATTCGGTGGGGTTCATGAAGTAGGATTCGAGCTTCGAGGAAGATTAGTAAGAGGTGAGGGCTTTGATGGGACGTGGAAACTTACGGTGGAGCAGACGATGTTCATCAGGGCGTAGGCGTTACGGGCTAGACAGACTGTCTTTGCGCGAACACGGATGGCAGAGGTTTCACTGACGATGGTATAGGCGACAGGGCCGACAGTCAAGGAATAAGTGAGGAGCCAGACAACGGTCAAGGCACCAGCAACCCATTTTGCGCCGTCAGATGTGCTTGCCACGGAGACAATACCGATGATGAGAAGCAGGATGCAAAGGACACCCATGCCGGTCGTGTAGATCTTTCTTCTGCCGACTCTCGCAAGGATGAGCCAGGATGCGATGGTGCCGCAGAAGGCGACGGCGGTGCCTCCGAGACCGATGCTGTAGGATACTGTGTCTTTAATTCCTGCTTGCTGGAAGAAGTAGGTAGGTGTGTAGGCGAAGCAGGATCCGGAGAAGAGTTGGCCCATGAAAGTCATGCAGCAGATCTCGGTACGTCGACGATCAGTGCCTTTGAAGCATTGGATGTAGGATGTTTGTGATGCCTCGTTGTCAAGTTGGTTCTCAATCTCGGTGGTATGGACCATCATCGCAAGTGTTCCCTTGATCTCGTCTTGGCTGGTGTTGGACGAGATACGCTTGAGAATGTGCTCGGCTTCCTCCAGTCTGCCATTTCTGACCATGTACCAAGGCGATTCGGGGGCGAAGAAACATGCGACCATAAGAGGGACGGGCCAAGCCCATTGAACGGCGAAAGGGATACGGTATGACCATTGATCAGTTCTGGCAACAAGACCTTTGAGTACTCCGGCTGCGATGAATTGTCCGATAGCCCCTGGAATATGTCAGAAAAGCAGATCAGAAAGAGAATGGATCACGTACAGCAAAGGTTGACATAGGAAGTCAAGTAGCCTCTGAGCTGGAGCGGAACGATTTCAGAAGCATAAGCTGGGCCGATAGTCGCAAAAACACCCCATGAGAAACCGCAGAGAATCTGACCGACGACCAGAACAGGCTTGTTGGGTGCGAAGAAAGTGATGAAGATGAAGGCATTGAGGAAGAACAGAGCGACAATGATGACCTTGCGGTAACCATACTTGGCAGCCAGCCATCCGTTCAAGAAGATACCAGGAACGATACCGACGTTACTCGCGTTGCTATTTGAATGTAAGCATTGTTGGCCACTCAAGTTCATAAGCATTTCTTACTTGAGAGCCGTTTGCCAAGCGCCAGTAAGTTGATAGTCATTGGTAGCTGCATTGAAGGCGCCGAACCTCTTGGCGAATGATGGGTAGGCGAAGAAACTTGACATGAGGATTGTATCGTAGCCTTCCATAACAACAGTCATAGACATGACCATCGACCACAGAATGGCTTTCTTGTTCTTCTTGATAACTTCGATGAGGGGCGTATTGTGCTCAGCGTCTGAGGCATGCTTAGCATCGACAATAGCATGAGCGCCGAACACCTCTTCGACCTGATGAGCTCCATGCTTGAGTGACTCGTCCGCAGTGTGAGATGCCATCTTGAAGTAGACCCTTGTTGATACTCAGGTGCAAGACAGATGTGTACAAGGCTGAGAGAGTGTTCTGCAGGAGCACCAGGGCACTGGCATGCATTTATCTTCATGGTACATCGGAAAGTACAGGTGCAATACATGCTACCACGGACCTTAATCCCATATTGAATTGACTGGTATGTCAAAACGGGCGACGCATGACAGGGTAGAGGATTACTAGCGTGCGTCCGAGTAGGAGTCAGTAGATTATCCGGTACGATCAGAGCAATGATTTGCTCAAAGGATGGTACATATGGAGGATCAACAAATAGGTAGTCAATTCCACCAATCATACCGAGCCACCCCAGAGGCGCAACCCCGCGTTCGTGGGATGGCGTGGTGGGGGATTCGGAGTCGGAACGGTCTTTCTTGCCCTACTCACTGCATGTTGCAGCACTCGCTTATGCATGTAGAGTTTGCTGTGAGCCTGGAATCGGTCAGATCGGCCAAGCCATTGGTGGTAAAACCATCTCTCGTGTCTTCTCACGTGGTTGGTCTGGCAGCTACTGCTGTACCTCAATGATTAGCCAGACATAGCCGCGAGATCTGGAAAATCTGTGCTTTGATCTGAGTAGACCAACAAGACGTGTATAATCCGTTTGTGCATCGCAACTAATGTATCGTGGTTTCGAGGACCAGTCGAGATCATTCGGCAGGTGCTCAAGCATGCGAACGGGGAGTTCGTAGATGCAGCAGATGGGTTATCGTTATCCCGAAGTTCGACATAAGCGTACTGTGGAAATGCAAGATCGAATTGCGATGTCTTTAGCCCCATCAGAGACAACTATGCATACGGAGACTCTCAATAGATAGCGAGCATCACCACAAAATCGTCTTACATCTTGACAAGATCGACCTTTTGACCTGTGTTCATGAGAGAGTCGGCAGCAGAACAATGACTTGCCGAAAGCACCCGATGCAACTTTTAGGCCTGGGCTGCAGTATGCTCTGCTTTTCGAATACCCGATTAGCATGCACATTAGCTATCGGAATGCCGCATAATTTTGACGACCAAGTGGCTGTCCAGAGAGAGCTGCCTTGACATACGATCGTCTTCTCGAGAGACTGAAGGCGATGACTCGACATATTAGACATTGTCACTAAGGAGCTTTCGACCGGGCTCTTGTGTTGTGTTGTTAGACGAGATCCTGCTTGAATCTGCGGTAAGCCACATCTCCAGAACACTTGTGAGGCGTAATGAACTGCCAAGATACAGAGTGTTTTTGCAACATAACATCCGCCTGATGAGCACTATCTCAACGTGATACTCTCGATGAAAACCAGGCAGATCTGTAACACCACTGAGTTTCCGATAAGCAAACATCTGCCTATTGGCCCTTCGCAGTAATGTCAGTGAGTCAAGACCTACCACTAGACTTTTCAAGCTATAGGTCTCGTCTTTTAGGTGCGTGCGGGACAGGATGAGCTGCCATAGTGCACACATCTTTGAGTAGAAGAAGTCTGCGAACGGAGAGCTCTAGTCCTGAGATGGATGGCTCGCAGCACTGCAATCTCACTGTGCTTTTTGTGCCTTTCGATGGAGACTTTGAGGGGATGAATTGCTGGTCAACTGGTCATGCCTTGTGATATCAGAAACTCCCTGTAGCATCGTTAGATTATCCAAAGCTTCCTCTACCCTCTCAAAACTTCCCTGCCTCGATACATCCAGAGGATTTCATAGGACTTCTCAGGGGTAGGAAGCGGTGGGCGGGAGACTCTGCCTTGCGGCAAGATACGGGCATCGTTGGATCTGGGAAAGCCATCTGGAGTGAAAGTGAGCCTCGTCATTTGGAATTGGTGAACTTGTCAAGGCTCGTCAAACCCTTTTTCTGGCGTTTCAACGCGTCCACCGATCTTTGTTTTCTGAGTTCTCGGCGTCGGCGTCGGCGTCACCAACACATCGACACCCAACTCATCATTAAATTACCCTCCGACGACACCATAAATCATGGAGATCCACAAGAAGATGCTAGCCAAGAAGCTCAAGGCGCTCTACAAGATCGTAGAACACAAGAATCCCCGCCTGCACCTGTCTCTTACCATCCGCTACTTTGACGATCTCAAGCTTGCCGACACCGCAATTGTCGAACTCAAGGTCCCTGAAGACGTCGGCCGCTTCATCAAGGCTGGCGAGCACATGACTGAGGCCGAGAGACAACTTGCCGGCATTGACCGCCTCCTTTTGACCAACGAGCACCTCGCACAACCGTGCGCATACAACCCTGTCCGAACTGTCGAAGGTCTGCGCATGCTATTTGACTCGGGTTACATTCGCAAGCCTGACAGCCCTCGTTGCGGCATGTGGGACGAATGCATGTTCAGAGAGCTCGAGGTCCAGGGGTTTGTCATCCGCCTGACAGTCGCCGACTTCCACTCGGTGGCCAACGAAGTCTGGGGTCCTGCCAACGCCGAACTCAGCAAGACCGTGAGTGATGTTCCTGTTTGTACGCACATTGAACTCGTCTAAACGTCGACAGGTCCACTTCGAATCCTGAAAGCTCCCAACCAGATACGAGATGGATCAAACATACACCGGAGGTTCGTTGCTTACCCTTTCGCGGAATTACGACGGCCGTACTAATAGCAAACATCGACAGCGTTCGGTCCGCGACACATATTGACAAGGCCATCCGAGAGCAAACTTCGACAAATCAGCTGCTGGCAGCGTACGATCGAGAGTAGGAAGGGTCGTTTTCCAGGCTCGCAAGCATGATACATCATAGCGTTAGCTGAAGCAAACATAAGACGGTCGACAAGGCTGCGTCGTCGCCGCCGTCGTTATCTCACTTTTGCTTGTGGTACACTTCTCTTCTCTTCTCTTCGTGACTTCACTCCTTCCTGCGAAAGCACGACAGTCGTGCCGTGCCATCCCCGGGGACTACGTTCGGTTTATTGCCATGGTTGAATACACGGATATGAATCCTCAGGGTGGCTGAAAGGAACCGGGCCTCGACGCCAGTTGTAGGTGGTGATATCCAACATCCCTGGCCCTGGCTCTTCATATACGAGGCGAGTCTCAGCCACCAGCAGTCGTGCCGTAACCTGGTGACCAGACGCGGTCGGCTAATAACGGTATTGAACGAGATGTAGGTCGATCCCTTCGGTTTGTCGGCTGATGAAGACGTCTCCCTCCAGGAAACTTGGCAAGGGTGCAGCAAGCTTTCCCCGCGCGTTTCTTCGTCTCTGTGGGGCCCCATTCCACGCCGAGCTCTTTCTCATCTTAATCTCCTGATCTTCGACATCAACAGATGGCCATCACGATGCCGCTGTGTGTGGGCGGCCGCGACACCTGTCCCGTAATGACGGACAGGCATCAGGAATGCGACCACTCTCCACCCTGGGCCCGCCACCCAAGCCTCGCAATCACACTTGTTGCAGGAAGAGGAAGCAAGCGCCATGCACCTGCCACCTAGGATCCCCGCAACGTCATCAAATACCATGTGCTCCTGCCGGACCTGACGATCACTTCTCCCAATCAATTTTCCCAGAGCGGGGTCCGGCAGAGCTTCACTTGTAATATTTATGCTTAGCCTGCCTGCAGGTCGGTGTTGTTGTTCATCTTGCTCATCACCCTCTCTCACAATCACTTGTTGAACCGGATCGACAACCGAACAGGTCCAGCATGTTTTCAGCCAAGATTGCTGCTCTGGCAGCCCTTCTCCCTGCAACAGCATTCGCTGCTAGCATAGTAGGCAATGGCTCTTCAGTCCTGTCCAACGGCAAATACGAGATCTCATCTGAGGGAATCCGCGCCCAGTTCATCCCTTATGGCGCATCCATCACCAATCTCTTCATCAGAGACGTTCACGGCATTGAGCGTGACATCGTTCTTGGTTGGGACAATGCTACCTACTACACCGAGGACAAGAAGCACCCCCATCTCGGGTGAGTTTGCTTTGTGTACATCTCGTCCATGAGCTAACCCATCTCCAGCGGTGTTCCCGGACGCTACGCCAACCGCATCAAGAACTCGACCTTTGAGATTGACGGCAACGTCTACCACACTGATGCAAACGAGAACGGAGGCCTTGACACCCTGCACGGTGGATCCAACGGCTGGTTCGTGATATCATGCGCGATTCTCATGCACAAACATTGACATCTTTTTAGGGACTGGCGCAACTGGACTGTGTCTGCCCACACCACCGATTCTATCACTTTCTCCATTGTCGACCCCGATGGCGCAGAAGGCTTCCCCGGCGAGGTCATCAGCTACGTGACATACACCCTTACTCCTTAGTATGTGGATACGAACTAGGTCCAAACTCTGTGCTAACAGATTGCAGTGAATGGCACTTCAAAATGATCGCAATTGCAACTACCAAGAAGACCCCCATTATGCTGAGCTCTCACGTATGACAATCAGCCTCTGAGGACACAGAACGTATGCTGACAAGATTTAGGTCTACTGGAACCTCGACGGCTTCCAAAATCCCACTGATCCTACTGTCAACAACTACACCGTTCACTTGCCTTACTCTGGCCAGCGCGTCGCTGTCGATGGTATCCTCATTCCCAACGGAACCATCTTGCCTAACGAGAAGGGTGGTGTGTTCGACTTCTGGTCATCACCCAAGAAGCTTGGTGCCAATCTGACTTCCCCTGATCTTGTTGGTGGCTGCGGTACCAACTGCACTGGCTACGACACATGCTGGCTCGTCAACAGAGATCAAAACGGACCCTACGACTGGCGTGAGTCGGGACCTGTTGCCACTGTGGCCAGTCCTTTCTCTGGTATCCAAATCGATATCTTCACCGACCAGCAGGCTTTCCAGATCTACACCTGCCCTGGACAAGACTGTGAGTTACACTCGATCCTTGCAAAAAAGAATCTTCTGACGTGTCCAAACAGCTACACAAAGCATCAAAGAGACTCAGGGCTTCTTCAACCAGACTAGCCAGCCTAGAGTTGTGCAGAAGTATGGTTGCATGGTTATGGAGGTCGAGGACTGGATTGATGCCATCAACCAGCCGGAATGGCAAAGAGAGAAGAAAAACATCTTCGGCCCTGGAGATGACCCATACGTTCTCCAGGCTACTTACAAGTTCTCTTTGAACAAAGACCTGGCCGCTACTTACAGCAACACATCGAGCTACTAAATGGCGAAGAAGAGTGGAATGCTGATATAATGACTGAAGAGATAGCCAATCAACACTCTTGTTGAAAGATGTAAAACACCTCCATCACAGTGACACTGGCGAGCAACGATGATGCCGTGGTATCAGAAGTCGCTCATTGGCCGTCACACTTACATACATGACTCGAGTGTCAGTGACGGCGACAATTCAGTCACTTACTGACAGTTCCAAAAATGGGCGTTGACAGACTCTGCAATTCTGTCCAATTGGCGTTTCCAAATCATCGTCCACACACGATCTTTCATCGCCATCCATCTGCACTGAGCCCTTATCATCTCTCCTTTTCCTTCAACTTCTTCTATCGGTTGCTTACCGTCGCCATATTGCACCCGGCGCAATCCAAGAATCACTCCTCAACAATCTCTCTACCAATACTCCAGACTACCCAACAGATTCATCTTGTACACATTGGACAGATCTTGTCCAGCCATACACAGTAAAGAGTCTGAAGAGGTCATCTAATCTTGCCGCTGTGGTTTCAGCTCGACGCAGAGTAAGGTCGCCGTCATCAAAAAAGTCCCCAATAGACGTCAACTCTCGAATAACCATCTGTCAAAATGAATGACAACGGCATGAACACCGACCGCAAAGAACAATTCCTATGGGAAAGAGTGTACCAGGAAGCCCAGATCGATGTCGCCGCTGCGAATGAGAGGATTCAGACCGTGATTGGTTGGGAACAAGAAGCTCGCGACGCTCAGTTTCAGCTCATCATCGGACCATGGCATATGCCTTTGCCCAGGGAACTTCAACGTCAACTTCCTAAGCCACCTGTCCGCAAGATAACGACAGCCGTCAATCTCGACCCTCAAAAGTTGCCGATCGATAGAACAGTGCCTAGCCAAAAAGTCCGTATGAGCTACAGACAGACCGAACCATCCAACCAGCTCGAGCGAATTCTCCACAACAAGCATCTCGCCGAACAACTTGCCAGTACCCAATCGACAATGCCTGTTACTCAGCCTTTCTTGCTCAGAGAGATCGACTTGCCCATACTCACGAAGTCCGGCAACGTAGGCAAAGGTCCCACTGAGACAGCAAACACGCTCAAGCGTAAGCTTTCGAAGCTCAAGGACCCGCAGGATACTGAAGACGGGTCACTTGCCGAAGTCCTGCCCAAATACTCCATTTTGCCGACCTTCAGACAGCAATTCCACATCTCCGAGCCCAATTCGGAAAGTACATCGCCTCCTCGCCGTCATACCATGCCTCCCATCGAAGCAGTCCTGGCCCATGGGTTCCGTAACATCAATCTCAACCGCCCAACTGAGCCACCAATCACCCCTCGCTCCCATGCCTTCGATCCGTGGACCGACCTACTCCTTGGTCACAGAGTTCTCACTCCCACACCCGCATTCCTTCTTTCCCTGAGTGCCTTCAGAAGTGACGACAGCGAAGACTCTTACTGGAAGTCCTCCCTGCCAGTCATCATCTCCTATCATCTCGCCAACCCGGCCACTCTCGTCGACGAGACCCGGCTCGAAAGCCTGACCTTTTGCCTCCCCGCACCTAAGGAGTACATCTTCTTCGACACAAGAACCGGAAGACGAGTCCCTACCAGAGCTCGTCAGCCCAAGCACAAGTACGAGGGCCCAGAGACAAACACGGAGATCCGCATGATCAGAATGGTTCTGCCTCCCATCATCCCCAAGAAGCTCTACGAGCGCAAGGATCAACAAGAGCCATTCACAGATTGGTTGATCCTGTGCCTGAGCACCCCTGCTATTCCTCCTCCCGCGGTCGCCCACACCCACCACCTCCGCTCCACCACTCAGGTCCCACCGCAACCTTACACAATGATCGTCTTTCCCACCCATTTGTTCAAGGAGAAGGAGTTCGTTGCAAGTGAAACCTCCATCTCACCTGTCGACCAGCAGGAAGATGTCGCCACTACCATGATGATGAGATTCGACGGTAGAGGCAAATTGCCCCTGATGTACGGCATCAACCGCGACTCCGCCTTTGCAGAGAGATGGGTCCAGGGGTTCGCTAAGGGGGGCACTGCCCTGGAGCTCACTTTCAGGGGAAAGAAGGCACCTTGCTGGATGTGAAGGGATGGTGGTTTTCGCTCTCACTTGTTTTTTTTCTTATTTTTCACTTCTCCCCTTTTTGTATAGTAATTTTACTCTTCACTCATCTTGATACTCCTGAACGTGTCGGTTGCTCTCTCTTTGGACGGCGAGGTGAGCCTGAAAATCATCGTGCATTTTTATGAGCGCAGTTTATACGTGTCGCGGCTACTAGAAAGTCAACATCCCGACTTTGAAAGTACAAGGGGTTAGTCGCTCTCTCTGTGGACAGCGACACCCGGTTGAAAATCATCGTGCATTTTGATGGGTTCATCTGATGCGTGTCGCGGCTGCGAGAGAGAGTCGATATGCCAACTTCTCACTGAACGGGAGAGGCAAAATCAAGAAACATAATCGCGGAATACACATTGAGAATGAGAATGCAATATTGATTGATGCAAAGCTAACAGTCATGCAGTAAAGTTGAATGCTTAGAGAAAAGAAAAGGGTATATCCCAAAAGCCAGAACCAGAAGAACGCCTTGTGTTTCCACCCATATGCTAAAACAAACAAACTCCTTGCTCCTCTATGCTGGACATATAGATAAAGAATTAGGAACATGCTCTCCGGAAGTCTCAGTCGCCCGTGAGATCCAACTCTTCGACACCACTTTTACGGTACACTCGTCGGTCTTTGGGTGTGGGTGCAGTAAGATCGACCTCCATTGCGACTTCCTTCCACGCACCGGGCAAACTTTCTCGCGGCTGGATGAAACGCTTGGTCACTTTATTCGTCTGTGTTCGTAATGCCTTCTCAGGTGCAGCCACGGGCTTCGATTGCACCACCTCGGACGTGTGAGATCGAACCACCTTCGTGTTGGCAACCGCGGGAGTCGAAGATGATTTTGTGACTGCCGCAGTGAGTTTGACAGCCACGTCATCGACTTTTCTGTCGCGAAGCCGCTTATTGACTGGGAGCAAGGCGGAGACTGAGATGACTGGTCGTTGGGTAGCAAATATCTCATTCGGTGCCTCAGGTTCGTACGGCGGCGTCGGCATGGAGGACGAAATTTCTTGGACTCCAATCTCTTCCTGGACAGGAAATGGCTGTTCAGTATTCGATGATACGATTCTTCGTACAGTTGATCGATCGCTTGGTGTTGGCATTGTAGAAAGTGCGACTGCCTCACGTGTCTTGTCGGAGACTCGTTGAAACCCACCATACCTAGGCAGGCTGGGTAAAGATTCTGGTGAAGCCAAGTCGATCGCCTCAATCTCAAAAGCGCGAGGTGTGGAAGGCCGGAGGGTAGGGGATCCCATATCATCCGCGCCTGTGGTTGGCGCTGTCTGGTACCGTTTCAAGGGCGATCTCCTCCTTCTCCTAGTTACCGTGTCAGGTAGAGGCGCCACGACATCAGCCCCATCTGGAGAAAACGTTGCTGGCTTGCTGAACTGCTTGAAGTGGTCTCTAATGCTTGATGGTTGTGCCACGGGTGCTTTCGGCGAAGTTGGTTTCGCAGGGGATGATGAAAGAAGGTCGATCACTTCCGATGGTCCGGATGTTTCTCGAGGGGGTGAGAAGATCCTTGGTCTTGCTCTCCTACGAGGAGACGAAGGTTCTGGCGAAGGCCGCTTTGAAGACCGCTTCTTTGAGATGGTTGTCTCGCTACTGAGGTCCATCTCGGGAATCGATGGCGCCCTGCCTTTTGTTCCATCGATCAAATCCAGGTCAGCCACAGATGCTCTGGCTCTGAACGAATTGCTCAGAGGCGCTGGCCTCGCAGCTGGCAAGATCACCTTCTCCTTCGCTAGAGCATCGATCTTTGACAGGTCCAACTCCTCATATTCTGGTGACTTGGATTTTGCTTGAGCCGTGCGATCTACACCTGGCTTGGTAGTCTTGGTAAATTGGTCCAAAGCGCCTCTCTGCATACCTCCAGTCTTCTTTGCAGCAGCAAGTCTGCGACTTGTAGGCGCTTCAGCATTGACAGCTTTGCGAGGTCGTGATATAGGCTTTGATTTGGGCGCGCCTGCACCGGCCTCCCAATCTTGGACCTTCAGAGGTGCACCGAGACGCACGAAAGTATCGAGTAACCAGACCTTCTCGTGAACATTTGGATCGTAAGTTGAAGGGCCGCGCTTTTTCTTTGGAGATCCTGGACATTCACCATCTTCGGTAGGCAAAGGTTCGGAATCCGAGTCATCTTCGTCCTCGGGAATTTCTTCGTCGGGATCTTCGATGCTAAGATCAATATCGATCAGCTCAATCGGCTTGAAGCTGATCCGAAGCTCGGGTATGTTGTCTGTAGTCGGATGCAGACGTCTGCCGTGAATAGCATTGATGAGGGAAGACTCCCTAGCTTCCTGAGTGGACAAGGCGTCGTCAATGGCGGCTGGAGCCTCGCCGCGCATTCTGAGTTCTCGAACAAGTACAGCAGGGGCCAGGTTGCGAATGAACTTCTTAGCACCGCCGATGCATCGCCAGTCGAAGGCGTCACCCGCAAAGTCTCTGAGACTAGGGTAATCGAGCGGCATATCCCATTTGAGCGTATCCTTGAGCTTCGCGATTTTATCGGAAGCTGATATGCACGGATGGGTATAGTAGCTGAGGACTTTTTGATCCGGGAAAGAATCCGGAATGGTCAGACCAGGGCGTTTCTGACGAAAGTGTTTGCTCTCGTTGGTACGGATTTCGTGGCGGAGTCTGTCTCTCCACGCATTTAGTCCATCAACATCTTTCTTGTCTAGTCGGCACAGCTCATCACCAAAACCAGCTCTTGCAGCCTCGCAAGCCAATTTCGGACCGCAACCAGGGATGCCCTCGGTGATGTAATCTCCTCCGCTCATCATGGCGACGAGAATCATGCCATTGCGATCCAGTCCGCTCGTTTCCATTGTACTGTCTGCTCTGTAGACATTGACGTGTGTAGGCGTCTTGCTGCTCTTCTGTTCTGGTGTCCAGCTCCGCAGCGTCATGCCACTCCCGAACATGAGGGTGTCAACATCTTCGCTGAGTACAGCGTCCACGATTCCTTCTCTTTGAAGAAGAGCACACTCGGCTTCAGCTTCACCTGGCGCGTAGTGGAGTGGAAAGCCGAAGTGCTTGAGAAGTTGCTTGGCTAGGAACTCGGGCACACTCGATACTCGGACATTTGGGCCTCCGACCTTCTTGTTCCGTTTCCAGGTGGGCTTGTTAGGACCATCGAAGACGAAGAGCGGGTGGATGTTGAGAGAAAGAAGACGCAAGAGGCGATAATAGAAGGTTCGGAGGGCAGGATTGGTGCCGCCTTTTCCAGATTGGATTTGGAACAGCCAGATACTGATGTCGATAGCCAAGCGGAAAGGCCGAGAGTGAGAGACGTAGTGTTCGGCAGCGAGCTTGCTCACAGCTATGCGTTGGCCTGGGCCGATTTCTTTATAGATTCTGCAGGCGGCGTTAGTTGAGTCTTTGAGGCGACAAGGTGATGATCGACGTACCCATGAATACCCATACTTGGAAGATCATTCGACCATGAACGCAACTATTGGCAACTCCTTACTCGCGTCCATGCCCTCAAGCAATTGGTCAAGTCATAATGATGATGGCAGGCGACTGTTTCTGTCGCAAACATGTTCAACAGCAGCAGCAACTGCTTTGAGGCGTTGCCATGGCAGCTGCGGCCCGCCCCGCGCTCTCACGTGACCTTTGGATCATTGTTCCTTCCTTCCAAGTTCATTGTATTGCAGTTGTCAATGGTTGAATGCTGATGGATATACATGTTCACCGTGACCTATGCTCCTGTGAATACTGTCTCATTTATCTCTCATCACCGCATCGCTAAGTCTCATCTTTGGTCAGAAAGAGATCTACATCACGTCACCGAAGTCGACGCACGAGTTTGGGCGTGAATTGATTGTTTATCCGCTACGCAAGGGCCATCGATCTTTGTTTGGGCCTTCATACGCCGTACACAGTTGCTTTTGGGCATATTCTGCGACTCGTGCTTCGCGGTTGCGACGCAAAGATGAGAAACTCTGCTTCGTCAAACATCGTCTCAGAAAGTGCTACTTCACCTTTGCGATCGAACCACAACCCATCTACCAGAGGACCTCTGGCGCCACGATCGACCAACTACCACACCTCGCCTGCTGTCAAATCTATGCTGTTAGAAACAAAAGACCATCAAGGAAGCCCCTGGCAATTCAAAGTCACTGTTGAGGCCGAGCAAATGTCTACCTCAGCCAGGTCCACAACCAGGACACAACTGATCCCACTGCATGATACAGAAAACACACTGATCCCTGATCTCTGTCCTGTGTCTCAGCTCGGCGACCATGCCTCAACTGATTATTCGTTATCTGAGATCGAATTTCCGGAAGATATGCTGCCCTCAGCTCAAGGTCCGCCAGCCGTCGACTCCTTGTCACCGGAGCCGGTTCGTGCATTCGCATCTCGCAGAACACCCGCAAGTGCAAGGAGCAGAATGTCCAGAAAATCCGATTTCGGAAGTAGTCACGGTTCGAAACCGCATCACGCAGACCCATATGTCTCGGCAGAGCCACAGTTCGAGCAAGACGTGGAGGCAGAAGCTGTACTCGGCGCTTGTGCCCCGGGCGATGCGACCATGTTGGAAAGCGAAGAGTTTAGCATGATCTCGGTTGACTCTCTACCCAGCCGAGTGGCTGACCACTCTTCTCCTTCACAGCCTCTCCAAGCTACTGAGGGGTACACCTCCGCAAATCATTCGTACATGCCCTCATCCCCTCCTGCCTTTGTCGCCGACAGAAGGACGCCGGTTCCTGAAGAATCAACTCCAGAGAATCCCCAGGCGCCGCTGCCTTCGCAACAGCATGATGCAAACATCGCCACACCCTTGAGAGAAAGCGCTCGCAAGTCTGGAAGAGCGTTACAGGATGCCCTGAACGGTCCCTTTCGCGAGTCTGTTTCCAGAGAGCTACCTGCAGCCCGAGAATCAATTTTCAACGGCTTTAGCTCTGGCACCAGACGTCAACTGCGCCAAAGTCTGCATACAGGTCAGAGCTTGGCCTCTCCCTCAGCCATGCAAAACGCGCCCAGCCTTGCACCTATTCCCAACTATCTCTCTCCCTTCCACAGCCCAGTGCGTCAACGAGAAACTTTCGACTCTCTTCCCAGCCGTCTCCTCACCCCCGAGGCCGAAGTGCGTCCACAGTCTACCACAAATTCACAGCCTCCAGTGGATGTCGAGTATCCTCAACTTACTCAAGAGTCGACGAGAAGCAGCCCGGCTCACGAGAATCAAGAAATGAGCTATATCCATGTTCAAAAGTCGCCTGCTGTGCAGATGCAGAGTCCGCCACGCTCTAACCCAGCTTCCGAGTATGATGCGCCGGAGAAGTCTGTTGACAAAGTTGTGCCGCCTGAAGCAGAGGAGGAAGACGATCGAGACATCTGGCAAGAGGAGGCCAGTCGTTCTGGGATTGATGAAGAGGGCTCCCCTCAGCCAACCGACCTATTCTTAGAAGACCTCGCCATCAAGCCTCGTAGGAGTAAGCTGCCTGGTACATGGCGTCGCACTTCGGGTGCAAACTTTTCTTACAGCGATTCACCCGACCCTCAGGAACGCCAAACCCGCAAAGTCAGTGCCTCGACTGCAGGATCGTCTCGCAAGAGCAGTGGCGTCATGACACCACCTTCGTCAGACGACGGTAGCATTGCTGGTGGAGAGAAGTCAGGTACCCAAGAAAACTCCACGACGAGCACTACAAACGACGACGAGCTCAGTCAGTCCGAGTCTGGAGATGATACCGGCACGTTCTTCCAGTCAAACCTCCCAACAATTTACAGCAAAAGAAGTACAAGGCAGACTTCGAATTCTGCGAAAAGTAGTTTTGCTCCCAGCAGTCCACTCAGAAACACTGTTCTGGATATCAGTCCTATGAAGAATACTCAGTCTTCCGAAGGCATCTCGAATGCAAACCTCTCCACTGGTCCCTCTCCATTACGCCGCAGACTAGCCAAGTCGAGCAACTTGGGTGGAGCTTCAGCGACACTGAAGCAGGACACTGAACTTGACACATCAGAGACTCAGACAGACTCGAGCTTGGCTTCAGATGCTCAACAGTTGCAAAGAGAGATGAGAGGACAATCTGGCAGTGGTGCGAGCACTATCTCTAGCTTGACCTCTGGTAGCCACGTGAGAGGGTCAAGACACGCACCAAGCGCGAACACCATCGATCTGACTATCAGCAGCGTTTCCGAGGAAGACGCTTCGATAGTCTCATCAAGATCAAGGAGTTATCAAGAAGAGCTCAACCTCGATTCGCCCATGCGTGTCAAGGTCAACTTCAATGACGATGCTGGCAACTCGACTCTTTTGGAGCCCAGACGTCAATATCCTCCGCTCTTTGATAACGTTCCGACCTTGACAAAACCTACCCCTGAACCGTCGGAAGCATCTCAACCAAAGTCACCATTAGCAAAGCTCACCGAATCGTTCTGGGAGGCCGTTACCAAGCCGCCAGTCTATGCATCACCTGAGCGCAAGCCTTCGGTTGTGCTGGAATCCTCGTCAACAACTACTGTACCTGACCACGTCCTACGTCTACGTCGCAAATATGGTCTGCTGCCTGACTCTCACCCGTTCATCTACGCACACATTCGCACACTACACCGCATGCTGAATTCAACACGCTCGCGACCTGGCAGCAGCATAGTCCCTCGCAGCGGACCGCTGGGTCACGGTCTATCACGTCTACTAGGCAAATCCAAAACCAACGAATTGGATCAACGCTTCGTATGGACACAAACCCACCTTCACGTCGTCGACTCTTTCATGTCGCTCCTTCTACCACAGGAAGAACGCGATCGTCTGCAATACGACACTGGCTCTTGGGGCGATGCCGAAGCGCTTAGACATCGCGGACGCGACTCCAAGGGCAGATATGGCGATGAAATAGTATTCAACGGCGTCAAGGGTGGTGTGATTGAAGCTGCTTGGGTCGCAGATGTGCTTGTTGACATTATCTTCAAAGAAGAGATGAATGCAAAAAAGAAGAAGGTTGCTGAGATGATGGCTCGCGCCGAGAGAATGGAGATGTAAGATTATGGCATGTGTCACGACTCGGTGTTTTGTTTTATAGGCTTATGGCGTTCGTCGGATGTACTTAGGTTCTCGTATTGTTCTTTCCCTTGGAGCTTTTTGAGCACTGTCATCGAGCATCTTTCTGTATCAACATCTTCCACTAAGTCACATTTCACCAACTCTACCGTTACTGCTTGCAACTGTTGTTTAGCTTTTCCAAACTGGAAGTCGCGAACACCTACAAATATGACTCGCCTCTAAAACTGCCAGTAGTCGCAGCCATTACACATTATCGTTCAAGCGAATTACTGATCAGCATAAGTCTAGTCATCAAAATCACGAAGGAACGCACATGCAGCACAGGAAGAATGATTTCATCAGAGAAAAAGATTGTATTGTGTCAGTAAAAAACTAAAAGTAAAACATACCTGTAAGATTTAGCAAAACCAAAGATCTGAACTCCAAAAACTCCAATGTCGTAAGGAAACTTTTCAAGCGAATCTGCTGTTTAGCATGGCTAGAAAGCTGTCATTCTGGGCTTGGAGGTCAGCACGCTGTTGGTCTGTCATTTCGGTTGGAAAAGCGTTGACATCGGTGATCATACGGTCATAACCGGTTTGAATGTCAGTCTCGGCTTCAGTGTTGGCATCACCAGGATGGGTGTTAGCGACTGAAGGCTGAGGGGTGACAGGTTGAGGGGTGGTAGGCTGAGCTGCAGCAGGTTCAGGCGAAGTAGGTGGAGGTGCAGCAGGTTGAGGTGATGTAGGCGGAGGGGAACTAGGCGGAGTCTGAGGACTCAAGTGATCAACGAGGACACCCGGGCACAAACGACGAAGAGCCGTCGAAGCCGCAAGCGTATCAGCAGGAACCTGATCCTGCCGACCTTGAGAAATGGCGAATCGAGCTAGAAGATCAATATCTTGAGCCCACATGACCATGTAATCTGGGACATAGCCATGGCCGCTGCGGTACAGAGTTGGAATCAGACCTTCGGCGCAAGCTTGAGTTTTTGTGATTAGCGGAAGACCCAAAGTGAGGAACCTACCTTTGCGGATTTCTCTCAGGAAGTTGTCGATTTCGAGGACTTGAGGCAGGCGGATAATGTCATCGCGATTGAGAGCAGCGAACTGTGTTGCCAATTGGTGACTAACGAGGAACTCGGGGTAATTGCTAGTAGCGAGTTCGGTCGAAGGGTAGAGAACTTCCTGTAATCTCAAATTAGTGTACTCGTCAGCAGCCGGGGTCCAAGCGTTGATATCTTGGGTGTTGAAGTTGGGGGTAGAAGACCACATGAAGTAGGTTTGTGTACTGACCATCCTTAAGAAGGACTCTGGGTTCCACCTGTCTGCCCTTCCGCCTCTGATCCAGTATGTGTAAGCGCGAGCGCAGTGTAAAGCGAAGTCGACTGTGGTCGTGCCGGCAAATCTGATAACGTGTTGGACAAGATCTTCGGCATCGTGGAAAGCGACCCACCAAACTCTATCGCCAGTGATTCTGGAAGTCAGATGAAGGACGTAAGGGTAGGTACGGCAACTTTGGATCATCTCTTGTTGAAGGGCAATGTCCTCGGCATTCTGCAGCTCAGGACGAGGCTCAGGTAACCAAGCATCAAGCCAGGCGTACTGAGTCAACTCGAGGAGCAAATTGGGTTGAATTTGCTGATTGAACTGGTCAATTTGGCCTTGATCGCTCATCTTGTGATGATGTGATTCGACTGTTGGGGGTTGTGTGCTGGAGAGTGTTGTTGAAGTGACTAGAAGTTTGATTAGAGGGACATTAAGTATTCTTTTCCAGGTTCATGGTGATGATGGGTTGGGAAACGAAGAACAAAGAACATGTGTTGTATCTTCCTACAGACAACGAGATGAAGTTCGGAAAGACAAAGAAAAAACAATGGCCTTGTTCTCCAAACAAAGAATGGTGGTTTTGAGCGAAAGGCTCAGGTTTCTGAGAGCGATGGATCAGGCACTGTCTACTAGTCGCAATGGAATCAACTTCAATCTCCATAAGGGCACAAAAACAAAAATGATCACCGCAAGGAATCGAACACACAGCCAGCAAAAGGAGAAGGCGCCGACGCTACTACTCCCGATGCGTTAGCACAGGCTATTCCCCTCAGGCCAAACATCCTTTGGATTTCGGTGCTCCTGAGTGGGTGAAAGGGAGCAAATTGTTGATACCTATATGCTCTCGATTGCAAGTGAAGGATGTTTTCGGCTTGTTGATATATGTGCTTGTTTTGTGTCTCTTTCCTTGTTTTTCGTGATTGTCTCATATCTGCTCCCTGATCGCCTATAATCTCTTTCCAGTCACCATCACAAGGCAAGGTCTGTTCTGATGTTGGATGTATGCGCAGTTAAGTTCGAGATCTTGCCCTCTCGACATATCCTCCTCAGCAGCCCAATTGAGCTTATAGATGCATCTACATTGTCATTTCACTTATGATGAAGGCATTATGGCACCTCGCATGGAGACATTATTATACTTATAAATCAGTGCGAAGAGCTTACTTGTATTTGACTTTGCTATCAGTGCACGCATGCGCTCTCTTTGGATAATCCCAGCGTCACAAATGCACTCTACATTTTGACAGTCATGTCGAAGGTCTTGCTAGAGATTCGGTAGACACAAGTTGGTACGAGTTTCTGGCAGACCTGTTCATACAATCTAGTGGTGGGCAGGATCCATTGGTACATACAGATTGGAGTGGATGGAAAAGGAGTCAAAGTCATTTCAGAAGAACAAAAAGAGTTGTATTGAGTGATATAGTACAAAATGAAGAAGCACTTGCCGTGATGTGCACGAGTGTTCAAAAAGCGAATCTGTCGATCTTACCAAAGATGCGTACTTAGCCCAGAGGTCTTGGGATGGTTCTGGATAGCGGCTATTGCATTGTGCCGCTGAATTGTCAGTGAGGGGTCTAGGTTTGGCGGTGGCCACGGTGAACGTTTTGCCAGTGACGGCGGAGGTCTGAGCTTCGAGTGAGTCTCTTTCCGCAACCAGGGAAGTTACAAGCAAAGACTCTACGAGCGTCTAGAGGGACGTTGAGGTCGCGGTTCTCTACAGGGGTGTTGGAAGAAGTGGCAGCGGGAGTGGGAGCGGGAGGGTTGGCAGCAGGAGAATTGGCAGCAGGAGGGCTGGCAGCAGGAGGGTTGGCAGCAGGAGGGTTGGGAGCGGGTGTCGGCCCAGGGGTGGGCTCAGCAAACAAAGGAGGGTCTTCCCAGTCTACGGGCATCCAAAGCCGAGCTCTAGCAGTCTCGTCCATAAGTGCGTAGATTCCATTCTCCATGAAAGGAACTCCGGCTGGGGGAGTGTCATGGTCGAACATGACAATGTCTTCAATGTCGACAGGGTTTTCGCTGGGCATGTCGCCATCGGAGGACCATGCGATAGGAGGGGAGTATGCGATAGGAGCGTCATTCAAAGCATAGCTAGGAGCGTCAGCAAAGGTAGTAGTCTGTTCGGATGGGGGAGCGGGTACACCACTTTCGATGATCAATCGATTGTGCTCCTCTTGGGCGTCAAGCTGTTGTTGGTTCATCGTGTTTGTGTTTGGTGGTGCTTGGTGGTGTTTGTTGAAGGTTGTTGTTTGGAGAAGAAGAAGAGAGGAAGTCAGATGTCATGCAGGTATATAAATCTTCTATCATGCCATGTTGAATTCGTAGGATAGATCAGTGGTACTGCTTGGTACTGCTTGAGAACAAAGAAAGATGACATCGAACAATGTGTTGTGGAAGGTGATGAGCTCTGATGAGCGGTTCAGACAAAGCTTTGCCGATAAGTGTGAAAGAGACTATGTCGTTCAACCAAAAAATGGCATTGTCATGGCGTGTTTGAGCACAAGAACAATGGCCGGCAAGACTGAGAGACAAGGACTTGTGGAAGATTGTGAAAGAGATGCCGTTAGAAGACCTAGTAAGCCAATGCTGCCAGCATCGAAGACAGTCAGCGGGTTGAACATGTCATGGGTGTGGTGTTAGACCTTGAATAGACTAGAGAGGAAAGAGAGAGGTGAAAGATTGTGGCATGTGATTGGCGAGTCATGACGCAGGGTTCTTGTTTACGCCAAGCCCTCAAAGTCAACAGAAGCCGGGGTAAACAATAAATTGTCGAGCAGCCTTGATCCATCGCATCTGGAGACAGTCATAACACGACTAATCACATACAGCAAAATGCCAGGCGCAGACTTGATTGACTTTGAGGTCATCGAAGGACACAAAGAGAACATCCAGGCGCTTCCGAGTGGAAGATCAGCGAAAGCATTGGCAGCTCTGTACTCACCACCATTGACCAGTGGACAACAACAAGCCTCCTTCGCCAACGATGCACACTCGGATGTTCGCAAAGATTACGAAGAAGAACTCGCTCTGATCGAGGAAGCTGACGACCCGCTCGACATCTACGACCGCTACGTCAAATGGACCCTCGACACATACCCCTCAGCACAATCAACACCGCAGTCACAACTGCTACCTCTCCTAGAGCGCGCCACAAAGGTCTTCCTCTCATCACCACAATACAAGAACGACCCGCGTTACCTGAAGCTATGGCTCCACTACATTCGTTTCTTCTCAGACGCTCCGCGCGAGACCTTCGTCTTCCTCAACCGTCATGGAATCGCAGAGTCACTCGCGCTATACTATGAAGAGTTTGCTGCATGGCTCGAACAAGCGGGCAGATGGACACAAGCAGAGGAAGTATACGAGATGGGTATTCAGAAAGGCGCCACACCTGTTGCGCGCCTGACGAGGAAGTTCAACGAATTCCAACAACGCAACTCTGCTCGTCCTCAGGACGTCGCTGAACCTACAAGCCCTGCCCTTCCAGTCGCCCGCTCCGTACTTGGAGCAAAGGTCGATCCATTCGCTGCTGCCCTCGCAGCTACCACACCACAACAAGCAGCCAAACCTGCCGCAGCTAAGAAGCCGAAGGCTGGCAAGATGGCCATTTTCGCCGACGAAGCACCACAAGACCAGAGCGCATTCGGCACTCCTGGGGAGAAGAACGGCTGGGACAGCATCGAGTCCATTCAGAACAGGAAGAAGGAGAATGCCATTGCTCCCAAGCCCATGGCAGGCGAGACATTGAAGACGGGCAAGACAAACACGGGCGTGCAGAAGATGGCCATTTTCAGGGTAAGCTATCCACTCTCCAATCCTCCTGATATGTTCCAAATATTCACGAATGCAGGACTAACGGGCTGGCGTCGTTTTTGTGTATTCCAGTCATCTTCTACTGTACGACATGCATACGAATCAAGTAAACATGCTTCCCAACGAGTTATCAATCTGAAGACAGGTAGACCTGAATGTGTCTTTGTGAATCTTGAAGCCGTCTATCCTGACCCGACCGATCCCTCTGTTGAGTTTTGTTTCGAAGAACTAAGAGCTAGGCATCGTGGTTGGCTAGATCGTGACTGGGCTGCTGAGCGAAGGCAGGCGCAACCCATTGATCAAGCGCAGGAAAACAGCTCGATCAAGCAACAACCACAAAAGGAGCCGAAACGTGGTTTCGCCATCTTCCAGGACACATCTGCTGCCGAGAAGCAACAAGAAGCAGAACAAGAACGTCCGACGAGTCAGCGAGGCTTCCAAATCTTCCAAGACGACTCCGAGAACAAGAAGTCCCCTGCACACTCATCGCCTCTCACAATCGACACTTCTCTCAAGGTCGTGCCAGTCAAAGACGAGAATGACGAGAACAGACCCCCTTCCAAGGCCGATGTTGAGCTTGCAAAGAGAATGCGTCGTGAGGAACGTGCCAACAGGACTCGCAAGATCAAAGTCATGGATGTCGAGCATGTGCAGAAAGAGACTCAAACCATCAAGCTCAACCTGGACTCACCTTCTGGCAAGAAGCTCAGAAAGAAGAAGGTCGCCGAGCCTACCATGACCATCAACACGCGTGAAGCTATGGACGAGATCTACGGTATCTTCAGTCAGCCTGTTCAGACCACTGAGGAGAATGAAGCCGAAGACTCTGAGAGCGAAGAAGATAGCGACGACGATAGCGATGACGACTACAGCAGCGGCGGAGAAGATACAACTACTGGCCACATCTCTGGAGCTGGAAGCGATTACGGTGATGAGACACGAAGAGAAATCCTGGCTTCACAGCAACCATCCAAGGAAGAAACAACGGAAGACGCCGAAGAACAGGATGATGAAGACGACGACGATGAAGACAAGACCAATGTCAGCGCTTGGTCCGACTTCGATGAGAGCAAGCCTGTCACTGAGACTGCTGCAACTTCTGCACACTCCAAGGATACGGACGAGCTTTCAACACCGATTGACGAAGTACCTACACCACGTGATGGAGAGAACGAAGAGCCGAAAACGAGATATGTCCCAATACCTCCTGAGGGTTACGAACCCGTAAGGTCACAGTATAGGGACCCAGTCGTTGTCGCTCAAAACCGTTTGCCGTTCATGACACCCATAGTCGAGCACACCGAGTCTTCTATCGGCGCAGCAACCATCCGTGCAGAGTTGGAAAAGGGCTTCGCAGCCAAGACACCATCAAGACAAAATCACAGCAACGCCGACATTGAAGAGGAAGACGAGGACGAAGAAGACGACGATGAAGATGGTCTCATGAGCAGCCCCTTCCAAGTCCTCAGTGGCGCCGACCTCGAGAACAAACGCAAGATTCTGCAACCAATTCGCACAAAAACGACAAAGGGCATAGTATCCCTGAGCGAAGATGTTGCAGGAGCGTCGAAGCCAAAACCTCTCGCTCTTCGTCCTGCCACTACTGCGGAGCCAATCAACAAAGGCCCCATCATCAAAGATTCCCAGATCAATCCCGTAGATCCAGAAGTCCGCCAAACTATCTTGTCGCAAATTTACCCTCCATTGAGCTCATACGAGGGCTACCACGAACACAAGAATATCCAACACGCTCGCACGCCTGAGATTCGCAAATACTCGAAAGCCGTAGGGAAAGGCAAGACTGCAACAGAGAAGAGCGCTGCATCTCTGCCTCCCGCACCTGTGCTCAACTTCCAAAACTCTGCCAGCACATACACACTCAAACGCGAACTCGGCGCCGGTGCCTTCGCCCCTGTGTATCTGATCGAAAACAGCAATCCCTCCTCCACCTCTGTTGATGAAGATGACAATGACGAAAATGCACCAGTCATGGGTCAAGGCGCCTTTGCAGCAGTTCAACGCCACTCTCTCGAAGCATTGAAAATGGAAGATCCACCATCAGCCTGGGAATTCTACATGCTACGTCAAGTCCACCGCAGACTGGGAGTGTCACGAGCAACAGAATCAGTAATCCACGCCTACGAAATGCACATTTTCCGCGACGAAGGTTTCCTGATCGAAGAGTTCCGCGGCCAAGGCACGTTACTCGATCTCATCAACGTCGCTAGAGCAGAAGCAGGAGGAACCTTGGATGAAGCACTAGCCATGTTCTTCGCCGTAGAATTGATAAGAACGGTGGAAGCACTCCACTCCAAAGGACTCATCCACGGCGACTTGAAAGGCGACAACGTCCTCGTCCGCCTTGACGAAACACCCACATGGTCATCCTCCTACTCCCCCACCGGCAGCTCCGGCTGGAAATCCAAAGGCATATCCCTCATCGATTTCGGCCGCGGCATCGACATGAAAGTATTCTCCCCCGGCGTGCAATTCGTCGCGGATTGGGAAACTTCATCCGCCGATTGTGCAGAGATGCGCGAATTACGCCCTTGGACCTATCAAGTGGATTATCACGGATTAGCCGGCCTTTTGCATTCTTTGCTGTTTGGCAAATACATGTCCACGATCGCGGAAAAAGGACAAGGGTTGGGTGCCGCCGCTACGAAACATTATAGAATCAAAGAGGGGTTGAAAAGGTATTGGCAACAGGGGATTTGGTCGGAAGCGTTTGACCTGCTGTTGAATCCGGGAATGTATACTGCGCAAGAAGAAGGAGCGAGAATGCCGCTGTGTAAAGGGTTGAAAGGGTTAAGAGAGAGGATGGAAGGTTGGTTGGTGCAGAATTGTGATAAAGGGATTGGATTGAAGACGATGGTTAGGAAAATGGAAGAGGCGGTTAGGGCGAGGAAGAGATAGAGATAGAGGTGGTGTTATGTTTCTTCCAACATCATGAGCTGTGTTTTGGTGCTCATTTAGATCTTGAGTTTGGCGTTTAGAAAGGGGTTGGTGGTGTTTGGGGGTTTTGGAAATGATAGACATGTTTTTTCTCCCAAAGTTGTTGTTCTCTTTGTTCATGCTTTTCCTCGGCGTCTTTGTGATGGCCGAGTGGCTCGTATCCATCGTACCTTCTTCATCGTGCCTTCTCCATCGTGCCTTCTTCATCGTGCCTTCTTCATCGTGCCTTCTTCATCGTGCACCTCTTGGAGACATTCGCTTCGGCATCATCGGCCTCTCCTGACAGAAGGGTCTTGGCTCCCTATGTTAGTTGTGAAGCCTTCTATCAACCGTGGAGAGCAATGTCGTTTCGCAACAGTGTTCGGTGATAGAATTTTTGGTCATCAGAGCTATATATCGATTCAGGTCTTTTTGAGCCTGTAACGTGCTCATATTCTTATCGAGCTTTATATGAGCCTCGCCCATCTAAGCCATTGTGAAACAGAAATAAAAGCCTCTTTCCCTTCGTCGAAGCAAACGCCGTCTCGTATGCAGTCATGTCATAAAATGTCAAATCGCTTCTCTCCTGTCCGATGCAGTCAATTGAGCTCAAAGCTTAGAGGTCGCCCATCATGTCCTCATCCTGGTCAACATTCTGAGGAGCATCCCAGACGTCCATCGGGTCCTCGAAACCTTGAGCGCCAGCATTCTCAGCACGCTTGGTTCTGCGGGTGGCTTCGACATACTCCTTTTGCAAAGCGAGTTTGCGGTCGGCCTCGCGAACATGCTTGGCAAGCTGTTCGATACGGACAGACTTCTCCTTCAACAGGGCGTCTTGGTCGACAAGCGGTTGATTGGGGTTGTGTGAGAGGAAGCGGAGGACAGGTCGAGTGTCAGGACCGGTGATGGGTTGATGGAGCATGGCGTTGAGATGACCGTCACGGACCATGGTGCTGAGAAGAGTGGTAGTCGCAGGAGTGGTCAGGTTCAGATGAGCAGCGATGCCCTCGATGGGGAGAGCGGCGTAGGTCTTTTGCAGATCGATGACACGGTAGCGGCGCAACGATTCGGCGACCTGGTTGACAATGGCTGTGTTTCCGTCCTGTGAACAAGATTAGACTTGAGAATCAAGAAGCATCATTTGGCGCAAACATACATCGTCCCAAACCGCAGCGGCGGCAGCAACCTCAGCATCGAGGCGCAGAACATCACGCTTCTTGAAGACATCTGCGAGAACTTCGTAGGGCTTTGCTAGACTGGAATATGTCTTGATCATCTGAGTGTTGACCAGGCCTTTGGTAAAAGTAAGATAACCAGTGGATAGCAAGCTGACGAGGATGGACTTCTTGTAGGCCTCGACCATGATGGGTGTTGCGACATTCTGAGTGGGTGATGACAGAACGAGTTCGAGAAAGAGGCGAGCACGGTTGTAGCGACGCAGGCCAATGTAGATGTGTGCACCCAGCAGATAGTATTCATGAACGTCCGAGGCCGTGAGAGATGCTGAGATGTTTGAGGATTTTGTGATGAAGGTGGCACTGAGGTCATGGTAGGCGCATGGGAGACGGTCGTCGACATGCTTCTGAGGGTCCGATGGGAAGTTGTAGATATCCTTGTCAAGAACAGGCAGAGCCTGGCGAGGGAGGCCAGCTGCCAGGCAGACTCGCAATAAGAGGAGGTGGTTGGATGTGAGGGTGCTAGACTCGGGGTCTAGGCGGAGGATGGCGGTTGCGATGTAGGGAATGACCGACGCCTGCGACGGGAGGTTAGTCAAGGGCAGCAGCAAGGCGAGGATTCGAGAGGCGTGTACATCTCTGGAGTGGTCATAGTAGTTGGCGAGCCAGATGAGGAGCTGCTGCAGCTCAGGACCGACATAGCGAGCCTGGATGGGATCAAAGTTGTCGACGAAGCTGGCAATCAGCGCCACTTGTTGCGCCAGCACTGCCTGTTGGGCGTATGCGAGGAGCACTGCGAGGTAGGCGATTGTATTACGAGTGGGATCCAGTAGCTATCAGACCATGTCAGTCGCATCCATGTGCTATCATCAAGAGGCGACTCACATCAACCAAGGCCTTTCCCTGTACCTGTTGCGGCACATCTTGGGGCTTGAGCGATCTGATGTACTTGACAAGCTTACGCAGACTTGCGTCGCACTTCTCATCTTCCAGACGTACGCCTTTGCCGTCGACCAGGGGATCCGATGCCAGATTGCTCACAATGTTAGCCATCTTGTGCGACGTGTGTTGCTGTTTAGGCTGTCGATGGATGCATAGACAGAAGCACATGCGAGCCGATGACGATGGTCCGGTGCATGGGGTCCGAGCTTCCTTGTCTCTTTATGCTCAATTATGCAACTCGCCCTTGATCTTTCACTCCTGCCTCGCATCAATGTCTACCTAACGTCGCCTTCACTTGCTGGAGCTGTTCTTCCACACTCTGATGCTTCCGTCCAGCCCACAAGTCGCCACCAATGAGCTGTCTGGGTTGCTATCCACTCCAAGCACAACCCCTTGATGCCCTGTCAAGACCTGCAACACCTTCTTCGTATTGACATCCCATATCATCGCCTTGCCCTCTTCATCGCCACACATGGCAAACGCCCATTCCTCTCCATCCTCCTGCTCACTCACGTATGTACCGAAACACGCATTGATGCTGTATTTCTGGTTCTTGTGTCCTTGATATGTCTTGATGCATCGGCCCTCCACATATTTCCACAATCGCACGCTTGAATCGAGTGTTGCCGCAAGCACGAATTTACCGTTGGGTGAGAAGCGTACTGATGTTACCGGTGCGTTGTCTTCGTGAACCAGCGTCTTCAGACACTGTCCCGTGTTGGAATCCCATATTCGGCTAGTAGTCATGTCAGCCGTTTCAATCTTCTCGTACCCTTCACATTTACAACTTACATCAAACCGTCGCTTGAGCATGATGCGACCAAGGTACCATCCCGCACGAAATCGACACCAGACACAGGGTCGGAATGAGCAGGTAGCGACCTCATGACTCTTGCCGTCCGTACATCCCATAGGAAGACTGCTTCATCGTAGGATCCGCTGACCAGCATATTGCCTTTCGGCGAGAAGGCGATGCTGTATACGTAGTTGTGGTGACCAGTCAAAGCTGTCGGCATGCATTTTCCCTGTTCCGGTAATCAGCCTTGCTCTTGCGCCTCACGGTGTGTTTGTCGCATACCGTCCTGACATCCCAAAGCCTAATTGATTTGTCGTCGGAACCCGATGCGAGCACAATCGAGTCGGGAGCCCATGATATGGTGGAGACGCCGGCAAGGTGACCTTCGAGAGTGTGTACCAGGGTTCCCGTTTGCGCATTCCAAACTTTGATGGTGCAGTCGGCGGCTGGGACCCATGTCAGTTGGGCTCGTTGTGTGTCTTGTACGTGTCGGATGGCTCACAGCAGCTAGCGATCCATTTGCCATTCGGCGAGAATCTCACGGCAGCAACGCCTCTCTTGTGACCTTTCAGAGTCATGTATGGTTTGTAATGTATACCGGCGGGTCGCGAGTCTGTTGTTTGATCTCGGTCGCGTGGAGTTTGTGAATTGCTGTCGAGAGCTCTTTCTGCACCATCCGACTCGTCTTCGAAGGCGTATCCATTCTCTGCGTCTGTCGCGGGCTCCGTGTCGGGCTTGTTGTCGTTCTCCTCGGATGATTGTGGTGAGTCTGAACTCAGTCGTCTTCGCTTTGGCGATCGCTCTGGGCCTAGGACGTCTTCCATCAGGTCTTGCACCTGGTCGGCGATGCTCATTGTGCGCAGCAGTGGCGGTGTCGTATGTCTTAGACTCAAGGAAAAGTGATGCGACAGAATGCGACCAGAGTTACAACGATTGCGAAGTTTGGCTTTCACATGCGAATGTTTGTCCCTGTCCAAAAAGCCGATTCATGACATCAGAATTCGACACGTCTCAATCGCAATTTACTCCTGACAATTTCCGCTCTTTCTCTTCAATTTTGTACAACATTGAATATGGAGTCCACACGACAGACATCAGAGCTTCCGAGCTCGATACGCGTCCTCACGCTCAACTGCTGGGGTCTTAAGTTCATCTCCAAGTACCGTCATGAGCGTCTGGTCGAGATCGGCAACCACCTCGCAAAGCTATCGCCTGCCCCCGAGATTGTAGGACTACAGGAATGCTGGACTCAGAAAGATTATCTCGCTATTCGTGAAAGGACAAAGCACTTTTTGCCCTATGGCAAGTTCTATTGGAGCGGCATCTTTGGCGGCGGTCTTGCTATCCTGTCCAAATGGCCCATTGAAGAGAGCACCATGGTGAGATATCCACTCAACGGTCGCCCTGCTGCCTTCTTCCGCGGCGATTGGTATGTCGGAAAGGGTGTTGCTTGTGCGCGTATTCGTCTTGGACCTGCAAAGAAAGACGTCGTTGAAGTCTTCACCACACACCTACACGCCCCTTACGAAGCCGAACCGAACGATTCTTACATCTGCCACCGTACTGCACAAGCCTGGGAGATTGCGAAACTCATGCGCGGTGCCGCTGAGAGAGGCCATCTCGTCCTCGGTCTGGGTGACTTCAACATGATCCCTTTGTCTCTGGCACACCGCTTGATTGAAGCTCACTCCCCAGTCAAGGACGTATGGAGAGTCTTGCATCCCGATTCCGCAATTGGAGCTGCAATAAACGAAGCAGAAAAGGCAAGAGGAAGGCCAGTCCCATCATCCGATGAATGTCTGAAAGAGCACGGAACCACATGCGACCACAGATACAACACATGGCGCTGGAACAAAGGCGACAAGAAGAAGCTGTTGAAAAAGAAGGAGGACACCTACATCGATGGTTCCGAACCAGATCACAGAGCCAAGCGTCTGGATTACATCTTCTTCGGCGGCGACGCAGAAGGCCCAGCATCACAATGGAGCATCGACAGCGTCAACGTAGGAGCAACAGAACGACATCCAACACTGCTCTGCTCCCTCTCCGATCACTTCTCCGTCGAAACAACGCTCACACGCTCAAACCATCCTACAAACACATTGCCTCAATCGACTACCTTCCTCCCCATAGAAACCTACGACCAGATCCTCGCCATGGTGCACAAGTACGACGCACGCGAACGCAAACAACGCAGATACCGTCTTTACCACTTCGGTTTAGAAATAGTCATCGCAATTGGCTGCTTCATAGCAGTCTGGTGGTCACCACGCAACTTCGTAGCATTCCTCCTCATGCTGCTAAGCACATTGGGTCTCTCAGCAGGCGTCATCGACGGCTTGATGGGAGGACTCTTCGTAGGAAGCGAGTTGCGCGCACTCCGAGAGTTTGAATGGGAGATTACGAATGCCAGAAACATGGCTCTTGCCGCTCAAGAGGCTTTGTTGAAGTAGGATGATGATGATCGTCTTCTTGATGAGCTACTAAGGTTCATCGGCATGGTGTCTTGTGGGTTTCGTTGTTCGCTTTCTCGATGATGGTCGATTCTCGATGGCGCTTTACTGTATATATCTATTCTCCCGTTCGTTCGCCTATTTTACACGACGGAGCAAGGCACCGAAAAGCATAAATAATAATAATAATTCTTGAAGGATTTCCTTGAAGCGAGAGAGGGCAGAAAATGCCTCGTTCCTTTCCTACACTGATCTGATTTGATCTTCTGGTTTCATCGATCCCTCTTCGCTGCTTCTGGGTCTTGCATTTTTCCTCTTCTTCCATGTCTTTCCATGCAAGTCACAGCAACAGATGTTTGGGTGAAATTACTCTGCATGAAAATGATACGCAAGTTGTTGAGCATGCCGTCCGTATTTTTTTCTCGCAAGCCACTCGTGTTCCAGTCCCTCGCACCTTTCCCTCTGCCTCCCCGTTCTGTACCGTCAATCGCATGCTCAAAACTCGGGAATATCATCACCACACATGCAGCCTGCTTACTGGTCTGTTTGAGCTTCTGAAGCTTGAAGCTTCATTCTCGAACTACACATAACGGCTTTCTCGCGTAGAATTTTATCATCTCATCGCTTAAGGTATGGAGTTTGCATTTTCTCTAACAACTTTATTCTTGTTGCCGTCGACTCCGAGTAGGTAAGCTGCTGGACCCGCTGTCTGGCGAAAAAGGCTTGGGGGCCGTTCGAGGAAGTTCGGTACAAAGGTGGAGTTTTGGTGGAGAGCTTCGGTGGAGAACAGCAGGTGCACATGGAGCATAAAGTCTTTCGAGACGTGCGGCGTATCAATTTCGTTATACGTGGACATAAATAGTATTATTATTTATATGTTCTGGAAGTAATGGACAGATGTCAAACGTTCATGTGCAGTAGTTAGTCCCTTTACATACAAGCAGAGAAAACCTTCACTCTACTACAAAAAGCGTCTAGTGAGGTGGGCGTGTGTCAAAAAAAACTCCTGCAATGCATGTTTGAAGAGCAAAGCAGCAAAGCAAAGGCCCTCAAGCATGTGTCAAAGTGAAAACCAAAGCACCCGTGCTTCGTTCCTCCGACATCACCATATCACATCTTATCACTTATCACACGTTGCTCCCATATCAACAGGGCAAAGGGAGCGAAAAGAGGCGTACTTCGAGCGAGAGAGAGCACGCATTATTGCCATGCCACTACTACCCTACCCTTTGGTGGATCGACGCAGAGCAATTTATTAAATTGATTCACGGTGCTCCTTGCTCTGCTCTCTGCCCACGGGCGCTCCGTCTCCGAGCTTTTTTGTTAGGTGCTTCGTGTTTTCTCCTTGACGTGCATACGCAAGCAAGAGGAGGGAAGGAAAAATCCCGCAAACACATCCTTCTCCCCGATCTCACTGCCCCAAAGACCATGACTCTCCTGGTCCTTTTAGATTAATTTATTGGGACTAGATGATGGAGTTGTTGTAGATAGGCCAAAAGAAGGGTTGCCTGGGGGCAGAGAGAGAGAACCTGAGACATTGATGGAGATGTAGTATATTGAAACCCGTGTCAGGATATCGGAGGCAGGTAAAAATGAGAGGGCACTTTATCTAGGTTCCCCGGAGCAAAGGGACGTCGTTCATCGTCGTCAATCGTGACAGCGGTCGGTGGTCGATGAGTCGTTCGTCAAAAAAAAAAGTCGACGCCGTCGTTTCCCTGTGCCGCAGTCTCGGGCAGAGACGGCGTGTCAATGTTTAGTCGGTCGTGCGAATCATGAGATCCTCCGGATAACAAGAGACGAAAATGGCTGACGATGGTGCAAAGTAAAACAGATTGCTCGTCGAAGGGGACCTGGAATTATTGACATGGGTGGTGCGCGAGCAAATGCAGGTACGGAAAAGTGTACAAAATGACTTTTTGTACGAGGATAGGCTTATCCAGGTGATTGGGAGTCGCACAAAGCAACAGACTCGAGTAGTGTGACATAGGGCCTCTGACGTGCCTGAAGATCGAAAAGCTGATCGTGTACATGGGTGGTAAATATGGTTCCTCAATATTTTCGCTCACTCCAAAACTATTGGAAGTCTTTCTGTGACGCTGCATGAGGTTGAACAGGTTCAGCTGTATTTATCAAGATCTTGCCCTTGCTTTCTGTCTCTATTCGGCATGCGCTGTGAGGACAAGGTACTTGGATCTTGCATAAAACGGTTCTTCTACGATGTGTGAGCAGAAACGGGTTCGCATGGGTCGCTCAGCATGAGCCCTCGATAACGGGGTTGCATGTGTTGAACGACATTGAGCCTCCACTCAGCTCCGCCTTCTACCATTGGTTTACGTGTGTGTTCTAACACTTCATCTGTGGAATCGTGTCTACGGGCGTATCTCTGCACGTTCGGCAGTCTAGACAATCACATAAAACGCCATGAGCCTGGCGAGAAGGATCAAGACCCTCTTCTCTTTTGAAGGCGTTTGTCAAAGACCGCTCTGTCACCCCTCATGGCGTTCCTTTCCCTTGTTTGTGGAGGGAAACTCTCAATCACTGTCCCGCTGCCGCAACAAGCCACCATCAACCGAACATTTGCCAACAAGTGCGGAAACTTGTTACGGCGCAGCCGCCCCAGCACGGGAGTAAACGAGCAAAATAGAGGCACGACGCGGCAAGACAGACGAAAGTACAGAACCAACACTTTTCCTTGAACCGTGAACGGAAAGATGGGGATCTTCACTCGATGCAACAGAAACAGCAAACCGCGGACCTATTTGCTTGCTGTAGGTGTTCAATAGGCCGAGCAGCGTTGGGACTCGGGGAAACTCTCCTACTGCATTTCCAATATTGCCTGACGTGTAACACCACGGACGTGCATGTCTGCTGTTGATGATGCTTTTCTGCGGGTGGAAAAAACGAAACATCTGCTGCTTGTTGGCGTGTCGCTGGCTTCTTGAGGATGGTCTTCCCAGAGCTCTGGGGCGGAAGGCGCTTGTCGGCTGTCGTGGCCCAGTCCGCGCCCGTAAATTGCTGCTTGTCTGGTTGGCTACTGTAGTGGCATGGAGAATCAATCTCGTCAGGCAAGCAGGACACGTCGACCGAGTACCTTTTGTGTATCGATCGAGGGCTTGGGAGTTGGGACAAAAGAAGAAGGTTCAATGCTTCTCGCCTTTTTGTGTGGGATTCTCGTCCGAGATTGAGACGACGATGGTTGTCCTGCCATTGCATTGTGAACCCTAGGCACGTAGGATGCCTTATCAGATCAGAGGTTTCAGTACGATGCCTGGTTGGACGTGGCAGTTGAGTACCGCAGTCCGAGTAGGGGATAATATGAGATTGCGAGTCCATACTCACTGACACCTGTCCTGCTCTGATCTTGCCTGTAACTAGTAATGCATCTTCGCACCTCTGTGTACAAGCATAAGCCGGTGGATCTCAGAGTGACACCAACAAAGCCAACTCGCCCGGCTCGCTTTCCCGTTCGCTGCAGCGGAGTAGGGTGCATGTGGGCGTGAGAACCGTGCACTCGGCATGGACTCCAGAGTGTTCAGTTGAGCTCGCCCGAAGTCGCCGAGTATTGATGTTTCTTGGTTCGTAAAGATCCACGAGGACCCAGATCGGCTTGAGCACGTAAGGCCCTGGGGTACAATCGGCAAGTGTTGAATCGATCACTCCACAAGAAACATCAAGTTGGAATTGGGAGAGCAAGATTGTGTTGAAACAGGACGGCACATTTGGATAAACATTCTGCTCAGCTTCCGGGTGCCGTTGAAGCTCGATGGAAAGAAGGTTTAGGGTCAGCAACGGTCTAACGGAAACCTGCATGATGGAACAAGTCAGTTTGAGAGACTGACAAGAGAGTCAGAAAAGCGCTGGGGATTTTGGCTGATGGCTTGCAGAAGGCAACAAGCGGCAAGAGTGGTCCTACGTTAGCGGCGCCGTGGCGCCATGACCTGGACAGGAACAGGCACCTGATATGCACGATACGGAACAGGGGACCATCAAGCATGGCGGAGCGTGGTGTCTGTGGACCTCGAGGCTCCATAAGCCGGGCCAATTTGAGAGATCAGCGCGTACCGAGTGGTGCACAAAGCGTTCGGTCCCAGGAAGCTTTGGTTCGATTTGCAGAGCGAGATGGGCCCTGCCTCCCCATGCCCCATGCTGTGTGATGACTGTGAATAATAATAAAGAGTACGAGTAGCGAGTACTCGACGCCTGCAGAAAGCCATCAAAACACTGGCCATCTCCTACCTCGACGACATCGAGAACCCCGTTTGTTCCTTCCTGCAGTTTGCAAACAAAGCTTCCACGCTGTTTCCCTTTTTCTGTCGCGTGCTGGATACATAGCCAAACACTCTTTCAAACATTCAGTCTTTACCCATTGGCCGTGCCAACTCCCTTTCGAAACATAACCAACCAGCCTTCAACCTCTTCAAATACCACTCGAGTCCAGGTCTGAGACTTGGCAAGTAAGAAGGAGCGTTTGCTTGGACGTTTCGTCTCGGCTTCAGACAAACCGTCGTGTCTCTCTGTCGGAAAACCGTTTGGTGCTTTCCTGTCCGATGACATAGCAACACTTTATCCCCTCACAACGACATACAAAGCAGAAACATCTCGCCTCTCACCGCTCAGTCGAGTACTACCCTTCTCTAACATGGACACTATGGAAAACGCGTCGCACTCGCGTGCCAACTCTGCGGATCACCACGCTTATGCACTTATCCTGGAGCACATCCTCAATAACCCAGCCTCGTACGAGCTGCCTCTGCGCACTATGTACACCATCAACTCCACACCCGCAACACGTGCTGGACACTCATTTTCCCACTCTCGCACACGCGAGAACTCAATCGACTCGCGTGCCAGCGATTCGCCAACGTCGCCAAACTTCCCTTTCCGCAATGACACGGCTGCCGAATCTCTCACCACCAACCTCATGGCACAAATGGCCAACCTTCCATCGCAACCAACTTCACTACCGCCGTCTTTCATCACCGCCTTTCTGCGCAAGGCCTTCTCCGCCGACCTCCGCTTTGTCGACTTCCCTCAAGCATTGACCGGCCTCGACTACCTCAAGGACCTTGAGACCAGAAGACGCAGGGAAGTCGCTGCCGCACTCGAGTGTCTGGGCATCAACCGCGATACTATCGGTGCTGCGGAGGAGGAGCTTTCCAGACGCTTCCCTGGCGTGCTTTCATGGTTCCGTACACTCGAAGAGAAGGAGCGTAAGATTGAGGCCCTCTACACACAACTCTACGTCGCCCTTCGCCGATGGGTGCTCATCAACGAGCTCTCATTGACTCCTTTCAACAAGCACAACTGTGTCGCCATGCTCAACACCCTCTACCCTCCCATCGTCTCCACCCAGCCTACCTCCAAGCTCACCCCTGGCATCCTGAAGAAGCAACGCGACACTTTCTTCAAGTATATCCAAGCTGTCGAGAAGAGTGGTCCCTCGGTTCTGGTCAACCTCATTCAACAAGGCAAGAGGCCTACTGACGAGAACGGTTGGGCCTCAACTCGCAACACCCTCGACATGTATTTGCAGGTCGCCAACAGCCTGATCTCCGAATGCCAGGAGATTCTTTATACTGACGCAAACACCGTCCCCGACTCGGCCGAAACCAAGCGTAAGGGTCGTAAGGTCGACTCTGGCATCAGCTTCCCCGAAGCCGAACAACGCCGCCCTTCTTCTAGCAGCAGCAAGAGCAGCAAAAGCTCCTTCTCGGAAGATGTGCCTGCCAGTGAGATGCGCCGCAAGTCATCCTCTGGTATCCTTAGATCATCAGGCCTGATGAAGTTCGCTCGTGAGATGAAGCTAGGATTCCCTAGGACCGATGTCGACGAGATGATCAAGCCATCCAACCCTACCCCCACTCCTTCCTTCCCCGATGTCGAGGCACCTGCACCCGACAGATCCTCCAAGAGCCTGCGCAAGATTCGCAGCTTCAGCAACCTCGGCGGCCTGCGTTCTGCCAACTCAAGTTCAACCTCCTTGGCCAGCAGTGGTCACCGCAGCGATGTCCCTCACTTCGACGCCGATGAGATGAAGAGACAACGTCTCATCTACGAGGCCAATGCCGCCAAGCAACAAAAACCTTGAAGTCGGCTGTCTCTATCGCACACAACAAACACAAAACCATGTCCTACAGTAACGACCTTTATGACCTCAACCGCCAGCATCTGCGACCAATGTTTCCTTTGTTCCGAATTATACCCCTTTGCCGTTGTACAAATTCTTGCGACCGATGCCTACATTTTGAAAAAGGCACACATGTCGTCGACTACTTGTTGATGACTATGCATCACGTTTCTTTCTTTCTTTCTTCTCATCATCCTTGTCAAGGCGTTCTCGAGATATGAAAAGGGATCGGGAAAAATGGGAGGCTAGCATTTTTGGAAGGAAAAGGAAAACCAAAAAGTGATTCCGGTATGTGGAAAGACGGAGTCCAAAAATGGCGTCTCTTCTCTTTTTGAGGTTGTGGCCGGCGATGTCACGCCTCCTGTCTGATACACATGGATTGATGAATTGGGGAAATGAAATGATCCATAACTCTTTTCTGCAAATACAAGTACAGAAATGTACATATCTCCAAAACTCGCTGCGCAAGCTCTTCCTTGAACATCCCTCTTCTAAGTCTCAGGTGATTGTCCCTGTTTGCATGACTATCGTTTCGTGTGTCGGTCTTTCTCCTAGCAATGACTCGCTCAGGGGTCTTGGTTACATGTCCGTCTCCAGCTCTGTCAAGCGTCTTCCACCTCTAAATTAGCCACCCTTCAACGGTGAGCTAGTTTTAGATATGTAGATCCTATGTCGTTGAGTATCTGTCGACCCGGTACGATCTCCGAGAAGTCATAGAGTCAGTAGGTTCGACGGACAGCTGTTGTGGATAGAAGATGCTTGAGAACATGTTGCTGCCGGTACAACCCTGGTGTTACTTCTGATCCGATATCGCAGATACCCGGTGCTTCGTAACTCCGAAGTGTATATGCCTGTAGATTTCAATGCTGTCAACAGCATCCGACAGCACGGCATCGTACCTTGCAGCCCTGTAGTGTTGTGCAAGAATCGCCACAGTTGAGCTTCCGGCTATTGTCGTTCAGCTGGTGTGACAAACTCGAGTCCTCGAGTCCTTTCGAGGACAATGCAAGTGGAATGGTCGGAGGAACGTTTATCCTGCGCCCTACGGTTGAGCGATCTCCAGACTGCGTTCGGTGAGTCAGCTTGCTTTCGAGTCACAGTATCAACATCCAAACCAACTTCCTACATAAGAGCTTGAGAAACACAGCTGCCTTTGCTTCTTGCCTTCTCCAAGTACAAGCATTGCTCTCCTATAGCAAGAAGCATCGGGATCTTCTCTACTTCGTGGCCGCACATCTTCATACCCTCCCAGCAGCTCACTACCCACCCACAAGAGCGTTCATCTTAGACAGCCAGCGTCAGTTCATATCAAAATGGCGAGCTTGCAATACACTACCCTTGATGTCTTCACCACGAAGAAGTTCGCTGGTAATCCATTGGCGGTCTGCAAGATACCATCCGGTGTGACTCTCACTCAGGAGCAAAAGCAGACCATCGCCGTCGAGTTTAACTACTCGGAAACGACTTTTGTTCACCCTTGCTCGAACGAAGGCAGTGAGGTTCCGGAATGGCAGGTCGATATCTTCACTGTCAAGACCGAGCTGCCTTTTGCAGGCCATCCCACCATTGGAACTTGCTGCCAAATGCTCGGACAGGCTGGCAAGACTAAGGGCAAGTTCAACGTCAAGGCCGGCGTCATCGAACTCGACTACGTGGATGGTGTAGCGAAGGCTTCCATCCCTCACAACACTCATGTTCACTCTTCGACCGACTTGTCTTCTTCCCGCATGCTGGAATGGCAGTCTGGACTCAAGTCCTTCTACCAGTCTGGCGACTTAAAGCTCGATGTCGTAAGCCCCGTTAAAGGCATGAACTTTGCCGTCGTCGAGCTCAAGAGCCTGGAGGAGTTGGCGGCTGTCACCCTGCCTGGCACAGAACTCGACTTCTCTCTTGACCAGGACTGGAACGTCGGACCGTGCTTCAGCAAGTTTTACGTCCATATGCCAGACCAGGGCGATGGCGTTAAGAGATTGAGAACCAGAATGATTGAGGGCAGCTTCGAGGACCCAGCGACCGGATCTGCATGCTGCGGTCTTGCAGCATATTTGGTGCTGAAGGAGGGCGTCAAGGACGGAAAGGTCAAGTATGAGATCCTGCAGGCTGTTGAGATGGGAAGACCCAGTGACATTGGTGTGGAGGTCGAGGTAAAGGGTGGTCAGATCCAGACTGTCGTGCTATCTGGAAGATCAGTCAGTGTCATGGAAGGCAAGATCTTCTACGAGTAGGTGGAAGTGTTGAAATGGTCGAGCTTCATACGAGTTGGGTCGACCAATACATGCTAGTCAACAAACGATCAACGACCGTCACACCTCCTTTAGACTAGCCTCGTCTCGATGCTCGATATCAAGCCACGACCAATCAAAAGTTGACGCAACGACAAGTGAGATAGCAGAAAGCGAACGCAGCCCCAGACGCACATCGTTCGTTGTGTGTCGACTAGGGCCCACGCAGCAATTTCCATCTATATTTGAACCCAACACAGGAACAACTACCAACAAAACTGCCAATACAACGCGGCGACCAGATCCTTAAGTGTTCCACCCCTAAAGACACGATCACTGCGCGATTCGTTCTTACCATCTGATTACACAATTATCTCAGGAGCAAGGTAGAGAAGACCCAGTCTTTCAATCTTCTGTTCGCTTACACCCATTAGATATATCCTCCACGTCGCCATGGCACCCAATGGTCAGGCCGCCTCTCGACCCGGAGCCATGCCACCCGAACGCCCAATTGGTCTTTTTGTCAAGCCTTGCAAGACCGATAAATCGAGTCTCTCCGAGCTGGGCAGTTACATTCGCGCACGTGTTAAGGAGTGCGAGAGCAGACGATCGATCTGTCATTGCCTCTACAAGGACTATGACGTTCGTGAGCTTGATGACAAGACCATTGTCAAAATCACTTGGGGAAAGCCATCGAAAGACACCCCCTCGGAAGAGGAGATCACTCGTCACAAGAGAGCGTGCAAGAAGCTGTACAAGCTTTTGCGTAAAGACAGCCTCACACGTCACCCCTATCTCACCTGGAATAACGACGACCTCAAGGCTTGCCTCAGGCAGCGTGGAATCACCATCCCTCGCCCGTACGTCAAGGCGAACTACGTCAAAGCTTTGATGAGAAAAGACAAGGCTCACACTTTCCGCTTCATGGACTTGCCCATGGAGCTCCGCTACATGATATACAACATGGCCCTCCAGTTCGACACGGAAGAACCAAGCCGACCCGGTGATATGGTTTACAGCGAGATGGTTAAGCCAGCTCTGCTGCAGACCTGTCGCCAGATCCGTCAAGAAGGCTCAGCCATATTCTACAGGATCAACCGTTTCTTCCTCTGCTACCAAAAGGACGAAGTGCTTCGCTTCGATCCAGAATACCTACAATGGATGCTAGACCATGTCGGCACCGAGAACCTTGAGAATCTCCGCTATGTGACGCTCGTAGCGTTCCGCCCTCGTCACAAAAAGCGGTTCGTCATCGACATTGATCTACACTGCCGGGACCCTCGCAAATGGATCGTTCGTAAAATTTCTAAAAACAAGCACATCTGCAGCTGCAAGTACTTCGTGAACGGAGAGTCTCGCCCGATCTTGTCACAGAGCGTCAGAGAAGATTCGCTCTCGGCAAGCCCTGAGACTGTGAATGCAAGCATAAGAATCGCGAACGAGGCAATCGAAAAGCTTTGGGAGACATGCGGTGGTGGTGGAAAGCTGAGGCTCACAGTCGCCGCACTCTCAGATCTTGCCCTTGAGGCTGTAAAAGTTGTCAAAAACCTGAACGCTTGAAATGGAGGACAAGGACAGAACAGAAAAGAAGGCAGAGTAGATGATAAAGGACACACGAATAGCGAGAGATGTACAGAAGTATGAAACAATAATGCCTTGCCACAGTTCTATACAACTTCAATCGTACTCCAGCCTCCCACCGCACCTCGCTAATCGACTGTCAAAATGGACAATGCTTTTCATAATCGGATGAGAGTCCAGCGAGAGCAGCATATGTACGAGCTTTCTCTGGACAATCACACTGGAATGAAAATCATCCTACATTTTCATGATGGTAGACCAACTCTGCTGACAAGCGGGAGCATAGCAGAAAATGGCGATTTGGTGTAACATAGCTGCCTTCACTTGTGGAAGTCACGCTCACTCGACCATTTCACGTGCAACTTCCGAATTTGTTCCCCTGGGAGTTCTCCAAGCTCACACGTGGTTTCCTCTTTATCTTTGTTGGCTAGACTAACCAGTTGATCATCCGCACTTTCACACTGCCATCGACACCGAACAAAGGTAACTATCCCAGTCTTGGAGTTCGAGTATCCAGCAATAGATTGACACTGACATTCATCTTCTCTATAGTCATGACCCGCAAACATCGCGTCAAGCGCGGCCTCCAGCCTCACAACCCAAAGGAAACCAGGATCAAGACGCTTGTTAGCTATTTGGAAGCTCGAATCAAAGAGTGCAAACGTCGACCGTCGATCTCGTCATGTGCGTATTCGGCTTACGACAAGGACTTTGATGATGAGTTTGAGGATAACGAGTTTTCAGATCTTGACTGGCTCCGAAACGCCTGCAGCGAGTTGTACCAGCTTCTCGTCGACGACAACTTCGGCCCATACATCGCCTTTTCCAGGTCAGATCTTGCTCAATGTCTTCAGCAGCGCCAAATTCGCTTGCCCAAGTTGAGCAACCGAAAGACATACGCCGGTGCTTTGCAGAAGGCAGACGCCGAACTTCGATTCCGGTTTTTGGATCTGCCCAAGGATGTTCGTCTCAAGATCTATCATTCAGGTTTGCTCAAGGACATGGCCGAACACCAATGTGCTTACCATGGCGAGCGACAGATGCGTCGAAATATGATCAAGTCTCCGCTGTTGCAGACGTGTCGACAGATTCACTTGGAGGCTACACCCATCTTCTACCACATCAATCGTTCCCCGCTAGAATGCAGCAAGACTCCAGACCTCGAATGCGCGGCGAGGAACCAAACGCTGGCTATCAATACTTGAAAACGCCCATGCCATCAGCAATCACATCAACGACATCCGCCATATCACATTGATCATGCAGTGCTGCAGAGAACATCCGATAGATCATGTCAAGATTGATCTCGGACTCAGAAACTCAAAGCATTGGTTCACTTGCACAAAGCGAACAACGTACAAGAAACCGCTCAGAGGCTGCATATACAGATTCCCCGATCGCCTGGTCTGCCATGACCGGACTCTCGCGCCACCCGTTTCACTTGCTCGGTGGTCAAAGCAGATTGTGTCTGACGATTTCTCCTCTGACGAATCCGAAATTGACGACGATGACCCTGGTGAATCTTCCTCCGGCGAAGTTGCAAACGATAGGCCTTCAAAAGGCATGAAAATGAGTGCTGAGAACTTTGCTGCTGCCGAGGTTGCGGTAGATGAGCTGTGGAAGACCTGCGGACAGAGCGGGCACATGGTTCTCACCCACGATGGGTTGCAAAACCTATGCGAAGCGGTACAAAAGATTGCCAATGACATGTGTCGAAGAGCATAGAGATGAACAATGGGTACTGAAGACACAACTGCAGCGATACACAACATGTGCCAGAAGTTCAGCAACACTCATCGAGAGCTCGGCGAATCATCTCACTCTGAATATCGCCACAGTCAGCAAAATCTTGGCCTTGCAGTAGGTAGAAACCTAGGAATAGACGAGGAAGGAGCCCAGGGCACCTGAATTTAGGATTAGTTCAGAACCAGACACTCAATCAGACATCATGCATCATATACTTACCAAACTGCCAATGTATCTCCCAACAACATCTCATGTACTGCGATGTCATTCAGAAGTCTCCCATGTTCCGCTTGAGGATGATTCGCCAAAAGTGTAACCTCAAGCTCAGGGCAGGGCGACGACGAACTTTTTCTAGATCGATGTGCGAGAATGCTATGCGGTTTCACGAGATTTGAGAAGTTCTTCTCATATCGTTCATCTGGGCTGTGTTGAGCCGGTATCATCCTCACACCAATACTGAATGCTATCAAAAGCGAGCGGGCCAATTCCAGCAGACGGATCGAATTCACGATAAAAGGCGCTCGAGGACCGGTAGGTCGTCGAAGGTACAGAAGGGAAGAACATTTCACACACGAGGGAGTCGTGTTCTAGGCAAAAGCGAATTGAGGGGGGCTCGAGAAGTAGGGAATATCGAGTCTTGTTGTACACTTGGGAAGACTAGGTAAAAGAAGAAGAGCAAAAGGAAAAGTGCAAAATACGCAGTGCAGTGCAGCATTAAGCAGAGAAAAGCAGACCAAACTTGCAAAAGACCATGATCAAGTGGAAGGAACCATCAGGACCGGAAGAAAACGCCATGAGCAATCGAGGGCAGTATCACGAAACGCAAAAGAAGATCAACCTGTCAATGCTTCATTGCATTGGACGAAAGCCTGTGATTTAGACTTCCATGTCGAGGAAGATCCACTTGTCACTGGTACAGTGGGCTTCTTTTGACCAGCGGGCCAGGGTAGTAAGCTCGAAGCCGACCCAGCCGAGGTCGCGAGTCAAGTCTTTGAGGTCTTCTTGATCGGCAGAGCGATCAAGACAGACGACGAGGTTGGAGCAGCCAAGGTCATCGTTACCTGCCAGTTCCAGAAGGCACATGAGGCTGAATATCTGATTAGTGTGTGTTAAGTGTGATGACAGTGGGAAGAGACGTACCCGTTCTTGAGGTCAGGTCCAATGACGGACTTGTCGAAAAAGACGAATAGGGTGCTAAGTCCATTCTTGTCGGAGACGAAACCGCGGAAGCGCAAGCCAGCAGCATACTCCCAAATCTCAACCCACTCGCGCACAGAGCTGGTAGGACCAGCCATGTCGATGGCGCTGTCGGCCGAGGGCGAAGGAGAAGGCAGCGGGGCACTTCTGTCGGTGTTCATCTTGTTGTTGTAACGCATACCCATCACAAGCGAGTCCTGAGCGACGGTGTTTCCCTCACCAAGAAAAACGGTGTCCAGTGTCTCGCAGAAGAGTCTCTCACATTCTTCCGTGATGGTGTATGCGGCGCCTCCGCTGCGCGAGCGAGCCTTGAGACCCGGGCGCTGGGGCGACGACGAGGCCCTGTTGGCGGGCGTCGCGCGCGGAGACGGCGGCGGTGACGGTATTCCCGTGCTCACCTCAAACCCACCACCCCGCTCCTGTAGTGCCAACACTTGTCAGCCAGTGCGTCTTTCACCAATAAGAGTGAATTAGAATTAGTACGTACCGCCTGCCCCGCAGGTAGAGTAGTGGAAGCCCTTCAGGGCCATGTCGACGGCATCGACGGTGTAGGCGCTGGCCTGGATGTTCGAGCGGGCGGCGACTTCCTTGGTCGCCTGGTAGTAATTACTACTACTATTACGGTGTTGATTGGAATAATTCGCCATTGAAAGAGTATGCCACGATTGCGTACGGGGCTGGACGGTTCGAAAGGGTTGTCGGAGACGAGTGCGTGAGACGTAGAGTCTTGCGAAGAGTTGCGAGAGCGAGGGCGAGAGCGGTGGTGAAGGTTTATGGAGTGGTTTGGTTGCGGTTGGAGCGAAGGAGGATGCGCAGGGCTTGTACAGGATTTATGAATCGTCGTCGGACTCTTCGAGAAGTCACGACTGCCCTGTGCCCCGCTCACGTGATGTCTCATTCTTTATCCCATCCCGAACTCTATTGATGACAGGATAGTCTTGTCTAACGGCTACCGTCTTTACGTTTTACTTCACTCGTCACCTAAGACTTCCGAGAGACCTTCGACTGTCCTTGTGATGCTTGTGGAACGCACCCTCGACTTTGCTTAGGTCTGAACTCTGAAGCCTGACTCCGCTTGACCGCAAGATTCGTGTCACACCATCAAATTCGCAATGACATCAAAGAATAGTCTCACATGCCTCACAAGAGAATTTCAACTTTTAATCCACAAAGGTGTTGTACGGAGTAATGGACAGGCACAGTGTTTTTTTTTTTTGACATGCCTTCATGACTTTGTATTTACAAATGGATAGTTGGTATCCATTATCGATAGAGAATGTGCCCGCAGCTTTCCTACCGAATGTCCCAATTCCTCCTCTCAATAGTGATCCCAGTAGTGATCAAGGCAATTGAAGCCTCTGATAATGCCACCAACGCCAACGCTTGATAATGAAATGCATGGATCCAGCTGAAAATGTCTGGCATCCAAAAGAAAAATAAAGAACAGAAGAAAGTTGTACACCTCACATCTCGCGATAGTCGACTGATCGCTGTCTGCGGTTGCGTGCTTGGTGACGATGCGGGTTGACTGGACGGCGGATGTATGCGCCATCATCGCCTTCTCCCTGCGGCTGCTGCTGTTGTTGCTGTTGCTGCTGGTTGTTGCTGGTTGCGTTGTTCCAGTTCTGGTTGCCTTGCCATTGTTGTCCTTGTCCTTGTCCGTAGCCGCCGTTCTGGCCCATCATTTGGTTGTTGTAGCCTCCGCCATACATGTTTCCTCCACGTTGCTGCTGTTGTTGCTGAGGGAAGCCCATGCCGTTCATGCCGTTGTTCATGTATCCCATACCTCCCCATCCGCCGTTCATCATCATCGGGTTTGGCATGCCCATCATGTTCATCGGCATTCCCATCATACCAGGGAAGCCCATGCTCATGGCTGGATTGAAGTTGCCCATGCCTTGCATGCCCTGCTGGTTGGCAAGAGCATTCATGGACTGGATGAAGTTGTTCTGGTCGAAACTTCCTTGAGCCGGAGGTTGAGATGCATTGTTCTGCTTGCGCATAGCGGCAGGACCTGTGGGGATTCTAGAGTTCTCCAGCTCTTCTTCGGCGGGACGCTTCTTGGATTCTGTAGCGGCAGCCAATTGTGGGGTCGAGGTAGCGGACTTTTCTCCGTTTGCAGATGCTGGCTTTGGTGAGTTTGACTTTCTGTCGGTTGCGGTAGCAGCTTCCTTGGTAGATTGCTGCTCCGTAGGTGGTGGTGTAGCAGACTTCTCCTTTTCCTTCTCCAGCTTCATCTTTGCCTTGTCCTCTTCGTAGACTTTGATCTTGGTTACGGCTTCTTCATCAGGGATGAGGTTGTCAACTAGTGTGTTGTCCGAAGAGCAACCGGGGCAGACAAAGTCATTTTCAAGAAGAGCATTCTCGATACAGTCACGGCAATATGTCTTCCCACAGCAAGGTGTTTTCATTGGATCGACGAACATGCGTTTGTCAATAGGACATTCCAAGCCTCTCTCGCTCAATTCCTGACTTCCTGTGTTGGCAGCTTCGGCCTTGTCGGCTGCTGCCTTGGCCTTGGCCTGGAACTGCTCCCATGCAGCCTCGTCTGGCCTTGCAACAACCCACTCTCCAGTAGCCGTGTACATGACACCGGCAGGCAGCTGGGAGATGTCGACGGTTCCATCGCTTGACAATGCAGTGGGCTTCTCGACGACCTTAAGGAAGGAGCGCGGGATACCAGTTGTGCGTCTGAACTTGGGACGGTTCTCGAAGGCGGGGTCGTTGTTGGTGGGGCATGCTTGAATCCAGTGACCCTTCTCACCACAGCGGTGGCAGGTGTAGCCTGGAGGAAGAGGCTTGTCAGGGACGTTCGCCATCTTGTTGAAGCCGCCAGGGCGGTGGACAGCCTTCTGATTGGCCATCTCTTGCTGTTGTTGTTCCCAGGCAGCACCTCCGGCTTGGAACATGGCCGCGATCTTCTCTTCTTCGGTCATGTTCGAGTTCGGGTCTTGAGCGGCGCCGTTAGCCATGGGTGTTCTGGATGCGGCTGCAAACTTAGAGGGTTCGATTCGGTGTTGATTCTTTGCCATGACGGGCATCTTGCCGGAGACATAGCGCGCGGCCCTACCAGCGCCGGGCTTGGTAGCAGGTAGGCGTCTGGCAAGAACAGTGGTTCCACGGGAGATGATAGATGTGTCATCGTTGTACTCTGGTCGGAATTAGTTAGTTGTACACGAAGACCATGTCAGTCCATGACTTACCTTCGTTGGTGTCGAGGTTGTAGATGTTGAAGTCGAAGTCAGTGCCATCGCCGAGTCTGCTCATGTTGATTATGTCTCTCTTGAGCTCAAAGACGGAGATTCCAGTGCCATCAAAGGTCACTCTCTGCACATCCTTCTGGTTTTTGAACCTGAAGAAAACGGAAGAAGACATGGTTAGGATTACCGCAAGGGACGAGTAAAAGTTAGAGGCAGAAGTACAGCCGAGAAGAGAGAAACCAGATGGATTCCAGGCTCAGATTGTCAAAGAAGGACAATAGGTCTTATTGAGATTTTGCCTCGTGCGATTTCCGACTATGGTAAAATGCTTCTTCTTGACTTTTTTTCAGGTTTAGGACGTCTTCAAGACGCTAAACACTATTGGAATAGAGTTGGGGTACAAGATCTCTGAGTAAAGGGGGAAAAGTGTATTGGTGATGTGAAGACTTCAGGGCAAAGGTTTTGTATGTGGATATGCAACATGCACAGTCGCAGTCTTGTCCCTCCTCTCAGACCAACTCCTCAAACACTTCCACTTGCTCGTGTGAAGATCTTGCGCGGCTGACTCACTAGGCGACGACGGCGCGTTGCTGGCACTTGTCGACGGGCGCGCACGGGGATATGTGTCTGTGAGCGTATTGTGTGATTGTTCGAGACGAGTGCGGCGGCCGTGGTGGATGAGTGTCGGTGAATGTGTCGCGGTGTTGATGGAAGACAAGGGAAGGATGTCTTGAGGGCGAAGTCCAGCTGAGGCCAAGAGTCTGAGACCTTCCTTCACTCTTAGTCAGCCGCCGGCTTCGGAAGAACTTTCCCGGCTCTTTCCGAAAGCGGACAAGCACACTCACTCAAGTACCTACTTCTCGCTACCTACTCACTTTGAGCAAGCAGGCTGTCAGTCAAGATGATATTACCGATATCACAGACTGAAGTCGGCGAAGGAAAGAGCAACGAGAAAGATACCGGCGGGATCTCCACATGTCTCGACTTAATGTGATGCAATGAATTCAGCATGTGGTTTCATGTTCAGCTCTTTGTCTCAATGTCTACAAGCAACTGAAGCTATTCTTGTATAGAATATTTTACGTTTTGTCTGACAGGCCTAGTCTATTTGTGCTCAAGGAATGGTCACAACTACCTTTCCAATTGCCTTGTTGTCCTCCATGTATTGATGTGCTTCTCCAACATTTTCCAGAGGGAACGTCTTGTCGAGGAACATCTCTGGTTTGAACGTTCCAGATTCTACCTTCTTAACAATTTCTCCCACAACCTTCTCTACGCCCTCGGCTTCTTCCTGTCCAGGTTCCAAGCTATAAAAAGTCATCTTCCTGGTAGGTGGGATCAGAGCAGGTGTGAACTCTTTCATGGCCCATTGCTTGGTCAAGACACCAGTCACCACGACAGATCCGTGTTTCGCGAGATTTGGCAGGGCCAAAGATTGGATGGTGTCAGGTCCCACCAACTCTAGCAAGCAATCCACGCCTTTCGGGGCCAGCTTCTTCAATTGCTCGTTGAGCTCGTGTTCCAGAAGGACGTGGTCGGCTCCGACCGACCTGAGCTTTTCAGCCTTCTCCTGCTTGCGGGTTGTAGCAATGACGGTGCATCCTCGATCTTTGGCCAGAAGAATGGCCCACACACCCACGCTGCTCGTCGCTCCGTGTACGAGGAGGGTCGCACCTTTAGTAAGTTGGCCTGCCTCGAATAGCGACCCGTATGCTGTCCACATAGACATTGTGATGGCTCCTAACGTCTCCCATGAGAGCGAAGTCTGTGGCAGCCTGAAGCAACGTTCAGCTGGACAAATGACATATTCGGCATATGCTCCATCAAAAGCCTTGCCTCCTCCATAGATGAATCCAGTGCATAGCTCTCCTTTGCTGAACTTGGTATCAGATCCTGCTTCCTCGATTGTTCCTACAAACTCCTCGCCTATACTGCAATTTAGCTTGGCCACTTAAAGACACATCATAGAGTAACGCACCGAGGATTTTTGGAGGATCAGGATGAAACTCGTCGACGAACATTCCGAACTCTGGTGGTGCCGGCTTGTCGCCGTTTCGGCCACGGAGCTCCGCACGGTTCAATCCAGCAGCCTTGACCTTGACCAAGACCCAATTCTGTGATGGAAGCGTAGGCTTTGGGTAGTTCCTATCCATCGTGAAGCATTTCGATGGTCGATCCGCGCCTGGTGATGACAATACTGCAGCAATCATCTTGCCGCTAGGCGTATTCTCCCAGGAAGGCATGGCTACACGGTGACTCTTCAGTAAGCTTTAAGTTTTTGTATGTGTCGAGAAGTTCAATAGGGAAAGATGTGTACGAACATCCAGACAGATAGCCGTCTGGTCAAAGTGACATCATCATCGGCTGTCAGTGCATGTCATTACCTGCATAGCATCTCAAGGCCTCATAACCTCTATCGCGTGTCAAGTCAATGATATACAGAGCAAAGTGGAAATCATGAGTTAGTACACCTATCCACCTACGATCATTTCGAAAGTTTCTCGCAAATGTTCCCAGGGTATCCTTGATCCAAAGAGGGTTTCCCATGCGTGTATTTGGCCAACTCAGCGGATGTCTCGCTCGTTCTCTCCTCTGTAAACAGCACATGCAAAAACAGCGATCCCCTGATTTCACTCGTATCGAGTGAAACAGCAGAGTAAATTGAACAAGCGCAGCTACTGCGTTGAAAGAATCCTTGCAAGGCATACATGAACACAGCTTCTCCTGCTACACAAGGCAACCGAGCCTTTCAGCTATGGTATAATTGCAAGGTGTAAACCATTCGCTGGTGGACAAGGTCTGCATGAATTGCAACGTGATGGTTTTGCGGTAGGGTCTTAGAGAAGCCTTCATGAAGGTGCGGATGCGAGTGGTCGAAATTGAAAAGGACGAAGAGCGCTTGAGGATTTTTCAGATATGATACATGAAAGGACAAAACGAGTCTAATGGCGGTCGAGAAAACAGGCGAAAGGAAGCGTCTACTCGTCGTCGGACTCCATGTACTTGTGCTTGAGGTCCTTCCATTGGCGCTGAATGTTTGGTCAGCAGATGAGCGACGGCGATTGGCGTAGGAGAAATGAGGTTGACATACGCCCTTGTTGACGGTGTTCCAGACGCTGTTGGAGGCGTTGTCGAAGGCGCTGCGACAGAGTTAGAACAAGGCCGGTGGATTGTATAGTGGATTGGGGTGATTGCGTACATCTCCATGCCGAAAGCGCTGACAAAGACGACGCTGAGGAAGACGTAGTTCTTGCGGAAGATGGTGCTGTTGGGAAGAGTCAGAGAGTGGTCGAGAATGGCCGAGGTCGTGCATCGAAGACTGACTTGTAAACACCCTGGAGAGCCTGCGATCGGGGTTAGCAGCAGACAACGAGGAGCGCATGAGCAATGGTCTTACGGAAGGGGCCATTGTGAAGAGTGGACGAGTGAGACTGGACGTGTAAGGTGGTGAATCTGCGACTGCGACGACGACGAGGGAAGCCGCCGCCGAACGAGACCGTGCCAACTTCGACATGGTCAGCAAAGCTCGGACCTCTTGGCGTCTTTCTGCTTGCTCCGACGCGGTTTCCATATCAACTCGAGCCCTCGAGTATCTGTCTAGTCACGACTCCTCCATTCGTGTACTCTCTTGAGCAGACTCGACTCCACTGGCGTCAAGATGCCTACTGAACCAACAAACGTGTCCCGCGCCGGCATAACCACCTCAGCATCCGGCGAGCGACACATCCCATCCTCCGTACGACCAGATGGTTCCGTAAGAAAAGAAATCCGCGTACGCCCTGGTTATCGCCCTCCGGAAGATGTCGAGCTCTACAAGAACCGTACTGCCGAAGCATACAAGAATCGCACCAAGGGTGGTGTTCCAGGCGCTGATACTGCCTCTGCCCCAGCCGACGCCCCTTCTGCCAATGCCAATAAGAATGCAAAACGGAGAGAGGCCAGGAAGAAGGCTGCCGCTTCCGCTCCCAGCAGAGATGAATCCGCTGCCTCAGTTTCGTCAGTGAAAGAACCTGCGGCTCCCGTGGAACCTGTCAAACAGGAGCCTATTGACCCCGAGGCCGAGAAGACGAAGGAGGCTAAGAAATTGGCCAAAAAGCTCCGTCAGGCACGCGACCTTCAAGACAAGAAAGAAAAGGGTGACTCTCTGCTTCCCGAACAATTCCAAAAAGTTATCAAGATCAATGAGCTCGTTCGACAACTTGAGAACCTGGGCTTTGATTCCAATGGAGACAAGAAATCGACACATGCCGAATCATGATTAAACCATATCTACTATTATCGCCATGACGCTCATCGTATCGTATTCCCCGAAAGGTGTCTCATACCGTACGTGCACCTCATCTACCATAACATGCAGCATACTGCCTCTTCCGCCGCCAATTCTCGAAGCGACCTGTCGACGCAGTTCGTCAACTGCTTGCGTTTGTGACCAAAACTCCACGCTGTTGACCTCTCCAGTCAGCTCGATCGCGATGGGCTTTTCGTCATATTCAGCAATCTTGTAAGACCCGGATAGGTCTACATCCTTGTCAGAAGCCTCATCTGTTTGCCTGGAACTTGGAAACTCACTGCAGCCGTGTCCAGAAGGTATGACTACCAGTTTGGTCTTGGAGATGCCGTACAATGCGCGCTGTTCCAGCGCTGCGTGAATCTTCTCTGCCGCAGCAGACACCAACATAGATCGAGACGCTGTAGCTTGATCATCCAGATTATATGGTCGGTTCGTCATCTTCACGTCTTGAAGTTTGCGACCACTCGACCCGCCCGAGTACTCTTCTTCATACGGCGGTGGATTCTCGTCCATCGTGTGCTTCGATGCTCGAAAGTTGCGACTGGCGTCTAGAGATGCTGACGTTGATGTTGGAGTGGACCGGTGATCCAGGCTGATTTTTGCGCTCCGAAATTGTGCCTGAAAGTTCTCAAGCTTGTGAGCTTTATCGAAGATGGTTGACCGGCGCAGTCAGGTGCCTGATTTTACCTTCCAGGCATCTTCTCGAATCCTTCCAACGAGCTTCTGGATGATCGGCTCTGACTGAGCCTACTCACAGCCGAGTGGCTTGGCAGACCAACCACTGTGGAGCAACCTTCAGCACGACCTCTATCATGCTCAAGCCAAGACTCGTTCTTGAACTTCAATTCCGAAAACCTCGGAACAAGGTGCCGAGTAACCACTTGGCTGGTCATAGCTGGTCGCTGCTGGTACAACGCGCCTGGTCTCCTGAGGAGTAAAGAGCATCTAAACAACCACCTGACTCGCTTCAGCACCGACCTGACACTATTGAGTGTCTATGAGATGCCGGAGTCAACGGCAATCCTCCAAGGCCGCATAGCGTGGCTCATCTCAAGGCATGTCAGCCTATCCACAATCTCGGGGCAGCTTCGCCATGCGAATGCCTGGTCACCCGCCCAGTATGACTGGTTCAGCTCAAGTATATAAGATCACTATTCACTCCTTCTCTTCATCTTTACTGTACCACAAATTCAGCTCAACCTTTCCCAAATCCAAGTCACATATTCTATCAAGATGGTCTGGGGATATCATGCGGCAGAGCCCAACTCTTACCTCGTCATTACTGGCGCAGGTGTGAGGGGACTCAAGCTCACGAAGAAGGCAATGGTCTTCCCTTTCCAGAAGGTTACCAAGATCTCAGTCACCCCCTTCCATTTCACCACCGATCTACAGGCCATGACATCCGAAAAGCTGCAGGTCTGTCTGCCAGCCGTCTTTACAATCGGGCCAAAGGATGAGGAAGAATCTCTCAGGAAGTATGCCGGTTTGATGACCGACAGCGCGGCAGATACCGTAGTCGCTGGTCGCGAGCACATTCAAGCCATCATCATGGGTATTGTCGAAGGCGAAACTCGTTCAATCGTCTCGAACATCACCATGAAGGAACTTTTCGAGAAGCGCACCCTCTACAGGAAGATGGTCGTCGACCACGTTCAGTCCGAGCTCACCCAGTTTGGTCTGCACATCTACAACGCTAGTATCAAAGAGCTCCGCGACCTACCTGGATCGCACTACTTTGAATTCCAATCCAAGAAGGCACACGAGGGGTATGTATTTGAAGATACGGAATCCATGAGCCAGGAGCCACCCGATGGTGCCTCGACTTTGAATACCGATATCGGCAGCATCGCACTGCGATATGTACAGATTCAGGTGTTCTTCGCGAGCTGGACTCATGGTATTGTATTCTTTTCGACATAAGAACATGCTAACTGTTCTCAGAGCGCAGAACCAAGCCAAGGTCGATGTAGCACATGCTCGTAGGTACCGTCTATAACGTACGATAGCTATTGCTGACCCGTGGAATAGGCATGGAGGGTGAGATCGGAGAGGCTTTGAACGTCGGTCGCACCAAGCAAGAGATTGCCAAAATCAACGCCAACACCGCCGTCCAAGAGACCGAGCGTAAAATAGAGAAGGCTATTGCGGACTCAAAGTTCAAGTCACAGGAGATTGACATTGAGCGAAAGCTCAACATTGAGCGCATCCAAGCCGAACGCGCCGCTGAGTTGAGAGACTCCGATCTCCAGAAGGGTGTTCAAGAGAGCAAAGCCCTGATGGAGCTTGAGCGCATGAGAGCCACAACTGTCACCAAGGCCAGAGTCGCCAAAGAATCCGCTGCCCAGGAAGCCGACGCCCAGCTATACAAAGCCCGACAGGCTGCCGAAGCCAGCGCTTACCAACAGTCCAAGACAGCCGATCTCGAGCTATACACCGCAGAGAAGCAGGCTGAAGGCCATTTCCAAAGGAAGAAGCGCGAGACCGACGCCAAGTACCTGCAGGAGAGCAAGGCCGCCGACGCCTCTCTGTATCGTAAGCAACAGGACGCTCTGGGTGACTTCGAGATCAAGAAAGCCGAGGCCGAAGCGCTCTACATCAGACACGAACGCGAGGCTGCTGGAATCATACAGCTTGCTGGCGCCTACAAGGAGCTTGGCAATGTCTTGGGTGGTCCAGCTGGTGTGAGAGACTGGATGATGCTCCAGAACAATATCCCTGTTCAGCTTGCCCAGGCAAACGCAGAGGCAGTCAGAGGTCTTCAACCCAAGATCAACGTGTGGAACACCGGTTCGCAGGATGGTGGAGCAGATTCTTTCGCTCCTATCAGAAACATTATGCAAAGTCTTCCTCCCCTCTTCTCGACAATCCAGGATCAGACTGGCATGATGCCTCCAGCCTGGTTGGCTCAGATGCCAGCCAACGCCACAGGTGGTCATGGAAGAAACGACTCAGCTCATGAATTCCCGCTTGCTGTCGAAAAGCACAAGGGTATCAATGGCGCCTAGTTTTGCGACGAGACGACCCGTGTTCTCGACCATGCAATGTTAGTGTCTGGACTGGTGTTATGAAGAGGTGTTACTTTGATTTTATATCCTTAGAGTAATGTTTTGATATAGCTCGATATCCACTGCACGTAATATGCACTTCCTGATGAATATCTGGTACTTGTGATGATGATCAGCTCCATGCGATCCGTATGACATCGTCCGATCGCCCAGGGTGGGCATACAGCTTCTGACGTCAATGCTACCAGCCATGCCTGCGACAAGAAAGCTGCGTAAAACAAACCTTCTCTATTCGACATTCATTGAGGAGGAAGTGTTGTCGAGGACAAATTACGATGCCGCCTAAGAAACGGACTTCGGACGCGAGCGCTCCAACCCCTCAAGCCAAAACGAGGAAGAGCAATTCAGGCGCGACCCTGCCCGACGCAGCTTCGAAAACCACGACAATAGCGGAAACCTCGACCACAGCAGACGCGGCCACAACAGCAACCCTTGAGGCTTTTGAACGCAGACTCGACGAAAAATTGAATGCTTTTCACAACACGTCCACGCAACATGCAAACAAGCTGGTAAACGGACATTGACAAATGCCTCTTCTGATCATAAAGTTAACACCCAGCTTAGGAACAAATTCATGACAAGCTCGAAGACACAATTGCGAGGCTAGATGACAAATTCAAAGCTCAGACCGACGAGCTAAAGTCGGTTATCCAGACGTTGACCTCGAAAGGCCTCGAAAGCGTTGCTGATCCTTTCCCTAATGCTGCCAGAGACAACAGTGTGGAGATCTTGGGTGATGGCAACAACAATAGCAATAACGAAAACAACGACCATGACAGCGACAAATCCGGAGATGGCTCAGAGTATGGGTCGGGCGAGATGCTCGGAGGCGATGGTAAGCCATTGAAAGACGATGAGCTTAGTGATGAGAAACTTCGTGACGATCCGCATACATTCATCGTCATGTGTGTGCCTCTTTTTGAGTACGAAGAACGCTATAAGAAGGAGCACAAGACAAATTTCAGACACCCATCGCAAGACGACATGCCCAAGGAGGAGTGGTACAGGCTATGCGATGCTCAGGACGAGAGAAAGGCCAATGTACGCAGAGAATGGGCTGATACGCACAACAGCAGGCAGTGTGCTTGCTTCAATCCTAGTAACGAGAAGAACCGTTGGTTCATGACACGCAAAGGAAAATATCGCATGGTGGAGGCCGAAACTCGCGAGATACCTCATCGAGACGCTGAAGCATTCGGACTGAGTGTCTATACCGACAACCGGGGTTACTCATATCAGGAAATCATCGAGAATGATTTGCTTGAATTCAGCAAAATCAACAACAAGCGCGACGGCAAGACGGAAGAACTCTGGTCTATCATGGAAGGCTTGACCCTTTGGATCAACAAGGACAATGCGGACGATATTGCTTTCACTTGGGCTAACCTCGAAGATGGTGCACGTTGGAACAAAACCACCATCACGATGGGCTACGCTTTCCTGGCTGTTCTGAACCGTATCGACCGCGAAGGCGAGTTCAAGGCAGATTCCAAGTACAAGAATCTGTCATTGATGCTGGCCCTATGGTACAAGTTTGCCTGGAACTACGACGCCAATATTACCGACGAATTTGACGAGGACACCGATTACGGCGAAGAGAAAGAAGGCGACGACCATTTGACAAAGTACCAACACGTATTTAACCTGACATGGCCACGCTATCTACTGGCAATGGCTCAACAGTACGACGTACCCATCGCTGGCGTCACAGAAATCGAAGAATCCGTCAAGAAGGACTTAGAGTCTATCAAAGGTTTGAAGCTGCCCAAGAAGAAGGTCGACAGATTCAAGTTCAAAGATATGGTAATATCACTCCCTCTTCTTCGATATACCAATAGACTAACGTGTCATCATAGCTTGCCAACTTCAAGTTCGACTATGGATCGGTCATGGGAGGTCACCATTACGATGTGACAAGGATGACTAAAGCCGCACGTATTGAATCCTCATATGATGGCAAAGACCCGCTGTCTGCTGAGGATATTGATGCTCTCAAGAAGGGAGGCCGCATCGGGTTCGGATACTCTTGATCGATCAATTGATCTGTAAGCTACACGATAATTGCAGAGATATAAAACAAGCTAAACATCTACACAGTAACAACGACAACATGAGCTCTAGCAGCAACTTGCGACTAGGGAAAGAACAACCAGTCTCCCAAGAGGTCAAAGCTTACTACATGTCATAACTCCCTCATACACCCGTCCTTTCCCACCACACCATCGCTGCCGCCTACATTCCCAACTTAACCTTTATATATGACATATTCCTGTCCTCTTTTAATAATCAAAAAAGCCGTGGTGGTGTAGTGGTTCAACACACCCGTGGTCTTAACACGTGCGCAGTCATTCGTTGTTACTCAACGCCGTGTCAGTCTAGATCCGAGGAGGTCGCGGGTTCGATTCCTGCCCATGGTGCTTGTTCTTTTTTTGTCGTCTTTTGGTCATGACGCTACTGTCTTCCTGCATAGAGGGAAGGATATCTCTCTTTGCTTCGTATTTCTTATTCGTTGTGCCTTCCGCTGTACATTTTGGGGTATTTACAGTTGCTCTTTCTCGCTTTATTATTTTGTTCGCTCGCCATATCCGTTATCTGGATCGTTTTTTCTTGAAATGATTGTAAGTATACGTGCCTTCCAATCTGATGTGTTGGATCACTCCTTCTTCCGTAGCAGTCACTCCATCTCTTGCTAGATTTGAGAGTCGCCCTTTTTTTGTACACACAAGAAGAGAATAGGACTATTCATTAGTCAAGAAGAGAAAAAGAACAAATCTTCTCATCTGGAGGAGGTATTTCAGAGACAGATGATGTCCGAAGGAAATCGCAGGGCGATCAATATCATCGCTCCTTCCTCGCCTGTTCCCAGATGGCGAGGGACGAAGGACCGGCCAACATCATCGCTGCTTCCTTATCTTGGATCTTCGGCGACGAAAAAGGGAGGCACGATATGCGTTCAGAATAGGAAGGAATGATCCACATCTGGAGGAAGAGGAATTTACCATTGCGCACCTTCCTTTAAAATGCATTATACGCTCATAGTACGAATCGGAAGGAACATGCTTTCGGGTCGGAACGGAGATCAACCGAATTGTCGGTATCAGAGGTGAGATGGAAACATTGCAAAGATCGAGGGAGCGACCGAGAATGTGTTATGTTCCGTCACGACGCATGTAACCATTTGGTGAGAGAAAAGGCACAAATGCGTAAGAAAAATGATCCATTAATTCATTAACGAAAGACAAAGTATCAGAAACGCTAACAGCGAAAATCGACGCCTCGAGATGATCCTTATCAAATAAAACAAAATGTCGTTAACTATGTCCGCCAGGTTTCGTAAAGGCAAAACAAAGATATGCAAGCATTAAGGTTCCCATGTTTTCTTCGAAACGCTTCTGATGTGTGTGTGATGGCAAAGAAAAAAAAGCAAAACCGAGACATGATGAGGGGGTAAAACAGAATGCAGAAACCGCATGATGTCCTCCTCCACGCTTGAAAAACGTAAGGGGTATATCCCGAGATGCTAAGAAAACAGAAAAAGATGGAAAAGAGATGCAAACAGAGGCAATACAACATGATGAATGGTGGGAGAGGGCATGAGCAGGGTCCTGACACGTGTATGCGACGCGAGAACTGCAAAAGAGAAAGAACAAACCGATTGAGGGGGACTGCCAAAATACCGTGCGCTGCGTGTGATGGCGGTTTAGCAGGTATCCTCGACACGAGGGTACGACAGCAAAATTGATGGGTGGTTTTAACTGTTTGACCCGGTAGAGTTGAAAGACTCGCCCGAATCACCGGTGCATCCCTCATTCGTGTAGATGTCACTGCCTTCACTGCGACCAAACATAGTGCGGTCGATCGCTTCGAGGATCAAGACATCGGTCTTTGCTACGTTCGAGGCGTGTTGAAGACGGCGAATGAAGCCGATAGTACGACGGAGCAAGCTTTGGAGCGTATCTTTCGGGACCAATTCTTTCAGCCAACTGATGTTGCAGTTGTAGACAGCCGCAAGAACAAGCATGTTGCCGAATTGCCTGGAAGTCGGTCAGTTATTGCTGAGAATGTGTTGGAAACGAAGACCAATCTTACGCGTGAGCTGTTCCCATGATGTTCGTGACGATCAAGCGGTGGTGAGAACTGGCCACACCATCAAAAGCGACAGTGCTGCGCATCGCAGACTCGATACAGATGCGACATTTCTCTTTAATCTCATCTTCATCGATATGTCTGTTGATGGCGGCAAACAGCGCCAACTCGGTCTCTCTTTGATTACCGTTAGCATCCTTGGTCAGCTCCTCTAGAGTTTTACCCTTATCAATCTCGGGCATGACATGCAATGCATAATCGAGATACAGGCGGGTACCAACATAGAGAGCACCATAGTACTTTCCTCGCAATCGAGCAGCGAGAATATCAGAAGCAGGCGGGTCATCGTCAGACCAAGCTATATGTTTGTTGAGGTGTCTCCAGTCTCCCAAGGTCTGGCTTTGCATCTGGAGTTTCGGTACAAGCTGCCACGACTCGGTAGAAGATACTGCTTGTCGTCAGTAAAATCGTCGCACCTATCGTGATGAGATAACACACTTTTGGCTCCATACAGGCTGACATGCATTTCATTCAACCTACTGCGCAAGAACATCTGCGCTGTGTAGTACAACTCCACGGTAACGTCATCGGGATCCGATTTGGTAGGCGGCTCCTCTGCAAATCTGACGTTGGTGGGGAAGCAAACCGATGATTCCAACATAGTAAGACCGCTTCGAGGGTAGTCCCACTCAGCAAGGATGTCACTGTGAGGAGGTTAGACTAGTCGGCGTATCATGGGTCATCACATACCTCTCGAGCTGCAAGGCCGTCCAATATGCCAAGACAGTCAGGTTCTCATTCTTGTTGAGCTGCCTTGGTGGGTACTCTCTTGTTGCTCCGCTCAAGCCATCGCTATACGTCCAGTAAGTATGTGTTTTTGAAATTCGGGCATGACAATGACTCACAGCTTGATACGATAAAGGCAGGTTCGTGCTGCCAAATTGATCCAGCTCCAACTTTCCTGTACTCGAGCTAATTGACCCTTGTAAAGACCGGCCAAAAGGCAGGCCTGGGCACAGGCTAGCTCATTCGAGTCAGAGAAATCTCCGAGGATAGAGCAAGCTTCTCTATAGTAATTGAGTCCGGGTATCTTGTCAACGTTTTGGGCTTGTTTCTTGTCGAATGTCTGGCTTCCAGCACCATCCCATGATTGAGCTCGTGTAACGCCGGCAGAGGAGTTAGCCACGTTACTAAAAAGCTGCCTTGGAGACGAAGGTGATGGCCTAGTGATAGGCGAGGCCGCCAGTAGCTGGTGCGAACCAGATTTGCCGATCGCGACAAGTTCCTGCACGGGGCCAGCGAGAGGGTCGCTGGCATCACAGATTCTACCTAGAGCCAGAACCAAATACACAATCGCATTGGTGAGAGTTCTCTCCGGCGCACGTTTGTTTTGAGAAGGCGCGGAGCTGTTCGAATAGTCTCCTGGCAAGAGGCCTACGGCGTAGTTGTCCGAGCGCTTTCTTCGCTTAGCCTCTCGTTCACCTGAGCCGTTGGATACGAACATCGGAGACGGAGGAAATCTGGCGTCTACGCAATGCCTGCGTTGGAAGTCTTTGAGATACTTGCCAAGGCTCTCAATGTCAACGAAGGGATGCAGCCTGTGGATGTGCTTCTTATAAGACCCAAACAGAAAGTCGACAGTATCGGTATCCATGGCCATGGCCGGAGACCCCGGTGTGAAGGGCTCGGATCTTCGAGGCTCATTGTCCGGAGGGGTGCCGATAAGTTCCTCACCGTTGATACTGGGTGCTGGACTTGCGGCTCCAATGGCAACCTTATCGTCTCCGTTGCGCTCTCCTACACCATAGAGGCGCAAAAGACCACGGTCCTCACTCTTCATGACATAATTGTCCTGAATGCTGCATCTACTAGTGCGGATGAAAGGTCGGACGGAAGGCCATCGGAGCAATAACTTGTGAGCTGCGGTGGTATGATCACCACCCTCCATATTCATCTCAGGAATATCCTGTAACATATGAATTGGGACCTCCACGTCGTTTTGGTCAGAAGCCGAACCATCTGCACCGCTTTGAGCGGGATCAGTTGGTGAATCGACACGGCCGGACATGGAAGACTGAAGAGAGAGGTGCTTCTCAACAACAGACAGGCGATCACTCATGGCTTTGATGGACGTCAAGACTTCTGCAACCATGTCGGAAAGAGCCTGATTGTTCTTGTCGGCTTTCGTAGGATGGGTATCCTTGTAGTTACAGTCCAGATTCTGATCTTTGCACGTTGCACAAGGACGATTCTCATCGCACTTGGACTTACGCTCACGACACCTGTCACAAGCCTGTAGGTAGAGGATAAGAATTCATCAACAAGAGTCAAGACATGTATTAGCCTACCTGGCTGGCACGCATACTCTTCTTGCGTGAGTTTGGATTTTGCATGTGCAATGGCGGATTCATATATTGTATTTGTGGATAGTATCCTGGCGGTGGTTGCGCATAGGGGTCCAGCATAGGAGCAACGACATAGTTGACATGTTCTGCTTGTGGATGCGGCGGAGGCTGCGCGTAAGCAGCTTGAGGGTGTTCCATCCGAGGCCGAGTGTTCGGCGGCGGGCCAGGATGATGCTGTTGCGACTGGGGCTGTGGCTGCAAAGGGTTGCTAGATGGACGCGGGAACTGAGGCGGTGCAGGAGGGATGTCGGTCTTGATGACAGGAGTGCCGTGTACAGCAGGCGGGGCTGTGTACGGATGTTCAGCCCTCTCCGGGCCCTCGGGGTGCGGCGCAGGGTGTATCACAGTGGTCGGCGGAGGATGTGGACCGTGGTACTGATGCGATGGTGGAGGAGGATGAGGATGGAAGGCGTCGACGCCAGGTAGACTATGGGGCCGTGGTGGGGGATAGATCTGCTGGTTTGAAGGAGGGACAGACTGGTCTGACGGGAGCGAAGGACGGTGATAATGGTGGTCGGGGCCAGCAAGGGGCGCACGTCGTTGGTCCATGGACTAGACGAGTCGTAGACGGCTGTCCGTGTCCGTGTCGGTGGCGCTCCGACGTTGCAAGTGTGCACGCAGGGCTCGGCAGGACCGGTGGACGGGCAGGTAGGGCAGAGGTCGGCGGCAGGAGAGGTGGAAACAGTCGCGAGAGCAAGAGGGGAGAAGGAGCAAGAGCGCTTCAGCTTTGGTACTCGAAACAGCAGAGACGCAGGGACGGCAGGGACGGAGATGAGCTGATGGACGTTTAGTCGAAGGACCTGGTACAGCGACCTGTGAGATGGCTCCTGCTCAGATCAGATCAGATCTGGTCAGATCAAGATGCGGCGGCGGCGGAGGAAGTTGCAGGGGAGCAACGTGGGCGAGAGCAGCGTGCAGAACAAGGGTATTTGCAAGTGCTGAGGTGTCGGGTCGAGTATGGTGAACACTGGACAGTGCCTGATTCCTGGCAGAGGCAGAGGCAGAGGCAGCGAGCAGTAATGACGAAGGCCTGTCGAGGTCGAATCTGGGCGATGGGTGATTTGCTCGTCCCCTGCAAGATACAGTGCGATTCGCTGGGCCCATCAAACGCTGGTGCGCGCGCCGCGATCTCGTTTGTCGAAAAAAAGTCGTCCTTTCTCTCGCGGGTCCACGCTACCGGGCAAGGGCCATGAGCATGCTAGACACGAACTACGCAAGCTACAATCCCGACTCCCAGATACACCTGCTGTTTAGCGTCGCTGTCTAGGGCTCTAGCCTCCGTCGTAGAGAAGGGCCCAAGGACTTACGGACACTAAACACATCCAAATCTGCGTTGAATATTAACAACGACTGTCATGCAGCTCTAGTGCCTGAAAGACGTCCGACAAGTTGCAAGAGGTGGGAAGCTCACGCGAACCCTCCCGCCTTGAGCTTTGTGCGAGTCAGAAAGTTCGCGCCCAACCCAAGCCAACCTCCTTGACTCGTGCCCCCCCAAATCCAATTCAAACCTACTTTCCTTCGACCGACCATATCTCGTACATTCGCCTCTTGATTCCAATTCCACCAACCAACCACTATCCTTGCTGTACTCGATGGGCCAGGGGCTAGCTATCTCTGCTTTGATTAAAGATACTTATCTGAGAATACTCCTTTCTCCGCGGTAAAGCTTATTGCCATCTTAGAGACACTCATGCCAAAGCATATTCGGACCCTGGCGCGCGTGGCTGCAAGAAAGGGCAGTACAAGACGACCGATCAAGGGCAGACTCCCTACGTATTTCCACCAACGGCTTTGTTTCTACTGGGACTGCTTCCAGAACCTAGCACCGTCGAATCCGCTTGGGTTTCGACCATCTCAATCCTGTTATATTAATCTATCTGCTATGTGTTTCCATCGAGGCGAGCATCGCATAGCTTTACCTCAATCTCCGCTGCCTTGTCTACTCGTCAGAAAATCTGGTGATGCCATTGTGTGAATACTAATCAATCGATTGGCCACGTAAGGGTGGGCACAAGTCTTTTCCCAAATCAGAGCACCTCATGCAGAGCAATTCCTCCCAGTCTTTGGCCCCATGTCAGATCGACCGTTTACCTTCCCGGATCCCGGACATCCAAACCGGCGGTGAGTTGTATGGCGATCTCCCATTTCTACCGACACAACCGGTTTCAGATTTGATCCTGATTGCCAAATTCTCCTCCCATGACCTTCGGCTCTTGTTTGGGTGTCATGATATATCAAGGTTCAGCATGTTTATCTGGACGTATCACGGGCCTGGGCTGTTCCTCGAATGCGAACCTGATTCTCTGCTCGACCCGTCACCCGAGAACTTGCGGTACACTGCAGAACTACGCCCGCAATCTGTGTGACCAAACGCTGCTGCTGCTTGTCGCGATGACTTGCCATCACTACTGTGTTTACGATACGGTCTAACTTTCTTTAGCGCAAGGTGGAGAACCGCGCCCACGGTTTTTGGATCTTGACATGCAACGGGGCGGAGCGTCGCGCGGTGCCAGAAAGTGGAGAGAGTTCACCCGTTCTTCGCGACTCGCGAGGCGGGTACGGCGCGCCTAAACCATTCATTGTGCCGCATCGGTCCAGCCAACTTGCGACGTGACAGTCTTGATAGGCCTCTTGACAGCGCATACAAGGAGAGAACACCTCACCGCTCTCAACAATCACTTGCAAGTTGTAATCATGAGACAGTGGGATAGTGTAGGTACATCAAGTGGAGTTCAATATGTATTGCATTCTGCGCGTTCTAGAACGGTGATACAACTGTGACTTGGACTTGTCCTGTTGCTGCGAGTGACGGACCGAAACTTGCCACGTTGTGCGATTGCAACCGCATCACGTCTTCGAAGCAACGCCGAATGATTGGATCTTTTACCAAGTCGCACCACATCGATATTGCAGCAGCCTGCAGTTCGTTACCATTCCAAATAGTCACAGCACAGTGCTGCCCCCGCATAGGTGCATCCTCCCTATGCAAGCTAGAGCAATAGGATGGAGATCTGCAGACCGCTTCGATACTTGACAGCCTGTCATGCAGAAGTGTAAGAATTACCTTCATATGGCGTGCCACTTGAGTAGTCCGTTCACTCGTCCGAACAAGCCCGTCGCGACGGCGTGTCGACCGTTCACATCCTTTTCTTTTTGTTCCTGTCTAACGACGAGCTTTTTCTACAGACTACGCCATAGTTGATTTGCTTCTAGAAACGTCAAACTCAAAAATTGTCCGGTCAATGTCGTGCATGGCGAGTAAATCCTCGTGCGAGCAGCCGCCGACGGTGAAAGGTGGCTCCACTCGGCGTCTACAGAGGTACTGCATTCGTCGACTTGCGCAAATTACCTGCAGCCAGCACCTGTTCGATGACTGGTCAAGCCTGTGAAGCTCCCCAAAAAGGAATCTCACCGAGGTCATTAGCCTCGAGATTGAAACGCACCACCCGTGAATTCGCAAATGATGAGGAATACGAAATGCATCTTCCCTTTCCTCTGAGACATGCATCAGTAGTCTCATCTCTTGGCTTCGAGCTCGTGTTTTTGATCACGGAAATTCTGTGTGAAAGCGGTCCTGTCGATGGCTGGCGTCGCCGCCGCCGTCTCGTGTGCCCGAACCCAAGTTTCGATCTTGCCCCTGACCAACATCACTGATCCATCGGGCAATTTGTTCGGCATGATCATGGCCGTTTCGCTCAGGGTCATGACCACATCCTCGGGAGCTATCCAAGTTTGCTGGACGATCTGGTCAACAGTCCAGGATCGATTTGAAGGATTTGACAAGATGGTCCGACAGATCGAGTCTGACCAGTATGCCAGATAAGCCTTTCTTCCGAGACTCGATAGGGCTGTTACGCGGTCAGATTGACGTGCAAGACATTTTGATAGGATAGCACTTCTCACGTTTCTCAGGACCACCAAGTCTGCCTTCTCTGCGACTGAGTTCATAGCTTACGCCCATGAGCAATTGACCCAATCCGCGTTTCTGCCATGGTGGAAAGACCAGAATGCAGGCCACATTGTTGTTGTCCCAGCTCATCTTTTCCTTGCTAAAGAACCCCACGACTTGTCTGTCAGTCGTCTGCGGATCTGTGAGCACAAGAAGGTAGTATCGAAATGTGGTGACATCGTAAAAGACGGATTTGGTGTCGAGGAACAGCTTGGCGAACAACGAGAGGTTTTGCGAATACAGCTGCACGGCGTGTTAGCTATCAGGCAACTCTTGAAAGTGATTAATCGTGCGTACCTTGTGCTCTTCTCCATCAACCTCGTAGATTGATTGGTCGGCCGTCTGGTATATCAGTGTTCCCGGCGGTGGTGAATCTTTCAGTGGACAGACTCTCTGGATGGTGTCAGCTTGGCCTGAATGTTGTGTGCTTTCGGAGGAGTGCAATCATACTCTGTGCGCTAGGTATGGCATGAGCTCCTTGGAGTATCGGAAACAGCATTCGCAGACGTAGAGGCGCTCAGCCTTCCTGCCGACAAGGTCTTCGGGGTAGAATGAGGGATACCATGGCTTGATCTGGAGGTTGCCCAAGACGACGTTCAGGACATTGGGCTCGGTGGGTGACTTCTTGGGCGTCTGATCTTCCCGAGGCCTCGTCTGAGGAGACACTGCAGCGGCCATGTCGTGTATTGACGGGTTTCTCTTGCCAGACCGTTTGCATCGTCATGGGTGCTCGACGCAAGAACTCATGCTGGGATCCGGGCGTTCATGCCGTGCGAGCTATGCCTGATATTTGTATCACAGCTTCGAGGGTGATCGACGCGACGCCGACGTCGTTGTCGTTCGCCAAGACAGGGCTGCTTGACTTGACTGAAGCACATATTTTTTCGTGTTTTATCTTGAATGACTTGCTTCATACTATGGCTTAATCTATCTATGTACATGCTAAAGCACGTCAGAAATGCATTGCTTTGACAGCCTCCCGAGCCTTGTTTCAGTTCTTTCGGCTTCAAACTGCATGTCACACGCTTCCGCTCACTCTAACGCCTTACAATTGCGTCGTTACGTTCGTGGTCCTGTAGTTCTCAATGGCAGCATAGATGCCTTCGGGACTGGGTTTCTCCGCAGATACGTGTGGCTCGAAGCCAAATTCCTTGATCAGGTAATCGCGTGTTGTAGGGCCGATGGTTGCAACATATGTTGTCATTGTTGATGAGTCTGTGGCATCTGACTTGTAGCGACCAGACTCGTCAAGCCATCCCAAGCAATCAAGCATTGCTTTGCAACCTTGAGGGGAGAAGACGACTACCCATTGCTCCTGCGCCCCAGATGCAACATTCTCACCCAGGGCTCGAGAGAAGTCGATGTGAAAAGATGCCATCTCGCAAGTCTCGTAAATGACTACCTCGTGTACTCCAATACGAGCTTCCTCGAGCAAATCAGAAGATTGAAGGGATTTAGGAATGATGTCCCTGCGTACTTCTCCTACCAGGAACAGGAGAGGAAGCTTGCGGTTTTGCCTTACCGTCTGGGTTGCAGGAAGGCGGTTGTAATGATCCAGCATGAAAGCAGCAAGAGCCGCGCCATTGCCAGTTTCTTCTCCAATAATTGGACATCTCAGACCCAAAGACCGTAGACCTCTGGCGGTAGCTGGACCAACAACATACAGTGGTAGTGCTTCTGGCAGCAGTTGATCCCTAGTGGGAGGATCGAGTGACTCTACTATTGACGTAAAGGCCTCGACTGCACGTTGCGAGGTGAAAATAATGCCACCAAAGCTTGACTCGGCATCAACAGTGGTATCAGAATTGTTAAAACCACTGCCCGTGGTGATAGTCTTTAGCCAGGCTAGTGCATCCTCTCTGAAGCGGTGTTCTAGGACGGGAAGGAAGGTCGGATTGTAGTTGTTCCAGCCAGCAAAAATGTCTTGATAGCCATCAGCTGGGATAGACTTTGTCTTTAGCAGCAGTACAGGAACATCGGATGTTGTGGATGACATGTCGGAAATATGTCGTCGATAGTTGGAGGATTGTAGAAGCGGAAAGGGCCGAGATGGTGAAAAGATGCCCGATGGAACCCGAGCACGGACTTGGAGCCCCGGAGGCGGACGGGGAACCTGACAAATGCGAAATATAGAAATATCGATAACATGCCTGTTACTCAGATCCCATATCCAATCCTCTCGCAATTTGGCTGCGCGGTGACGAAGACGACCGGAATGCCTCCTCAACCACTAGACGCGACGCCCGAGCAGAAGGCACAGGTCGGAGAAGAGGACAAGACTCCTAAACAACTACCTAAAGGCGTGGTCTTAGGCCCTGATGGCAAGCCGTACGTATGGATGTTCATGTATGCTAAAAAATGCTGACTGGAATTGCAGATGTCGGTCATGCACATCCGTGTCCTCGTGGTTCGCCATGGCAAAGCAGGGTACAGCGAATCCTTCCAAGATAGCCACCACAACACCGCCAGCGCAAGCAACCGCGTCTCTCGATATGCCAGCCGACTGCCCACCCGATGTAGAACAGCTTGGTCGCTCAGCATGGACTCTCCTCCATACCATGGCAGCAAGCTACCCAGAGAAGGCTTCACCTGAGCAGCAAAGAGAAACAACGACGTTTATGCAACTGTTTGGCAAGATGTACCCTTGCTGGGTATGCGCAGACGACTTCAGAGCATGGATGAAGGACGGCAATGAGCCGCGCGTGAGCAGCAGACAAGATTTCGGACAATGGATGTGCGAGGCGCATAACGCAGTCAATGTCAAATTGGGCAAGAAGTCGTTTGACTGTAGGAAATGGGAAGAACGATGGAGAACTGGCTGGAAGGACGGACGATGCGGTTGATCGTGCCTTCCTCTCTATGTCTGTCTATACATGATCCAAACAGCCCACGCCACTCACGAAGAATCGAACGTTGTTGACAAACAAAGCGAGCAACGAGCAACAGAGCAACGAGCAACACGGCACTAGCTCTGGAGCTCGACACACAACTGAGCCCTTTCTGCCTGTCCCGAAGCAACCTTACTCAACTGAGAACGTCTCGTGCGTCAGCATCACAGAAATGGTCGAAGCAGAACACGTCCGAGGTGGATCTGTCAATGACGTAAGGAGCTGCTCATCACGGTGTTCGCGTAAGAGTCGCGTTTCGAGGCTAAATCGTTACGATAAATACTCTAGAGGTTCCTTATATACACTCTTCAGCTCCTCTTTCATCCTGCAAAGCCCTGCAAGCCGCTCTGGACAATCAATTATCGTTGACATCACCAATCGTCAGCTCCATCACGCCATCATCTCCAATTGCATCGAACCAATTACACCAGTACTAGCTCGACACCTCTTTGCACCTTCCTAAATCACCTGCATCATGCCTGGCACACGATCATCTGCCCGTTTGGCTGAAAAGCAGTCGAGCCCCCCTGCTGCTTCTCAAGAAACCAAAGACAACAAGCGCAAAGCCGACGACTCTCAATCCTCGCCCTCCAAGAAAGGCCGCAAGAACACTGCTGAGCAAAAGACTCTTGAAGAGACCTTCAAGCCCACCGAAGACAACGACACTTCTGAGTCTAAGCCGTCTGGTACTGAGCAGAAGCCTGCCGCCGATTCGAACGAGCAGAAGCCAGCTGAGCAAGCATCTGAATCTGAACAGAAGTCATCTGAGCAGACTAACGACTCAGATATGAAGGACGACAACTCCATCAAGCAAGTCGGCGAGTCTTACCAGGGCAAGAACAAAGAGGGTGAACCGAAAGAGGATCCCGAGAAGGCTCTCAAGGACTCTCGTGGCGGCGCTGGTCTCAACACCCTCGAGCCTGAGAACCCCAAGCCCAAGCCCGAGAACCTTCCGATCGTATGTTGCATCTCACCAACTACCAAGTTCTTTGCTAACAAACGCAGGATGACATCCACCGCGATTTCGCCGCAGACCCTAACGTCAAGTCGACGCAAGAGCCCGAGGGCCACGAGTCCAAGACTGACGGCTCTGAGCAGAGCAAGAATGGTGCAGTCGAGGAGAGTAAGGATCGTGCTGAGCAAATGCCCAGCAACATCCTAGAAAAGGGTATCATCTACTTCTTCACTCGAGGCCGTGTCGGCATTGACGACCCTCAGAGCGTTCAGGACCTGCAGCGTAGCTACTTCGTCCTGCGTCCCCTACCTAACGGCGCAAAGTTGGGTGACGGCGCCATCGAAGACGTCAAGAACAACCGTCTCTTCGCTCTTCCCAAGAAGGTCTTCCCCCGAGGCCCCAATGACAAGTTCATGGTCTTTGTCGAGAGGGCGAAGGCTTCCATGGATGAATTGAAGAAGGACTTTTTCCAAAGCTCAGAATATGAAACTAAAACTGCAGGTAACCGAACAACACACCCCATCACTCCCATCGGTGAAGGTGTATACGCAATCACCGCTACTGGCACCCGCTCCGAATCACATCTCGCCTACATGCTCACAATTCCTCAAGAGCCCGGTCAAATGCAAGAGGACGTCGGTATTCGCTCCAAGGGTAGCTTCGTCTTGAGTCTCAAGAACCCTACTGTCAAGGGTCCTTCATACGCCACCCTCGACCAGCCCGCAGAGTTCCCTCCTGAGGTCATCAGAGAGTTCGACAGCCGCAGCTGGATGCCCGCTCAGCCCAAGCATCTCGACTACGCCAACGCACAATGCCTTATGATCGGCGAACCCCTAGACGACAGCCACGCACTAGAGGCCACATCGAAGGATGCAAAGTCCGACAACACCGAGACACCACGAGAGGAGATTGAGAAGCTCGAGCACGAGGACGAGCTTCGCGTTGAGCATCTCAAGGGTGACGACACTGTATTTGCCGACCTTGGTCTCTCTCACAAGGAGTACCCCAGCGTGCCCACCACCTGGTAAACGGATGTATTTTTTTGAGTCCCGCAGTTTTATGCTATTGTAATGAGAAAAGGAACGAAGAGGAGGATATGTTCTTGCTGTTGCTTTTGAATGGCGTCAGGGACGCATAAACGAAGAAAAGCTTACTGTACCATTTTTGCTGTATCAAGCCACAAGAAAGATGTAACGAAAAAGAAATCAACGAAAATCCAATATTGCAATTACATGTGTCAGCTTATGTTTTTGAATAAACATGTCATCGTGATGTTGCAGGGCTACGTACATGATTTCCTCTCAATCGACGAAATCTGTGTGTTTGAGGCTTTTCCAGCCAAGTCAGATTTTGGTCACCCTGGCACGTTTCCACATATCGCGTCCAATCTTCCATGTCGCGCCTTGGAGCTACAGATACAATTTTGAAGTTACTGATATCTCTTTCTGCCTCTTCATAGTAGACGTAAATGTTATCGCGTGATTCGAACATCTCGAAAGTCTTTTGTGAGTGATCATGGTGGAATGGTTGTGGTCTCGTAAACATCAATCTTGCTCATGGAAAGATGTCGACATCGCTGCATCCATACTCTTTATGGTTGCAGAAATGGCACACACGCTTAGCCAACCTACACAAGAGACATTAATCACGACCATACAAACATCGACAGCTCGTAGAGGGCCATGGTTGATGATATATCGTCGATGGAGTCGAGCGACAGGGTCATACCACCTGCATCCGGACTTGGTCACATCATCTCTCTGGCATGCTATCGGTCACATTTTCACAACTTTAAAGACGAGACATTCTGCAAAGAGAAAAGTGTTTATCATTGGGACTTGGTCCCGCTGTACTGTGATTTGCTTCTGGGATACGCTTGCTGATGCCGACAAAGGAAAAGTCAAAGAAAAGGAGACCGACAAGAAACGCCCCCCAAATGTAGACCCCTTCCTTTTTTCGAAGACTTGTGTGATGGAAAAAACAGATAAGGCGTGCTAGAACCGCGGTTGTACATCTCTTGCGAGATTTGAATGCGGAGCAAAAACAAAAAAGACAGCTCGTAACCCTCATGTCTCCCGAATCTTGGTAATGTCTATCTCTTTTTGGTGTGTTTGTGGTTTTGGTTCTCTGGTTGGATGCTAGTGTGTCGGATCAAAGGAGCCAGCGCTGGGTCGTCTGGTGCCATGGGGTCTTCTCCCCTGAAGTCTTTCTGGTCGGGCTGGCGTCAGAGGCCATGGTAGAAGGATGAGCGAAAGAGGCCTGGTATTGCTGCCTCTCTGATTCGTTCTTGTCGGATGCCTTCAGCGACTGAAACAACTTCTTTACAGTGGGAAACTCTTTGAGCTGGGCCCAGGTTCCTGCTGATGGAGGAGTGCTGACAGAGGGAAGAGGAGGAGTAGGTGCGACAGGACAAGGCGAAGGGCTTGAAGCAGGAGAAGGAGACGGGTTGGCGGAGGGGTAGTAGTTCATAGATGTAGCGTTTGTCCTGGGTGAACGGTAGGGCTGATCGAGAGTGCGGTCGCTACAGAGAAAGCAAGTCAGCAATCCGGCTCAAAAGCTTTGCGGATTAGGCTAAGTAGTACTTTTAAATGGCAAGAGATATATGGCAAGAAATAAGAAAAGTAGATCCGGAAGACAGAGAAGTTCGCAGCTCGGAATTACCGCATAATTTCCTCGTAAATAAGCTCTGTTGAGAAGAAGTTAGCATGTCTCTGAAGTGTTCGATAGGACCAGTCTTACGCTTGAGCTGTTCCTTTGTGAGGTTGTCCTTGTTTTTGTCAAAGTCAAAGAACTCTTCGGGAATGGCGTCGGCGGTGGGTTCGTCTTCGGGGTCGTGGTAGGGCTCGAGGTACGGGTGTCTCAGAGCTTCCTCAACCGTGATGCGCTTAGCAGGGTTGAAGGCGAGAAGTTTGTCGAGTAAATCAAGGGCGAGGTCCGAAGTCTTGGGGAACATGGCCTTCCATGGGATCTTCTTCTTGAAGGGCAAGCTGCGGATGTACTCGCGGGCACGACGCGATTTGATGCCGTAGTAGTCCTCCATGGTGGGCGTGCCCAGAACGTCGAGAATGAGGGTGAGCTGGTGGTGGTAGTCCTTGCCGGGGAACAAGGGCTTGCCGCTCAGCATCTCAGCGAGGATACAACCGACGGACCAAACGTCAATGGCCTTGGTGTACTCCTTGAAGGTGAGCATAATCTCAGGGGCACGGTACCAACGAGTAGCAACATATTCAGTCATGAAGCCTTGGTTGTCCTCGGTCGAAGCGGCTGAACGAGCAAGACCAAAGTCGCAGACCTTGAGATCGCAGTTGGCATTGAGCAGCAGGTTGGAGGGCTTGAGATCGCGGTGCAAGACGTTGGCCGAGTGCATGGCCTTGAGGGCGCGCAATGTCTGGTAGATGAAGTATTGGCAATGGTCGTCGGACAGCTCCTGAGTACGGATGACGCGGTGCATGTCCGTCTCCATGAGCTCTTGAATGAGGTAGACCTCGGTGAAGGTGTCATAGCTGCGCGGCTTCTGGATGTCGAGGATGGAGATGATGTTTTCGTGGTTGAAGTAGCGGAGGAGCTTCATCTCACGCAGCGTGCGCAGACAGAACATGGAGTGGTCGAAGGGTGTGATCTTCTTGATGGCCACCTTTTGGCCCGACGGCTTGTGCAGTGCAGAGCTACCACTGTCAGCGGAATGGCTTTGGTTTACTCAGAGGCGATGGATTACATACCATACAACACCATAGGCACCCTCGCCTACTACATCCTGAATGTCATACTGCTCCGACACGTTGAAGGAGATCTTGCGGGATCCGCTTTGGGGAGCTGCGCGCGACATGGTTGCGAGCTAGTTGGCGATAAGGCTGTGGTCGAAAAATGCGATGGTAGAGGGAAGGTGCGAGTCAGCTCGACATGGTCAGCCGAGGAATGTCCACTTTTGCATTCTTTCACTCACCAAGATGTCACAACGATGGCCGTTTCGAGTGATGGTGATGCGGAAAGAGGGTCCAGCCGTTCTTTCTTTCTTTGGAGTGTTTTCTTTGATGTGGCCGATTGGTCTGTGTTTGCTGCAGCTCCTGCTTCTGCTTGTCTTCGTCTGGCTTGAATGTAAGAAAGACAGGTCGCTCAACAAGAAGTCGATTGCAAGAGAGTAGTGTCAAGCCATGGCGGGGCACCAAGTGTAGCAGCCCAAAGCACAGTCCCGCAAATACGCGCCTGTTTCCGATCCTCCTAGACCCGCCTATTGGCTCAATCCGGCCAACGCTAATGTTTTCTTAAATTAAGTCCTGCCCGTCCCCTTTGTCGCATCCAACTGCAACTTGGTCCATGAAACACTCGTCTCGTCTATATTGATACACATTCCTATCCATCACCACCTTACCCGTAAGTCCCGACCAACCGTTGCAACGTTTATCGATTGCATGCGCGCCATGTCTTTGTAGCTATCGGCCATATTTTTCTGTATCTCTATCCGATTGCTGTGCGTCTATAAGACAAAAAGGAGATTGCATATCCCTCCGTATAAGCGCCATGCTGCATGAGTCCCTACCAAATCAAACTCCTTGACCATCCCAATCCCAAATTGTCATCATCTTGTCTTGTCAATGTCGTTTTCACATAATACCGAAACCTTCAGCTTCTGAGCGGCAGATACTTCAGCCCCAACTTGCTCTTCCCCTTGCTATTACCCAATGAGGGTGATTGTGGCTGCATCATAGCCGTCGGGCTCGTCGCATCCGGGTCGCTGTCGTTCTCAACCAACGTCCAGCTATCTTCAACCTCTGCCTCTTCTTCGTCCTCGGCATCTGTGTCGCCTTGAGCCGCCCTGGCCACGCGTTGTTGCACCAGTGTCTTTGCGTACTCCATGTCCCGGTACATAGCCTTGATGGCAGTTCCGACACCATCTTCTGAGCGGATCTGCTCTCCCAGAATTCTGGCCTTCTCGATCATGCGTGAGTCGTGAGTCGCAATCCATATCGCCTTGCCCAATGCGTTTTCAGTCACTGTCAGAACCTTTTGTCCAACTCCGAGATCCTGAACCTTGCTACCAAAGAAGAACTGGTCGCCAAAGAAGGGTTTGATGATGGTCGGGATACCAGCGCGAAGACTAGCACCAGTCGTTCCTGCTCCGCCATGATGGACAGCGGCATCTACTTGTCGGAACAGCCAATCATGCGGGGCAGATGCGATCTGAAACATGAAATCTGGCAATGGCACCTCCAGGGCTTTGGCCTTGCCCTTGTCCATACGGTCAGACCAGCCTTTGGACAGGATACAGCGGACATCGGCCTTTCTCACTGCGGCGATGATGTCTTGAGTAAGTTGCTTTGGGTCGGGAACAACCACCGATCCAAATCCGATGTACACAAGCTTTGCTTTGTCCGCTCGCGCGTTCTTGATGAATTCGACAAGCTCCTTTTGCGGTTTGAATCCATTCGCTTCATCGAGGAACCAGTAGCCTGTTACTCGGATCCATTCGCCGAAATCCAGAGGAGGAACGACTACGCTGGGCGAGAAGTTGTAGAAGAAAGGGACTTTGTCCTGCTGCATCTTCTCCATACTAGTAGCCTTCAAGCCTAGATCCTCTTTGCGCCACTTGTTGATCGTAAACGAGGTGGCCTTCCAGAATATATTCTCAAATAGAACGTATGTCATGTAGTTGTAGGCTCCGCCCATCCTGGACTTTTGCATGCCGAACGCATGAGGGTAGGCGCGCGTTCTGGTCCAGGGCATAGTGAAGGCTCTGAAGTAAGGAATACCAAGAGCTTCCGCGATGTGGATACCAGCCATGGCAGAGGGACTCTCGATCAACAAGTCGGAGTCCTGGCAAGCGGCCCAAGCTGTCTTGAGCAAACCTCTGACAAAAGGCCAGAACTGAAATTGTTAGTCGTTGTCGTACGCAAGCACCCGTGACGTTGAACTTACCTTTTGATTGGTCTCGTAGAGGAAAGAGGGAGTGAACATGCCATGGTCAACGCAGAGAGCCATCAATTCCGCTGGATTACCTTCGACAGGTGCGAAGTCAATGCCATGGCTTCGTACCCAGTCACCAAACTCGGCATGAGAGGCTATCTTTGGTCTGTGGCCTTCGGCAAGCAAGCCCTTGCACAGAGCGATGTACGGTTGAACGTCACCACGAGAGCCAATAGTCAAGCAAGTGATTCGAAGAGATCCTTCAGGCTTGAAGTCCAGAACAGAAGCCGCCGGATCGTCAAAGAAGATGGCTGGTGACTCGCGGTCTGTAAAAAAAGTCAGCAGGAACTACAACTGAATTGGCAGAGTACAGCTTACCTGACTGATCGAGGCTGCGAGGCGGCTGAGACTCCACACCGCCTTGATCGCCCTGTCGAGCTTCTTGTAGCAAGAGGTTCTCTGCCGCTGCTGCCTCGGCATCGCGCTTCTCATCTTCTGTTAGAAGTACAGACTCCTGGAAAGGCTCTGTCGTGTCCAAGGATCGCAGGAGAGTAATGGTGCAGTCGTCCCGAAGATCTTGCGATCCAAACTCGAAGAAGATTTCCTCGTGGCCTCGAATCACAACGACCATGCCTGAGTAGCCGAATCGAAACCCTCTTTCCTTGTCAACATCCATGATGTCTTTGAACGGGACAACAAGCTAGACACAGTTAGCCAATGAACAATAACACCAACAAAAATACGGGCCTACCTTGGTCCAATTGCCAGGGATGAAACTGCGGAAACATAACCTCGTAGTGCCCACATACAGCTTTCCGTACAAAGGCAAGACTCGATGAAAGAAACCGAAGAAAGTTGCCACGAGCTTCTCAGAATCTGGCAAGGCGAAGTGGTTGCGGAAGCTCTTTTCAGCCTCACGAACGGTCATCTCGTCTTCAGAATCGTGTACTTCTTCTCCGGGCACCAGTTCGTCTGCTTCTGCATAGTGTTTCTTACCACCAGCAATCATCCCGGAGAACTTGTCATAGTACTCCAAGGGCGAGCTCCCGAACAGACCACTGACGCGCTTGCTAGAGTTATACAGGAAACCCGAGGCGCGCTGGATAGGAACAGCTCCGACCTTCATCAATCCTCCTAAGGCCGAGGAATCTGATTGTCGCATGTCTTGCATTTGTGTGTCGGAAGTCTTCCTTGTTGAAGCCCTAACCTCAGGTTCCTTGCCAGCTTCATTCGAAGAAGCAAACGGCGCGTCTGTTTGAGGGCTAGCCTTCGCACCATGCAATGCAACGTTATCAGTGTGATGCTTTCCGATGGTTGGCTTGTGGAACATGATACTTCCACTAAGTATGTGGCTACCCGAAGCATCCGTTCCAGCTGCAGATTCTGACATTTCGCTGTCGTTGCCTTGATCCGAGGATGACACATACGATTCAGAAGAATCCTGCTGGAATGCACCCCACTTTTGTTTTTGGCTATTCCGCTGTGTTGTAGGACGACTTGCCAGAGCTTCTTCTCTTCCTTGAGTCAAGTCGAGAGTAGAGCGTTCCAGTTCGCTGCTTGACCGAGCACTTCTAGAAGTGAGGCCAGACGCAGGGGACAAAGTAGCCGTGACGTTCTCATGAATACCTCCAGGAGCAGGACTCATCGATGGCAAACGCGATCTTCTTCCATGTGTTGATGAAGGTCGACGATCAGACATGGTGATGACTGGAGAGACAGGGCGACTTGCAAGCACTCGCTGAGCGCTTGTCTCCTGAGTCAAGCTTCGTAGCACGCGAAGTGCCTCTTCGCCAAATCCAAAGAAAGAGAAGAAGTACTGGACAAGTGTGAGTAAGAATCTATGGAACTTGAATTACGCAAAAGGCTTACCTCGTCGACAGCAAATGTCTCATCGTTGTCAATAACTCGAATCTTAATAGTATCGGCAAATTCAGGATAGTTGCTTTCCTCGATGTCGACAACGTTATCGACTGGCAGACAGATCTTGACACTGTCGCTGTTGTTGCGTGATCGGAAGATGACCTTTTGTATTTGCTTGACCCATTCTGATGCACTGGAAGCAGTCTCTGCTTTGAAGTTGTAGATTTTGGCATCTGTAGTGACAGAGAAGGATGTGCTTTCTTTATCCTGGCCCTGTGCTGCTGTAAGGTCTGCCGAAACTCCATAACGCAAATCTATGACATCTCTCGGAGAGAAAGGAGTCGAAGGGTCCTTGTAATATGACAAGACATCCCCTTTGAGCACGAACCAGTACTTCTTGTAGCGAGGGTTACGCTGACCTCGTTTGGTCAAGTAGCCGGACTTGATGGTCACGCCAGTCTTCTTCTGGAGATAGGCGTAGAAGCAGATATGGCGCTGGGTGATATATATATAGCCCTGTAGGAGGACACTTTGGAGGTACCAGCAGGGGTACTTTGCGACAACCTTTTCGGCTTCGTCGAAATCGAAGATGTCCTTCAAAGCATCGGGCAGAGCGACCTGGGTTGTGCTTGACGACATGTCTGGTACGGGACTAGACTTCCTGCTGGCGGGCTTCGTAATGGTCGACTGCGAGGACTCTAGATCTGTCCTTCCATGATGAGTCGGCTCGGGCAGGTCGTCTGCTTTGGAAAATCGAGTCGGAGTTGTCGTTGCGAAGGTCGTCTTGGGGGCTGATCGGAGGCCTGGTAATGACTGGACCAGGTTGGGTTCGGACACCCTTTTGAGGTGTTTATTGCGGGAAAGCGGGCTTTGCCGTAGCGGGAGTGTTGTCGAATCTAGTGTAGACCTGTTAGGTCGAGTCGATGGAGGGGTTGTATCGTCGCTGTCACTGTCGGCCTCTTGCAGCATGGATCGCATCGTGTTGGCCTTTGATTGTGTTGCGGCGATGATACCAAAGACACTCTGATGCATCATGGCCATATCGATGGGTTGTGCTCTGTCCAACTCTTGATCTTGGTCTTCCTCGTCGTCGTCGTCGAAGCGGAAGCGTTCCGGTAGCTCCATGGATACTCGTCGACGAGCCTGCGGTGTGGTACGACGGGACGTCATGTCGAGTGAGAGTGAAAGTGAGAGTTCGGGTTGCAGAGCAGCAGCGGGTGAAGGTGACCCAGCCTGTTTTCTGATGCAATAACGTGGTCGAGGCACGAGGATAGACGGAGCACCCGAATGCCGTACACGCGCTCCTACTAGTTAATCCGGGGTTAGAGCTCGTGACAAAGCGATGACTGATAGTAGAGCAGCGTCTTTGTATATTCACACATTACTGTACGACTTGCTCTATCTAGGTGTTACATGTTGCGTGCTGCAACGGACTGCAGCCTCAACATGTCAGTGGTTTTCCGATCTGCAGCTTGATAGGTTGCAGATTACTTCGACCACCTTTGTGGCCGCCACCAGACCGCCTTTGGCAACTGAAGCCTTCCCCACACTTGCGGGAGCACGTGCCAGCACGTCATCAGAGCACGAACAATCGCCTTCAGTCAGCAACTCGACAATCACAAGGGCAATCATGCTGAACAAGGAGACTCGTTGTGGAATATTAATACAGAATATATGAGTGAAACCATCACATGCAACATGCAACTTTGCGGCGGTCCTGCCGACAAGTTATGAAATTCGCGATTACAATCTGCAAAGCAACGCTGATGCGACTAACTAACAGCCTTCAGCTTCGTCTCCGTACGACACCATCGCTTAAGCCTTGGCCTTGGCGAGACCAACACTGTTGCTGCCGAGGTCGTAGACGGAGTAGTATCTGCGGAGGAAAGCATCACCGAGAATGGCAAGAGGACCAGCAGGGGCGGGGATATCGAAGCCCATGAAGGACGAGATACACGAACCCTGGACCTCAAGGATGTAGTCGTAGGGGCCAATGGTGAAGTTGTAGCCGGTCAGGGTGAAGCTGAGGTCAGGGAGCGAGTCACGCGCGCTGCACTCGACAGTGTACTGGCCATTGTAGCCCTTCTTGGCACCGATCTCCTTGTTCAGCAGCTCAGCAAGAGTGCTGGGAAGGGCAATGAGCGAAGTGCCGGTGTCGAGGATGGCACCCATGTTGTCGAACTCGGCACTCTCCTTGCCGAAGGTGATGGCGTCAAGGTCGACCTCCCAGTAGGCCTTGCGTCTCAGAGGGAGCTTGGTGAGCTCGCCGGTGTAGTGGTCCTTGTTGATACCACCGAAGATGGCCTCGGACTCAGCCTCCTTGTCGTTGGTGTCGCTGAGGTAGAAGGCGAAGACAGGCTCGTCGAGCAGGTCCTGGTCAATCATTGAGTAAAAAGGAGGGGGGATCTTGTTGACACTGATGGAGTCGTATCCAAGACCGAGGATACCGTCGAAGCGGCCGAAGGCGAAAGCCAAGCCAGGCTCCTGAGTGGCCTCACCGAAGAGCTGGTTCTTGATCTTGATGTCACCAATCTGGACAGTGTCCTGAGAGATGTAACCCTCAACAGCACCCGAGCCGTAGCGGATGGCAAAGTCGGAGCCGTTCTTCTTGTACGACGAAGAGTCGCTGTGGTCGTACTTGTTGTGGAGATAGCAAGCGATGGAACCACAGTCAGACGAGGGGATCCACAGGTTGGAGCTGCCAGTGTCGAGGACGACCTTGAACTCCTGGGGAGGGTTGCCGATGGCAATCTCGGAGAAGTCTAGATTGAATCAGAAGCAGATCAAAAGGCACATGTCAAGGGATTACATACACTGGGCGTTCAGGAAGTTGCTGACAGCGACGGGGTGGCCGGCCTCAGCGTGCATGGAGGTCTCCTTGAACATCTCGTCGGCGTGCTTCTGGGGGCGAACACCCATGTACTTCTGGCCGAGAGCCTGCATGTGCTCGCCAATGTTTGCGCCCTCCTGTGATGGCTGTTAGTCGAGCGCATGGTTGGGTCGCTGGATATGACGCCACTTACAAGCTGCTCCGAGAGAGGAACCTTCTTGAGCTTCATCTTGTGGACGCCAGCCGAAGCCGAGCCAAACAGCGCACCGGCTGCCATGAGAGAACTGCCCTTCATCTTGTTGTTTCTGTGTGGGGGATGTGTGAATGAAGGAAAAGTGTGGGTTGATGGAGAGAGGATTGTGGAGGACGGATGGAGAGGTAGTCGATAGATAGCTCGGTCGGACCAAGACGGTGGTGGCTGCGCCAGTGCGCCCCTCGTGATTCCATCGAGGTCACTGCGTCATCAACCAAGGGTCGTTCGTTCGTTAGGCAACCGCTTTCGACATTCCGTTTCCCGCGGGCGTCAATATTTGCAATTGGTTTATTGAACGGTATTGGATACTATCCATCTCTTGGGTTTATTCAAGCACATGAGCATATAAAAGCGCTCCAAATCATAGCACAATTTCACAAGAGGCTGGGCAGCCAATTGTGGTCAACTTGTGCCTGCATGAGTAGCTCCAGAGCTCTTTCCGCAAACTCCGTTTCGACCAAGCGCCAAGTCCATCACTTGCCGCAAGCAGAGTAGCACTGGGCAACCACACCAGGCACATCCATCATCTGGGCTTTGCTGGGCCTCGGACACAGGGAATCTTGCTTGTGAGGTCTTGAGATGCGATCCAGCGCCCGGATCACCCGTAATGTTTGCAAAGCCATTTGGAAACCCAGCGCGCGACGCGTTGTCGCTGTGGAAAACAAATTGATGTCGATTCAGTCGGCAGTTTGATCCCATGAAGCCTGACTCTCTGATACGAGCAATACGTGACTCACCTCACGCTTGCTTCCCTTCCATACGCAACGCAGACGTGCAATCACATCAGCTGCAAACCTGTCACTTGAACCAAGCGAATAAGAAACGGACTCGGAAAGACAACGTGAGTTTCTTGTTCTTTCACTTCGCTATTTTTTTCGTCTCTATTTTCTGGCTGCATTGAAGGCCAAGGAGAGGTGTGCCCCCGAGAGTGATTTGACCGCGTAGCCTGCAAGCAGCATAGATCATGATTCCCCCAAATACAATGCATTCGTTGGGCTTTTCCATATGACGCCAATCTGACATGCTTCTCAGCTTGACCATGGCTGCTTCCTACACGTTCGAAGATCTTTCTGGTGCAACACCCACTGTGTCAGATAATCCATATGATGGCTTGATCGAAGCTTGCCACGACAGTGCTGTGAGAACAACCCAATTCTAGATCGACTACAATGCCTGACCAGGCGTAGGCTGAGATTCAAGCTCGTTATGAAACTCATCGTAGCGCCCGAGGTGTCCAGCAGAAGGAGAAGCTCACCTCTCCGGACTTTCCAGGCGTGACCATCGACACTATCCTTGCAAAGTTGGAAGATCAGACGATTGAACCTGGCTTCAAAGACCCGAGACACTGCCTGGTCTTCTGGGCTCGCCCTCCACCTCATGTCAAACTTGTGATCGCAGAAGTGCAGAAGAGACTCAAGACAGTCGCACCCCGTGAGCAACTGCTGATCCAAAATTGGTGACACCCTACTGATGAATATCAAACAAAGACCTTTGGGTTATGCCACAAGATAGTTTGCACATGACAGCACTGGAGATCACACATTCTCTGACTGACCCAGAGATCGATGAGCTAGTCGAGCAAGTCCGTCCTGGCATTCCGGAGATCACGGATTACACCTATTCGCACCGAGCCCGCATAGTAAAGCCATCGCTTTCATATGATGCTCAAGCATTCGCTCTGTCGTTCCTCCCTGCAGCAGGTGAGCCCTGTACTGCTGACCCGTCTCGCAAGCCGGAGGACGATGCATACACTTATCACCACTTGCGCCGTGATCTTTACGCTCTGACTTCTGCCACCGGCGTCAAGGTCGCAAGCAGATATGTTGTTCCTTCTGCTCATTTGACTGTTGGTCGCTTCATCGAGCGCTCGGATACTGAGGCTGCAGATGGCAAGGTTGATCATGCACGCATGCAACAGTTGGTGAAGGTAGTCGATGAGATCAATGAGTGGCTCAAGACCGAGTACTGGCCCAAGGATGGCAAGACCATCAAAGCAGGTGGTGAGTGGATCGTAGGTGAGGGCAAAGGTCTTGACAGCCGCAAGGGTGCTTTATGGTATGGCTCCGGCGGTGAGACCGTAAGACTGGGCAAGGGATTCTGAGTGCATTTGCAGCGCCATTGTTGAGATTCATCTTTTGTTCAAAATCACTACACCACTACAAAAATTACAGCATATAGACACTACATCGGCCTTCACTTCTACCTCTTCGCCAATCAATTGCTTGCCATCACGAACTCCAGCGCATCAAACAAGCAAACTTTGGATACCTTCACCTATATATACCAACCAGCTGTCAAATCTTCTGTCCCTTGGGACTCGGTCCTCTAGTTCAGTTGAACCAAGACCGCTCCCGAGGGACTCCAAGCTGCGAGTTCAACTCGCAGCATCGCCAATAAGGTAATCAACCCCCCCTTTGCGGCTCTTCTTCCCCTGCACCCCATTCCTTAAAGATCAAACTGAGCGTGCGGTTTGTTCTGTCTCCTGCCAGGGAGGCAGTTTGTTTTGCTGATTTAGCGACTATGTTTTTTTTTGTTCTATGGCCGTCGATATTGCTGCTGCATCTGATGTAAGATGTGTGTTCCCTCTCAAGCACTTGCATTTGTCAATGCTGATATGCGCACGAGTTTCTCTAGAGATCAAACATGTCTCTGTTCGACATCGAAGAATGACACATATTTGTCCTTGACTTCAAATATGAATTCTGCTTCAGGACAAGTGTCTCTCAGCACACGGTCTTGTACTCCGAGATAGCACGGCAACGGAGCCAGTCCAAATTGCTCCATCATCGAGAACGTAGGTGCCAGCTCATTTCTCTCGGCTCTCTCTTACCCCAGCGTCGACAATCTTTTCGGCCTTCACCTCTTCGCCATCGGGCATCATATCGAAAGTCACAACCACATCTGCAGTTGCCTGAGAAGTTCATCCTTAACCAGGGCATCATCGATCCTACTGGATTATACTGGAGTCTTCAAAAGTCACTGGTGAGATGGGTTTGCTTGTTATCGTAGGCATGGACGAATACTTACTTTACAGTGAGTAACATCCATATATACACTTCAAACCCCATTTTTCACACCCAATTACCGCTTACTACTCCTAGTCCACGATTGCTCGCTTTGAACAAAGCATACTCCATGCAGTAGGCCATAGCTCCCAACCATCAACAGACCATCTTTACTGCAGACCTGACCCTTGCATATGTCACCATTTACCCAATGCAGTGCGAACTGCGAGGTCTACGTTTGCTGCCCCAAGGTTACGTCCGTAACATAAGGCATGGGTGGTTTAGTTAAGCATTAACCAAGAGCAAGGATGTAGACCTTAAAAGGTGGTTCGACCGAAGAAATTAATGGCTGCTCATTCTCTCGGCCGTTAGGGTAGGTTGGGTACATATACGGAACCGCGGATGAGACAGCACCCGATCGTGTCAGCCCTCGGGAGAAGAGTACCGATTATTTCAAGGTTCCAGAAGTCTGCATTGGATTCGGAGAAAGTAGGAGATATGAGGATGCCAAGAAGAATATGTTCATTAGAGTCGTAAAGAATATCAACAAAGAAAGAAAAAGATAGCAAGAAGGCTACAAGGTGCCATCTACACCTTAGCCACAACTTTAGTTCCAGCCAACACGATCCTCGCAGCCAGAATAGTGCAAGCACCGCTCAAAGCCATGATACCGCCAAAGATCTGTAGGCCAGTGTACTCCCCGTCCCAATGTGCGACCAGCGCACCACCGATAGGATTACTACACAGTGCGGCAAACGAGATGATCGCAAACACTGTTCCATTCCTGACTCCAATCTCTCTTACATCGGAGATCTGAGCAACCAAAGATGGAGCCAGTGAGACGAACGATCCACTGCCGAAACCGTACAGAGCGGCGAAGACAATGATAGGTGCATTAGAGGCAGCAGGCATCCAGAGAGCCAGAACCAGAATGCCAGTAAACGACATCATGATAGTCATGACATTGTATCTTCCAATCTTATCAGCCGCAACACCAGGCAGCACACGACCGAAAAAGGACGCGCCATTGAGGATGGGAATAAGATACTCCGCAAGCCTCGACGACATACCCAATGTCTCTGCCTGCAAGATCAAATAATTGATAGGCAAAAACATGGCGAAGAAGAAAAAGAAGCTGCCCAGGACAGTAAGAAGGTATGGTGTTTCCTTGAGCGGGCGGATGAATTGCATGATGTGGAAGGGTTTGGGTCGGGGAGGAAGGCGAGATTTCACGGTAACGTTGGCGACGATCATGAGGGCGAGGATGAGAAAACCGCATACCCGCATCGTCCAGCCGAATCCGATCTTGGGGATGAGTTTGTTGACCATGATTGGGAAGATCACGCCGCCAGTTGAAGAGCCGGCAGCCATTATGCCAAAGGCTGCGGCGCGTTTGTGGAAGAACCAGGTCGGCATCACACTCATTGCTATTGTAGAAATCAGTATGTGTTATTGAGAGCCGAGATGAGGCTCGCATACCTGGATAGAAACACATGCTTGCTCCAGCAGCACTACAGATACCTTGAGCCAGCATGATCTGATAGTACTCTGAAGCAAGACTTGCCATCATGACGCCGAATACATGAAGGCATGTTCCAGTCAACAAGATGTATCTAGGTCCGTAACAGTCGAAGAAGTAACCGATGAATGGGCCCAAGAAGAACATCAAGAAGGTCTCCATGGATGGAATCCATGATACCGTACTAGTGCTGTATCCTCGGAGTTGATGTGTCTCATAGTATTCTTGGAAGACTCCAATACCTGTGTCAAATCATTAGTATAATACTCGGCAGAAGATCAACATATTAATGTAGCCAAGAAAACGGCACAGTAATGGGAAATGCAAGGAGGAGGGGAAGCAGCAACACTCACAATTGATCCAGCCAAAACTGCAAAACATGCAGCAGAATGCACCCAACACAACCAACCATGCATCAAACCCACCGTCAGGATTCTCTCTCGGATCAAATGCAGGCGGTGATGCTGCAGCAACAACTCGTTGTCCATCATCTCCAGGTGTGGGTCTTTCGGCCGTAGCAACTGTTCCCTTCTCCTCATCAAACGAGCCGTCTTGTTCGTTCGTTTCGGGCCGCAGTAATTCTGGTTTCGAGCCCATGACTGTGTCCTGGAATGAGGAGTGTGAGGATTGTGATCCCAGACTATGTTGTTTCGCTGCCATGGTTCTTGGTCGTCGGTTATTGCGTAGTGGTTTGGCGATACCGGACAGCGGGAACAGCAAAAGTATAACGCCGATAGGGAAGTTTAACCAAGCCCAGGTTGTCGTAATGCCCGTTGTTTTAGGATAAAGGTGAGAAGTAGGATGGAGGAGGAAGGAATATTCCACAGCAAACAAAGAAGGAAGGGAAGGTGATGGGCGGTGGAAGATGAACCTACACTATTATACTAAATGCTGGATGGTTTTGAGGAAGATCTCCACCCAAGCTTTAACCCAGGAGTTCGGGCGTAGGAGGCGCATCTTCATTATCGACACTGCACTCTCTCGGCCGTAGGTATTTGGACCACGCGCGCAACAAATGTATGTAGTCCTCTTCTCCTGACTCGTCCGTAAATTGGGCGGTTTTGTCCAAAGGCAGGAACGCAGATGTCGCTCTCGGGCACCCCGAACATGCCGTCGTTCCTTCCCATCGCGGCAGTTGCGAACTTTGCTCATCACCTACCATGATTGTGAGGTGATCATCCAGATAGCCTTTTGATCCAAAACGACGACGACTTCCTTCTTCACTTTGGCAGGTCGTTCGCACGTAACTTCAGGAGGGAGACGCGGCGCTGGAGTTCGCTCCGAAGATTTGTCTCCACATCGCGACCTTGTTGTCGTACAAGTACCCGGATATGACCGTTTCGGCGATCAGATCGTATATCACCTGGTGGAGCTTGGTTCGGAAGTCAGGGCTGGTAGAATAAACATTAGTAGACAGATGCTTGGTTGAAAGAGAAGAATTGATCGTCGTGTTCATACGAGTTCGTGATAAGTCTAGTAAAGCAATAGCGAGAAGCATCTAAACTCCCTTATCCTCGTATCCCATATCCGTGCTATGCGCAATGTGTAGAAAGATAGAAACACCGTGCCGTAAAATGCAGTGTCATCAACATAATGTACCCGAGCGAAGGGACCGGAAAATACAGAAGCCCGGTCCCTCGCAGTTCTGCGCGTCAGCTTCATCCACCGTCTCTCATCTCATCTCACATGTCAAGCAATTCCTCAGCGTAATCATCCAACTCGATGACTCTGAAACGGCCATCCCATTTCTTCGTCCAGGCAGCCTTCTTGTAAGCCTGACTGATGTTCTTGCTCCAACTGACAAGCTCGACCTTCCATCCCTTCTTCAAGGCACGTTCGGCCATTCTGAGGAAGCCTTCAGAATACTCTGCCTGAGCGGCGTCGCCAGTGGCCAGTACCATGGTGGAGGGAGTCTCGGTATCAACAAGAGATTCCATCATTTTCAGGTGGATGATCTCGTCAACACCTTGCTCGATATACTTCTCCGGCGCGAAGACAGGAGCAGTGTTGCCCGTTTCTGAGCCGCTACCGCCGCTGTCTCCAGTGCTGTTACCATTCTTGGTGTAGCTGCTATTACGTCTGCTGCGCCACTTCTGATCGCGCTCCTGGAAATACTTCTGGCGCTCGGTGAGCTCTCGCGCTTTGAGCACCTTATCCAGGATGTTGCACTCATAACCGACACGCTGGGCCACATCGAAGGCGGCCATGTGGGGCTTTGAGCCAACCAGGCATCGTTTGGCGACAGGCCTGCGGCGCTCCATGAGGAGAGCCAAGGCGTCGAATGAAAGGTCCACCTTGGGGACGTGAACGTTCTGCGGAATGTCGCGAGCGCGTTTGAGCTGGTCGTGGAAGCCAATGAAGATGTTAGAGGCATCCACGAAGACATGAATGCCGTTGGGGTCATTCGAGTGGGTTATAGAGTTTGCGGGACTGACGAGACTTGCTCTGTCCTCGTAAAAGTTGCCGATGATCTTCAGGAGCAAAGCCCAGTTGCGGTCCTCGCCAGTGCGAACAGTCTTGGGCTGAATACCCGGACGGTTGTGGTTCTTGACAGGGGTTTCACTGACTTTGTTGACCTGGTGGAAAGGGTTTCCAGTGATACCAGTCGACTTGTATGGAATCGACGTTGTGCGAGTAGGCTGTACAGATGCGGGCAGCAAAGGGGAGGTCTTGGTAGCAGCGAATGGAGTCGAAACAGGCCAGCGCTTCTTAAACTCTCTTTGGTGCTTAGACTCGGGTGTCTTTGGAGGCTCTGCTGACTTTGCAAGGGAGTCAAAGTGGATGGGTTCCGACTGAGGTGTGTACACCTTCTTCTCGGACTGGCGAGACTTGGTCGAGCTGCTTGTCTCGCTGGGAGCTGGGCGAGAAGCTGTCATCTTCACGGGACTGGAAGGACGACCAGCCTTACCGACCAATTCAGCAGAAACGATATGGGCGCTAGCCTTACGAGCGGGGGTATCGTTGAAGAAAGAAGGCATCTCGAAGTCAGGCTCGTCGATATCACTGACGGTCTTTGAAGTCGCAGCGGCCCTCTTCCTCTCTCTCTTGTTCTTCTTCTTACGTTGCGTCTTGGTCAACTTCTTGTCGCCTTCATCCTCGTCCTCCTCTAGAGGTGCATAGTCGGTAAGATCGCCAGCGTTAACTTCGTCTCTCCACTTGATACCACCCTTGCGTTTACTTGGAGTAGCATAGGCGGCGCCGTCACTAGCGTAGTCGGCCTTCTCGGGCATACGCTGCTGGAGAGTGGGTGAGGCATTGATTTGCTTGGGAGCTGGGGAGTTGACTGGTGTGCCTAGGTATTGCCAGATCTTGCCAAAGTCACCCAACGAGACACCCTCATCGATGGCGTCGAAGTGTTGTAGGGGTGAAGCGAGGGGCAGTGACGAAGACTCGTTCATGCTGTCGTGTTTGGTCATCGAGGGGCGTGGAGGCACGTCTTTCGCTTGGGAATTAGACGGAGAGAGAGTGTTGATCAAGTCGAGGACGTTGTGAAAGTCCCACGGCTTGGTCGTCTGTACAGCAGCCATGATGGCGTCTGCGTGCTGAGGTAGCGATGGGGGGTTCTGTTGTAGTGGGGGTTGCTCGAGGAGTGGCAACGAAGGTGGGCTAGTAGCGTGTGCGGGCGTAAAGGACGAGGGGTGAGCGAGGCTCGAGGAATAGAGAGATAGTGTGTCTTTGAGTGAGCGACTCGTTCATAATAATGTCCTGGTCGTGTTCTAGAAGGCAAAGAAGGCGAATGTCAATTCACGACCGCTACTGATGGAGTCATCGCCCGCCCCACATGCACCAAGCAACCACGACCGAACCCTGAACCCTAAAACTCCGCCACCAACACAGAGCACCTCTATTTGCCCAACTCTCAATTTCCCATTCGAGTACAAGACTCCGAAAAAATCTGTCCATTCGCCGGACTTGCCAACTCACAGCGGATATTGGTGTAGAAATCCAAAGCGAGCGAACGCGGCCATTCGTCAATTCTTCGGTGTGACACCTTAGGCCTTCTACTCCAATATATACATCTATACAAAGACCAAACCACGTGATCCTTCCTCGAATGCCTCCTGAGCACATCTATCTCCATACTCTTATTTCAATATCATGATAAAATGCAAAGTCCCTCGGTTATAACATCTTCTTGAAGCCTCGGTTTCTCAAATCCACCCCCAGACAACTGTTTCCAACTTCGCTTCAATTTATGTACCTTAGCCCCCATATCATCCACACCTACCCTCAAAAATGTCCGCAGACTTCTGGGCCGGCTACGTCTCCGGAGCAGCAGGAATCATAATCGGCAACCCATTGGACATAGTGAAAGTAAATCTCCAACGAGGAGACCGCGGCACCGCAACACTCGCACCACCCATCACAACAACATCACCAATTCATCCTTCCTCTGCTTCTTCAACCTCTTCAATTCACCCAGCATCAACGATCACCACTACAAAAAATGCAGCAACCAACCTTTCTACTCTGCTCAAAGGCACCGCCGCCCCAATCCTCGGCTATGGCGCTTTGAACGCTTTGATGTTCATGACATACAACCGCTGCATGGCTTCCCTCAACCAAGACCCCTCCCATCCCACCTCGTTATCAAAAACATGGATCGCAGGTGCATTGGGCGGTCTGGCCACTTTTCTCGTGTCTGCACCAACAGAGTTGATAAAGTGCAGAGCTCAGGTCAGTGGAGCAGAGGCCAGTTCGTGGGGGATAGCGAGGGAGTTGTGGAAAGAGAGGGGGTTGAGAGGGTTATATTGGGGCGGTGGGGTGACGAGTTTGAGGGATAGTGTCGGTTATGGGTTCTAGTACGTCTTTCCCTCTTCCTAATCTTTCTTCTCGCTGTCACAAAGAGGTGAGTGTACGTGTTTGTGAGGTGCTGACAACCAAACTACAGTTTCTGGTCTTACGAATTGAGTAAGAGGGTCTTGATTTCTGAAAAGGCGGAAGGTGAGAAGCCTGAGTGGATGACCATTCTTCTTTGTGGTGGTATCGCTGGTGTGGTCACTTGGGCTTCTGTGTTTCCTTTGGGTATGTCTGCTTCCTCAAAGCCTCTTGTATAATCCACCCGCTGACCGAGTCACTGTAGATGTCATCAAGACAAGAGTACAAACACAAGGCATTGCACATCCACCGGCAGGTATACCCTCGGGAGAACAGTCGGGGTTGCTTCCATCGCGGGAGTCAGGCCGGTTGGGTACAATCCAGATTGCTAGGCAAGCATATCGTGAAGAAGGACTATCTGTCTTCTTCCGCGGCTTGGGTGTCTGCAGTTTCAGAGCCTTCTTCGTCAACGCTGTACAATGGGCCGTGTACGAGTGGATGATGCATATATTGCTTCCTACAAAGGTTGGACAGACTCCAAGCAAGCACGACTAAATCACAATAAAACAAGACTTCAGTGCCAACAAGATGTTAAAGAAACAAAGCTTTTCATTATAGAGTAGAGGGATCATTCTCCGACTATCTACCTATGTAATGAAAAGAGCAGTTAACCATTCTGAGATTGAGTAGTGCAACAAAATTATGAAACCCGTAAAGCCATCACTCGTCAAGTGCTGCTCATGTGGATCCATGCTGAGCATTGATAAGCTTGGTCATTAGACAGCGCTGGCAAAACATCCGCCATCATGCTTGTTGGCCCAAGAAAATGTCTTCGATGTCATCTTTCAATGGACATGAGGCAAGTTTACATGATCTGGTCCTGTGTGAGACCCATGGGCATGCTGGTCTGCTCTTGACCCTGCATGGGATCCATTGCAGGCTGCTGGTTGGAATATCTGACGTAGGTCAGGCCGAGAGGGCGACCACCGTACTGGTATCCGGAGAACTTGGCTGCACATATTGTCAGACATCATCACGATTGTACATAGCTGAGTATGGCTTACTGATAGCAGTGGCAGCATCATCGACACTGCCGAATTCGACGACACCAGTTCCACGCGAACGGCCGTTGGGCTCATACTGGATCTCAGCACGTTCGACCTTGCCGATAGTAGTGAAGAGTTCGACAAGATCCTCGTTGCTAGTAGACCAGGGAAGCTGCGACTTGTTAGCGACGCGTTTTGCAGGCGTAGTTCTCGGTGCCACTCACGTTGCGGACGTAGATGACAGGTCCGGGCTCGCCACCAGAGGTTGCGAAGTCGGTGAAGGGGTTGGGAGGAGCGGGTGCGGCAGGGGGACCACCGTGGAAACCACCAGGAGGGCCGCCGAATTGCTGGCCAGCGAAACCACCGCGACCGCCGAACTGACCGCCAAAGCCGCCACGACCACCCATGAAACCTCCACGGCCACCGAACTGTTGGCCACCGAAACCTCCACGACCACCCATGAAGCCGCCACGACCACCACCGAAGCCAGGAGGTCCGGCGAAGCGATCTTCTCTGACTTCGAGGACACGTCCGTTCCAGTCGTATCCGTTAAATTGCTGGATGGCGACCTGGGCATCATCGGGGTTGTCGAAAGCGACGATACCAGAGCCCTTCATGCGACCGTCAGGGGTGACATGAACGTCAGCACGGATGACGTTGCCGGTGTGAGCTACATTGAAACATTAGTACATCACTAAGATATTGGATACCAATTGTGGCTCACCAGCCTGGCGGAAGAGGTCCTTGAGATCTTGCCAGCCGACAGTGTAAGGGAGCTGACAACAGTTAGCATGATCGCAGCACTATCGCAAGGGTTAGACGAACGTTGGAGACGTAGATTTGACGGCTTCCGCCAGCCATCATACCAGGGCCACCACCACCGCCCATGGGATCGAAGCCGCCGTTGAAACCACCACGCATGGGGCCTCCTTGGAACCCGCCACGCATGCCGCCGCCGCCGCCTTGGCCACCGCTGCTGAAGCGAGGCTCTGCCTCACGGTCCTGTAAGATGAGAAATGAGCTATGACGGTCAGTCGTTCAAATAGTGAATATAAACGCACCTCGCGAACGTAGACCAGTCTTCCCATAAGATTCTGGTTTGAAAGGGAGTTGACCGCATTCTGAGCTTGATCTCTGGTTGCATATTCCACAATTCTGGGAAGCAGATTAGCAATAGTCGACAAACAGGCAGGATCAGGAAGAGCTTACCCGCATCCCTACAATCACCCGGAACAAAGTCCTTCCGTCAATCCATTGTCCTCAAAAAAAAGCCATAGCCAGGGAAACCAGCCAAAAAATCATGAGCCCACCTTCGACATTCCATTTGGGAGAAGTAACACATCGGCGAAAATAACCTCACCGGCTGTGAGATGTCAGAGTATGCCCAAAGGAGTAGTAACCGATCTTTCTCACCTTGGCGCATAAAGTCCTTGAGGTGGTGCCACTTGACGTCGTAGGAGAGGTTGCCGACGTAGACACGACGATCTTGCTGTGAGTGCTCGCGCACGTTCTGCATCATTTGTTCTTTGGCGACCACGCGCTCTTCAAAGTTTCTAGGAGCTGGTGCTGCGGCACCTCCTTCACGGTCGGAAGGATAGGTGTTGCTGGGTGCGTAACCGGGAGCGGCGGTAGATCCGTTGACGGGAGAGCGGGATCTGCGTTCGTCTCTTCTATAGTTGTCACGCGAGCGTGAGCGGGATCTGGAATCGTAAGAGCGACGGCTGCGACGAGGGCTACGGGAGCGACGGCGCGAGCGAGATCTGTCACGCTGGGTGGGATCAGTAAGTTGCCTTAACGGTAACTGACGAACAGATCGATGACGAGGTGTCGGTGAAGGTAGCATTGGTGGATGGCAGGCAGGTGTGAATGTTGGGAGCTCAATAGCAGAACGGACTTTGGTCTCTCGACTTGTGCGCTGGCTGTCGGTGATTCTCATTCTCTGCAGGTCGTGTGGAAGAGCGGAAACGGATGAGCTGCGAATCGCAAGTGAAGGGCGACGAGCTCGGGTGAGGATCAAGTGAAGGCAAGCACAGCACCAGGCGCAGTTGCGATGCAGGAGCTCGAGGCTCGCAGGAGCTTATGCCCTTCCTCCAGCGCGCCTTCCCAGCACGCGCTGCGACAAGTCGGTCGCGGCTGCCCAACTGCACGAATGCCCAAATCCGACAAATCGACTTGTCAAGCTCCGTCGCAGCTTCCTTGTATCAAGCACACCTCCCACTGAGCGACGCATCGCAGCTTGCCAACCCACTGCCACTGACACTGCCACTACCACCAATGCAAACGGTCGCAACACACAAACAACGACATGGGGAGCTGTCTACTTACACTCTCGCGGGGACGGTAGGAATCGGAGTCTGTTTGCTCAGTGATAAGCCTTTGGGGGACGAGGGGAAGGAGGGATGAGGAGGGGGTTATGGAACATACCACCCATTTGTACGGCAACGGAAGGGTAGAGGTTGAGCTGTCAAGCGCCGAAGAAGTGCAGACTACAGCTACAACAACGGAAGGAATGACAGGGGTTTGCCTAAAGCGCAACTCTGCGTTAGAAGATGCACCAATGAACGTGGATGGACAACGAGTCTTGATGATGGCTAAACCGGCCAAGTAGTGTAAAGCCAATGCTACGCGAGTATCGAGGCCCCCAAGGAGCAAGCAACCACTGCCACCACGAACGATCGCCCGATTGATGCCGCCGGCTCGCTGTGCCCCCTCTCGACACACCACACACCAAGGGTCCCCTCAACAGCCCACAGCAGCAGGTAGCCATCCGATGAGACACCACACCCAAGTCTTGGCCGGGACACCATAGCCCACACGAGTCTCTAGTCCGTGAATCAAGGTGCTTCTGCACTCACCTTGATAAGCGTGCGCGCAATCGGCTTGCGTTCGGAATGCAAGCTTTCGGAGTTCCTGAGTCGATACGTACACACGAGCAAGACGACAGATGCTGGTGACGTTTGTTGATGCGGAGTCGTTGTGTTCCCGACGGTAAGAAGGTCGTGAATTGCGATGCGCGCGCGAAGGTCTCTGGCTGGGACACCGCGCTCGTAGACGTAGTGCCAAGCAAAATCACTCACACGGAGTCAGCCCGCTCCAACCGTTCATCACGACAAGCTGACTGCCGTTGCGACCAAGAGCTGAACATGGAACACGAACTTCAAGCAATTTCCTTCTGCAATTCCAAGTCATGTTGTTGATTCAGAGCTTCGACTTGGTTCTCACAATTCGCACTGAACACCATGACCATCCGACACAACTGAAAAGACACTCGCTTGTCGAGACACCTCTTTAGGATTTACCAACACGATGGGCAAGCTGCCGCATATCACCAGTTCACTAGACCCAAGCCGTACATATCACGATCGTGCCGTTGTCTCGAATCAAACATGTCTCAATAGTGCTATGGTGATATCAAGTTCGGGACCTGCTTTAGCTAATTGTGGTAAAAGCTCATGTGCCATCATTTATCCAGCTCTGTCAAGTAATCATCTAACATAGGAGTGATGGACAAATCAGCCGTGCATGTTATGGATCGAGAGAACGAGATATGATTAGAGTGCTTGGAAGGTGATTTCAACAGGATTGTCAGTGAATGACAGATGAAAGTGTAAAAAGTCGTGGCCTCATTCGAGAATATCTGAAGAGTCTCGAATGAAACATGAAAGCCATAATAGCCCGATGCGAGCCCACCTGCCAAACACCCGCTACCAGCCATGCTCATATCTATACTACAAGTTGCAACGTCCAGCAAATATGCTTAGACAATAGTTTCGAGCTTTCTGGCGTATTCCAGCGTGTTCTCGATAACCTTGTCGCTCGTCGAGAGAATGTCCTTTTCGCCCTGTGCCAATTCTTCTTGCTGAGCAGGGAAGTAAATACGACCCTCCTTGGCAACCCAGCCACGCGATTGGGCGAACTGGATGACGGCGCCTTCGGATTCGAGGAAGAGGAGGTTCTTTGCGTTGGAGATGGGAAGGGAGGGGTATGCGCGCTCGCTGCATGAGGCGATTTCGGAGCGGATGGTGTTGACGAGAACCTTGTAGCATGAATGTTAGCATAGAGTATAACCACAGGGCATGTCAGGTTTGCTTTTGTACCTCTGAGAAGACGGCGAACTCGGGACTGGGAACTCTCTCTCCCTTGGTCTCGCCCCAAACGCGGTCGTAGCTGCCCTCCATCAAAGCCTGCTCCAGTCTCATGGGGTATTGGATGAAGGCATCCTCATCCAAGCGCTTTCTGCCGCCAAAGGCCATCTCAAGACCCTCGATGACGGTGTGGAAGGCAGCATAATCTCCTTGGCTCAACAGAAGTAGTAGATAGAGACCGGTGATCTTGCTCTGGTTTCCGTGCTTGTCGTGCGAGCCCCATCGTTCATGGGGTAATGAGTAGAATGGCTGGAGTTGCTGGAAGTAGCGTGTGAAGGACTCGGGATCTCTTTGACGGATTGAGACGAAGGCGCCAATCTCGAGGACCTCACGGGCGAGGGCGAGGTGCTGGTGGGAAGTGTTTGTGTTGGGCACGAGGGCGTGGAGCTTGAGCAGCGAGATCTTTGCCCGCGACAGGAGCGATGATGCGTTGCTGAGGTTGCTCTCCGACAGCGAGTGGAGCTGCTGGATCGTCTTCTTCAAGTCGCTTTCGGACATGTTGATGTGGATGTGTCGGGATGAGTGTTGAGGAGAGTGTCGAGAAAAAAGAGAAGGCTCTGTGGATGGGGCGATGTGTTTGAGATGGTGGTCGGCAAAGGGATGTTTCTTGATGATGATGGACAATCGCCGCTCGTGGAGCTGGAGATGCGTGATGGCCTCCGTCGCCCGTTCGTCACTGAAGCTCAGACCATTTATCCACCTAAACACTTTCACTCGACACTTCCTGTCACTTTTATCGACTTGCACACTTTGTCTTTGCCCATCTATCTGCTTCTAATCTATGGCGCATCATGATACGCGGTCGCTCAGTAGTCAACCGCGTACTATAATTGCTTCTGCCTATGATCAAACAGATTGAGCCATGGCACACGAGGACCCTGGGCTCTTTTGCTTCTGACATCTCTTGCTCAGAACAAGCCATTGTTTGATGGCCTGATCACCTCACCCAAATATCTATCCAGGCACTCGCGAATCGATGTAGCGCGTCTTCTTGCTATGCCGCCGGGTTGTCGGTCCAAGAAGGCGCTCTCGGCCGCGGAATCTCTCCGTGCTCAGGTGCCGCTCCTCGAATCCCGAGCGTCTTGGACAACGGCATCGGTTCCTCCACATGTCACATGCCATTGTTTGGCCAGGTCCTCTTAGGTAGGGTATTATTTCCATCTTTCTTTTAATGTCCCTTCTTTGTCCCCTCCCTCGGTAGACCCTGCATAACCCTCGTTTTCCTTTACTCTGTCCCTCTCTGCCACCATGCCCTCCATTACCCTCAGCCTGAGAACAGCAGCTCACTTGGCTAGAAATGGCGCAAAGGTATCGAGACTCTCATTGCGGTCACTCATCCTCAGTCTAACCCCGTTCAGCCTCACAACCTACTCCGCACTTTCGCGTCCTCGGCCAGGAGATCGGAAATCAACAAGGTCTACTCATCAGCTGAGGAAGCCATCAACGATGTCAAAGGCAACAGCACATTGCTCTGTGGTGGCTTTGGCCTATGTGGTGTCCCGGATACTTTGATCAATGCCGTAAAGAGCAAGCCCGAAATCAAAGGACTCACCGCCGTCTCAAACAATGCTGGCATCGTTGGATCTGGTCTGGGTCTACTTCTGGAATCCAAGCAGGTCAAGAAGATGATTGCCAGTTATGTTGGAGAGAACAAGGTCTTTGAGAAGATGTACCTCACTGGCGAGATCGAGCTCGAACTTACTCCCCAAGGAACACTCGCCGAGAGATGCAGAGCAGGCGGTGCTGGCATCCCTGCCTTCTTCACACCAGCAGCTTTTGGAACCTTTGTTCAGACCGGAGAGCTTCCTACGATACACAACAGCGATGGATCCATCGCCAAGTACTCGACTCCCAGAGACGTCAAGGTGTTTGACGGAAAGAGCTATGTGATGGAAGAGGCAATCAAGGGCGACTACGCTTTCATCAAGGCATGGAAGGCAGACAAACTTGGCAATTTGATGTTCCGATTCGCAGCACAAAACTTCAACGGCGCCATGGCTCGCAATGCCAAAGTCACCATTGTTGAGGCCGAGCATATTGTCGAGGTCGGCGAGATCGACCCGGCTGCAGTCCACGTACCCGGTATCTACGTCGACCGTGTCATTCAAAGCACAGAACCCAAAAACATTGAGAAGGTGGTCAACGCGAAGGACCCTGCTGAGGCCCTCAACTCACTCGGCAGTGGTGATGCTGCCAGCAAGCGCGAACGCATTGTGCGACGAGCAGCCAAGGAGTTCAAGAATGGCATGTACGCCAACCTGGGCATCGGTATGCCTATGATGGCACCAGCCTTCGTCGACGATAGCGTTGAGATCCAACTTCAATCGGAAAACGGCATTCTAGGTCTAGGAGCATATCCTCAGAAGGGTCAAGAAGATCCAGACCTCATCAACGCTGGCAAGGAGACCGTCACATTACGCCCTGGTGCCTCAGTGTTTGGCTCAGACGAGTCTTTCGCTATGATTCGTGCTGGCAGAATCCACATGACCATGCTGGGTGCCATGCAGGTATCAGCAAGAGGTGATCTTGCCAATTACGCGATCCCTGGTGTAAAGATCAAGGGGATGGGTGGTGCCATGGACTTGGTATCCAACCCTGAAAAGACGAGGGTGGTTGTGACGATGGAGCACACTGACAAGAAAGGCGGTCCGAAAATCATGAAGATGTGCGAATTCCCATTGACCGGCAAGGCTTGTGTTTCAAGAATCATCACCGAGCTTGCTGTGTTCGATGTTGACTTCACCACTGGATTGACGTTGATCGAGCATGCTGAGGGTGTCACTGTTGAGGAGATCAAGTCGAAGACTGAAGCGCCTTTCAAGGTATCTGAGTCATTGCAGGTCATGCAGCAGTAGTATGACATAGATAATCACGACCCAAAAGAAGAAACATCAGGACATCACTGATGCTCAATCCCTTGTGCCACATCTAGCCAGCGTCCGAATCCATGAATGTGATCGAACTTGTTCCATCCTTACACATGTGGCCAGATACAACAACCTACACCGCCTAGTAGCTACGCAAAGGTAGTCATAGCATATCCACCAGACACACTGTTAATCGAGTCTGATAGTTCGTGGACCATCAAGCAAGGTGCACGATTATCAAATCAGGGTGACGCCCTAAACCATCCATCAAGCACGGGCCACAAAATCTTTCCCCGACTTGGAGACCTCCGAGCCATCGCAATTGAAGCAGGCGCAAACCACATTCACAGTCTTCCACTATACCAACACACACGATCATGGCGCGCAAAGCAATCCAAACGGACCAAATCGTCAAACTCATCGTCGGCGCAGGCCAAGCTTCGCCTTCACCACCCGTCGGTCCCGCCCTCGGTTCCAAAGGTGTAAAATCTATGGATTTCTGCAAGGTGTGTGATTGTCCTTGCCTTACCTTGCCTTGCCTGCTCAACCCACGAGATGAAGGTTTGCAAGAGAATGAATCGCTGACTCGACATGTGTATACAGGAATTCAACGCACGCACATCAAACTACCTCCCCGGCACCCCCATCCCCGCCCGCGTAACAGTCCGCCCCGACCGCTCCTTCACCTTCGAACTCCGCACCCCACCCACCGCATCCCTCCTCCTCGCCGCCGCGGGCGTGGAACCGAAAAAGAACAAATTACGCGGCGCGGGCAATGTCGCCGGCCCGAATTCCAAAGCCGGAATGAGTGGGTTGGGAAAGGCGTCGGGTGGGCAATTGGCTGCTGGGAATGGAGGTTTGGGCGTCGTGGGAACGGTCAGTTTGAAACATGTTTTTGAGATTGCGAGGATTAAGCAGGGGGAGGAGAGGTTGAGTGGGTTGACGTTGGAGGGGGTGGCGAGGAGTGTGGTTGCTCAGGCGGGTAGTATGGGTGTTGTTGTTGTGCCTTGATTTTGGATGGGGAGGGAAGGATTATCAAGACACAATCATGACGACGAGGAGGAGGTGAGATGGATGTTGAGAGAAGGGAGAGAGGGAGAGAGGAATAAAAGGAACACGAGAGGAAGACGCCCTTACTTGTCTTGAGCAGAGAGCGAGAGAGACTGCAAAGTCATTGATTTCTTGCTCGAAGAGTCTGAGGCGACGAGATTCACGCCTCTTCTGTTTTCTCCACGCATTGGGCTGGCGTTCTATGGCTAAGTCTCCTCTACAAATGCTTTTTGTGCATTGGCAAATGTTGCCATGGCCTTGGAGAGAGCACCTGTATATCAATTGTAAAATACTTCATTCAGAAACAAACAACACTGCTCATAATCTTCATTCTCTTTCTAAACATAACAAGGGATAAACTGAATCGTGAGAATGGTGTTGAACTTCCAATCGTGTTTATTCGAACATCTTGACATTATGCATTACAGTAGAGAGGAAGAGGCCAGTCGACCATCAAGGTAGACGATTCAATGCCCAACCTCGATAGCCAATCAACCCTCTTCCCCCTTCAATCCCATGTTCATCCCTCTTGTCAATAATCCCACATTATCCTTCTTCTTCTTTCGAAGCTAACCCAAACACCACATATGATATCCTCTAACAATCAAATGTATATCGAAAACATCAGAGCAGTCAACCCGAGCGCACAGCTGTGCTTCGGTGCTGCTCCTTGTATCCTCCTAATGAATCAAAACCTTTCATCATTAAATCCTCCTTTTGGTACCGTCGTGGTTCCTCAGCTTTCTCGTACATGTACATGTCCTTCTCATCCGTTCCAGCTCTCGTCGCCTTTGTATGCATGTCGTGAGAATGATGATGAAGAAAAGAAGGAGGAAGAAATAAAGACACAGGTCGAAGCGAATGACGATGAAGGGTATCGAAAACCAGAAACCAGAAAGACTCCTAGTAAAAACATGTCGATAAAGATGCACAGGAAATGCCAGAATCGTGAGGATGAGCTTGGTGAAATAATCCAGGTGCAAACCCTGCATGGCGGAGTCGAAGAGAAAGCGCTGAACACGCCACATGGTCTCGGAGATGTTGTCAAAAAACAGAAGCCGAGATATACATCCATGAGGCTTTTACGCTGCGCATATGCGTTGACTTCGTGAGGGAGAAATGTTGTTGCTGCCACCCAAGTCTCGACCAGTCAAGACGAGACTTTTTATTGGACAGCTCATGACTTCTGGCCCGGCTTCTGCTGGTAATACTCATTGTCCGAAGTGGAGGCCAAAGTGTCACCCTCCCAAGACTCGTCGACAGGGCTTCTGGCACCAACCGAGGGACTTCTGCTGGAGGATGCAACCGAGGAAGAAGAGCCAATAGTCCACTCGTCGCCGCTATCCATACCGAAGTTTGCAGGGTGGAAGTCGTCCTCAGCCAGATCAGTAATACCATAAGCGTAGCCCTCTCTGGCTTCGCCAACCTCGACGTAGTCGTAGTCCCAGCGGAACATCTTTCCAGGCTGAAGTCTGGGCAGGAACTTGCCCTTGGCGATGTAATAGGCACCGGCGGAAAGCAAGCTGCCACCAACGAGATCAACAGCGTAGTGGTGAGAGAGGTACATGGTGGACCACCAGAGCCATCCAGTGTAGATGATGAACAAGGGACGGAGCTTGGGGAAGGTGTGGCTCATGAACAAGGCTTCGATGGTTGCGCATCCGGAGTGCAGCGAAGGGAAAGCACCAAAAACCATAGGCGAGGCGGTGAAAGTGGACGTGTACAGGTCAATACCGAAAAGCTTGTCAATGGCGGCGAGACCGGCAGGAGAGCCTTGCATGGAGTAGTTGGCGGGAGCAAGACCGTACATGTTCTCGTACCACGGAGGAGAGCAGGGGAAGAACAACTGGATCATGACACCAGTCAAGTTCATGTAACCGAAAGCTCTTGCAAAGGTGGGAGTGGTTCCGGGGGGTCCGAAGAGGAACATGAGGCCAGAGCAGACGAAAGGAGCACCGAAGTGGGTGATGCCGTAGGGCAACCAGGCGAGGACATCGAGGACGACAGCCTTGTGGGCTGAAAGGATGTTGCTCAAGTTTGCGCCGTAAAGGATGTTTTCGAGGGCGGGCAGCACGCGCACCCAGATGGGCGGTCTGTATTCACCGGAGATGAATCTGGAGAAGTCGCGTTAGCAAGGGAGCCGGTGGAGAAAGGAGGCAACGGATGCGACGTACTGGCAAGAGAAGAAGAAGACGAGCCATGCGGCAATTGGCAAGAAGGGCAGGAAGAATTGGCGAGTAACAGGCAACAGCAGGGACAGCATCAACAGCGTGGCAACCGTCGTCTTGACCATGGGACCGGGCGATTGGATGACACAGAGGGCGAAGATGCCGACAACAGCGAGGAAGATGTATTGGGCATCGTAGACGGACCATTGGTGGTCGCGGAGCGTCTGAAGCGTGTCTCTTGGGTTGAAGCTGGTCTGCAGCGTCGAGATGGACGAGGTGGGAGTTTGTCTGCTTCGGATCTTTGAGCGCGTGCTGCGGAACTTGCGGCGAAGACGATGAGGAAGCATGGTCGGTAGAGATGGAAGGAACTTGTTGCGTGTGAAGAAGCGTTGGGTCGAGTCCTCGTCGTCGGCGCCTCCAAGGGCAAAGTATTTGCTGCTCATGCTGCAAGAATGTGGGCGCCTGCCTGTTGCGAAGTTGCTATGCGGAGGAATACACAGAGATATCGTCGTGGCTAAGAGTAGAGCAACAGAGCAGACCGGGGCACCTGTGAGTTCGTGGACGGCGTCGAGAGGAGGAAGAAGGTCACAGGCTCACCATTCGGTGCTTAGGAAGTAGAAGGATATGCTTAGGCAGTTATTATGAAGTAACCATCGCTCATCGTCTTTTTGGTGACCATCTCCCGGCAAGCGGCGCAACCGCCCGCCGTGCCAATCCCGGCGCAAAGACAGCTAATTTGCGCCTCCCATGGGACAATCCCATCATTCCACACCAAGACCATCAATGCCTGCATATCATCGCGTGCTCTGTTCTCGAATCTACGCTTTATCTCCCTACTCTGTACAGCATTCTGCTTGAACACACTCATTCTGTTCATCTTCTTCCCAGCCTCTTAGCTACTGACTATCTAGATACGCTTTGCCCGGCTGCCCTCGGAAGCTGACTTATCCGTCAAAACTTACCCTCAGCCTTTCTACCAAGCCTCGCTCGTCATGCCAATAAACAAATGCACCAGGGACAACAGGATGATACTCGTAGTTGGCTTTCATCAATCATGTGCAGCGCAAAGATAGCAAGGCTTAGCAACCAACATCACCATCCTTCTTCCTTCCATCCTGCGCGCGTACTGCGTATTCCCCTCGTATATCCTCTCACCGTAACCTTGATGCCTAAATTCCGAAATCACCAATCTCATGAGTCGTTGATCGCAAAAACTCCCCGAGTCTTGTCCTAAACCCAAGTGGACCCTACTTCCTTCTTCCGATCATCCCCCACAAAATCGTAGAATATGCAAACACTTTCAACCCGTTTAACGAAACCACAGCGACAAGAGGACTTTGCAAGAGTCAAGCAGGAAATCTACGACGTATCCGTTTCTTGTCACGGCAATGCAGGCATCCCAGCCAATCCTTGTCCTCGTCGTTTCACAATATAAGGCTGACTGCAGCTTGCAATCGATAAAACATGCCATGCCGTGCCAATTGCTTGCTTGACCGCGGCGGCTACATAAAAATCAAAATCCGTTCTGAACAAGTTATGCCCCCTTTCCTTTGTCTCTCTGCTGTCAAGAAAAAGGAGCCACCAATTTTTTCCCTTCCAACACCGGCCCTTCTTTTTCTTTCCATCTCACCGTCTTCTTCTAGACACAGAAGAAATCTCTGCTCGTTCCCGTCGGTCGTTCCATCGTTGGTAAGAAAAAGCGCCATCGGTCGCAATCGGCAAAAAGTCATCACAAATCTTTTGTGGTTCGGAGTCACGGAAGCAATCTCACTCCGAAATTAGTTATGCTCTTTTGACCATTATTTTGTGCAACACAAGCTCCCAACCAACACCAAGGCACCCCCATTTCCCAAACTTCATGTTGAGACAAGATGCAGGTACGGAAAATCAAATCAGCGGTTGATGTGCCGTACTGTACACAGCGGCAGATCAAACACACGGCAGACCTTTCTGTGACAGGATGTGCATGCAGTTTCCACCCCACCCCTTGCATGTTTTTTTCTGCCATTCACCCATTGCTGCTCTCTCTTCTCCACACGGGTGGAAAATAAAAACATGGAGTTTGGACGGACGGGCCCCAGTCGCGTTGGTTGACACAGTGACCAAACCCTACCACCTAACCGACGCTTTTGGGTCCAGATTTCGTATTTCTCGCTGCGATCAAATGAAGAGAAAGGGAACCCGGTGAATATAATCGTGTGTTTTTGCCCTTTCCGTTTTCCGCATGTAGATGTTGGATGAAAATGTATGATCGTCAGTTCTGACAGGTAGGGACGAACGTGTTTATCATTTTAGATGCGATAATGGGATATGAAGAAAAGGAAGGTAGGAGGTTTTTGGCAGGTTAAAAATTCGAAAATTCCGGTTTTGGTGTTTTTTTAAAACACCATTTCGTGATAAGAAAAGGATATCCAAAGTCTTGAGCAAGCAAGACTGGAAAAGTAAAGAAGAGAAGTGAAAAGCAAAAAACATCAAAAAGAATTGGGGCATCCCAAAAAAACGAATCAAACTTGCTGCTGCTGCTGATTGCTGCATCTTTCCTGCTCTGTTGCTCGCGTGCTTTGCTTTCCGATAAAACAACTCCTCAAAAACTCCATCTAAAAAAGAGATAACATACATTCAAGACATTTCCGCTTCGTCTCGTATCGCTGTGGCTCAAAAAACTCATAAACAATAACTCATTTGCTTGCGTTTCCCTTTGCTCCCCCCTTTTGCACATAAAGTTCCATGTTTCCAATCCATCCAAATGCTGTGTGTGTGTGTTCGTCAAAATTCATGTACGTGATAAGTCTTCTTTCCATGTTTTCATCCACAAGTGTAGTGTTGACCGCCATTCATGATCATTTCGTTGGTCAGGTTGGTCAATGGCTTTCAAGCCAAGCATCCAGGCTGGCATTGAAGAGGGCATCGCCAGGGCCGCCGTACATGCTTGGGTTGAACTCGAGCATGTCCTCGGAGCCCATGAATGCACTTTCGACATCGTGGGTGGCGTTTGGAGAAAAGTCATCCTTCTCATCGACGCTGTGGGTTGATGAGGTGGCTGCGGGTGACAGGCACTCGTCTTCCTCGATGATGATGGGTTTGCAGTCGACGGTGTTGAAGTTGAATGTGTTGTCGCTGGAGCCGAAAGGTGCACTGGGGCATTGAGAGCTTGGGGGAGGGCTGTGAGGAAGCTGGGGTGGTGATGAAGGGAGGACCTTGACGTCTGCGGTGGGCAATGCGCTGAGGTCAATGGTATACTTGTACTCCTTCTTGGGCGAGACGTTTCCAGTGGAGAAAGGTGAGGTAGGAGGAGTGTAGCGCGAGATCTCCTCGGCGTACTTGCCCTCTTGTTGGTAGTTGGCAAAGTCCTCGTCATCGTAGTCATCACCGACATTGGCTGCAGGAGTGTTGGGGTAGCTGGCCTCGCTTGCAGAAGAGCTTGCGTAGGTGAATTCTGAGTTTCTGCGTGCGTTCATCTCTCTCTGGTGAGCGGCCTTCTCGAGACGCTCCGAGATGTCGTAGGGGTTCTTGCGTGGGCGACCGCGTCTAGCTTGAGAACGCTCGTAACCAGGGAGAGCGCCGTCGCAGACTCCGCGTTGACGGTGGCGAGTCAGGGCATCTTGTCTGGCAAAGCCGTTGCCGCAAGGGCACTTGTGAGGCTTGTCGCCACTGTGAATCTTTGCGTGACGCTTGAGGTCATGCTGTCTAACGAAGCACTTGCCGCAGTGATTGCACTTGAATTGGCGATCGCCGAGATGGGTTTGGACGTGGGCACGGATGTTCTCCTTGCGGCCGAACTTCTTGTTGCATCCATCAAACAGACAGGTCCACTTGCCATCGCAGTGATCCTGAGGGCTGATGAAACGTTGGACATCCTGAGGTGAGATGCCAGTGTCTTCAATGCTAGCGTCGATGTCGAGAGTCTGCAGCATGGCCTCGCGAGGAGACATGGCGGATCTGTGAGGGGAATCTGTGTAATAGCTCATGTTGGGAGTGGCTTCGCCAGAAAGCATCATAGAATCGTGAGCGTAAGTGGCATGACTGGGAGCAGGCGAAAGAGCTTCGTAGACAGTAGGTAGAGGGTTGAATTTGCCGTCCATAGGAGAGCGCATAGGAGAGCTGGGGTCAGCCAGGGATGAGGTGTATGAGGGTGTACACGCGTAATCGCCAGCGAAAGACTCCTGGTAACAAGACTGGTTGTCTTGGAAAGGCTCCTGGACTTGGACAACGGGAACGTTGGCGTATTGTACTGGCATGGGTGACATGGCTTGGTGCATGGGTGACACAGCGACTGAGTTTGGCATGGGCGAGACGTCGAGAAGAGGCCCCTCCGAGTGGCCAGACATGGATTGCTGGTAATTTGAGCAAGGAGTAGTTGGACGCGTTGCGACAATGATTGGTGTGGTGGGCATTTGAGGTTGCGATTGAGTAATCGGTGTCTGAGGAACATATCCGTATGTGCGGTAAACGGTCTGGATATGTTGTTCAAGGTTCAGGATGGCTTGCTTTGCTTGCTCTGCCGAAGCAATATCCTGTTCCATGAAGGCTGGTCTGAAGAAGTGCTGTTGGTTAGGGTCCATGGGATAGAGTCCCGGCTGGTAAGGTCTGTGCTGCTGCGTTTCTTGCACTGAATGCTGTGATGATGGTCGTTGTTGGTTAGTTGGCATACTTACCTCCTGTCGTGATAGGAGAGTCATGCCCTGGTCGATACTCAGTCCGCGACGGTGGCCATTGGGACGTTGTCTTGACGAGGCAGACATGTGTGTGTTGATCATCGGGACCTCGAGCGAGTTCTGTCTTCTGTGGAGTTGACGTCGTCGTTGGATGCTCGAGGTTGAGTTGTGTGTTGACAGCATTTTGGTGGTGAAAGATTGAGTCCGGATGGGGTTAGTTGTCGAATTGGTCGAGGATAAGTTAATATCTCGGTATTCCGGATCTGTATAGAGAACTGGATTAGTATGTGCATATTGTGTGCAGCTCAATGCATCTTTGGAGAGTCGAAGAAGCAATAATATCGTACCTCACGCAGTGCAAGCCGCGTCCGCCGGGCGGAGAATGTCTTAGAGTCTGATCAGGCGCAACGCACTAGAGCGAAGCTTGGAGTGGGTTGGTATGGGCCTAGCGGCCTGTGGGGAGGATGGTTTGGAGAGTTGTTATTGCGAGAAGGAGAATTGGATGGCTTTCTTGCAGATAGATGGTATCTACAGACTTGAGGGAGAGGGATATGCAGAAATGAAAACCGGAGGGCAGACAGGCCTACTAATGAGGCCTTTGCTTACATGGGGACGGCCATTTGGCGCTGGTTGCTAGGTGAGGATGGATTATCCCAGCTGTTGCTGCGCAACGTGCAACGCCATGCAGCATGACGGAGGAAATCTTGGTTTCGTCCCGCTCCTTTGGGGCTGCCGCTGTCGTTCTCCCCACCTGTACCGAAGGCGGTGAGTGGTCCGATCGCGATGAGATGATCAAGATAAGATAGTGCTCTCTCCAGATCTAGCATGTGAAAGCGGTCCAAGATTTTATCGCCGACGAGGCTCGTCTTGACAAACTTGAGGACGACGTCGAGGTCATATCACTCAACATGAAGGTAGCCCACTTCAACGTCTTCCAATAATGCTCGAGCTGACTCGTTCAAGATCCTGGATGCCGGTACCGAAGTGCTCGACGACTATGATGTCCTGAAATTCATTCGCGACAAGCGCGCGCAAATCAAGGAGGAGAAGGAACAGTCCAAGCAAGAGAAGAGACCCAACTCATACAGGCCGGCCAATCTCATGAAGTCACTACAAAAGGTCCGGAGCCATCTGGCCGACGGTCAAGGGCTGAGCTAATCCTTTGCAGCATGAAGAGCATCTCGCCGACAAAGACCGACCTTTCCTGGACAACCCTCACTACGACAACAACTCACAGTATCTGAACAAGCTGATGCAGACACTGGGCCCGAGAGTACAACTCACAAAGTCCGAATACCTGACCATCGCCAATCAACGACCCTTCAGACGCTCCCACATTGCTGCTATGATTGAGGATGCCGACACTCGCTTCACAATGGAAGAACAGAACTTCATCAGAGATGCTGTGACCGACATCTTGGGCATTCCGGAAAAAGAGGAGCAGAACTTGGACTACACTCCCGTCGAAGTCAAGGGTTGAGAGAACCGCTCAGCACATCCAGAGAAGATCAATACCGGAGGACTCGGTCGTACTCAATGGCACCCATCACCACCCTGTGCAGACATCCAAAGGGCTTTGCGAGCGATCGGTACAACACACGCAATGCGACAAATGCCGGCGCATGTGCGTCGCAGCCGCTTGACACGGAGGATTGAATCAAAGAGCAAGGAAGGTTTTGCAAAAGAAGACACACACGCTCTGGACACCACCTACAGTCTTTCAAGACGAACAGAAGTTGGTATATCATACTAGACGTGGTGCGATGGCAGACTACGCGTCGCAATATCTTTTGTACTTCACCTTCTTCCATCCTTCATAGACTCTATCACCCTCGTCCTCTACATCGCAGTCTCAAACAAGACTGCAATCATTATATCATATATCAATCATTTTCGCACACACATCGATTCAGCTCTGCTTGTAACACAGTTTATTTTTTGCCGAGGTCAAACAAACCTCGACGGCTATCGGGCTAATCAGCCCTCTCAGCTCCTCTCTCGGACGCCATGTCAACCGCGACTCGAACGCCATATCTACGCTATCACCGTTGCGATAAGCAACCACCTAACCTTGCCAACCTTACTCGACCCCTCCAACGCGTATTACCACAATCAGCAAAATCTCGACCTATCATACATATTTCAACAAGCCGAACAGAGAAAAATCCTACTGTGATCAAAACAGTGTATCTAGTCGATAACTAATCGTTAACCCTCAACCCCCCATCCGCCTAGTGGATCCGAGTTTACCGTATCGCTCACTCTAGCCTTTTGAAGTCTGCGTACTCGGTTGACCATTGTACCGATACTGACTGGGCCGATAATTGTACAGAGAAGAATCGCCCACGTTGCGACTAGAAAGATGTCTGAACTTTCTCCTCCTTGTGTTGTGCCAAAAATACCATTGCTTTCGGCTAAGGAGGAGATCAAGAAGCCAATTTCACCGCGCGCGACCATTGCACTGCCTAGCATTAGGGATGGGTATAGTGATTGTGGTTTTGGGAGTTTGCGAGGCGGTTGGCGTTTGCGTTTTGAATTTGCGGAGGGCGGTTGTTGGGGGTTGGTTTGGTCGGTCGAGGCATCGGTTGATGGTGTTGTGTTGGTGGTTTGCTGTCCTTCGGGTAGTTGGACTTTGGTTGGTGTGCTTGTGAAGCGTACGAGTACCAGACCACAGGCTAGTTTGCCTAGGATCATGAGGATTGTGTATACGATGCCTCGCCATACGATGGCACCACGGAACATTTGTGTGATGGGGATAGAAAAGCCGATTGATGCCTGGTATAGATGTTAATCATAGAATCGTGCAGGTGATTATAAGTGATACCTACGAAGAAGAATGGCTTCAAGATAGTGTTCATGGCTGGTGCATACATATGCTCGTAGATCACGGCTCCTCTCAACTTGTCATGTGTTGCTGAGACAGGTCGGTCGATTGCTGGTTCACAAGCATCAGGTGCAGAATTGTCAGAAGACGTAGGGCTGGAGACAACAGCTCCTTCTCTTTGCGGCTGAGTGGTCTTCTTTCCCTTGCGGGCTTTCTTTTCCGTTATAATAGCAGAAACTTGCTCTTGTAATGTCGCGTCAACAAGTGCATCCCACCAGTTTATCACAGCTCCAGCAATATAAGCAGCGAACAGATTGGAAGTACCAGCATAAGTAGATCCAGTGACAAGACCTAACAGAACCAGAGTATGTGCAATGAAAGCTGCAACAGGTGTACAAATCCAGGTTCGTAGATTTGACTGCTCCTCATCTTTCTTTGCCGTCTGAGCTAGGGTAGATTTCGTGATAGGCTTCACGACAGCCCAGCAGACAGCAGGTACAACGACGGCGAAAGCGATGGACACGAATACTGGCCGAATGACTGTTATAGCAGTAAAAGAGTTGGCAGACTGTCCAAGGTTGGATATGACTTGGACCATAACAAGACCAGCTACATCATCCAGCATGGCTGCACTGGAAAGGATAACACCTAGTCTGCTTTTGTCGAGACCACTGGTGTTGAGGATGGTGAAGGTCGTACCCAAAGAGGTTGAACACAATGCAGCTCCAGCGGCAAATGCTTGCACGGGAGTAGCTCCCAGCAGTCCCATCAAGACATAAGACAGACCGATAGGTAGCGTGATGCCAATAAGAGCGACCAAACCAGAGAGGTAGATATTCGACCACAGAGACGCGAAAGAAGTCGACAGACCACCTTCACAAAACCGTCAGCAAGCCATCCACTATAACACGATCTTCTACACACCTTCATAAACTATCAAAATCAACCCAAGATAGCCCAGCTGCATAACAGTATCTTGGACCTCTTCCGACAACCAATTCGCACCAGGCGTTCCCCAAGCCACTCCGATCAAGATCTGACCAACAAGACCACAGTAAATAGCATTATCGAGGATCCAATTGATGCCATTGAGAACGAGTAGAAAAGACGACTGGATCAAGATCGTCACGATCCCAGGCTCGTGGTAGGGAAGGGCGGCTAGAGCCATATTGGTGAAAGAGGAATGGAGTACCAGATCACTTAAGAGCAAGCTTCCCTTGCTCGTTTCACCCTCTTGAAGTGTTCAGTAAAACTTGTTTATGCGTAAAGGTCGTCGATGACTTCTCGGTTCGACTGTCCTGACGCGACGACGTCAACGCTTCGACTTGGCGCGAAAAAGTTGGGTGCTTGGGAATCTTGTCGGCATCTCTTGAACATACACAAGTCATACATGCTATCACAGGGACAAGCTACACCATGTCGACTATACGTCGAGTTCAGAGATGAACATCAGACTGAAGCTCGCGTCTTCAAGCAGAGACGCGGCGGAGTCCTTCCTACAGTAAAATTTCACACTTGCATATTTCAGCCATTACACAGGCTGCAATATTCAACTAACATCAAATCATACCTTTGTTTGTCTGCCGCAAGTCTATCCACTAACTTCTGATCAGACGCACACCCCAAATTTCATAACCTCATTATATCTCATTCCTCCTACCCTCCTTTCCATCAACCCTTCACCGCATCCTCCTCTTCTTTCCCCTCCAAAATCTCCTCTTGACTAACACTCTTCCTCTTACTCTGACTCCCCCTCCTGAAGAAATCCTTAATCGCTTCTGTCTTTGAAGTCCCACTGTTACTAGAATGTAACGACCAACTACTCGATCTGCGACGGTTGTGTTCGGCTATCGCTATTACCCCCCATCAGCATCCATTACATTCTCTAGCAAAACAGAGAAGGGGACTATCAGGAGAGACAAACATACCATCGTGTTCATCATTACTCGATGCCTTTTTCAATTCTTCTTTTATTTCTTCCGGGGCGACTGTGGGATTATGGTGAGTTTTCGATGGTTTAGCATGGAGGAGGTGTTGGTATGTTCGTACTCATATTTCCTCGTCCTCCTCGACCTATTGATACGCGGTGGGGAGACACGATCGGTTCGTCGCTGATGCTTTGTCTGCTGGAAGTCATGGTTGCTGTCCTGGTTTCCTTCCGCTCTGAGATTTGGTGAAAAGTTGGCGATTGTCGCTTTTGTCTCGTTGTCGCAAGTGTCGCCAGTGTCCCGTTCTCAATGCGGTTCTTCAGGTGGTGCTGATTGATATGATCCTCGTAGAATTCTCGCTCTCATATTATCACCGCAAAACCGACAGTAAAGAAAAGAAAAAAACTAACGGCAGCCATTATGCGTGAAAGACCCTTTATCTATAAGGAGGGGGTATGTGCCAGACCACTATTCAACTGCTTCTAGTCTTCTGACTTGAAGGTAGATCTTCCCCTTCCGTCCTAACTTATGATGCTTGAGAAAAGAAACTACCGAGGCACGGCAGGTGAACTGCGACCAAAAATTGTTGTTTTGAGGAAAAGTGTATTTGATCGCTACGTCATCATCAACACCCACGTGGAAATCACATGCGCATTGTGAAAAACTGGGAGAAGAGCAGTCGATTCGGACTGGACAAGAACAACCTAGTATCCCGAGTATCACGCGTCTAATTAGGAGTCAGTTCTGCTTGTTGTGTTGTACGAGATCGTTAACATCATCCAACTGGATTCCTCTCATCTCCAAGCACGCTTTGTTACGTATGCTCCGAATCGCTCCAACACTTCCACAATTCTTACCTCTGACGGGAGGCTGTGACTGGATATACTTCCCTTGTCTTCCAGGACTTGACAAAACCGGGACCTGATTAGGCTCCACCATCGACACCGCTGCTGCTGCCATTGCTACGCTCCTTAGCAGCCTCGGCTCCATTCTTAGGACCAAAGTAATCCGGATCCTCATCGTAGTCCCTCAGCTTCAGTCCCATGCGGCCAGGGTTGATGTTCCAATGTCCAATGATCAATGCGATTGAAAACACAGGCTTTGCCAGGAAATCCAGGACACCATAGAACACCGCCTCGGAGTCTGGAGGAATGACATTGGCACCCTCGGACACACCCCAGCAGATGGGGTAGCAGAGCCAGATGAAGAGGGTCAAGCAACCACAGATGGTGTAGGTACGGGCAATATCTGAGCCGAGGTGCTTGGCATGTTTGCGGCCTTCAACGGCGAGATTCCAGAAGATAGCGAACATGGCGACAGTACCGAAGGTCCAGAAGCCTGTATGGAAGAGTCAGATTGTGTGTATGCCCGAATGGAAAGGAAAGTAGTTCTTACCCCATTTGTAGCGACTCTTGACGAGAGCACCGACAAGGCCAGTAACAATCATGACTTCGTCAAGGAAGATGGTCCACAGGATGGTCGGCCAAGGTAAGCCGGCAGTGAGAAGGAGGTCCATAAGAAGCAGAGGCGTGGTCACGAACCTTGACCCATGTCAGCATTCGTCTTCGAGGGTGCACCAGAGACATATCTACCAATCAATGTAACGGACATAAAAGACCTCACGGTTGACGCCAGCAACCTGGGACCATGTCCTCTGCCATTCGACGTCAATGGGCGTCCAGCCGAGATTGGAGCCCATGGCGAAGTAGGCAATACAGGCAGTGGTGTTGATTGCAGCAGTGATGTAGAAGAAGATACGGTCCGTACGAGGCTTCATTGCAGATGCAGCCATCACGCCCAAAGCAACAAAGCCCATGACAGCACAGATGGCAAAGTAGAAATCCGATCCACGAACAGTGATGGCAATATCGACATGCTTGTTGTTCTGGGTGTTTGGATTCACCTGGATGGCATCGTTTCGTTTCTCCAGCCAACTCATGGTCGCGGGAATAGATAGGTGCAGGTGCTAAGGTTTGATAGAGGAATGCTCCGTACGAGGGACGATAGAAGCGGCAGGAAGAGCATCTTATGTTTGTTGAGATTCTACGTGATGGATAAATTCGTCAGTGGCTCGTACCTCCAACGAATGTCCAGCCCCCCAGAGAAGGTGCGACAAGCAAGTCACTTCCACGTCAGACTTCTCATGACTTCCGCGGCCTGAACGAACGGCTGTTTCTTGGTCCTCTCCGTGTACCCCTCCCATGCTATACCTATACCAGGCTCGCATATCGACCTTTCGGCAAACAAGTCCGGAGCCGTTTGAAGGACATGCTCCACATGCATAATCACAATTGCTGCCATGATTTGTTCAAACGAGCGTAAGTGAAATGAGGACACTGGCTAGTGATCAGCGGACTTAGGAAAGACTTCATGTCATTTCCATCATCTGATTCCCATGTTCGAAATTCGTTGTTCGAAAGTCCATCAAGGGGAGCACGCAACACGGTGATGTCTCCGCACATGCAGTCGCGGCTCAAATCCAGATCATCAGCCACGCCGTCAGAAAAACCATACCATCTACGGCAGTCGCTCTGAAGCTTATTCTTAGCTTGGCACCCTCGTGTCGACAACCAGGATCCTGCAACTGTAATTTGGAAGCATTTGTAGAGTACAATCAAGGTAAAGCGGCTTGTTCAGGGCTGAGAGTCTTTCTCCGAGACCAAAAGCAATCATGGCCTTGTGAAATCAAGTGCCAATAAGATATGGGATTATGACTACTGATCTGTTAACAGATACGTTCTTCTACCCATGCTAAACATCATCCTCAATATGTGATTTACTAGAGGATTACTCCGAGAACGAAGATTGCAAAAGCCACCATGATACCTGTTAGACTTGCACTCAGCGAGCTGCTTCCCCCATTCGATGAAGTCGTCTGATTTGAAATTACTGCCTGCGTCCCGGTAGGAGACTTTACTGTCGTCGATGTGATGCCAGGGTGCGATGAAGATTTTGGAGGGACCGAACTGCCAGAGCTAACACGGGAGTCTGAAGACGAGCCAGGAATGGATTCGGACGTCGAAGATGCGATGCCTTGCCAGATATAATCGCCGAGGTTTTCGGTTGTAGTTCGTGTTCCTGACATGATCACCAGTGAGCCTCCACCCGTAGGCAGACTCAACATTTGACCATCTATAGTGATGGCTGGACCGCCGGGATAAAGTGTCTGAGATGCAACTACAACACCCGATTTAAGAGGCGTGAAGGATAATTGTTGCGAACCGAAAGCGAGTACCCCACCCGCAGAAGCTGCTGCTGATAGAGAAGCTGTTTTGCCATTGATGACAACCTCCCCAGTAGCCGATGGGGGTAGGCTGTAGATAGTACCGCTTATTGTTATCCCGCTGCCACCTGGAAATAGTGTCTGTGATTCAATGACCAGGGGTGTCACGGACGCAGCAGCTGCAGAGTATGCTTGGGATCCAACAGTGATGACAGGATCAGAACCAAAAGTTTTGACCGGTGTTGGTTGTCCATCAATAATCACCGTGTTACCAGAAACTGGCAATGAGTACGTCGTGCCCGATACTTCAATGGCCGAACCACCAGGACTAAGTACCTGAGTTCCCACAATATATCCACCTGCAAGTAGCGGCACAGCAGTCGCGCTACCGAACACCACAGCCGAAACCGTTGGTATGTCTGTTGGACTCATGATGGACGTCGCTCCATTTACCATAACATTGGCTCCAGATATAGGCAAGGAGTAAGTCACACCAAAGATTTCGATTGCCGAGCCTCCTGGACTGAGTGTTTGGTCTGCTACAAGGTAATATGCACCGGAGGACTCTGGTTTAGCAGTGACTTCTCCAATGATAATGGTAGCTGGTGGTACCTGGATAGTAGAGATGTGCGTTGGCTGTCCATCAATATCGACATTACTCCCGGATGGTGATAGGGAGTAAGTGGTTCCAGATATCTGTATAGCAGATCCCCCACGGCTGATGGTTTGATCTGCTACGATATATATACCAGAGGCCACAGGCGTGGCTTTGATTTCACCAAAAGCAACAGGTGCTGAAGGTGATTCTTGAGGCGCGATCGTTGACACAGATGCAGATTGTCCATTGACAAGCACATTGCCACCAGATGGCTGCAAGGAGTAGGTTGTGCCAGATAATTCAATCGCTGGACCGCCAGCAGAAAGGGTCTGGCCTCCAATAGCATATGCAACAGAGGAGTAAGGCCTATCAGTTGCGCTGCCAACCACTTCTGGTATAGTAGGGTGATCATAGGCCGAAGCCACGAGCGTCTGCCCGTTGACGATGACATTGCTCTGTGAAGCCTGTATGGAATATGTGGTACCGGAGACTTCGACTGTCGGTGATCCTGGTGCGACTGTTTGATCTCCGATGATGAATCCACCGGATACAATGGGAGTAGCGGTAACTTTTCCGATCACCACAGGTGCTGGGATAAGAACTGAAGCTGGTGAGGAAGAGACTGGCGATGTCTCTACATCTGTCAAAGCCTCAGACGGCTGAGCTAGGTCTGTCGTTCCAGATGTTTGAATAGCAAGTCCTCCAGTCCTGGGGATCGTGGTTTCGATGACAAGAGCGACAGAAGAAAGCAATGTCGCAGTAGCACCTCCAATGACAATCATGACCGGATCGGTTGTTCGAATGGCTTGCGTGGTTGTATCCGCTGCAGGGATATTGTTCTGAGAAGGAGCTACCTTGGATGAGCCTGCCTCTTGGCTGACAGCGGCCTTGGTAGTCACGTCTGAAGGCTTGCCCATATTGGTTTCTGCGGAGTCAGGAGCTGTTGTTTTTGAGGCATCGTCGGTCGGCTGGTCAGACGAAACTTGATTCTGTGTCGTTTGAGGGGGTAGGATGGTAGGAGATACAGTGTCTCCTGATGCCACCGATGTGAGACTTGATGCAGCAGCAGTGTTGCCTTGCGATGTTGCTTCAGTCGACTTTTCAGTAGTTGGAGCAGCTGGTGGAGTGGTATCTTTATTCGAGTCATGTGGACTTTGAACTGATGAGGGTGGGGTTGCGGTGCTGACGTGTGATATAGCTGTAGGCGACGGCTGTGTTTGGATTGATGTCTGCGAGGGAAGAGGGTTCTGAGACACCTTAGTGGTTGGCGCACTTGTCATCATCGTGCTTATGGGTCCGATTGTCGATGTTTTGCTGGCAGGCACGGCTGCCGTGGTACTTGCTGTATTGATGTACATTGCATTCGTCGTGCTGGTCACAGCGCTCGAAGATGTCAGGAACGAGACACGGATATGTAGCTGAGGAGCGCCAGCAGCAGAGACAGGCGAACAGCTCAAGATGCTCGGGACATGAGATAAGACGTCGGGATTCTGTGCCAACCAGGTAAACAACTTGTCGTCTATCTCTGTTATAACAGACTTCTGACTCCAGGTACTCGTTTGGGTTGACACGAAGCTGTAGTAGGGTGTTGAAATCCAGAAGCTTGAAACCGATATGCCACTCCCTTCAAGGCTGTATGGCAGATTCGGAGCTCGAGCGGCGTTTGAGAACCAGGATTGAGCTATTGACGCGACCTCGTATGTAGAACTCTTACTTCTGTATGTACCCATACAGGTTCCAGCACTATTGAGCTGGCCGGAGAAGACATAAAGTGATGCAAACGTCATGAAGGGCGTTGGGGATGCTCTGACATGAACAATCAGCAAACATCCAGGAGGTCCGTTTTCTTGTTACTCACATCGTCGTGTATACATCGTCGTATCTTGTATCGTTCGATGCAAGCAACACCGTACCATCATAAGCGCCGCCATAGTAAGGACCATTGATATCAGTTTGTACACCAGGGAGGATGGGCGTCTCGCCCAAGTCGGCGATGTAACCACCCAGAAATACTGTAGAGTTGGGCGGTTGTGTGATCGTAGCAGTCGGGACGACGGTATTGTTGTAACGCAGATACTCTGTTATGACTGTTCCGTCAGGATATTCCACGTCGTGATCGGTGTACCATACTATCAACCCAACCGCGGGGGCGTATATCTGGCAGCAAAATGAACCAGATGGCGACGATGGAGTCGGTTGAATAGATGCCGAAGAGTTCTTGTACTGGGAAATCGCTTGTCTTGGAAGGTGCAACCCAAACACGGCTTTCAAGTGGAAGGCATACCACAACGCTTGGAAAAGCTTCGCCATCGTTCTGAGGCACACTTAAAAATTTTGAAAGAGGGGCAATGTAACATTTGTATGGCTGTTGCGCCTTTATAATGTAATACTGGACATATTGAGGGCACCGCAATTCTATCCTAGGGAATATGCACCCTCGAAGGATTATTGGTAGGCGCACCTGCATACAGATTGGTGTATTCTGGCCCCGCGACCGAGTCCATTATGGACCTGCAGCTTGAATGCCACAGGCCGTAATAAGAACTCAAGTGGATGTTCTTCATTCGCATATGCGCGCTTGGTTGGCGAATTGTTTCGGATGGCGGAGCTAGGCAATTCTGATCTTCAGTCCGAGCCGACTTTGTAGGGTATCGGGCTGTCAGCATGCATGAATCCTTTCAGCCTTGTTTCCGAATTTAGAAAAAGGCTGGAACGCCTTTCCCTGCGCAGTTTGCGTGCGGATGATATTTCCATGCGCACGAAATCGGCTTCTGCGATGGTTTGTGGGCTTGAGTAAGACCTTATCATTTACCGCTGAACATCATCCAGCACCAGACCACGTGTCAACCACAGCCTCCATTTGCGGCACAAGATCCTTTATTTTGAATGGTTTTGTAACCACAGAGTCCATGCCAGCTTCAATCGCGGTTGCAATTTGTTCGTTGCGAGCATTCGCCGTGATCGCGATCACCGGTATATGGCCAGATATTTCTCCAGACTGTTCGAGTGCGCGAATGCGACGGATGCAGGTCAGTCCGTCCATGACAGGCATTTCTATATCGAGCAATATCAGGTTCAGCGGTGTGGCATCTGAAGTGCTTGAGAGATGGGTTGTGGTGGAGAGGAAGTTGAGCGCTTCTAGGCCGTTTCCAGCTACATTCACTTCGCAGCCCAGCTTCCGTAGCTGTTTCGACATGACTTTGCAATTGATCTCGTTGTCTTCCACGACTGCGAGGTGTTAGCGTTTTCTTTTCTCTCTGTTGTATATTCGAATGTACTTACTAAGCACATGCATGTCGTGTACCAGAGTTTTCGGCTGTGGTACTGTATCTACCTTTTCCAGGACTTTGACTTCCTCGAAAGCACCGCCCATGGCATGTGGCAAGTTCTTGACACTGACGGTAGACCCGACCGAAGCCACAGAACCTGAACGACTCGCTCGGACGGCGCGCTTAGCTTTGATGTAAAATGCGAATCTGCTGCCGACTCCAGCTTCGCTGTGTAAACCAATTTTGCCCTTTTGGAGCTCGACCAGCTCCCGAGAAATGAACAATCCTAAGCCTGAGCCGCCATACTGTTCAGAACAAGTCAGTCAAGGATCGAATAGATAACTGAGAAACGCCACTGACCTGTTTGTATGTCTTAGGTGCTTGTGAGAATCGTTGGAACAGCAACTGTGACTCTTCTGGCGTTAGCCCACAGCCAGTATCCTCAACGCTGAACAACAGGTAAACATCGTCACCACCGTCGTCCGAGTCGAGGGCTGCAAGCATTGCAGTGGCTGTCTCGGGGTCGTCATGATCCTTTTTGCGCGGTTTAACGAATTCAACACCACAATCGAGGGCCGATGGCGGTGCAAAGAAATTTCCATAGGACAACGTGATGCGGCGCGTTTCTGCGCTTCGAGTGAACTTTAACGCGTTGGTGATCAAGTTAATTATAACTTGGAGTAGACGACTGGGATCACACATGATATCTGCAACCGCACAATCACTCGACATCTGTTCGACTTTGGTCACGATATCCGCGCTCTTCAGTTCGGTCTCGAACATCTTGAGCGCTTTTTCGACTACTTCCCGTGGCCTGGTTCTTTCCGGAGCCAAGACCAGGAGGTTGGAATCGAGCTTTGAGAAGTCGAGCACTTCATTGATTATCTGCAGCATGTGGAAGGCGCAAATGTTGATCGTGTTGGCTGCGTCAATAACGTTTTCGTGTGACGCTGCTGGTGTTGCATCGAGCGAAGTCGTGAGGATTGACTCAGTAAGTTGTATAATGCTGCTCAGCGGGTTCCGCATTTCATGCTGTGGATTTTTCAGTGGCTCGAATCATTGAAACTATAGGAAGGTTGACCTACCGAGATCATGTCAATAAAGTTTTGCGCCTGCCTCTTCGTTTCAATCGCTGCGTTCATCCTTTCTGTGGTGAGAGCCTCGGTCAGCTTTTTCGAAGTAACGTCAGTCAAGTAGCCTTGGAATGTCACCAAGACACCGTTAGCGTCGCGTTGTGGGAAGCAGACAACTTCCAGCCATCTAGCGCGCGTCGGGCTGGATTTGGTCCCTGCCTTGACGCGGAACTGGAAGTTGAGTACTGAATGAGACTCGGCAACGGATCTCCAAGCCTCTTTGCTGAATTCTTCGTCGTCTGGGTGTATGCAATCTCGCCAGGCGTATCCTGTTTTGGCTTTTTCGAAATATTCATCTCTCTTTTCACCTAGCAGCTCCAGGAAGCGATCATTCAGATAAAGTGGCGTGCCATCTCCTTTGTACAAGAACATGCCAATCGGAGCATCTTCCGCCATACGCGTGAATGTTTCCTGGCTCTTCTCGTTCTTGAGAGTCGCAATATTCAGCTCTCTAGATAGTTTGGCAAGGTTGATTCGGTAGCCAAAACTATCGTCGGTCCGTAATATCTTCCTCTGGTCAGAGGGTGAGTCCAGTATGGTGACTGCTCTGAGCAAAATCTCGTTCAGTGAATAGATGAACTTTTTCATATAATCATCGGCACGCCGCCTAGGATTGACACCAATGACCACCGAGCCTAGTGCAGATCCCTTGATGTCGAAGATGGTGAAAACAAACGCTGAAGCGACTGTACCTAATTCAGGCATGTCGATTTTCAGTTCAGCCGGAAGGCTCTCGTCTTGAAGACAAACGACATTTTCGTCCCGCTCTGCCATTTCCAGAGCACCTTTCAGTTTGGCGGAAGATTTCTCGAAGGGGCCGTTCGATTTGAGGCCTGATGAACCATATAGAAAGTACTTCTCTCCAGAGGGTGTCGTTGTTTCCTTGTTGATCATGAAAAGAAGTGTGTAGGCTATGTCGTCAGCCTCTTCATCCAGTATTCCTAGAAACTCAAGCCAAATATTGGAGAGATCGGGAGCGTGAACAGTCCTTTGTAAGAGGTTGCGTGAGACGTCTTCCCTATTGTTCCGGAAAACCTGGGAGGTGACTTCGTTGACGAGATTTGCACAGCCAGCCCAATGACCATCAGGCCCAACTATGGGAAGAAAAAAGCCTTCGAAGTATGACTCTTCGAGAAAGCCTTCCCGATCGAGCAGAAACAATGTTTCCTTGACGTGGACAGATTGACCTTGTTCCCAGCCGGTCTTGATCAGCCCAGCGGTTTGATCCCGCACAACCTGATCCCAAGTGTCGATTGATTTGTTTCCCAGTGCACCTGGGTGTTTGTTACCGAACATCTCAGTTGTAGGCTCGTTATAGATCTGAATAAGATCAGCTCCCCAGTAAATGAGGGCTGGATGCGGATAATGCATATAAGTTTGAAGAGTCGCACGCAACGCTGCTGGCCAGTTATGCATTCTTGAACCACAAAGAGCACCAATGTCAGTCTGGCTCCAATCGTAGGCCATCAGATAGCGTATCCAGTTGTTGGTAGGCACCTGGTCAGGGAACTTGATCCAGTCATGAACCAAATTGTCTAGGCCATTGTCCTCTGTCCCTTTGCGCGGCGGTACAAATTCATGCTTGCAGTATATCACCACGTATGATGTTCCGAGCTCTTTCTTGATCCACTCCCTGTCGGCGAAATCTCCAGCTGGCGTCGCTTTGGCCGAGCATGTGCTGCTTGTTTCGGTAGAAAGCCATTGATTTAATGCGTCAGAGGGGATGTGCGCAAGGGCCTGTTGAAAGGCGGCATTTTGGAACAGACAGGTCGGTTGCGACTGTGTCGAGTCCAGTATACAAGTCGGACGGTTATCGTCAATGGCCAGTTGAACCAGGAGCTTGAGCTCAAGCGGCAGCTCTTCAAGAAGATCCTCTGACGCCATTGTGTCGTGCCGTCGTCCGTATCTTTCGTATTTCGTCCTTTTCAGCACATTTCATCCGTCGATCGTGGCCAGTGGCGTGTCCAATATGCGCTCGTGTCTTCTGCGTACTCGCTCTGGAGAGAAGAACTAGGAAGACATTTGTGCGAGTCCGCGCAGCAGCGGCGTAGGAACAAGGACCCGTTCGGCAACGGCGGCGCTGAAGGTCTAGACTCTGGAACAACTTTGTGACAAACCCGCCGCCTCCCTCAATGCTACTTCCCTTGAAGACTAATCTACCAACCTTCTTGCTGTATACAAGCACGTCTGAGCAGCATAACTCATGCTACTGTCTCGACTGGCTTCTCTACTTGCCGTACCGCTCGAGATGAACCACGACGCACTTGAAATAATGGCACGATTAGACTCGAACTTTATCTAAAGCCTCCACAGTTCCATGAGCCGCATCTAGATGGTGGCGTAGGGGGTCACCCTGCTTGAATCCTTCTTGCTAATTAACTTGTCATCTAAAAGTCTTAAGATGGCAAATGCACTTGTTATTTGGTATCTGTGAAGATACAGTCGAGTTTGTATTGATTCTAGACTGTATATCTCACAGGATCATTTGATGATCGTTGGAGCAGAATCTTGGCCACAAAACAGCCGAAGCAAGGGAAAAGAACATGTGCAAGATGTCTTGCATATGTTCACACAATGACACAATCACACTTCAATATCAGAACACTTGCAAGGCAAGGGGGTTTTTGGAGAGGAAACGGAGTTGAGATCGTTTATCATTGCAGAGTAAAGTCTGCTCATCGAGCGTCTACGCAGTGACAGCTCCAAAGATACCTACGCCTTGATATGCACGTAGCATCTTCCCTATATAACGACATAACACCGAATTTCATGACTCATGATTGTAAACTCTTATGTAAGTCAGTCTTGGACGACAGTCCAACGTCGCTTGGGAATGCCTGCTTCACGAGGAAATGTACCGCTCGGCGCACTTCCCCAGAGGCCTTTCTGACTTAGTGATCTTGCCAACTTTGGTGGTGGGTTCTCGCCAACCGTCGGTAGCGCCGACACACTCGATTTGGCTTCTTCCTGTATGGCACCTGCGTCTGGCCCCGCGTCTGTTTCCGTTTCTGCGGATCGAGCCTCGGCTTTTGGGGAGACCGAACGCTCTGGCGTAGTCACCTTAGGAGTAGACAGACGTGCTGCTAGTGAGTTTGATCGAGCCAAGACGTTAAGGAAACCAGGAGAGTCACTGTCTTTGGCACTGCCTGAGTTCCAAAGACCAGTGGGCGAGTCGTTTTTCATAGCAGAGGGAAGGATAGGGGTTGTGAGAACAGGTGTGATGGCTGGTCGAGAGGGACGGCGCATACTACCAAGCGAACTGTTAATTCTGGCTCTGGGCTCTGGCAGGTTCCAGCTCGAGTCGACAGGAGCGCCAGCCGAGGCATGGGAGCTAGCTGATCCAAAGCGACGACTGCGTGATGATGGCACAGTTTGAGAGGCAGAGAGAACAGGTGAGCCAATCATAGGCACAGAAGATTTGGTAGGATCGACACCAGGACGAAGATGTTCAGACGAAGCAACGATCTTCATGTCGTAATAGGAAGACAAGCCAGAATCAACGGAGCTCTTTCGTCGTGGGACAGGGCGGCGTGTTGCATCCACAGGGCCAAGAGCAGGCGAATTTCCTAGAGCTGGCGAGTCTATAGGTGAAACAAGCTCGCCGGATGATGGCGATGTAGAAACATCATCCTTGCGTACAGCCATGGTGAGCGAAGCCATGCCGACATCAAGTAGGACAGGTTGGTTGGTGAGGGCGCCGATCAGGGCATTGCAGCCGGCTCCATGCGTGACCAGCACGACAACAAGATCTTCGTCATCATCGTCGTTTGCTTCTGGAACAGCTTCGTGGTCGTCGGCAACAGGCTGCTTAGACTCGGATTGAGTTGTGGCATACCAGTCAACCATACTGGACAAGCCATGTCGGAAGCGCTTATGCATTTGGCTCCATTCCTCTCCGAACTTACCACCATCGCCCCAGCAGCGTGGCTCGCGCATGCTATCCCACTTGTAGTCCACCTTAACACATTGGTCACGAGCGTGAGCGACATAGCCGCGAGGTATAGCATCGCCAGGTGAAATAGCATAAGTCGGAGTAGGTGGGGTATAACCCAACGAAGTGTCGTGTTTGTGCGACGAGGGCGAAGGATTGGCAGGTCTGAACTGGTCGGCGGACTTGTTGGTGCCGAGGCTGTTTGTGCGATCTCTGCCTGGTACCTCGCGCGAAAAGACTTGCCAGTTTTCCAACGGGCCATCGGTTTCATGTGATAGAGGAGAGGGATTGACGTTGCTGACCGAGTGCGAGTGTTGGCGTGCGGTTTGGTTGGTTCCCCAGAGATTACCGCCCGACACAATCGGAGACGAAGGTGTATAAGTGTCGATGTTGTCAGCCTGACGCAGCAATTCGGCCTTTGCTGCCGTAACCATCAAGGTGCTGTCTGGAGGCGGCGTAATCATTTCGAAATAGTCGGGCGATAGCCATTCGCCCAAGAAGGCATCGACACGGAGGGTGGTGCGTATGAGGGCTTGCTGCTTTTTGTGGTCCTCCTGCTCTTTCAGCGAGGAGCGGAAATACTCGCGCGACTCAGGGTGATGCTCGGGTACGGGTCGTAACTGGGGCGAAGCAGTTGCATCTTTCGGACGCAAGCTCGGGGAGCCACGCAGTTGGCTGAGTGTCTTGATGCGTGCATCGCTGCTCTTTCTGGCGTTTGCTGGCAAGCCTTGGTACTGCGACAGACCGGCGCTGATGCCGATACCCGTTTGCACGCATCGCTGGAAGGGCGACGAGTGGATGACGACCTTGTGCTTCCGACGCTTCGATCCGCCCTTGGACGTCGACTTGACCTTCAGATCGCCTTCAGAGAGGGCGAAGTCTCGGATACCCAGACCTGAGTCTGTCGGCGCGCCAGCTGGTGACGAGGTGCCCGAGGTGGCCGGGCCCTTCTCTCGATCGTGTAATAAGCTGGCAATGCGCAGACCTAGCGCTCTCGATTGGATCCATCCGCCATAAGTAAGAGGCGGATCATAGGGTGTAGGCGACGTCAGATGCCATGATTTGTCGGCTGCGTCGAGTCGAGCTCCGTGTCTGTCGAGAAGCTGTCTGTTAGCCACATGCCTGGGCTATCGTCGAAGCTATCAATCGGGCCTACCTGACGACTATCACGACGGCTGGCTCCTTTGGCATGGTGCAGCGAATGGTCGGGTGATAGGGACAAAGTCTCGCGATAGCCTCGCAGCTATGAGACAACCAAAATCAGGCTGCTACGATGATGTCGTCGATTTACTCCAAGTTTGCTCTCCCGAACAAGTCAAACAACAAGTACTGATGTGAAGGCTATGACAGTCATGTACAGTCTAGGAGAAACACAAGCCACCAAGGGCCAAAGACTTTCTTCTCGATCAATCGGCAACTGACACCGAAACAGGACCACTCGGCTCCCGACAGCACACCTTCCCGCCGCCTCCGCCGTCCGCGCCAAGCATCTGCATGCCTTAGCTCCGAAACCTCCGAAGCCTGCGCCAGCAACCTCTCAAGACAAACTTATGTGAACAACCAACAATCGCCAATCTTTCTTCCCGAGTCCATACATGTTTGCCTCAATTCTTACGCGACACACCCGAGCGCATTTTGTGAATGCTGTCAGCTCTTTTTGTGGTAGGATCTGCGCGTTTCGAGAGCCGCTTCAGCCTCCGCCGTTCGTCTTCCTGACCAAGCCTCCTCGAAAAATGCCTCTCTGCGAACCACCAATCACCGCAACTTCTCCCTGTACCCACAGCCTCGCATCCTGTTGTACCAGTATCTTTAGCTCACGCTGAAACTGCTACGTGTTGTCTCACGCTCTCTCGGACATTTCCAATCATCTCCTTCGGCTCGCAAATCATCCGGCAACTGCTTCGGCTGATACAAAGGCCGTCGGATTCTCTGAATCCATCAAAGGCATACCGGCTGAATTCGAGCTTCGGAAATTGGATGCATTGGCCCCATGTCCTATATGCCTGATACATACATGAATCCCCTGGCTCCTACTGAAGGTAGTCACCTCCTGTCTCCTTGTGAATCACGTCAAACAATGGCTTGGCACTGAAATATCCTGCCATGGGACTTCCAATCGCCTTGAACGTGTACACGGCATCCTCTTCATCGATCTTCTTGGTCTCGCCTCCACGACCCCCTGCCGCTGCATCTGCCATGAGTTGTGCCTGGCAGCATTTCTCCAGAGACACAAACCAGAAGACTGTTTCTTCCACAGTCTTGCCCACAGTTAGGAGTCCGTGGTTTTGCAGAAGAGCCGCCTTCTTGTTACCGAGAGCTTTGGCAATATTGTGGCCTTCCTCAGCCGCGAGGACGATGCCGTTGAACGACTCGTACAGGACGTGGTCGTTGTGGAAAGAGCATGCATCTTGGGTGATCGTATCCAGTCTTCTTCCCAGCGTACAGAAAGATCTTCCGTAAATGCTGTGGCTGTGTGCGGCTGCAATCACATCGGGTCTTGCTTTGTGGATGGCACTGTGAATCATGAATGCTGCTGTGTTAAGCAGTCTAGTCTCGCCTCCGCCGATGATTTCACCTTCCTCATTGACGTGAATCAGATCTGACTTGTTGATCAACGAGAATGCCACTCTGCATGCGACATGTATTAGCAAGGGCAGTTTAAACTACTCTCCATACCGTCAAGCTGCTTACCCAAAAGGATTGACCCAGAAAGTCTCTGGATCTACAGGATCACGAAGAGTGATGTGACCAGCCACTCCTTCATCGAAGCCAAACTTTCCGAAGATTCTAAACGCCGCGGCAAGACGACCCTTCAGATATTCACGCTCTTCATACTTGTCGGCGAACTTTGGCGGTCTGCTCGTCTGTCAGGAGATGTTGCCACATTATGATCTGCACTTGGACTCACTTGGGGAACTTCCCCACCTGCAATGCTGCAGAGGGCTCATCAAGTCCCGGCTCGTTGGGTGCGGTGCCAGCCTTTTCGGAGTCTGCGTGTGGTGCCATTTTGGTTAAGATATAGTATTTGGAGATGGAGAAAGTAAATGGCAAGAAGAGACGTAGGATCAACTCTTTTGTATCTTGCTGACCTTAGCTAACTTCGAGGTAAGTTCGGTTGTCGGTCTATCGGTCTCGCATCTGTTGCCCCATCCGCCATGTGGGGAGGCGGGGTAATTTAGGTACGTCCAACGTCCAACTTTGTCCTAATCGTTGCAGATCAATGCTCGTGTTGCCTCTCTACTGTAATTACAGCGTATCTTCGGAAGCATCGGAAACCCCAGATGGCCTTGCAAGAAATGAAGATTCTGGAAAACGGTTCAAGCCGTCTTCGAGCTTCGAGCTTCTTAGAACGCCGACAGCAGGGCTCAATAGCATCTTTGAGAAAAAGACACTCAGCTTACGCATCATACTGATATGACCTCTTACATCTCATCTTACGCGTACTACAAACGAGCATATGCGCGGCCAAGGTGATAAAAACTCCTCAATACACATCCCAACCTCTCCCTTGTAAGAGGTTCAGGGACCGATTTGAAACTACGATATACAGACGCAAACTGAAGACCCCAAGAACATCATTCAATCTCTGCAAAGACACACGAACATCATCGATATAAGCCATGAGAAATACAACTTCAACAACTTCAAAACCTTTTTCTTAGAAGTAGTTCCGGGACAATATCACATTCACCGGGATACCCCGATTCCCTACGGACGCTGTATAAATCGAGATACGGATGCAAAGATGCAATTGGGAAGTAATGCGTCTTGTTGGAATTCATTGCGAGTGCATGTTCTTGGCGCACATATTCTACCTCTCGCAGACGCAGAACATTACGGTGATATCATTTCCCTGTACCTGACAGACATGATGCACATAGATAGATGATTTCACGTACAAGGAGAAGAAAACAAACCGACAACAGAAACACATAGGCTTAGATGATTAAAAAGTTATTATACAAGAAACTATTAGAAACGGATAACCACGCTATGCACCCATCTGAAACAGATGCATGAATCCCATACTCCAACCCCTCCTCTTCCTCTACCCGCCCAATATAATTATATTTTATAATAATACATAAACAATACCCACCGTGGGTTATTGCTCAACACTTCAATCTCGAAATTACTTTTACTGGCTCGGTTTGCCGTCGCCTTTGCCACCATTGTTCTCAAGCATCTTGCCGAGTTCCTTGAGCTTGACTGGCTTGGTCATGAAGGTGTCGACGCCACTGCTGAAGGCTTCTTGTTGAGCACTTGCGCTCGCCAAGCCAGTGAGAGCGATTATGGTTGCGGGTTTGATGTTGTTGGCTCGTTCGTGAGCACGAATGTTGCGTGTGGATGTTAGACCGTCCATGACCGGCATCTGATAGCTGGTTAGACTCGATGCGGTGAAATTCGAGCAGGGGAGAGATTCAACTTACCGATAGGTCCATGAGTACGTAGTCGAAAGGCGGGTTCACTTGTTGATCACTGGTGCCACTTTCCTCACATTGTGATTTGTAAGCCTCAAGTGCTTCAAGTCCATCGTTGGCGGTCATAAATGCGTGACCGGCTTTCTTGATGTAGGTTACCAGAAGCTGAAGATTGATCTTGTTGTCATCGACAAGCAGAAGTTTGTGAACAGGCTTATCCGTGTCTGAATTGGTCCTAGAGAAAGGGCTCATGGAGCCGGCGGTAGGTGCCGGAGATGGAGGTTGAGTGGCCAGCGGGTTAGTGTCCAGTTTGGGCACCCTTGATCTGCCCTGTGAAATCACCAACGTGTCTTGGTGTGGGTGTTTCAATGGAGCATCTCCATTGTGACCCTTCTCTCCAGCCTCTACGGCCATAGCAAAGTTTTCTGACTCCAACACCTTCTGGAATGGGTTGTCATGGAGCTCTTTATCTTCTCCTAGATTGTCGTCCATGACCTGGCGTACTGACGGCATTGGTATGCTCGGATCTTTTGCGTTCTTGTGCGCTTCTAAGCAAAGTGTGAGAGACTTGGCCAACTTCCTCGGTCCACATCTATATTGGTAGTCAGCAAGACGAACTGCGATTTTCGGAGGCTCGGTGATGACCCACGGCTGAGAAAGAACTGCAGAGACGTGAGCACTTGGGGCATGCATCATGGCATTAGCCGCAGCCACGCTGTTGCAGATTACCAGCAAAGGAATATCGGCCTCTCGGTCTTGGGCCTTCTGGTCGATCCTGTTCTTCATACGTCTCTCCAATTGATCCTTTACCTGATCGAGGCCTTTTTCTGTAGTGAGGAAAACGTCGACGCCTGTTTGGTCAAGGCCTTGGGTTATCTGCATGTCCATACTTCAGGTACAATTAGCAAAGTCCTCTGAAAGAATGAGATGCGGTATTTGTTCAACGAGCCAGTTCACAAATTGATTCGACATGAATGAGACGGCGTCCGCAGCCCGTCTCACCAATGTTGATCAAGTGCGCAAGACTGATCCGCTGTTTTTGTACCTTCAGCTTACGTACCCAAACCAATTTTGACACATCCGGTGGAAAGAAGCCATGAACCTGTGACCAGCGTTTTCCGGCGACCGTGTACCTGGTTTCGGCTCTTTCTCGTAAGAGTCTGCGTCGAATCCGATGAAGCCAATCTTGAGTCCTTTTGTCTTCTTCGCAGCACTTGTTACAACATTCTGCTCTAGCTCCTCTTCCGGTATCGGAACATGGTGCATCGTCAAGGTCACTGTGGTTGTAGTTCCTTTGCCTTGTTCGCTCTGCACATCAATCTCTCCTCCCATAGATTTGATGATTGCAGAGATGATTGCTAGGCCTAATCCGGTGCCAGGCTGCAGTGAATCCTCTTGAGCGAATGGAGTGAAGAGTTGCTTGTCAAGGTACTCTTTTGAGATTCCCTTGCCTGAGTCCGTTACAGACAGCGTGACCTTGGACGAGCCACCCTTCTCCTTGGACGGTAATGGCTCGCTGTGAAGACAAACTTGAATAAATCCACTGGAGGTGTATTTTCTATGATTAAGAGCAGATTAGCTGGCAAGTCCCATCAAGAACCGTTCTGCAGTACTCACAGGCTGTTGCCGAAAAGATTCATCAGAATGCGACGCCAGGCTCCAGCTTGAGTCCGGAAAATCCAATGTGAGTCTTCAGCCTTACTGATGTCCACGACGATGGAGACATTGCGTTCACCACCGGCACTCAGTGAACCACCCTTGACCTGCTTGTTTGCTCTGGGCATCTGCTCGGTCTCCCGGCCGGCTTTGATGAAATCGTGACCGGCAAAGACCGTCTCGAGCACCTCTTCGGTGATCACACTGAGATCGACGTCGACGTCCAGAGCAAAACCCTGTTTTTGGGCGTGTGGGTCTGAACTGCTTGTATGCCGCTGGGTACTCTTCCTGGTGAAGTTGTTGATCTTGGCAAAATCGAGCAAGTGGTCGATCGTGTCTAATAGAGTCTTACCACACGTCTCCATAGTATGTACGAGGTTCTCCTGGAAAGGATCTAAGGTTGAGTCTTGGAGACACTCGACACTACCAAGGATACCTGGAGGAATCAGCGGCTGGTGTGACCAATCATTTGAAAGCGTGCCTACCATGGAGTGGACTGCGCAGTTCGTGCGAGATGGACGAGATAAAATCGGACTTTGCTTTGTCGGCAATTTTGGCATTAATTCTCGCCACTTCACTCATAGTGCAGTCGCTGAACGCTGCCAGGTAGCTGAGCTCGGAATGGGTGGTCAGTATCCTGTGTGGATCTTTAGTCCATGCTATACAAGCACTGAAAAACTTCTGGTTTGAATCCCACATGGGCACAATAGCGAGACTGCGGACTCCCGGGAACAACGCCTTGAGCGCTTTGGCTTCATTAGACCTCAGGCGCTTACGCTTTTTCACTGTGCCCCTTGGCGAGACCGAGCCGTCCATTGCTTCCGATTGAGCGACTTGTGTTGAGACCGTTGATTCACCTTCTTCGTCGAAGTTGAGAACTTTACCATGAGGATAACGACGAAGAAGACTTCGGACAAACCCTTCTGTCATACCATCGGTAACCTTTTTGGACTGATCGCTTTCTAAGCCACTGTAAGAAGGCGTTGATAGGCCGAGTATCTCAGATCGCTTTGCATCTTGCTCCTTTCCGTTCGCTCTTGCAGCACTATCATCGGAACTGGATCGCTCGGTACCAGACTCAGCAAAGGAGCTTCCCTCGGAGGCCGAAGACAGCTTACGCCTCTTGGGCCTTTCATGGGTAGCAGAATCAACGAGGCCTCCGAAGGTAGTATGTGCAGTAGCATCGAAGATAACGACAGCGTCGATCTGTAGGGACTCTCGTATGACACTCGCAGCACGTCCGAATGTGGCTTTAACTTCGGGAGCCAAATGGTCGGTGGGAGACGTCTTCTTAGCTTTGGGGTCCTCTTGTGGCGGCGTCGGGTGGGCAGAGGCATTAGAAGAAGCCTGTGATCCCCGTCTCGAAGGAGGAGTCTCAACCTTAAGATGCATGCCGACATCAGCAAGAGACGGAAAGTCTTTGTTGCCGTTCACGAGGATGTCCGGTGCTTCTTCGTGATGTCTGGAGTATTGGCGTTCTGCCCAGCGCGAGGGTGAGCTCCCCACGACATCAGGCACCTCCCAGTCGGCGCCTAGGGCTCTCCAATCTCCGAGAGTGTCTTTGCCTTCGACAAAGCAGCCGAGACCATGGACCATCCTTTCTCCTTTGATGCTTTCTGATTGGGACCTCAGCATGTCCATGTGTAGCATAGTCTGTTGAAGTTAGCTAGACCGCTGCATCTTTGTCATGTGTCAGTTGCATACTGTTGTCGACAGATCCTTCAAGAAAGCCAACTCTCCAGGCGTGAGTCCTTCCCGAGGATGGTCGTCAATGACACAGAAGGCGCCGATCTTGTAGCCATTGGGAGAGACAATGGGGACTCCTGCGTAGAACCTCCATTGGAATTCGGTTGTGTATGGCTTGTCGCTGAACCTCGAATCTTTGCTCAAGTCCGGCACGATAAACGCAGACTCGTCCTTGCCTTCCTCTACCGTGTTGAATGGAAAATTGATCGAGTGCTCACAGATACTTCCGCGCTTGGGGACCACGACGGCGCCGAAGTCAATCTGATCACCTGGGTCATGGACAGATTCGGTCTGTAGGCTAAGCGATTTGGTGGCTTCTGCGAGGATGTACTGGTTGTCTCTGTCGAAGAACGAGATGGCGGCACGTTTGCAGTCTAGACGTAGCGTGGCTAGTTGGCAGAATGCCGTCAATGCCCTGTCAGGGGACACGCGCGCTGTCGGCGGTGGCCATGAATTGTGTGTTCCTTGACCGGCGAGTCCGAGTCTGATAGGCTGGAAGTACCTATATCACTGTCCGTCAGCCATCCGTGCACTCTCATTTGCCGGCATGAATTGGGGTCCATGTACTTGTAGAATTCGCGCTCATGTGCGACGTCGTAAGGCAATTCAGAATCCTGTGTCGGACCTGGCGGACATTGTGCCATGGCAGATGTTTGTTAGCTTGCGACAGGGATCATGAAGGATGCGTGTCAGTTGCGCCCATCGTCGTTTCCACTGGGGGTTGCTCCGGCAAAAGAAACATGGGCATTGATGACGTCGCGCCGGTACCATCGCAATTATCGAAAAGGACCCTTTGATCCGGAACCAAGCTCCGCTAGGGCTTATGCGTAGCGTGCATAAATCTGCACAAACAGGACTCAAACATAGCAGCCACTCGAGACAGAAGCATTTTAGATAGTGTCTGCAGCTCTCATCGCCTAAGGTGGTATGGACACGATAAGAAGCATTCAAAAACAATGTTCGGTAGCACCATCTATATCATGGAGAAAAAGAATCAAATGTGGTATTGGGTATCTAAAAGTAAAGTGGCTAAATATAATAAAAAGTGGACAAATAGCTATGTAGCTAGAATTCTAACCCGTAAGATCGTGGATATGACATGAGGTAAATCATTTCTCCAGTCCTTTGCTGAGATCAGCAATCTCGTTGTCGGCAAGCGCTGCCAACCAGAGACATTTGGCAAGGACTTCGGCATCGGACTTGATGGCGTATCTGGAGCTGGCGTCAAGCAAGCGCAAAACGCCCTTGACAATGGAGGCGGTAGTGCGGTGGCGCTCGAAGTTTACAAGATTCTCGTGCGACTCGTCTGCAGGTCTTCCAGCAGGCGAGATGAATGCAGGCTTCTGAGCGTTGAGTGCAAGATCGCGGGTGTAAACACCGAGAAAAGGGATGACTCCTTTACCAGCAGATACATCATCATCACTGAGGCCAGCTGCTGCGCTTTCCATCTCGGCACGGAGCACAGCAAAATTGCGCATAGGACTAACCAGCGTTTCAAGGTTCTTGAGTGCATCCTTCTCGGCCTGTGCCACTTTCGACCAGGTAGTGCTAAGGCGTGAGAGGTCCGAGGAGAGTAGAGCAATGGTGATCTGTGCTGTGGTCGCAAAATTGCGAAGACTGCGATGCGAATGCGTGGCAATATGAACAAACTTGGTGATGCAGCGTGCGCGCTCTTCTGAAGTGGCGCACAACAGAACAGAAGAGATGCACCACTTGATCACTAGATTGAAGCGTGTGATGATCAGATCGATGCTGCTGACATCCGTGACATTAGTGGGGAATGCGTGAATATATTGTGCCCAGTCTCGCACTGATGGAACCTTTTGTGACCAGTTGAGATTGATGAGATCCTTCCAATCGACAGAATCCAGCGCGTCCTTCTCTATCATGGTGAATTGCATGGCGAGGGCCTCAGAGCTATGTGCCAAGATAAAAGGCGTATGATGCGTTGGGAGATTGCGTGCTCGAGGAAGCGCAGAATGTTCTGCTTTCTTCGCGAACTGATCAGAGAGCAATAGTTCAGAGAGCCGGAACGATTGTCTGGGTCTTACGCTCGGGGGCCCAGGAAGTAACAACTGAGCATTGAACTGATCGAAACCATGATCCGAGATGTTGTCTGCAGTGGTTGGTGGAGTCAGGGGATGATGTCCTGGAGGAGGCTGGAAATGGTCGATAGAACCAACCACCGCATCTTCGTCCTCTTCATCGTACAAGAAGCTACGTGCAGCATCGGTTGATGGTTTGGATTCTTGTTGTCGAGCATACAGTGAGTTGCGGTCAACAAGAGACTCGCCATCGTCAAGCAAGAACGTCGATGCGGGGGTGTTGGGCGAATCGGGTCGTTGAATCTCAATCTGGATCGGGGTTACTGGTCGCTCGAATTTCCTAGCAGGGTCCGAATTGGCAAAATCCTTGGTTGCGATCGACGATTTATTAGCCCCGTGCTTTGCGGATGCGGACTGTGCCGACTCATCGACTGCTGCCCGATCGACGGCGCCATGTCTCCTATGCAAGAAGCGAGTGATTTCGCCTCCAGGGGGAGAATTCGATCCGGCCAATTCTTGCTTGGGTGAAGCAAACGAACTTCGATTGTTTGGTGTCTCACTTTCATGACCAGCGACTCGCTGTCGAGTCAGACTTGGGAAGCCGTTGTCATCATGACCAAAGTCAAAGGACTTGACTGTCTTGTCTGAAGAACGACTTGGGATGTACCTCCCCTCAAGTTTGAGAAGCGCAGATTCGACACCTCCATCATCCTCGACATGTGGCATCTCTCGGAGTCGGGCTACCTCCACTTCCATCGACGGGCGCAAATGTCGCAGCGATGAGTGGGTAGACAGCAGGCGTAGTGAGCTTCTCCTCGCCGCATTGAACAAATCGCCATCGCTAGCTTGAGCTCTGAGCGGTTGTCGTGCGATTCGAGAATCAATCTGTACATCATCTCCATCTCCGGATGTGACTGTCAAAATTGGTGATCCGTAGATGGACACCGGTGATGTAACAGAACCCGTTGATTGTCGTCTGTGGATAATTCCAAGGTCATGAACAGTATCAACTCCCCGAAGGTTGCCACCCGGCTTGCGACGCAGCTGTCTCGAAGGCCCAGGCAAATCAGTAGGATCTACCAACGACGACTTTCGAAAGCTAAGCGCAGGACTACCAGCGACAGAATCTTCTGGTGAGTACAACTGACCAGTTCCGAAGGAGGTAGTGATTTCAGTATCGGGGCTTGGTTTGCAATCACCAACCGGTGAGGCGGGCTCTGCTAGGGGCGCAAAAGCGTTCGGAAGAGGTGGGAGCGGCATTGACGGTGGCGGCGAATGTGGAGACGACATGATAGACAAAGTCGTGGGCGAAGTTGACAAAGTCGCAGTCTTGGTTGGGCTTGCCCAAGAGGCTTGGTTGAAGTTTACCATGTCATAGGGCAGTAAGAAGGCTGTATTGTTGACAGCCACGTCTTGAATTGCCGCTTGATTGTGTTCCTGAGTTGTTTGTCTGGACAGATCATAATTGTCACGAGATTGTTCGATGCCAGCGATTGTGTGCTCGAGATCTGGAGTGCGCTGAGATTCGTCGATTCCGGTATCGTCAATGATCATGATCGACCGACTGCTGGTAGTCACGTTACTGAGGAGACGAGCGGCTCCAGGACGTGTGGGGAGATCGGTATGTATCGTCTTGGACCTGTTGCGAGTGATGGGTACGCCGAGAATGGGGCTGAACTCGGTCAACTCATGCATGGCCTCGTTGCCTTGCTGCTCCCAGGAGCGCATGACCATTGCAGCCAAAGCATCTGTGTGGACATTCTGTGCTTTTCGAGCTTGTATCTGCCTAATCATGTCTCGTGGCTGTGGCTCTGTGCTACCCATCTTGCGCAAATCACCAGAGCTAGCAGTTTTGGGCCTGTGATGAAATGGTGATTTGCCGGCATTCCGTGTGCTAAGCGCTCGGCGCATACTACCAAAAATGTTCAAACGAGCGTGCTGAGTGGCGTTGTCGGGCGCGCGTAAAAGAGTCTCTGACATACTCGGTCTGGCGTCTTCAGGTCTGACCAGGAATGGCGGACTAGGTGGACTGGGACCAGCAACGTTCGCCGAACTTGGATGTATGACGAGACCTCTTATGATCCTGCCAGGGCGGACTTGAACCTCTGTGGCGGGGTGCGACGAAGCTGGCCGATCGATTCGAGAATCTCGGAGTGCATCTGAAAAGCTATCACTTCTTTTGTGGCGATGGAATCCTCTGGGCCTCGGAGGCGAGCGGCTGCTTGCTTTCTCTGGTTGGCCCTTCAGATCGTGTCTCGACCGCTTCAGTCGGGGAAAAGAGCAGGATGTAACCTGAATACTAGCCTCACTAAGGCGCGATCCAGTGTCGGGTCTTCTAAGAGCTACTGTGGACACATTGTTCCCCATGTAGGAAGAGTTTCGCATATGCGATTCGTTCGTCAACGTCCTCATGCGAGTTGAGTCGGGAAGCTGCGAATCGTTGTCGCCCTCGAGTCCGAGTGGCATATATGCCTGAGGTGCAGCAGTTGGTCCCCAAACTAGGGCGCATGTCCGATTCCAGCATTTCTGTAGCTCAGTTAGAACCTGAAGATCACCAGCACCGCCCTGAGGCCTATTTCCTAGATGAAGAGCGAGTTTGTTGACGAGGTTGCAGAAAAGAGTCCGGAGCTCGTGATCAGGCTCGAAATCTTGGGTGAAGTAGTTCAAGATCCAATGGCGCAGCGCGACGAAAGTTCGGACACGTACCACGCGTCCGGATTCGTGAGTCTGCGATACGGCCCAGCGTAATCTGGCAACAAGATATCTGGCCAAGTCAGAGGGCGAAAGAAACGCTCTATACGTAAGAAAGAAATCCGACAAAAGATCGTAATCTAGAAACTTGACAGATGTGATTTCGGCGATCAAGCGAGTGGGGGTTGCAGCAACAATCTCGTCGGTGCCGTCTGCATATCTGACATATTGCTTATTGTCCGGATCTGCAGCCACTTTGTCGTAGATAGTGTGAGGTATCTCGTCTCGGTCCAGTCCAAGAGGGGGAGCAGCAAGCGGAGAAGGAAATGGACGACCACCATGAGTCTCAACGGCTGGTGATACTGAGGGAGAGAACCAGGAGACGCTTGGGGACCTGCGCAAATCTATAGAGTTTTGATGACCCTGAGAAGGAGGTGGCATGAGACGATCTAAGCGGTCGGTCGAGAGTTGGCGCAGGTCAGTGGTGCTAGAAAAGGCAGTATGGTACGAGTTGTGGAGGAAGGCGGTGCCTCGATCACTGAATCTCGGCGATCCGAGGCGAAAGTTTGGTATAGGGACCTCGAGCAGGGGAGCAAACAGAGAGTCTGTCGCGTCGGGCGGTGGAGCATGCGGCTTTTGTTGTTGTTGTTTGGGAATCGAGTCGAGACTCGGTGAGCGGAGACGGACGGCCCTATCTGTTTCATGTCTACTCTTTTGGCTGAAGCCGCTGTCAAACGACGATCTCCGGCGGGGTACGGTATATGCATCTTCTGGATTGCGAATTGACAGTTGAGCGGCACTCTGATGTAGTCCGTCGTGCCAGTAGAAGGCCGAGGGGGTCTGCTGTTGAGGGTCCGAGGTGTCTGGAGGAGTAGGAGGAGGACGAAAGGCTCTAGGATAAGGACGAGCGACCGGTCTAGGCAGCATAAGCTTGTGGTCCTCAGCTGTGGCCGGATGAGGGTGTTCCCACCTCAAGTACATGGTGCCATTGGAGCCGACATTTGCGACGCTGAAGTGTCGATCTACCACCTTGTTGGCATGCTGAAGATGCGGTAATGATTGCGATTGTTGTTGTTGATTCTGATCGTTCTTCTCGCGGTGGTATCTATGGCGGGCCATTTCGGCACTGTCTTTTGTGTTGCGGATTGACTTTTTGCGAACCTTGCGGCGCAAAATGGTCGGTGGTTCGAGCGGCGGTGATAATGGAAGACGATGGACGAGGGGGTCGTTGGTGTCTGTATGCGCAGTCGTGTCGGCGACATTGGACTCAGGCTCTACGTGCAGAGGGGGCCCTGTGTCCATGGCAGCTCATGGTCGCTGGCGAGCGAGAGCAGGGAAATATCGACGTGGCACAGCAAATGCCTGAAGCGTACAGAGTGCACCGGAGACGCGACGAGGCGGGAGACGTTGGGTATAGGCACAACGGCCGTCCGCAAAGTGCGCAACGTGGGACACGCGTGGATCTGGGTGTAGGCTATCCGGGTGTATCCTGGCTATCCTGGTTCCTGGCCCAGCTTCCAAGCGAGAGAGCGATACAAGGGAGGCCTGACGGCGCTGTGCGTAGGATGCGTGGATGGAAGCCGCACGTCTACAAGTCAAGCAGATGGACAGACAAGGACAAGGGGCAACAGTGCTCGGTGTGTTCGCGAGACAGGCCTAGCACCGACATTATCATCTTGCCATGGCCCATGGCCTCGCCGACCGCCTGTCTTGAGAGCATGACATCGTGCCTGTGCCTGCCTGTCTGTGCCTGCCCTGCCCGGCCTGAATCAATTCGATATTAACCAAAACGCTATCCACTCCCGCAAACTGTATCCGCTTTGTAGCCAATCAGAGTGCTCAATCCAGACAAAACCCACGTTTTGATCTGGGTCGCGATGTGCAAACTATCAGATCAAGTCTAGCAAGTCTAGGCTTCACTCCACCTATTCAGCCAACACAAGACCGCCTTCTTTTCTTCGCTGAATTCGTTGTCTCCTGCAGCTGCAGAACATAGTTGAGTACGCCGTGCACGACGCCGTCTGTTACCCTGCTTCGCCGTCCTCCTGGTCATCAAATGTCAAATTTGACTCGTCGATCACCGACGTAACTGCCCCGTCAGCGTGGACGCGATTTCCCTGCCAAATCAAACAGACAGCCAAGCCATCTCCTTTTTTAGCTTCAATTTTGAGAATCTGAAACATTCTACCCGGCCCTCGGCAGCACCGTAGATTTGGGTTCTGTTGCTTCTTTTCCATCATCTCGCTATGATGCCCTCTTTTCTAGAAGCAGTCACCAAAGACAATCTCAACTGCCGCCATCCTTAGCAAGCACTTTGTCCCGGATGTCCGCTGTAACTTGTATCTGCTTTTTGTCACTGCCGAAGCAGGCCCACAAGGTTCTGCTCGTGTCGTCTGTTTAATTGCCTGTCCCAAGGAACACCCAGCTAAACGTGTCATGGCTTTTCCACTTCGCTAACCATAATATCACTTCCGATCAGGGTATATCTGCCTATTGCAAGGCCACCAACAGCCACTAAATACAGCCTTCTGCCCAACCATGCTCGATCCCATCATCAACAAACACAGTCGGTGAAGGATATACCAGTCTGCTTGTTTGTCGGTGAGGGTGTTTGTTTCCCGCGGCCTCGGCATAAATAACTCGGCTGTTCTCGCTACCACTACGCTGTAGCGTTGAACGTCTTTATCCACAGCAGAAAAAAAGAACGAAAGAGATCGATTCTTGCAAAATCTCAGCATGGACATGAATAGTTCTCGATTCAACATGTGGATGAGATTCTACCTATGGTGGGTATACTGACCAAGACTGTCTGACGACATCTAATCATTCAAGCGCATTCGCTCAATGGCGTCCCTGATCAAATAACATTCCTTCTCTCGAGGCTCATCATTTGTCCATTACCAACCCCCATAACTTGCGTCAAAAATCAACATCCAAATTCTGCAACTCTCTGACCCAACCAGTCATACCGTTCTTGAGTCTCAACAACTCTTGCTCACGCCTCTTCAGCCTCTCCACATTATCTCGAGTCCCGAACCGAGGGACCTCACTGTCTCCCTCGAACTTGCATCTTTCCATAATCTTATATAAACCATGAAGGACCTCTGCCGCCCTCAACAATGACGGCACCTGTGATATCAAACACTCTTCTGCGTTTCTTCCAGCGGTTTCACTGCTCTCCCTGGCTTTTCCATTATACTTCAGCTTCTGCACAGCACTCAAGGCCACACTGACACCATCCGCATACTCCAACACTTTATCCGCCAGCGTCACAGCCAGCGCTCCCGCATGATCAAATGGCCCCCGAACAGGCAAGCAAGTCTTGTAGAACGTTGAAAGATCATCAGGAAATTCAAACTCCTTCTTGTGTCCCCTACGAATATCCTCCACCGCATCTAAGATCTTGACAAGCGCTGTGATGTATCCAGTAGCTTCTTTGAGATGTTCGCCTAGGTTTTGTATGGCACGCTTTTGCGAGGTAAGCCAGGCCGCTTCCCTGGTCTTTGTACCATTGAAGCCTTTTTGCGAACTGGAATCTGTGCCGGTATCCGAGCCGACTGAGTATGCTGGTCGTGCATATTCGTTAGGTAGACCGATGTATTGTTTCCTGACTTGAGAGCTTGAGCCTGATGTGTGTGTTTTGCTATCGTCGCTGAAGAACCCACGGACTGGTGGCTTATAATTCTTGTTGCCTCCAGAGTCTGAGGGTGTGGCTGAGGGTCGCTCGCCCTCGCTGGGGGGAACAGGGACTGCGGATCTGGGGACATGTTCGCGTCTCCCGTTGGGCAGAAGTCTGGAAGACATGTTTGGAAGAAGTTTCTGGCTGATGCTGTTGTGGCAGGGGAACTGCCGTGGGAGGGATTATATACATCGATGAACGGTACAGAGAACATGCTGGCAGACCGGGGCGTTGTCTGCCAGCACATGTTGCAGTATAAAACTTGTGGGAAGTCGTTCGTGATTGCCAGGTCCTGCGGATCGTGACTGCTTCTTATACATGTCAGCACGTGCTGTCATTTCTGCCAGGGAGGTAGTGTTTGCTGTCCAGCAATCATGACTCGCTATGGGAACACAACGAAGGCTATTCGTGTTATGAAAGATTTGGCAATCTAGTGGCCTATCGGTCATGATAGTAGCTTCTACATGATCGATTACACCGCCATCGAAGCAATGAACCACTTGTTCATCAGACTCTTTCTTCTCAAATCAGACCGTCATGTCCAAAAGCGCATGCCCATACCAGCCCTCGCGACACAGTATCACAGCACCATCTTTTAGACCAAGCTAAACAGTGTTCGTCAGCATCGTACCTACTAGGCAATTTAGACTGGCAATAAAGCTTACCGAATCAGCCGTGTCACTGGCAAAGATATCTCTTCCTGTATCTTTTTCTTCCAGCCTGCGGATGGAAGTTTCGCTCTCTTGCACAAGATTGATGAGGTGTTTGAAAGGAATATCGGGATACAGCTTTACGTGGCGTGTATCTTTGATGGTCACTGAGCTTTGCATGACTTCGACTCTTATCTTGATCGCGGGCGTAATCCTCGTTCGTTGGTGAGCAGGAGAGAAACATGTCAGGTCGTGGACTTCGTGATAGGAATTTTTGAAGCATCGCAGTTCTGCTCCATCTTGAAGATTGAGCTGTGTGAGTGCTATTAGCGGTATGATTTGGAGTGTCTAATGGAAGGATTGTGTACTGAGGCAGGCGTGTCGCTTTCGAAGATGTCAATTTTTCTTCCTTCGTGTGTGAGTTCCAGGCGTCTTAGAAATTGGTCGGGAACTTGGAGATGGCGTAGGAGCTTCTCAAATGTACTCCAGCGGTTTATCTTGACGTGGAGTCTAGAGGAGGAGGTTGACAAGATGTGAATTTTGATCACGATAGAGCAGGTAGCCTCATCGTTCTCTGCTGCGATAGTCTGGAAGAGGCATCATAGTCAGCAGTGTCTCAACTGTTTTAGCTGAAGCTTCAACTGACCGAAGTAGGCGTGAGTGTTCCCGATGTTGAGTCGTCAGCAAGTACTGTGTCAGTGTCCGAAGAGGCCTCCTCAAGATATTCTTCATCTTCCTCAAGCAACACGATGTGCTCACTAATGGCGTGGGCAACCTCTTCTCGATGACGCGACCTAATTGACATCTCGAGAGCAATAACGACTTGACTCTTGGCGATAGCGATCTAGTTCGAGATACAAGGGAGGTAGAGGAAATTAGTGGCAGACGGAAAGGCGTCTTAGGACGACCGATGCAGACAACTGGCCTTGTATTAATAAGCTTTGTAGGAGCTATGGCACAACACCGCGTGGCACAGCGCGAATCGAGCAGCACTTGGTATCAGTAGCACATGGCGATACATTGTCTTGCCAAACGTCACAGCGTGTTGTCCCTGTGAGGAGATTAAGACCGAATCGGTCTTGAAGGGCGTGATGGCGCCTTTCGTCTTGTAATCTCATGCTCCGAAGCGGACAGGCTCTTGAAAACGCGCACCAGTCGCTCTTTCCCTGCCATGCAACCATACAACCTTGATATCTTGGCTGTCATAAGAATCAACTTTACCATTACCACCTCCATCGTCTTCAGCTTGAGAGACGGCAAATACGTTTCGACCGAGGCGTCTCTGTTGGTTGATGACCGAAACGACAGTGGTGATTTGTGCCAGCGGAAAGCTGCCCTCCTCAAGGGCAGGATTTTGAGCGTTTTTCTGAAAGCCTTGCAGCCAGTCCTCGATCCAAATACCAATGTCTAGACTGCAAGTGTGCAACAGAGCCGCTAATAGCAAACTCGACAATCCGATAGTATAAGTGTTGTCACGGAGGCAAGTCTGCCGGTCGATGCCAGCCGTGATCCTGAGTAATAAGAAAACCCAATGGTCGGAATCTGTGATGTGCTCGCCGCTCAGATCTATTGGCGCATCTTGCATGAGCCGAGCTGAAATAAAATAGGCATAGTTCATCGCAGCATTGTGCGACGAGAACTGTAACGGAGTTACGAGTAAGCCTTCAGGGAAAAGGTACTGTACTTCGCCTTCTAGACTCGCTGGCAAGTCTGCGAGTGGTAGGTTTTGTTCCCAAATGATCAATTTCTCGGCTTGAAGTGTTAGTAACTCTCGATACATGCCGGCTTTATACCGCTGGTCTGTACTATCAAGGTTGATGGTCGTTTGATCCGAGGCAAGAAGAAATGTGCCGAGTAACATCTTTTGGTGAAGACGGTGAGACTCGCAGAGGATAGATAATATCATTGCCCTCCGCACGCTGTTTGATTCTATATTGTCTTCCAGGGATTCCGGAGCCGATAGCGAAGACTGCTCTAGCTGGAAAGTGAATGTGCTGAAGTACAGTCGAATCCACCAGCTGTGGTATCTTGTTTGCATCCATGCAGCTAGAATATCCGTCATGGATGATGTGGGATCGAGGCCGGTCGAGAGTCTCCGTATAAGATTTGCTATACCTCTGGAATGATTGTGAAATCGCAGAAAATTGCCTATGGATGATTCCAAGCACGAAAACAACACTAGTATAGTCATGGTAATTTGTGGATCCATACCCTGAGTCACTGCTTCGGTCATGTGTCGAGTTGCCGTCAAGGCCGAGCGATAGTGTTGCTGACTCGAAGCCCAATGCTCTGGATGAGGTTGATATGATACATTGCCGGCAACTCCAGGAGATTTCGGCTTTGGCGAAGAACGGCTGAGATTACAAGCCGCCAAAGCAACAATGGCGTCCTCGAGCACCGGGACTTGTGATATGAGATCTGTGATCTTGTGGAAGACGGGATGCAATGCCGATAAGCAGTTGTTGCCCCAATAGCCCTTGTAGATAGAGGTCCAGTCAACACTAATATCATGTTGTGTGAGCGAAGAATGAGCAACAGATCGAGATGACCGGATCTCTAGTTCATCAGGAGCCTCCGAGACTAGGACTTCGGCTTCGTCCGGAACATTTGGTTGCGATTGTGATTCAACAATTTGTGACTCTGGAATTGAGGTGATCACATCAAGAAAAACATCATCCTGGTAATCCGTGGAACCGTCGATTGAATAGAACAAATTTAAGTCCAGAGCTTCGATGTCGAATCCGTCAAGTAGAGTGTCTTCGAAAGGCACGAAAGGTTCAAGTCGTGGAGATTGAGTCGTCGAAAGGGGACGGAAAAGATGCGGATGAGGAACCGAAGAGATTGCGTATGTACCTAGGAAAGGTAGGCGAGGGCGCGAAACTGATCTCCTCCTACAGATTGGCTCTGCCTCTGACTCTGACTCCAAGGACTTTGCCCCATGATGTATCTCGTTACTGACACTCCAGCTGTCATGCGTTATTCCGTCGTCCGCGGCTTGTTCTGACATCACCGGCCATGAGTCTGCAATGTTGGCCATGTCGCATTAACACGCAGACAGCAGCAGGTGGCATTTTGAGCCCTGTCACTCAGCGACGAAGCATCAAGGAAATCTCCTCATAGTATCGCGAGTTGCGTTGCCTCTGTTGGCAACAACGCGTTTCGTGATCCCGGGCCGAGACCTCGTGTGGGTTTGCCAGAAATGGCGCACCGTGTCCCCTCATCGGGCAACTTTGCAGACGACTGACTATCAGAACAACACTTTTGTTTTTCACAAACTAATCGAGCGACCACTTCGGAGACAACACTAGGTGTAATCACGCTTCACGCTGCGAGTAGAGAAGAATTTCATCAGTGATGGCAGGTCGTAGACGTACAGTGCGGTGACCGGACAATGTGAGTCACCTTCAAGATCAGATCCATCCCTTTCCGTCAGCTTTGATGCTCTGTGTCTACACTCTACCAACAGTCATAATTACCCCATCACTTTACTCGACTTACAAGTATGGGCTCTCGCCCCATCGCCGACTGTACGAACTCAGTGATCCATACCATTGAAGAAGCCTTCCGATGTCTTTATTCAGCGAGAGATGGCAACACCAGTGAGGCATATACGACTAACATTCTCCGCTATTCCTGTTCATGTTGGTCAAGTATATCGTATGCCATAGCTATCACACATCACGAGCCGGACGATCAGTATTGACTTTCAGATATGGTCACGACACATATTTTGATTGACAACATTGCACACGTCTGGATGCTCTCGTCGTACAGGGGCCTCAAACACCAACAAGGATAGACCTTGGTCTGGATATACCGACTAGTTATCCAGAAGAACTGCACTCTACTGGGATGAGAGAATCAATCGCGACCGTTGAAAGGACGCCGGAAACCAAACTTCGAGGACTGCATGTTCAATCACCCGCCCCGCCAAAGCACACGCTCCAGCACAACTTTCGCCCTGCCGACAAGCGGGTTTCTGAGATGTTGTTGCTGCGTTACGATTTCGATGAAGCTCTAATACTATGGAGTGTTCAATCAGCGGGAATCCGACAATTATGCGTTGGGAAACAACGAATTGTAAGCCAACGTGCTCTTCCAGAATTTCTTCGTCACTCTGACCCCACTTGATGTTCGAGTGGGCTAATCCATCAACGCCGGAGTTTCTTAGTCCGACAGCAGCCCATCGTTGTCGTGTCCGTATCTGTGTCTCTTCGTCTCAAACAATCCGATTGTGTCGTCTCCTTTGTTATACACGTCAATCACTCGTTCCCTTGACTAGAAGTCCCAATTCTTTGTTTTCTACAACAGCGCTCTGTGCCATTCCTTGTCTCTATGCGTTGTTCGGTACGAGCCTTTGTCTAGTTCAATCATGCTGTATGATTGTTCTTTGTCTCCCCATTAGAATTCTTTGTTACTATTGCTTTGCCAGTAGGCAGAGATGCTCAGACAACCTGCTTTCGAAAAACTTCATAACCACCTTCATCTACCTTCAACTCCCATCTTTTCTTCTTCACCCTCAACACACAACACTCCGACTACCTTGCGGTAAGTACCCACTCCAATCCCCAAGTTTGCTAACAAGAAACAGAATCTTCCAAGATGTCGAGGTCGATGTTCAAAGAGCCGCATTTATCTGCTGAGGATGCCCGACGCCTTGCACGCTACGACGACGGTAAGCCATGGACTCTGGTCTTGCGTCCTTGCAACAACTTCTTTGGCTCGGCCTTGGTGACTGTCCACGCAAGTGCTTGCGACCTGATCAAAAAGGTTCTGCGTTTCTGCTTAGGTGTGAGTCAATCTTACTACGACGCAGCTATCGATGCTATGCACAGATTCTTCTACGATGGTGCCGGTGACCCTGCAGTCTTTCTCATCCGTCTCCAGCTTGAGATTGCTGAAGGTATCCGTCGTCTGCCTAACAACTACTACATCTGGAGAGCCTATTCGCCTGATCGTCATGGCCAACTTCAACTGACCTTCGCTCGCTTCGAAGAAAGCAATGTCAACGAACATGCTGCCAACAATGAATGGGCGGAGTTCTACATTTCGGAGGCTCACGTTCCTTTCTTCAGATACTGTAATGGTATACCCCTTGATCTGATGTCTGACGAAGAATGCAGAAGTCACATCATCCTGGAGAGAAGACAATTGCTCGGCCCGGCAATCACCGCTCATGGAACGGTGGACGACCTTCTCAGAGGCTTCTACAGGGTCTCTAACAACACAATGCCTGCTTGGCTGTCGCTTCCTGCTCCTTCTGATGCTGGCAGCCAGGATACTGGTCGCCTTCTGTCGCCCGCCCCTTCTGATGCTGGCAGCCAGAACACTGGTCGCGTACGTCCCCACAAATGCCCGTCTTGTAGATCTTCGTTCTCTACAGTCGCAAGACGTCAGGAGCACTTCGACAAAGTCCACGGACAAGACAATCAGGCTCCGGGCAACTGAGGGTAAGCAACTTCTTGTCTGCTTCTCTGACTGAGCACAGGTCTGCGTCTCGAGCAGTGAAGCTGTGTCTCTTCCGTCTCTCCACTCGAGGTAAGTCAACTCTAAACATCTTGCTGCTAACTTCCTTCAGGTCATCGGACCCACTACTGAGGCTTTTTCTGCTTCCCTTTGCTTATCACCTCTCAGACAACCTTCTAGGGTCATTTGTTATAGGAGAGAGCACCACTACACAAGAGAAGTAGTTTTTTCAGCTCTTGGTAACCAGCTCCCCTTTTTCACGCTACTTCTGATTTTTTACTACGCTTTTCCTTCAAAAACATGTTACTCAAAACCACAAAAAACATTTGGAAAACCAACCAAACACAGTAAAAAAAGAGGACTCGATCCTTTCGGCGTTTTTTGGGCTGGTAGGATATCACGGGGCGTTTTTGGGTTGCTTTCCTTCCTCGATCGACTCGCTTTCACGTCTGGCTCTTGCGAACGATTCGCATTCTTTGAGCACTGGTATCCGCTTACATGAATAACAACAATACGAAGTATTTCTTATTGAAACCTTTCTCGGTGTCTTTCCGTGGTGATCAATGTGATGTCATTCCAATATTTAACTATTACTAGTAACAAGTGTTTGTGAACCTGTGAACCTCAACTTGCAAGTGTGTCTGCCTTGTGCCTTTCTGATCTGCCGTTCTTTAGCAACTTCCCCGGCGGGGACTCGGCGGAGTTCGGGTGAGACAAGCAGCTTGAGCTGTTACTAACGCACATTCTGTTTGAAACAGCATGTTCGTTGCTTTGCGACTTCCTTCTGCTGCAAACATTGATCAAGAACACCATCAACCATCCCTCTTATGGATATGAGTTCATAGCATACCAGTCTGTACCCCTCATGCATAACCGCCCCCCCGCAAGGATCGCCAACATCGTGGACGGAGACATTCAGCCAAAATACACACCCAAGCTCGACATCACCTTTTGTTTCGGCAAGAGCTTGACTTGGGCTCCTTCCCAGCTATTGACCCTGCGGGGGTTGCATGTATGACATCGATTTCTACAAGGTCTGTAGAAAAAGATCTGATGGTCGTCCAAGAACGGTAGGTCAGCCTCAAGACAAGTGTGAGAATCTATTATTTGCGCATGCAAGATGATTTAGTCGGCTGCGTAGTGCTGTATTGCTTAGGAACAGATTCTTCGTTGTTGGGCTCTATAAAGGGCCGCTGGAGACAGCTCGCGCTATTTGATCCATTCGTCGACTTTGAGCCTGAGATGAAGTTCTTCGGTAGTACCTTTGCCAGCGTTGGCCTTGTGGTGCTTCCACTAATCGCTTCAGTCATCAGTGCCTCTAACTCCACGTGCCCACCAGCAGTTGATTATACCGCAGATCTTAAATATGTGGAATGCCGTCAGGATGGCTACTATGGTCGCATTCTCGGCAGAGAACGTAAAGTTATCTTCCGCGACACAAACACTCCACAGCATTGTGCCGATTACTGCGGACGATCTGGCTACCCGTGGGCTGGTGTTGAAGCCGGGACGTACGTTGGAGTCTATCGTCAAGCAATGTCCGTCTGCTAACGCATATTCCAGTCAATGCTTCTGCGGTGGCCAACCAGATGGCGGAGCAATAACCGGGGATGCCAACTGTTCGACCTATACTTGCTCCGGGGATAAGTCACAAAAGTGCGGTGGCGCATTCTTCTTGCAGCTGTACAAGATAAACAATCCGCTTCCGGTCGAAAAGGTCGATGGTGATGTCAAACGTCAGCCTCTCTGCCACACAAGCCCATTATGCGAGCACACAGTCTGTGATACATCACTCCCCATCTCAGAGAGAATTGGGTCATTATTGTCAGAGATGACACTCGATGAGAAGATCGTCAATACTGTCAATGCTGCTGACGGAGTTGGAAGACTCGGTCTACCAGGCTACGACTGGTGGAATGAAGCTCTCCATGGTCTCGCACAAGCCCCCGGTGTTAAGTTCAATAGTCCTAACGGATCGGCATTCAGCTATGCAACCAGTTTTCCCATGGCTATCACGACTGGTTCGGCTTTTGACGACCCTCTTATCGGTGAAATCGCAAGTGTCATCGGAAGAGAGACTCGAGCTTTCGCTAACTTCGAGCAATGTGGATATGACTTTTGGACACCAAACATAAACACATTCCTCGATCCTCGCTGGGGTAGAGGTCAAGAAACGCCTAGTGAAGATTCTTTCCATACCCAGCAATATGTCAAACAATTGGTTCCCGGACTTCAAGGAGGCCTCGATCACCCAGAAGAGAAACAGATCATCGCTACATGCAAGCATTTCAACCTGTATTACGCAGAAACAAATCGGTAGGTTTTGTGTGTGTATCCTGAGAGATTTCGGCTGACCGATCTTGCAAAAAGCTATGGTGAGAACTATAGTGCAACCGTACAAGACCTCGCTGAATACTTCAACGCACCGTTCAAATCTTGCGTCCGCGATGTTGCTGTCGGATCTGTCATGTGTTCATACGTAGGTGGAGCCCTATACTACTTATACTTAGACCGAACTGACCTGTCCCATCAGAACGCTGCCTATGGCGTCCCCAGCTGCGCAAGTGAGTACTTCCTACAGGATACTCTACGAGAAAACTGGAATTTCAACGAGCCCTACAAATACGTAGTCGGTGACTGCGGTGCTGTCGAGTACATTCACACCATTCACAACTTCACCGATTCACCTGCTGAAGGCGCTGCCATTGCCTTAAACGCGGGGACCGACCTCGACTGCGGTCTTACATTCGGCAGCTATCTCAACGAGTCAATCTTCAACAATTATACTACGGAGGCTCGTTTGAACCAAGCTTTGACCCGCTTGTACACTGGGCTTCACACTGTCGGATATTTTGATGGTCATAATCGCTATGCTAATCTGTCGTGGAGTGATGTTGCTACTGAAGACGCTCAAGCTCTCAACTATCGGTCAGCTTGGGAAGGCATGGTCCTTCTCAAGAACGATGGGCTGTTGCCCCTTTCGGCAAGCTACAAAAAGGTGGCACTCATCGGACCTTATGCCAATGCATCGAGTCAGATGCAGGGAATCTATGCTGGCCAAGCACCATACATTATTACTCCTCTACAAGCAGCAGAAGCCAATTGGGATAGTGTGCAGTATGCGTTTGGCACAGGTGTCAATGGAAGCAACACGACATTTTTCTCCGAGGCAATGGAAGCCGCAAAATCAGCCGACCTTATCATCTATTTGGGTGGCATAGATGACACTATTGAGCGAGAGACAATGGACCGCAAGTCTCTCACCTGGCCTGGAAACCAGCTTGATCTCGTGCAACAGCTCAGCGATCTTAGTAAGCCTCTTACTATCGTTCAGTTCGGAGGCGGTCAAATCGACGACAGCGAGCTACTTGCCAACGACAATGTTAACGCTCTCTTATGGGCAGGTTACCCTGGCCAAGAAGGTGGCAACGCAGTCGTTGATATCTTGCTCGGCAAACAAGCACCTGCTGGTCGCTTGACCACAACTCAATATGCTGCCAGCTACGTCGATGAAGTCAGCTTTTTCAACCCAGACTTGCGCCCGAACGGAAGCTATCCTGGTCGCACGTACAAATGGTACACCGGCAAGCCTGTTCTTCCCTTTGGCTACGGACTGTCTTACACGACATTCGACCTCGCATGGTGTGGCAAGCCTCTCAAACAATCCTACCGCATCAGGGACTTGTTCAACAAGCGTCAACACCATGGTGCAAAGGGCACACCTCTGGACACTCTACCTTTCGTCACGCTCTCGACCACTGTCTCCAACACGGGAAATCTCACTTCCGACTTCTCGGCCCTTCTCTTCCTCTCAACTTCCAACGCAGGTCCTGCACCCTATCCGAACAAATGGCTTGTCTCTTACGCTCGAGCACATGGTATCGCTCCTGGTAAATCTCAAACCATAAATCTAGACATTTCAATCGGTTCTCTGGCCAGAGCTGATGAGAATGGAGATTTGACTGTTTATCCTGGCAAGTATCGGTTGGCTATCGACAACGATGAGTTGTTGAAGGCTGAGTTTGAGTTGGTTGGAGAGCCTGTTATCGTTGATCGATTGACCCGACAGGGTGTTTATGAGTACACTGTTCCTGTGCACTACAATGCTAGTGCTAATCTGGTGTGAGCGTGGTGTGAAGTTTGAGAAGGCCAGAAGACACGTTCCGGTATGATAATGTAGCACATTTGGTGTAGTTGTTGCTATGCAGCCGGCATAGCATTCCATTTCGAACATGTCAAAGCAGGATAAGATGGAGCCTCTTCCGAGTCACTCACGGATCGCAACTCAAGCAAGTAATCATTGAATGAAGTTTTGTTCTCAATTGAATTTTCTATGTCAGCTCTGATGTATTTTGAGCTTGGTTCACTTCTATGCACCAACGACCTTGTACTTGGCCAAAATAGCATCATACTGCTGTTGATCAACAGCCAGCACCCTTCCATGCTTAACGTCCTTAGGGAAACCACTTCTATCATCAGGCACCCAAGCACTCATATCATCCAACGTACTTGCGGTGGCCGGAATGTATGTCTGCAAATCATTCTCATCAATCCACAGATGGAACTTCTTGGCATCTAAGTTATCTCTGAAGATCAAAGGACCCTCGTTGTTGGAGAACTCGCTAGCAAATGTAACGCGGACGTCGTCGGAAGCGCCGCCTACATTGACCCAGTCGCCGAGAATACCGTTCTCCGAGCGCTGTTGGAAGATTGTGTAGTCGACTTCGGTCTTGACCCAGCGGTACCAAACATTAGGGCCTTGTTCGGGGGTGGCGATGAAGGTAGCGTCGATGACAGGGTAGCCGGGATTGAAATAGGTCTTTGCTTCCGAGAAAGTGACGAAGTCGGTGGTGGTGACATACATAAGGATGTTAGGAGGCTGAGGACCAGAACGATCGGTGTCAGATTCGGGCCAGAAACGAGAGGCGAAGACGACAATGTAGGCATCAACCAAGGGTTCCCAGTATGCTTCAGGAGCCCATGCGTTCCCAGCAGTTGCATTGACGAGATTGGGTGTTAGGCGTGCTTCTCCCCATGTAGCCAGGTCGTCGGATTCCCAGATGACGAGTTGTCGTGAGCCAAATCTGGTGGCTTCGTTGAAGTCGTTTGTGAAGTTGTTGGCAAGGAGATCGGTTGCGATGAGCCAGAATTTGCTGCCATCTTGGGAAGGCACGATAAAGGAATCTCTGACACCCTTAGTTCCGACGTCGCTGCGGAGAATGGCTTGTGTTTCCGCTGTGCCGTCTAGGGAAAGAGCTTGGTAGGAAAGAGGGTCGTTGCCGTTCGAGAGGTGCATGTAAATTGCTTCATCGTCGACGGGGAAGGAGGTGAATAGGTATCCGACCTTGGTATCTCGTTTTGTAGGCATTGCAATACTAGATTTGATAGCAGTCAAGGCCAACAGAGTTTGGAAGGCTTTCGTGAGAATCATCTTGTCGGCGAAGTTATAACTGGGGAATCTGATACCATCGATAAGGGGAACAGGCTGATGGTATTTATATCAACCGATCGTCGCAATAATTCCTCCTTTGCTGGCAACCTATCCTCATGACGATATAGCAAAGCATGTTCGCTTCTCCCTGCGTTTGCACAAGCCCGAGCCAAGTCAAAATGTCTTGGTGCTTGAAGTAACAGCAAGACCGATGACACTGTTTACTAGTGATGAAGTTGCCTTTGGAGTGGCTAGTATGCACGACATACGAGGAGATCGGCTTTCAGCCTGAATCATTCACGCGTTGCGAATTGCCGCGTAGCAGATCCTGCTCCATTAGGAAGTTCGCACATGTTGCCCCCACGGGGCATTTACAAATTGCGGGGTCTTATACCAGGCGCAGCATCACAGTCGATTTGTATACTACTTGGCATCAAGGAAGAATGGGTCACTGGAGCGGTGATTATTAATTGACAGGAACAAATCAAAGTTGTAAGGTTATTTTGACAGCGCGTTGAGGCTGAGATCAGGGATACATAAGCACCTGAACGGCAGATTAGTACTGTGGTGGGGTACCAAATAGGATTGTGTACCGATTCCCAGAACGTTACTCTCTTCTTTGTCTCCTAGTCCCACTAGTCAGGTTCAACTGTACGTATAAACTCGATCTTGCAATCACTGAATTGTGACTTTGGCTTTCTTGTGAAAAATTCCAAACATCGTGTGCTCCCACACTTTAAATTCCTCATCGGGATAAAGTTCATCGTAGTCGAACAGACCCCTCCCGAAGCTCTCTTTCTGAAGGCATGTCACGTTCCGTCATTCTAATTGAGCTTACTTCAACCACGTTCGCAACCTCGCCATACTGCTTCACCTCTTTCGTCAACATCAAGCTTCTTACTGGACACGAGACCAGAAGCTTGAAACGAGCCTGACAACGAGGGTCCACACTCAGATAACACAGATAAGCTATCGTTGCAGTAAGATCTTCTCGCCAACTTGGTGTTTCGAGCCAGGAGATGCCTTCGATGAGACAGCAGACCTCGTGGTCGGCGGGCAGTTGAAAGGCCATCGCCGAGAAGGTCTCGCAGAGCCTGTGTATGTCGTGATCTCGAACTTCCTCTCGCTTCAGTTGATCATCAATGAAGTTCAGGTCGAAGTTTTGTTTGACCGACAATTGCGCTATCAAACTCCGCATCAAGCCTTTTGGACCAGAAACGACTCCACCAAAATTGCAGTGCAAACCGCAGAAGAAATAGAGTACAGTTACGGTAGGATCATCGATGGTACCAATCACTAAAGAAGCAAACAGTGCCGAAGTGGAAGACTCCCGAGCCGCAGTAATCTTACCGGAGCCGTTCAAGAACAGTATTCCCCGGGTCGCGTTCGACCACTCAAGAAAATCTGTACTTTTCGCTATGGCGTAGGCGATCTTCATCTCCTCAATGTCAAACCGAGCGCTGCTCTGAATGATCCTGGTTGTGTCCGAGAACATGCCGTCGGGTATGGCCATAAAGCTTGTGAGCTCGGCTTGATGCAGAATCTTTGGAACAATCTCTAGCTTTGGCTTCTTTGCCACCTGATGATGTACGGCAGGTAAAATGTGCTGGCCTGAGTCACATTAGCGCCATATTACTCAGATGGGTTTGACTAAATGTAGCTTACTGCGTGCTTTTCTGGCTGTTTCAAAGAGCGAGAGGAATGCGTTGCACCCAAAAACTTTCAGTAGCTTCTTTTTCTCTTCACGCGCCTGTTCCTGAGACTGGACTCTGTTTTGCTGTGTGAGCAGAGCCAACATTTCATTAATCTTGCGATCAGTCGAGCTAGCCAGATTCCCAATGAAGTGCAGCTTTGTCCTATCGAGGAGAACTATGCGAGCGGTCAATTTGTTGGACTTGTCTTGTAGAGCGTCCATAGATTCTTCTACGGATTTCGCTGTAAGGGGCCCCTTGATCACTGCTTCGATGGTCTTCCCTAATCGTTATTAGCACCGGGTGTCAGTATCCAAAATTTGTCAAACCTTACATATTGTTGGCTTGACCAGCCACTCGATGGACCTGCCAATTGCTGTCAACAAGCACACATCAAAGTCATGTCTCAAAGTACGATAATCGAGATCGCAAGAGAAGAATCTATCGTTGCCCTGCACAACTTTGATTTGGTCGGGTATGCCCTCGAAAGCTTCGAAGATCTTCTGTCTTTTCGACGCCAGTTGTATGGCCACCTGAAACATGCTTAGCTTTGACAGGTGAAAGACGCACTCTCAACAACGCACACCAAAGATGAGTTTGAGTCCACGGCAAACGACGCCGATGTACATATCTTCAGGTGCTTGGTCCAGTTTATCAACAACGGCAGGTCCCATATCTCCCATAGAACGACCGAATTTCCTGACAAAACCCTTCCGATTGTAGGCTGCTTCAGCTCCCTTCGCAGTATCGATCACATCTTGCCAGGTGAGCTTTTTTTTGTCACTGGATGCCTCTACTTTCTTTGCAATCTTTGAGACCTCATCCAAGCTGGCGGATCGGGAGAACTTAACGAGTTGGTTCGAGGGATCTGAATTATAGTAACAGCTGAGAGCGTTCGAAAGCTGTGTCGCGTAACTTTGGAGGTCATTACCAGTTGACACCGAACGATATTGTCAAGAACATACTTGTGGCGCAAGCTGGATGTAGTGAATTCAGCACGTTGCTCATCGTAGACAAGGCCGTTACTCATGCCTCGTTGCATGATAAAATCAGCTGCGTCCCGTTTGTCAAGCCGCTTTTGACGCTCATCGTCGAATAGTGTATTGGACATGTTCGATAGAATTCGTTTCGGATGGCAATTAGAAGTGAAAAACAGGACCGGGATGTAGATGAGTGTAGCGGAGCGACGAGGCCATATCCTGTCCAAGGTCGTTCTCAAGATTACCTCAACGTATCTGCTTGAGACTGAATAAGCTTGAACAACTACTAAGGGTAAATGGTCAGATCACTGTGATCACACGTGTCCGGCCTTCATACGCACGTCTGGCTGACTATATGTCGCTGCAGCTCCAATTGGTGGAAGTTCTCGAAGAGGCTTTTAGCAAGGCTGCATCCACGCCTCGTGCTTGAGTATATCATCCTACAGAATCATTGTCGAGCCAAGAGTAAGGCCAAGATTTAAGTGCGTATATTCAAGTCTCGCTGACTACATATTGCTGCAAGTTCAACTGGTGGAAGTTCTCTGTGAGGCTTATAGCAAAGCTGCACTCACGCTTCGTGCTCGAGTATACCGACTTGCAAGATCATTTTAGAACTAAGAGTAAGGCTGAAGGTTGTTGCAGATTAACGGATTGAGTCGAGGCGTCTGTACAAAACGTGGAGTAGTCTTAATGGTCGATGTTCGTGAATCTTGCCCTAACTTCCTGGTGATTCGACATAGATAGCAGCCTCCGCCTTTTGCGAGTAGCCACGATTCATCAATACATACACGCAGCTTGAGTTGCAGCTTGTTTCGGCTCACCTTTATCTCATTCCGCTCCTTCAATCACATCCGTTTGATCTCCGTTCCACAATGCATTGAACATCTGCTGGAGATAGTGATACCGAATAACTTATTGGTAATATGAAGCATACACACCAATGATGTCGTCTTATCTTTGCTGTCCGAGCCAGCCACCAGTGGTGGTTGTCAGGGCTATGTGCATGCAAATCAATGGGTGACTCGGAAGCGATCCATGAATGCCTTCAGGCAGCTCAAAGCAAAGATATATCTTTCCGTGGTCCCTTAAGTGGATCTTCCGCAATCAATCGTCTTACCTTTACATTTGTCAGTCGGTCTAGGTGTTCATCATTCTTCTAGCTGTCGACACTCAGCCCTGCAGCATGGCCGAAGCCCTGAATAAGAGAAAGCCACCACCACGACCGCTGAAACGCTCGTCTCTGAGCGGCAATCAGGTATTGTTAGTCAATGACGGACTGCCGCATGAGTCATATCAATCATCAGAACCTGATATGATCCGGAACCTCGATAATGTTGTTCGGGTCAGTGACCCAAGAAGGCAAGCTATGGACCCAATCGTGAGCTGACCAGAGTCACAGCTTCAGCCAAAACGTGACATGACGGAGCTCATTAAAGCCGACGATACTCCGCTCGAAGCAATTCACTATGCCAAGACAGCCTCAGAATCGGTCAAAGAAGACATACCATCTTTCGATCACAATCGTCCGCGCAGTCGCTCTGATACTAGCAAGGACGGAGAAATCCTTGACAGCACGCCTTTGGCCGTTGAGAGTCCCGGTCTCCCTAGTAGCCAAGCTGTCGAGGGCCAAGATGTAGATAAAGGATCTATCGAAGGCCAGCCTGTCGCTGACAAAGATGGCGAAGCTCTTGACAGAGAATATAACGTCCCTAGCGACGACAACTTCAGAGAGAAGCTAATGAACGCAGTAGATCTGATTCTCCGCGTTAACAGTCGTTTAAGATCTTATTTATTTATTTATTTATTTATTATCTCAGGTAACCGATCTAAGTGATTTCTTACACAAGCGGCATAGTGTGTCTTACTAATTGCCCTACACCTCGCTTATCTATGCTTCCTCTGTCTAGTCCGCCCTTAGCGCCTCCGCCTATGCTCGTATTCCCTAGGTTTATATAGAAGCTTAGCTTTAGGGCTAGGGTTACCTTCCTTATAGAAGCAAAAGGGAGGTGTTAGCTTTCTAGTTTTCTATTATATATCCTACTAACCCTGCAAAATCAAAATAATAAAGGAAAAGAGGAGGGTAATCTAGTGTATAGGTCTTAAGCAAAACAACCCTCTACTAGGTAAGCCTAGTAGAGAGCTAGCTACTCGCCGATCCCCCTTATAGTATCTACCTATAGGGGCCCCTATAGTAAGGCCCTCTAATAGGGCTCCTTATAAAGGAAGAGTTAACGGCGGCTATTAGCGTAAGGAGGACATAACTCTATTATATACTAGGAACACTATTAATTATGTACCTAGCGCTAGGGAGATTGTTACTCCTAGCCCCTACTAGTCCTTAAGCGCGCGAAACGATAGTAAAATATAGCGACTACCTAAATCGAACTTAGACCCCCTAAATCGACCGTTTAAAGCCGTTAGCCCCTACCCGATTATGCTACGTAACCGAGAAAGTTACTAGATTTAAAAAATTTGGCTTTAAGTTTTTAACTGTCTTAGAAGCCCCCTCTCTATAGAGTAGGTTAGTAGGGATAGTAGTCCCTTATGTCGCGGTTCTAAGTGCTTTAGTTAGTAGCTAAGAGAGCGCCGCTATACCGTAGGGAAAGAGGAGTACCGAAACTACTTAAGGAGGCCTATCCTTTATATAAAGGAGGAGGCAGCTAGGGCAGCTTTAGGCTCTATAAGTAGTCCCTTAAGGGTAGAGCTAGTGCTAAGCTCTAGGTATTCCGATTAGATAGTAGTAAAGAGTATATAGTCGAATAGCATATATAAGACCGTCTACTCTACTATCCTATAGTCGTAGTAGGGGTCGTCTATAACCTTAATTTTATAAAGAAAGGTAGCGAGGCCGATCTTATTAGTTCTTATCTAGGTAAGCATAGATAATAGCGGCTTTGTAAGTGCCTTATAGGTAGATAGGATAGTAGCCGTAGGGGAAGTAAGGTACTAGCGTATATAGGCGCCGGTTTCGCTATTACTCTATTACCTTATCTATTCCTCTAAGACCTATGCCCTTAATCGTCGTTTCTATTCTTAAGGGGAGACAAACTCCCGCATTAGATTTACTATAGTTCTAGCGGCCGTCCTAGCTACGTTATAGGCTACTACATTCCCTAGGATCCCTACCTTTGCTAGTGTCTAATAGAGGGTAACGGCGACGCCTACGTATTATAATCTAGTAGCTAGAGCGTCTATAGCCGCCGCTATAGCCTAGCCGGCCGCGGGGACAGGGTCGCTAGCTATACGAAGTAAGTTCTAGGAGTCGTAGTAGAGACGGATAAGGTCGTAGCCCGGTTATAGATGCTAAGTCGCTTCCTAGAGGCTAAGTAGTATGCCTCCTAGCTCTCCCTAGTATACTATAGTAAAGGGCTCCTTACTAACGTATGTTACTAGGGGTAGCTTACCTAGGGCTAGGATAAGTGCCGATATATATATCTACGCGTCCCTTATTATAGCGTCCGAGTAGACGTAGACTTCGTTTATAGGAGGGATACCTAGTAGTCTTACGCGTACGTCGATAAATAGCGGGAGCAGTAGTCGCTAGGGGGGTTAGGTAAAGGGGACTATCTACTTAGTATTGTTAACGTTAATGTTATAGTGTTTACGGAGGTGCGTCTCGTATCTCTAGAGGTAGCTTATCGCCTTCCCCTATCTTAGTGCGGGACTACGTTCTTATCTAATTATAGCGTAGGTAGGTGTTAAGGAGAGTCGTATTATTACTATAGTAGCGAGGCGTTCTAGTCGTAGTAGCATTAGCTATATATGCGTAAGGACATCGAGTACTAAGGCCGCCGTCCTCTAGAAGGCGCTAGTTATAGCAATGTTTACTTCTTTCTATATAGCTAAGAGGGTCGTCCGCTTTTTCCTCTCCCTTATTACCTAGCCTTATAGCCTATCGGGAGCGTACTACGCTAAGCATACGTAGGTAATAGATAGTATAACTACTGTCTTATAGACTTACTAGTACTAGAGAGTAGTAAGGCCCTACGCGGAGTTGCTAAGGCGCCTTGCTACGCGTAGTACATTATAGGCCTTTATTTTAAGGTAGTTTAGATGCGGGTGCTAGGTAAGCTTCGCGTCTAGGATAAGGCTAAGATATCTTAACTATAGGCTCGGCTATATAGGTTCGGTATAGTTACTAAGTCGTAGGCTACTTATAGTGTCTATTCCCTTTTTTGCGAAGTAAGTAAGGCTATATTTAGCGGGTATAAAGACTAAGGCGTAGCGCCTCGCCTATAGGAGGCAAACATTCTCGTAGATCCGTTCTAACCTCCTATAGTTAAGCTCGGCCGTAGGTCCTACGGTAAGCACGTTAACGTCGTCGATCTAGCCTATAGCTATAAGGCCCTTCCTACGCCGAGTGCATTACTATATAAGGTCTATATTATAGAAGAGGTAGAGGATAGGTAAGATTAGTGATCCTTAGGGGATGCTAGTGTTAATCGGCTCTAGGCCTAACTTATGTTTAGGGAGCTTAATTAATGTTCTTTAGTCCTAGAGGAAGCTAAGAACCTAGTTAACTATTAATGTAGGTATCCTTCTCTTCTTTAGGTTATATATTAGCTAGTCCTAGGAGACGTTATTAAAGGCACCGGAAGTTCAAAAGTATCGCCTAGTAGTCGGAAGCTAGAGCTCTAGGGGGAATAGTCATTAAGGGGTAGAACCAATACGTGTGTTATAATTAAGTTAGTTAACTACTATTATAGTATAGAAGTCTTTGTGTTGCGGCTTCTCCGCATTACCTAACTTCCTCTTACTACATCTATTACCCTAACTGCCATATTGTAACACTCCTCCTTAGTCTAGACGGCGGATGCTAGTAAGACCTAGCTAGTTAATGAATCTTGTAAAGTCCGGCTTAGGCAATAGCTTTATAAAGCTATCTACAACCATATCTCTTGTCCCTATAAACTCGACATTAATCCTGTTCCTTCGGTGTAGGTCTCTAACATAATGGTATATAACATCGATGTGCTTTGACCTCTCGTAAGTATAGGCATCTCTAACTAACGATAGAGAGGCTTAATTGTCACTAAACAGTTTAACTAGTAACCTAATAACGAAGCTTTGCTCTTCTCTTACAGTTAGCTAATATTAGTTGTAACTAATGTACTTGCTATAGCCCATGTCTCTTAGAAGTTAAGCTAGCCATTATGACTGCTTTATAGCCTAACACATGGCCATGTATTTAGCTTCTATAGTTAAGGTTGCAACTAACTTCTACTTCTTACTAGACTAGCTAACAGGACAGTTGCCCATCATGAATACACTTCCTAAAATGGATATCCTGTCTAACTTGTCCATTGCGTAGTCTAAATCAGAGTAGCTAACGAGTTGTTATATGCCTTCTACATTAAACTCTAGGCTAAGGTCTGTTATTGAACGTAGGTACCTTATAAGGGATTTTAACAGTTTAAAGTGCCCTTCTGATGGATCTAATAGATATTGGCTTAGCCTTCCGATTGCAAATGCAATGTTAGGTCTCGTTAGAATTGCTAGGTAGATAAGGCCGCTAATGATCTTTTAATACTCCTTCTAGTCTGCTCTCTTGTCTTGTAGACTAGCTAGTTTTAACAGATTATATCCATTTAGTNAGGCTATTCGAGACTCTGTTCCTAATGTAGACGTCTACTTGTGTAGCTTTAACCTATAGCTCTACTAGTAGATTTGCATCTTTTAGCATAGCTCTAGTGCCTTTCTGAATTGTCTAGTGTAATCTTTCAACTAGTCCATTTTAACTTAACATATAGTAGATAGTTGACTCGTGTTGCACACCTAATTCTTGTCTCTAGGATCTAAAGAGGTTCTCTAGTTCTAGTGCATTGTCGGACCTTACCGCTAGGATCTTTAGATCTGTTGCAGTTTTAACTTCCTTTTTCCATTAGTTTAGGATAGGAGCTGCATCTGACTTTACCCTTATAGGAAAGATCTAGGTTTTCCTTAAGAAGTTGTTAACAACTGAAATGAAGTAGATGTATCCTTTACGAGATTCTGGCATCTAACTATAGGTATTAATGTAGATAAGTTTAAGGATTCCCTCCTTTCTCTTACTTGTTGCACCTCTCTTGTTTCTAATGTTTGCAACTAAATAGACGATGTACTAATAGTTAGGAGTTACCTAGACTAGCTTCTCTAGAGTAGTAACTTTGTGCAAGTTCCTAATCTTCTTAGGTCCTAGATGTGCAATTCTTCTATGCTAGAGTTAATACTCCTCCTATGCCTTTAAGCTTAATTCCTCCTCCTAAGGAGAAACGATGGCGTTAAATGCATGTGTAGTAGTATTATCCGTAGCTAGCATTGTAGTGTTAAGTTACTTAGGCAGTCTTTCTAGATAGACATCGGCAACAACATACACTCTATGCTGTATTTTGCTATGTACTACTGCATTTCCACTAGCATCTACCATTGTTATAGAGTTAGAGTTGAACTTTCCATTTAGCCTCTTCTAAAGATAGAGGTTTCTTACTAACAATAGGTTTGCACCGAGTCCTAGTATAAAGAGCGTCTGTTTTAACTCTAGCTCTCTTCCCATTTGATTAGCTAGTATAGCTGTTCCCATTAAATCTAAGTGTAGGATCCTACCTCTAACCTAGATATACCTCCTCCTAATTTGAATTAATGGTCCTCTAAAACAGTTGCTTTTGTTAGTTATGTGTAAACTAGCACAACTGTCTATATACTATTAGGAGGGGTTCTTACTTATGACATCCTTTAAAAGGTAGGCAACTTTATAAGATACTTAATCATCAAATGAGACAGCAGTAGGTGACTTCGAAGTTACAGAGCTAATAGTAGAGGTTTCCTCTGCTTTGTAGGCTCTCTCTTTTCTTGCAACTTTAGTTTAGACCTTAGCCTTGTCCTCCATAATTTGTGTAAAGACCCTAGCAACTACTGCTTCTAGGTCTTTCATAGCAATCATAGGCTCTTAGCGGGATAACTAAGAAGACCGTTTCTGTCTTCGATTATCTCTTGTAGCTCGTTAAGCAGCTAGAAGTGATAGGCAGTCCTTAATAAAGTGATCCTTCTTGCAAAGATGACATTTAATAGGGCCCTGTCTATTCCTTGCAAGATAAGCATGTAAGGTCGTCTTTAAGTTCAGTTTTGCTTTAAAGTTCTCTAAAAGTGTAAGGATATCTTCTAGGTCTAGATGACTTTGCACGTCGATAGCGTTTATAGTTGTGTCGTACTCTTCTAGAAGACTTGCAAGTAGCTTTTAAATCCTAGCTTTAGGCTTGCCTAGATTCGCATTAGTTAGGTCTAAGCTTGCAATCTTTCGTCCTAGCTGTTAAAGGTATAGCCACGCATCTTAAATCGTCTAGTTCTAGTCCTTCTAGAAGGAGTGGAACGATTCTACAAGTAGTCTCCTCTAAATAGGTAGGGTCTTCTTATATCTAGCTTGTAACTGGTCCTAAAGTGTCTTTAAATTGGCTATATTAACATAACGCATCTAATCGTCTTCTAAGATGCATTTGTTAATCTAGTATAAAGCTGTATTGTCGATTTTAGTAAAAGCTGCCTCGTGCTTGCTTTTAGGTGTTTCAATTGCTTTCTAGTAGTCCTTGCTATATAGCCATCTCTTCATGTTTTAGAACTATAGTTCCTAGTTTTCTCTAGTGAGGGTAGCTACTAGCCTACCTCTCTATGTTTCGGCGTCGTCTATTTCGTGTTCGATCGTCGGGTTCGGGGTAAGTCTATCCGTCGACTTACAACAGTTTCTAAGTACTATTAGGTTTAGTAGTCTTCTACTAAAGATACTAGAGTAGGCTAACTATAGGTCCTCTTACGCGAGGGTGACTTATAGCTACTGTTTCGGGTCGGGCGCGATCCTAGTGTAAGTTTTATACCGCTTATATTCCTCCGAGCTCTTGCGAACCTAGGCTTATAACTAGTTTAAAAGTATCGCCTAGTAGTCGGAAGCTAGAGCTCTAGGGGGAATAGTCATTAAGGGGTGGAACTAATACGTGTGTTGTGATTAAGTTAGTTAACTACTGTTGCAGTATAGAAGTCTTTATGTTGCAGCTTCTCCGCATTACCTAACTTCCTCTTGCTACATCTGTTACCCTAACTACTATATTGTAACACTAGAAACATTAAGGTAGAGGAGGCTTATAACCTAGTCCCCGTTAAGGGCCGTCTAGATCCGTTTAAGTAGGAGGTAGATAGCCTATTCCGTAGAGTTTAGCCTCCTACCGCCTAGATAGTCTAGGGGCAGCAGCTAGTATGTTTTAGCTAGGTAGCTTAGTCTCGTCGCTATAATAGATTCTAGCGTTTTCCTAAGGGTGTTAAGTAGGGCAATTAGTCTATACGACTTAGGGTCCTAGTACGAGGCCTTTCCTAGCTTACGGAGTATAATAGTAGTTAAGTCCTTAAAGTTGCGGGGTTAATAGCTAGTGTCTATAATGCCGTTAAATAGCGTAGTAAGAGGGAGACTAAGCCTAGTGCTTAAGAGCTTAAGTACCTCTACTAGGATCTCGTCGGGTCCTAGGGCCTTATTAGGTACTAAACGGGTAATGGCCGTCTTAATTTTAGTAGTAGTAATAGGGTAGCCTAGTATAGGGTGCGGGTAGGGGTATAAGGAAATGTTGCTAGTATTAGCCTACGGCGGCGGCGAGAAGAAGGAGGCCCGTAGTGTAGTAGACTTATCCTATAGAGTTAGGGCTCTAGATCCGTCCAGCTTAAGGAGGGGAGGAGTAAAGGTATTAACCTCTATACCCTCTCTTACCTACTTCGCTATCTTATAGAGCTTTATCGTATCGGTAATTCCCTTAAGAAACTAGCGCTAAGCTATAGTTTTCTTCTTACGTATAGTATTACGTGCTTTATTTCTTACCTTCTTATAAGCTTTCTAATCTGCCGTAGCGCAGGTAAGCTTATAGTCTCTTCTACACTTCCTTGCTTATTATACTAGCGTCTTATACTCTACATCGAAACCGGGGTATATTCGTTCGTAGATTACGTGTCTTAGTATAGATTTTATAATAGCTAGAAGGATGCTTTATATAGTTAGGGTCGCCGCCGCATTAACCTCCTCCGCTATTAGTAGTAGTAGAAGGTTAGGCGGATAGAAGTTAGTAAGGAGTGCTTTCTTATCTATCTTCTTCTAGGTAAAACGGTCTTCTACTAGGGTAGGGACGAGTATAAGGTTAAAGCTTGTTTCTATAGGGTAGTAATCTAAGGATGTGTCGAGGTGCCTTACTACCCTATAATAATAGAGGCGGTCTATAAGGGCTTTAGTTATAAAGATTAGGTCGATTATGGTCTAGGCCTTATTCTAGTACTAGGTCTTCTATCCTAGGGGTAGAAGTAGGGTAAGGCGGAAATGTAAGATAGTTTATAATAGTTAGTTAGCGTATGCCCCCTTTCTTTCTCTAATGCCTACCTACATCTTATAGCGTATGTTAAAGTCCCCTAGAAGGATATGTTCTCCCGAGAGTTTAAGTTATAGGTAGAGGTCTATAAATAGTACAATAGGGTTCTTATACAGGCGGCGGTATACGTTATAGACATTAATAAAGGGGATAAGCGAGTTACGGCTACGTAGGCGGACTATCTAAATGTAGTAGCTATAGGTAGTGTTCGGAGGATCCTAAAGAGACTAGGAGGAGCTATTAATGCGCTTAGCTATAAATAGCGCGACCCTAGCCTAAGGGCCTAGGAGGATAGTGTAGTAGCCTATAGGGGGGGAGTATGTTACGGCTCTATTACCGTTCTTCTTCTAAGACCGCTCTTATATAGCGATAATGTCGAAGCGTTAGAGCTCCGGCTGTCGGACAAAGGTGTCCTAGATGTCTACTAAATTGTGTATGTTATACTAAATGATAGATAGGGCTTCTAGTGTAATAGTTATTAATTGCGTTCTTTAGAGAGGCGTGCTTCCTTAGCCCTAGCGGATTCCGTTAGAATCCTACCGCTCCTTAATGTCTAAGCCTAGCTTAACATAGTTAAACTTATAGTAAGCTCGCTAGATAAGGGCTCTCCTTTATCCCCTCCCTTAACACTAAGGGTAGAGTCCTCTATAGAGAGGAGCGGGGTTTAGGAGAGCTACTAACGGATACGGTCGTATACTAACTTACGGCCGCCCTTTAGTAAGGACGGCCTATTAAGGAAGGCTTAGTATAGTGTTAGGCCGGCTCTATCGCCGTTAAAGGATAGGGTTAGTAGCCTAGCGTTCTAAGATAGCGGGACGGTAGTGTTAGTCTTAATAGTAGAGATTCCTATAATAGAGGAGGGAGTCGACTTTATCCTCTCTAGGTAGGAGACGCCTTCCTAGCGGAGTTATAGCTCGTCTACCTCGAGTCTCTTATTATGCCTAGTCGGGCACGTTTTGTCGTCGGATCGGTAACTAGATTAGTTATATACTACGCATTAAAGGACCGCCTTATCGGAGGACTTTAAATAGGGATAGGCCTCGCCCTTATAAGGGCTAGCGTAGATACGGCATATATTCCTAGTATAGGAGCACTTCTTAGCTATATAACTATATTTCTAGCACTTATAGCATTATATAATTCTAGCTTCGCGGACGTGTCGCTTATAGCTAGGCTTATGTTCTACGCTCTAGTAGATACTATTATAGAAGATGCGGTTCGTATACTCGGGGGCAGTAAGTTCGATTCTAAGGCCTAAGTGCCTTTTCTTTAGAGGGCTAGGCTAGGGGGTAAGCTAGCATATGTGTTTAATCATCTCTAGCTAGAGCTAGGGGTTCGAGGCCGTAATCTAGACCTTAAGGTCCTTAAGGTCTTTACGGTCCTTTAGTCTAATTAATGTAGGGAAGTAGTTAACAATAATACCGTAGGTCTCTACTACTACCCTAGAGCCTTCTCCGAAGTAGTCGACCTACTCGTCTACGTATAGGCGGAGGGTCTCCGCGTTAGCGGGGGTTATAGCATAGAACTTAAGGTTACCGGACGGGTAGCTAATAGCCGCTATAAAGCGATAGTTCTAGAGGGCCTTAACTATGCTACATCTAAGTCTAAGGTTTAGGTCTTAGATTATGTCGGCTAGCGGCATAGCCTAATACTTCCGCTTAACTCCGGCTTAGCCTATAGTAACGCTAATTTTGCATGCTTTATAGGAGGCTATAGCTAGGGTAGGAGGGGTTATAGAGGTAGTAAAGGTAGACGGATTACTAAGTTAAGTAGCTTACGCATAGGACATCGTAGTCCTAAGGGAAGAGCGTAGGAGCGAGGGTCGGGGGGAGTCCTAGATAGATATAAGTCTACTTTTAATGTCCTCTAGTCTAGCGAAAATCTCTTCGCTCTGCTAAATAGTAGGTTATGCTATCTAGAACCATCCTTATACGGCCTTTACGTAGTCTCTAAACTTCTTTTCGGTAGGGGTGCCATAGTTATCGAGGTACTAGAGTAGTGCCGTAGTGTTCTTAGTAAGGAGGTAGTAGTATTCGTGTATGGTGGTGCCGCTATCGCCTAATCCCTCCGGGAAGGGCGCCTTGTCTTTGTCTTTCCCCATTAGAGAATGTTGGCAGCGTTGTAGTGCGTTCTATCGGTGTCGGGTGGCCAAATATTCGAGGTTTTTCGCCTATGTGGCGTTTTTCTGGGAGGGTCAGTCGTTTGAGATCGGTGGAGGAACGGTTCGACGGAGGAACGCACCATGAAAAACAGCCTGAGGTAGGGAAGACATCGGAACGCCAACCATGCATACCTCAGCTCAGGAGGGTCGACTGGTACAACTTCAAGAACAAGTGGATTGAAGAAAGAAAACACGCCATTGAGGTATTGCGCGGCCCAGCCAAGCACTATCAGGATCGAAACAGAGAGACAAAGAGAGTGGAAAAGCTGAAGAAAGCAGGCAACAATCCTGCTCGATCGCTGTCGGAAGAGGGGTATGACATTTCGCCGCCACAGGACGCACCAGAACGGATCAGGATCAACTCGGTCCCTATCCTTGCTGTGATTGAAGATCTCGACCCTATCACATACCGGCTTGAATTGAACCCCACCTTACCTACCACAATGTTGAGGCCGTATATGCGTTTGATCCGTATGGAAGACATGTTGATGAATCACCTATCTGACTTGGAGACCAAATGGGCTGTTGCAGAGAGCGAAGAATTGAAGCGCAAGGCAGACTCCACATTCGACATCACCAACGATGAGCGAGCCGCCCCTAAGACACCACAGTTGGCGAAAGAGGATAGCATCCACTCTTTGCCAGCTTCAGCTCTGAGCCTCTCACCTACTACCAAAGAGTCCGCCCAGAACGAAAAAGACAAGCAAGATCATTCAACCTTCACTACTTCAGACCCACTTACTGATAGCATCGAGGCTTTGCGAGACCTCCGATGCCTGAAGCAATTTTTCGAGCTGTACATCCACCCTACAGTCGACCGCTTTCGAAGTAAGACAGCACGCAAAGTGAGGTTCGCAGATCTCTGGTATCTCTTCCCATATGGCGAAGAAATATTCCTTGCTTCCGCTCTTGGAGCCGAGGCAAGATCATCATTCACTCAGACCGCAGAATCCGGTGCTTACCAGAGTGTCTTTCGAGTCTATGATCACTCAGGAGGGAGACTACGGCTCTCTAATCCTGACGATGATGAAGACGAGTCCAACAACAACTTTCAAACGCCATCCGCCATGGTCCGTATTGATCCATTCCATATAATGTGTTACCACATTGACTGGGACTCCAAGTCACACTCACCGGTGTATCATAAAATTCAAATCAAACCGTTCGAAGGCGAACGTGACATAACCAGCCTGGACGTCTATCCCACCAAGTATCATAAAGACTTCGAGCCTATTCGGCAGCAACTACTCACTCGCGGCCACAAGTTCCTAAAGCTCACGAAGCCAACTCACATGAGATATTATGGTCGAACCTACGACTCGCATCCTTGTGGCGACAATAGCAGTCACTCCCTCTCGGCGACTTCCTTCGTCGAGAGTGAGGTTATGGTTGATTTTGAGCAAAGCCCTCGAGGTTGGCAACCAAACTTTGGCCTCGACGAGTTCTTGATTTACGAAATTGACAACGTGGATGATTGGCCCGTAACTTTCTGGCAAGACAAAGAACACAACCTGAATCCTATTTTTCTCGCAGAATTCGTTTTCATGGAGCCGGAAGATACAAATTGGCTACGTGAGCGCGCCAGAGACCAAAACGGTTTTTTGCGTGATTGGAATCTGTACCAAGCGGGTCATCGCACAGAGCCTATCCAAACCCTTGAAAGCGATGATGATTTGGTCTTACTGCCGAGCCGAGTCATGGGGTACAGTTATCGCGACCGTACGTTCAACGCCTTCAACATTGACCATCTAGAGCTTGTCACGCCAAAAAGTGAAGGTTTTGATGGCCTAGCCCTTCCAAAGGGCCATCAAATGATGGTGGAGGCTCTGGTTAAAGAACACTTTATCAAAAAGGAAGCCTACGAGAAGCATGGAAGATCCGCTCCGGGGATGGACATGATCTCTGGAAAGGGAAGAGGCCTCATCATGCTATTGCATGGATATCCCGGCGTTGGCAAGACCTCGACTGCAGAGTGCGTGGCACAATCAACTGGCCGACCCTTGTTTTCGATCACTTGTGGGGATCTCGGATTAGATCCCGTGCAGGTCGAAACATCTCTGAACGACAAGTTTCGCCTTGCCGCCAAGTGGAACTGTGTGTTGCTCCTGGACGAAGCAGATGTTTTTCTGGCGAGGCGAGAGTCGCGAGACAAGGATAGCTTGGAGAGAAATGCTCTCGTGTCTGGTGAGTCATATTTCTTGTGACTGCATGATTCAAAGCTCAAATGTTAATATTCGACAGTCTTCTTGCGTGTACTTGAGTACTACGAAGGGATACTCATCCTCACTACTAACCGAGTCGGCACGTTTGACGATGCCTTCAAATCGCGTATTCATGTTAGTCTCCACTACCCGCCATTGAAGAAGGCACAGACAATCAAAATCTGGGAAAAGAATCTCATCCGTCTCAAAAAGATTGAGGAAGCGCGCGCCGAGATGACAGGTAATCAGCGCCTGGTCGTCCAAGACCGCGAAATTCTCGCCTATGCCGCACAGCACTACATGGAACACAAAGAGTCTGCTGTCGGTTTATGGAATGGCAGACAGATTCGCAACGCTTTCCAGACTGCGGCAGCCTTGGCTTATCACAATGCGGACGAAAACATCCCCATCCTGTCACCTCAGCTGTTCAGAGATGTTGCCAAGACGACCGACGAGTTTGACCAATATGTCTTCGATTTGAACGGCCAAAAGGACGAAGCGCAGCGGGCCTATGATCGGATGGAACGTGTCGACAATCTGAGGAAGGAGACCGACAAACGAAGCAGAGGTACCCATTTAACGCGGGCCCCGATGACTCCGGTACCCGACCCGCGTGACAGGTTCTTCTCGGACAATGGGCGCCAGAACGTTCGAATCAAGCTCGAGGATAGCGGGTACAAGAGTCGTGAGGGTTTGGTGAACATGACTTCTGAGCATGCAGTGTTGACATCCTCGGCTAGTTCTTCTCAGGTCCTCACCGATACTGCACGCATGACCGAAAGTGTTTATACGTCGTCTGGAGCCGCGATGCACGCATCCTCGCCAAATATTGCTTCGAGGACTACTCGAGTACCAATGAAGAATGATGGTCAACGATATAACGAGATGAATGATACTGAGAACGAGGAGGACGAGGACGAGGATGAAGATGAATAATATTGATCAGTCTTTGGTTCAGACTACATTTCCTTACACACACTCATTGAATGCTGGCGTTTCCTTACACACACTCATTGGATGCTGGCATTTCTTTACACACACTCATTGGATCCTGTGTTTGCACGCTTTCTCCATCCTCAATCTTCCGGACATACATCAACGCCTGAGTTTGATGTTGAGTCTTCTCATACGATCCTCAAGCCTAGAGGCATCATGCGCTTTGCTTCTGCAACATTCCAAATGACACATCGTAACATGAGCCGTTCGCAAACTGCATAATCTCTTGACATCACTGCCGACCATTTTCCTGTCAGTGATTACTTTCACCGAAGCGCAGTATCTGATAAGGATATAGCTGGTCGAATTTCGCATACATGCACGTACGGCCACAGTCAGCTGAAAACTGGGCATCCCGTCCGCTCTGCCATACATAAGCAGTTGAACGGCAGATTAGTACTACGGTGGGTGACCACGTGGGAATCCCTGCTGCTGTACGTTTTTGTTTCTTCTTTTGCTTCATTGAATCTCCGCTCGGAGTACTATGTAATGTTTGTGTGTTGGGGCCCTCACATGAATATGTGATGAAGGATGTAGCAAGAAATAGCTTTGTCATTTTGCGCATTTCTAGAATGTATGTCCTAGTGAGCTAAGACCGTTTTTGAGAAAGTCATCCCTTTTGATCTCGAATGCAGCGTCGACTTTGAGACTGGCGACCAGCGAAGCTCCAGCCCAAGCACCCAACGTCTCTACTCCGCGTACTGCACCCTGTATTGTGGTTCCACGCTTCTGCACCTCGCGCTGTAGTTTCTCAGCAACCTCGTCACGTTCTTGAGGTGTTTCACGAGCTGGGATTTGCTCATCCGATTGAGAGTCAATTGGCTTGTCCCGAGCGATGGCGTCTGGTGGTTTAGTCCTGGTGGGTAGAATTATGTCTTGTTGCCGTGCTGCACGTTGTCTCTTTGCTGTGGCAGAACCGTAGTTCATGACTGGATCCCAGCCTTTCGTGTTGACTATATTTTCAATCTCGCGTAGTAGACGAGGCTTCAAGCCCGGTATGTCGCTTGCGCCACCAGTGATCAGAATGCGAGAAACGCAGATTGCGCGTACGTCAAGAGGGAGTGATAGGAGACATCTATAGGTTAGTAAATGTAGAGGAAGATCGTGGTCATCAATCTGCTCGAGCGGGACCGGTGTTGAGAAGAAAGCCTCCTCAACTGGCTCGGCGAGATCGCTGAAGGAAATTTGTGCTGATGAGTTTCCGATCGGGATAGCGACTTCCTCAGTAGGCTGCTCAGCATTTGGATTGCGACACCACGCCATACGCATGGTTATATCCTCGGCCGTTTTGAAGGAAACTCCATTGGAGCCAGGAGCATGCTTGCGCAAAGTATCGGCCATGTTTTGTGTGAGTAGCTTCGCAGCTCGTGTTGACCTTCTGTGGAGGACTTCTCGGTACTCATATAAGGCAGTGACGGTAGTCTCATGCCAGCCAATATCGATGACCAAGGCGGAGCGTAGACCGGCAGAGACGGCACAGAGGACAGGGGTTCCCCATAACTGGATACTCCCAGGTTGGAAAGCATTGAAGACGACATTCAAAGTGATCGAGACAAGAGGATGTGGCAAAGTTGAGGGAAGGACGAGGAAGACTTTGCGAGGTCGTTGGTCCAGCAGCAGGTAGTTGGTGTGGGCACTCCGTACGGCGCGTTCTATTTTGTCCTCGATCAGACCAAGGTTCATGTTCCGGACGTCCAAGTCCCATAACTCCCAGTCTTTTGCCCAGTCGTTCTCGGATCGTAGAGGAGTGGAGGATGTGGTGAAGTCGTTCAGACGCTTGTTCTGGTCAGGAGCGAAGGGTATGATGCATCTCGGAGCGGAGTCGCCAGCGAAGCCCGCGCGAAAAGATCTTGAGCCAATCTCATAAACCAGACTATCTTCCTCTGCGCGGTATGAAGCGCCAGGCGAGCCGAGTTGAGAGGAGAGGGAGCGTGTCAACAGCGGAGTGTGCGGTGAAGCCGGGGTAGCAGCACCAGGGGGAGCCAGGCCAGATCGAGAGCGATTGTATGACGGCTTGCGCGCAAAGTAGTCCGGAGCAGCCATGGAGGTTTGTTAGATTGACAGAGGCTGAGCCTCGCCGCAGGGAAGAATCGATCAGAATTGGACAATCATTGCTTGCATGTGGCAGCTGTTTGTCGACTTGTGCTTGGACTTTGCTGGAGCTGATGGCGCGCGCTAACGACTCCGACTGCCGAGGAAAAGCCGCCGAAATTTTGGTTCTCGACAAGTTTTGCAACCTGCACCAAGCTTCGGTCTTTGGATTTTTGTAAAGGTCGTCGAGCCAGCAGAAAAAAAGCGTCGCGTCTGCCTTTGGTTTTTCTATTCTTCCGCGACCCTCGACAGTCCTTTCACATCACCAAGAGACGTCTCCGACACGATGACTCTCTTTATCCTCACAGAAACCTCGGCCGGTTATGCGCTGCTCAAGTCCAAGGACAAGAAGCTCTTGAAGCGCACCGATGTCCACGAGGAGGCTGCCACCGCAGAGGGTGCCGCTGGCCTGTACGACCATCTCATCATCCATCCTGCGCTGTGCATGACTAATTCGTCTTCAGGCTCAAGCTCAAGCAGTTCCAGAAGTTCGACAGCGCCGCCGCTGCCCTGGAGGAGGCCGCCGCTCTTACCGATGGCAAGGTTACTCCCATGCTTGCCTCGCTCCTCGACACTCTGAAGGACGAGAAGAAGGTTCAGCTCGCTGTTGCCGACCCCAAGCTCGGTCAATCCATCAGCAAGCTCCCCAAGCTCGACATTGAGTGCATCGCCGATTCATCCACCAACGACATCTACCGTGCCATCCGTGAGCACCTTCCCTCGCTCATCCCCGGTCTCATGCCCGATGACATTTCCACCATGTCCCTCGGTCTGTCGCATTCGCTCTCGCGTCACAAGCTCAAGTTCTCCCCCGACAAGGTCGACACCATGATCATCCAGGCCATTGCCCTTCTTGACGACCTGGACAAGGAGTTGAACACCTACGCCATGCGCGTCAAGGAATGGTACGGCTGGCACTTCCCCGAGATGGCCAAGATCATCAACGACAACCTCGCTTTCGCCCGTGTTATCCTGGCCATGGGTGTTCGTACCAACGCTGCCAACACTGACCTCTCCGACGTCCTCCCCGAGGAGATCGAGGGCGCCGTCAAGGCCGCCGCTGAGGTTTCCATGGGTACCGAGATTACTGAGGAGGATTTGGAGAACATCCAGGCTCTTGCTGAGCAGGTTGTTGGCTTCACCGAGTACAGACAGCAGCTTTCGTCATACCTCACTGCCCGTATGCAGGCAATCGCCCCTAACCTTACCGCTCTCGTCGGTGAGCTTGTTGGTGCTCGTCTGATCGCCCACTCTGGTTCGCTCCTCAACTTGGCCAAGTCTCCCGCCTCGACCATCCAGATTCTCGGTGCCGAGAAGGCCCTTTTCAGAGCTCTCAAGACCAAGCACGACACACCCAAGTACGGTCTTATCTACCACGCTTCCCTGATCGGCCAGGCAACTGGCAAGAACAAGGGTAAGATTGCCCGCATGCTCGCCACCAAGGCTGCCCTTGGTCTCCGTGTCGATGCTCTTTCCGACTGGGGAACTTCTGGTGAGGGTGACAAGCCCGAGCCCACCGAGGAGGAGAAGATGGCTGTTGGTGTTCAGGGCAGACTTTTGGTCGAGAGAAGATTGAGAGGTCTCGAGGGCAAGCCCATTCGCAGCACTGCTTCTGGTGTCGCACCTAACGGTCAAGCCCAGCCCGCCAAGTGGGAGGTCAAGGAGGCCCGCAAGTACAACGCTGATGCTGACGGTATTTCCGCCAACGCTCCCGCCGCTACCGAGGACGCCGAGATGGAGGATGTTACCGAGGCTGGCGCCGAGGCCTCCAGCGACGAGGAAGAGATGACCAAGGAGGAGAAGAAGGCAGCAAAGGCCGCAAAGAAGGCCGCCAAGGAGGCAAAGAAGGCCGAGAAGGAAGCCAAGAAGGCCGCCGAAGCAGCTGGCAAATCCTCCAAGAAGAGAAAGCACGACGAAGATGAGGACAAGACAGAAAAGAAGAAGAAGAAGAAGAGCAAGGACTAGAGTGTCGATACTCGCAGATCTCTTATCCTCTTTTCTGTTGCCATTTATGTTTGCATGTGGGCGCCATTGTCATGGTCGGAGTACTGGAGTCGCTGGTCGTGGGGTCTAAAAGAGCGGTTTCTTGAATTTGTTCCTGTCCAAAAGGGTTCTTTGGTTTCTTTCGTACGAGACTGGCGGAGGCGTTTCTACATATTACTTGATCGAACCGATAACCTCTGTACAAGCTGTATCATCATGCTCCCTGCACATGATACGACGTTTATTCTTCATACCGCTCTTTCCTCAACCTATCTCACGATGACGCAGAAACCAGGCACTCCTGCCTTCAACTGTCATCAGCTTCTTCCCGTGATGCGCTGCACAATGTTTTGTTATTCTGACGCGAAGTTCAAAGCGCACATGATATCAATAACCGAGACTTTACCGTACCTTCCTGTTGATCATCTGGTAGATCGCCTGTCAACAATGTCCCGACTATTCGAACTCTCCGACTTCAAAGCGGACAAGAGTCAAATTCGGTAAGCTGTTACTGGTTGACACGTTCCGTACGATAACTTGTCAGGTACACGCAAGCGCTTGCGACAGGGTAATAACTACCTCAGAGACATACTCATTGACTTGCAACATCCTAGCTCGACGGATATCACAAATCATTCCACGGCACGAGCTGACCTGCCAGGTTATCCATCCTTCGTACAACCCAGGCTTGAATTCATGACTGACCGCACGTCCGCTGCCGTCTCACCCGTGACACGCAACCTATTCCCCCTTCAGTTCTGGAATCGGCAAAGAACGTGGGCAGTAAGCCTATTGTCGCACAACATGATTCTCTTTTGGTCCTCCGGCGTTGGTGCTCGCACACAACATTTCAAATAGAAGAAGAATCATCATTTCTTCTTCCTGCCCTCGGGATTTTGATTCGATCATCTTCATGAAGAACAAGATTCTTGGCAGTACTTTCATTGGGCAAACACCATGTCCAGGTTCCGACTGGGTGGCTCGTTCTTATCGAATGCCACCGCTTGCTGAATCAGTGGCATGGTGGCGTCAGCCTCCCATCTCTTTGGTGAACCCTGCAGATAGGCGCCTACTTTCTTCTGGGTACGACATGGGTGGCTACACAACCTCGGCGGGTTCATACATGTACTGAATAGTGTCTCTGGTATCTCGCTGGGCAACACCGCCAGACTAGACATCACAACACCGCTACTCGAGTCTTACTCTTTTCCCGTAGCGATGCAGTTGGACCAGTATACTTTCTACAACCTTTTGCGCTTTCTGAGGCCTTGCTTGACTGCTTTGATCTCAGCTACCTGGAGAAACCATATTCGGATTCACAAAATTTCTGTCGCCTACCATACATTGCTACCTCACGCCTCGTTGCAACTACTCTGCAAGCTGGACTGAGTCTGACCACAAGGTCATGTCCTTAGGATGGGAACCATAAGCTACGCTCAGGTTCCTCCAACAGCAGCAACAATAGCACTCAACGCATACATATATGGATTCGGAGGACATTCATTGGTGACGCCGCACGCAGCCCTTAAACAACTATGGTGGACGGAAGATCGCATTGACAACAAGGTCACAAGAAAGTTTGTCGTATCACAGATCAAGGGAGAAGAGCGAGACTTCTTGGACAGACCGCTCGCATTCGGCGAGGGATTGACAGATGACACCTACATGGAGTGGATTCTGGGTAGAGCAAGGCGGTTGTTTCTCATCCTGGCAGAAATTGGCGAACCGGAGCAGATCTTCGGTTTGATAGACGACTCCCTGGACGATGACGACCTACCATTCTCTCTGGAAAGTATTGTCGACATGGACCTTTGCGTCGAACCGGACGAGCGAATGAACAGAAAATTCTACGCTACTCAATTCTTGTACCTCCTGCGGCAATTGAAGCAAGGAGGCCATATTGACTATGGACCTCAAGAACACATACCTATGGAGTATGTACACAAGATACCGCCGGCTGTCTCGCTTCAGAGCTGGGATAGGATACACTTCCCCAAGGATCATGAGCAAGTCTTCGTCAGGCGCAAGTTCATCTTCGGAGGTGCAGACGACAAGGATGAGTTGAGAGAGATGTTTACCCAAGATCTTGCTCAAGCACAAATGCTGAACCATCCTCATGTTGCCCGCGTATGGGCATCATATACTGCTGGAGACGCTGGCTACGTTCTTTCCGACTTTGTACCAGAACATACATTGGCATCGTTCATCGCTCACCGCACGCCCTATCAGTTCATGCGCGTACCCCAGATCGAACGACCCGTCATTCTACTCGAGTGGATGCACTGCCTAGTTGACGCGCTCGCTATGTTGCATCATCGTGGTGTTCAGCACGGCGCAATACGACCATCCAATATCCTCGTGGATCATGATAACTGCATCGCGTTCTCTGATGTAGGAACGCTTCGTACATTCCAGCGTGGCAAGAAGTCTGTAAAGAACGAGACCACAGGCTACTCAGCGCCTGAAACAAACCCGGAGGAGAAGGTCCGCGGTGTCCACTTTGCCGACACGTTGAGCAGTCCGATTGATGTCAAGCGAGGCTCTAACGACAGCATCTTTAGTGGCTCTTCATTGTTCCCTTCGAGTCCACCGAAGATCTCAAGTCCAGTACTCATTCACAATTCGAGTCCCATGGTGGACAGCCCGATGAACAGCTTCAATGACCCGACTTTGCCATCACCAATACCTCTGTTTCGCAACTTTAGTAGACATTTACCTCCTCCACCAACATTTGCATCTGCGAGTATATGGTCATCGTCCTCGGCAAGAACTCGACGTCTTTTCCGCAGGTCCAACAGCCCACCGGCATCACCAAGCAGTTCACCTTCAGATGAAGGACAAAGCTTCTTCCCTCCTCAAGATCCAGCTCCAGCTTACCCTGTACCGATCCGGGCAGACAAGAGGCCATCGTGGGCTTCTTGGTGTACGACACCCTGTCCAACATCCAGCACATCTTCCGATCCATCTAGCCTGCTATCTGAGCTCTTGAATGAGCCACTCACCATGCCACGACCTCTTTTCATACGCAAAACCGCATCACAACGATCCCTCAACAGTAATCTCCATATCGTTACTGAGCGGCCGGACACAGGTTTCGAAAGCGACGTCTTCTCATTGGGCTGCGTCTATCTCGATCTAGTCACATACATTGTCAAAGGCAAACTTTCAGACCTGCAGAAGTTCAGAGCGCAGGCGAAGGCGCCTTTACCTACAGATACAGCGACCCTGCATACTTGGCTCGCCCACCTCGCTTCCGATGCTATCAGACTTTCACCTACTGTACCTGTTCTGTCAGCTTTAGTACCTATACTAGGCGTAGTCAGGGACATGCTTTTGCCAGAGCCCAGCCAACGGCCCACTGCTCTCATGATCCGCGATCGCATAGCCGCAGCACTCGAACAAGCAAATCTGCATTCTATCTGCTGCAAAGACCGGAGTTGGGATCCAGAGCTGGCCTCTGAACAAAGACCCAGACTCTCCACCCGACGACCTCCCAAAGTCCCAGGAGACGACTCGATAACCACGAGCCTAGAGTCCGTGGTCTCGGAGAGCAGTGCTGAAGGTGGTGGTGAATATGTAACCGATGGTCCTGGAGTGCAGATGAGAAGAAGTTTGAGCGTCGGCTCTGGCGTTATGGAGAAAAACGGAGGTAATAGTAGGATGAAGAAATTGGGGTTGGGATGGATGAGGAAGCCACATGCTAAAGGCTTCTAGTATGTGCTCTGATAATAATGATTCTCATGTCTTACTGTGTTTTGTTTTCGGCGTTCAGGGGGGTCCTCTAGATCTGTATGGCAGGGATCGGTAATTGGATTAGTATGATACCACAACGCGATAATGAATATGCAGTAATGAAGAATGGCACATGAATCACCCAATTTGTATGATTGACTGTTCGTGTTCACTGTCTTTGATGAACAAGCACCAACTCGGGTGATGATGCTCTGGCAGTATGGTAGTCAAGCATTGTCTAAGCTCAAGACTTCCATCTAGATCATCCTAGCCGTTGCGCACTAGTAAAGCGTCGACGCATGCTAATATCCATCAGATACTCATACCTTTGACATCATAACTCATTGTAAGTGAAAGAATGATGTGTTCGTCGTTGATATAACATGGTAAATCAAGGTCAGGGTGATACCCATAGCGAAAAAGTGTTGGGGGTGACAAAGACAAGTCGGAAATCCGACAGAAGGCAAGCATGCAACATCTACACGCTCGAGCATACTTGATCAGAAGCCAAAGATAGACCATTCGAAGATAGAAAAACAAAGAAATCGACTGGGTATTAAATGCTATCGTTAAAAAAAAAGAAAAGGTATGTCTATAATAAAGAGGTAAAAGGAAATGAAGAAAAAAGCAAAACCGGACGCCATGATGTATGCAAAACCACCCCTTCCCGGCATCGATGGAAGAGAGATGCTCCGAATTTGATGGTCAGATCAATACACACTTCCCCTGATACTTTTGTCTTCAATCTCCTGTAATTTCAACTGCTCGATGATTTCACTGGGCTCGTTCATCGGCACGATGTTGTCGCCTTCTTGCTCGTCATCTCCATCGGCATCATCATGCTCGTTGTACTCATCTCCTAGAGGGTCGGCGCGGGCACCACTGCCCATGCCGCTCTCGCGCATCCAGGTATGTAGATCTTTTGCTGTGGGGCGACCTTTGAGGGGGCGTTTTGAACTTGCGCCGGTGGGGTTGTTGGGGTTTGCGTCGGAGAGATTGCGGTGGTGGTGGTGGTCGTGTTGGAGGCGGGCGAAGTAGTCGCTTTCGGTGCCCGAGACGTCGGAGAAACCTTCTGCTGGGGTAGCCATGCCAGAGAGAGAACCGCCGCCATCGCGACCTTGGATGAAGGATGGGCGGGAGGAAGGCAGGCGGAGGGAGATGGGTGAATTGGGCTCGGTTGTGCTTGCTGTACTGGGAGCTCTGAGGGGTGTGGAAAGCAGAGGTACTTCTTGAGTGGCGATGGGGTGGTCTTCTTGTTCTTGGTCGGGGACTTGGGCCTTGGTGGTGAGTTCGTCTTGTTTCTTGACGCGGCGTGGATATTTGGAGTGTTGGTGTGTGCAGCCGCCGACACAACCGCCCCATTTGCGGGAGGGGATTGCTGGGGAGGCGACTTGAGAAGCAGTGACTTGGGCGTTGTGTTGGGGTATGGCTCGTCTCTTATACTCGGACCATGTCCGCATCTGGTTTTGTAGGACGTACTTGCCGCTGTCGAGGTTCTTCTGCATGATGACAAACTCGCAGTGGTTGACGTTGCGGAGATCCTCAAAGTACTCGACAGACCAGTGATACCACTTCATCAGGAAGACTCTTGTCATCAAGCCATGGGTGACCAGGACGCAGACTGAGGGAAAGTCGTCTTCGTTGAAGTTACGCCACAAGCTCTCGTTGAAGCCACTGACACGGTCGTATGCATCGGCAGCACTCTCTCCGTTGGGGATACGATAGAAGAAGTGGCCATAGTCGGCACGCTCTTGCCACATGCGTTCCATCTCTGTACTGCATGGCTGGAAGTTTCCAAAATCTTGTTCTCTCAAACGCGGCTCTTCAAAGACCTTGATGGTATGGCGTGGGAATGGCGATGGTCCTTCTTCTTCTGTTTCGGACGTCAAAGACGACAGAATGCCTTCGGTGGTCTCGCGAGTACGGCGGTAGGGAGAGGTGAAGAATTGGATCGTGTCGTCTGGTTTCAGCATGCCTCGTAGTCGTCGGCCTGCTTCTTCTGCCTGTGGTCGTGTGAGCTATTCGTTGGTTGCCAAAAGCTATCAGATCAACAAACCTGCTTCCAGCCATCCTCAGTCAGCTTCACACGATGATCAGGAATCATCTGATGGATGTCGCGATTCTTGTTTCCTTCGCTTTGCGCATGGCGAATCACAATGATCATCTACTATCAGTTAGCCGCCCTCTCCTCAACACAGCACTTGCTTCACACCTACTCGTGGTTTGCCCATCTTGCCGTATTACTGTCCAATATCACAAGATTATTCAAAAGGCAAAAGTTAAAGCCGCGTCTTTGTTATATATCTTGGTTGTGTTGATTGTCCGGATGGGGCGCGAATGTTTACTGCCGCTCTATGTTTACTGCCGCTCTCGCATGACGTACCCTGACCCCGAAGGCGGTGAGAGGCATCAGCATCAAGACATGTCTTCTCATTGGCTGAAGCGTCTCACTCCTTCCTTTCTGTCTTCCTTTCACCACAGCTCGTCTCAACCGGCCTCAACCCGTCTCAACTCACGATTTTAAGCCTACCGGAAAGCACCTGATAATCTGTCTCGCCGTGCAATCAGCCTATGTCTGTCGCGTGTCTTGTCAAGCCTTTGTTGCTGCCTCCAACTGCCTTGCTACACGCCCGCACAACTATGCATTAGGTAGGCCGTCAGTGAATCATGAGTCACTTTGCAATCCGGATCACCATGCTACCGCACCGTATTGTTTCTTCTTACATCCTGCGTCTCTGACTAAGTTTGTCTATCTTGAGATCCCTGCAATCGAGTCACACATCCCTCAGGATGAGTCTCGTTTTACTAGGATGAAGCCTAGCAAATCAAATCCGAACACTTTCAACAGCTTCCAGAACATCTTTGAACTGGACACTGCTACTGAACACACCATCATGTCTTTGGTCAAGCCTGCAGGTCTTATGGATCTGCCTCCAGAGGTCAGACAGATCATATATCGACACACCTTTACGACAGAACGTGCCCGCGAGAGAGAACAGAAGCTTCCGCACCCACTAATGGCTGTCTGTAAGAACTTGCGCCACGAGTCTCTGCAAATTCAAATGTCAAGAAGATCGCTGAAGAGTTGGAACGTATCACTCTTCGCGCGGTCGTGCTTGGAGAAACAGAGAAGAAGACACGATGTCATCTCGAGGCTATACAAGGTATAAGCAGGGCCGCAAATGACTATCGCAAAAGAGTGAGCTTGATGAAGATGGCTTATGTATCCTCCAACTGAAAGGACGCGCGGCTGCTCCAAGACTTGCAGAATCTATTGCGGAAGCAGGAACCCAACGATCCGAAGAGTACTTGGAAGCGTACATCATAACTACAAGAACACAACGAGAAATCTCGAATGCACATCAGATGTTCGTTGAGGAGTCTCTATACTGGAAAAGCGGTGTACTATCCAGGGCTGTTTTTCTGCCGAGGCAACTGTCTAAACGGTCATATAAGGCGCTTCTATACCCTGCTAGCAACATGAACAAAATCTAACCATCACCTAAGGCTAGTTTTGTTTACATCCCGAGATTCCGCTTCGACCAATCATTGGGTCTAGAGATAAAGCGTGCCTCGCTAAGCAAAACCCAAGCTTCTTGAAGCTTAAGTTGGTAACCCACGTGTTTGCTTCCTCATCATACGAGACGACGACGACCACCAAGACGTGATCGTTTTACTCTACACTCATGCAAGTAGTATCTGTAGCACAAATTTCGCAAGGTAGGCCTAGAAAGGTAGGTGGCATCGGCCGCCTTTCAGTCTTGTGATACATAATCAAGGGCGGCGACCGTGAAGATGGAGTTTGCATCCTCAATCACGACAACTACAGTTTGCTACCTCTTGTAGTCTGAGGTGATAAACTATGGCATCAGTTTCGACCCTCATTCAAATACTGCCTCTTGTGGCTGGCTTTGCACTTGCCGCCGACTACCCAGGTATCCCTAAGGATCTAACAACTCCTGTGCAACAACGCGTTGCATTCAAGGGACCTAACGGTATGCTTCAGACATGAATCTTATTGCTTGGAACTCTTTGCTAAATTGATTGAAGCAATCTCCGTCGCCTGGAACACTTACCAAAAGTTGAATGAGGGCTGTGTTCAGTATGGCAAATCTGCAAACAGTTTGACCTCTCAAGCATGTTCCACCCAGTCTCTGACCTATGGAACTTCTCGTACTTGGGCCAATACAGTCGTGCTCTCTGGACTTGATGCTGCGACTACGTATTACTACAAGATCAACTCGACAAACTCGACTGTCAATCAATTCATGACTGCTCGCACTCCTGGAGATAAGACAGCCTTCAACTTGGACGTTGTGGTTGATGTGAGTTGACACAGCCCCTGATCATGTCCTGTAAATTATACTGACCCATCTTCTTTCCCAGCTCGGCGTGTATGGCGCAGATGGCTATACCACCTCTCGCAAACGCGATATCCCCTATGTCCAGCCCGCCTTGAACCACACCACCATCGCCGCCCTTGCTCGTACCATCGATAACTATGACTTTGTGATCCACCCCGGCGACTTCGCCTACGCAGATGACTGGTACCTCAAGCCCAAGAACCTGCTCGACGGCAAGAACGCCTATGCCGCCATCCTCGAAAACTTCTACGACCAACTCGCCCCCATCGCAGATAGAAAACCCTACATGGTATCGCCAGGAAACCATGAAGCTGCGTGTACCGAAATTCCCTTCAGCAGTGGATTGTGTCCTGAGGGTCAGAAGAACTTTACGGATTTCTTGACGAGGTTTAACGGGCAGATGCCTACTTCATTTGCTTCGTCGTCAAAGAATGTCACTGCACAAGCAGCGGCTAAGAAAGCTCAAGCCCTGGCAAACCCTCCCTTCTGGTATTCCTTCGAATACGGAATGGCGCATATAGTCATGATAGACACCGAGACCGACTTCCCCTCCGCCCCGGACGCAGCAGGCGGCAGCGCAAACCTCGGCGGCGGTCCCTTTGGCAAAACACCCACCCAACAGCTGGACTTCCTAGACGCCGATTTGAGCTCCGTCGACCGCACAGTCACACCCTGGGTCATCGTAGCAGGCCACCGCCCCTGGTATTCTACCGGCGACTCCAAAAACATCTGCACACCCTGCCAAAAAGCCTTCGAACCCCTCTTCTACAAATACGGCGTCGATCTCGGTGTATTCGGCCACGTGCACAATTCCCAACGCTTCAATCCTGTATACAACAATATTGCCGATACAGCTGGACTCAAGAATCCCAAAGCGCCTGCATATATCATCGCGGGAGGTGCTGGAAATATCGAGGGATTGAGTGATGTGGGTGCTAATTTCTCGACCAATGTTTTTGCGTATGGGGATGAGTTTAGTTATGCGACGTTGAAGTTCAAGGATGCGAAGAATTTGCAAATCGACTTTTTGAGGTCGGATACTGGTGAGGTTTTGGATTCGAGTGTGGTTTACAAGGAGCATGCTGTTGCGTTTGTCAGGAACTGAGCGGGAGATTTGGGATGTTGGAGAGTATAGTGGGATATACAATCTGGAAACAGAAAGCACAGTCATTCAATCTTAGTCTCTTACGAGTCGTGTTTGGCAGTGCACGCTTCTGGAGTTTTCGTGATGATTGTGGATTGCACCTTGTCTGTTTCTCAGACATGTTCTTCTTCTTCCAGTGGGATGTTCATGTTTGATCGCTCCTGCTTTGTCAATCTCATCATCATCTCCTGTTCATTCGCTGCTTCTAGTGCATCCTGCCATCCTCTCTTATTTCCTTCTATTGCTAGTCTATAGATCCGTGGTTAAGAGGTAGCAGATTGGAGGGCCATAGAGGGATAGCCATCTGTAAATGTACTCAGTACCAGAAACATCTACGCGCTAGGCACCTCAGAATATCAAAAGAGCTTGTTTGACTAGAGACTGGGAGTATCTCGTAGTTCATTAGATTGCAAGTATATGAGCAACGGAGTGTTTTAAAATCTAATTCATACAGGTATAATGTTCCCTATCTATTAACAATGCAAGATGATATCATAACTACATTTGGTACAACCAGCAAGGACTTTTTCGCCTAGCGTAACCCGTCGAATGGAATGAAGTAAGGAAAGAAAGTACCAGACTCCTCAAGCCTGGTAGCTTAGAAGAAAATGGCGTTCATGAGAGGGCCAGCTTAGATGAGGGCAGCAAGGCCGAGAAGAGCGAGACCAAAGTTGGTAGCGGTTCCAGCAACGGCAGCACCGGAAGAAGTGGCTGCTGCAGAGGATGCAGAGGAGGCAGCCGATGAAGCGGAGCGAGAAGCAGATGCGGCCGAAGATGTAGCAGATCTGGATGCAGATGAAGCGGCAGAGGATGCCGAGGACGAAGCAGATGAAGCAGCAGAAGATTGGCTAGAGGCGGCGCTCGACATAGATGAGGAGGCGCTGCTTGCGGCAGAAGAGGCGGCTGAGGCGCTTGATGTCAGACTCGATGAAAGAGAAGATGCAGCTGCTGAAGATACAGAGGATGAGACGGAAGATGAGACAGATGAGGCGGATGCAAGGGAAGAAGAAACAGAGGAAGACTGCGATGCAGACGACTGAGAAGCAGATGACTGCGAAACAGAAGATTGCGAAGCAGTGGCAGCTGCTGCCGATGAGGCTGCTACAAGATGGCTCGTCATTACGAGCCTTTCACGAGAAAAGATTCAAAAAACTGATAGACTTACAGCTTCCGAGGATAGTAGATCCAGATTGGATGGCGGTGGCAGAAACACCCGAAGCAGTGGAGGTACCCTGACCGTCACAGTTGGCACCAATGGGGCAGCAGCGGTCGGCGCTGGCGCAGTAGTTGCCGGAAGCGCAGACCTGACCGGCCTGACCACAGCAGATGTAGGCAGTGGGGTCGTAGCATCCAGAACCGCAGACGGACTCTCCGTTAGAGCAGGTGGCACCGGTCGATTGACGAGCGAAAAGAGCGGGAGTGGAGTTGGCAGCCATGGCGGCGGTGGCAGAAGCCAGGACAAAGATAGCGGAGAACTTCATAATTGCGGTTGATTTATTGTTGGTAGGGTGAAAGATTGGTGTGTTTGAAGATGAGTCGATTGAATTGGCGATGTGAAAAGAGGAAGAGAAAAGAGGGAGGAAGCAGGTACGAGAAGTAGCTCCTAGTAATATACTTACTACGCAGCGACGATCGATGTCAGCCTTTCGGGTGTGCCTGCATAATTTAACCCCAGCAACCAGCCATTTTTGCTAGGCCGCCTCAATTTCTATTCTTATCAGAGCTTGTTGTTAGGGACTCGTAGGAACACCGGCCAAGACTCCTGGGCTAGCGTGTTGGATGCTGTTGTTGAAAAGCATGAGCATGCTTGGGCCCTGCCAGAAAAGACGTGAAAAACAGGTGGTGGTTGCAGTGGGGCCCTAAAAAGTACGAGCCGTATCCGAGCACGAGCGAAAGTGACCTAAGAAAAGCACCTCGACGTCATTTGCTTGCGACAACTCCTTGGGAAGGCTGGAAAAGCAGGAGTTAAACACTGCATCATGGATAGGAGAGAACCGTTCCGCAACATGTCAAAAGATAAGAGATATTAACGTAGAAGAACCAAAGATAAACAGTCGAAACATAGAAAAGTCGTCTGTGTTTCAGAATTTCAAGGATTTGTTATTGTTTGGGTGAGAGACAGAAAATTGATCGACCGTGTTCCTGATCAACGAAGGAGCGATCGACCGTGTTCCTTGCACAGCCCTGTGTGCCTGCCAAAATTCTCTGGGCTTCTCCAACTTTTTCTTGCTTCGGTACGGAAGCGGGCGGCTTGCAGAAACTCACACACGCCTCTTCCTGCACAAGTCAACCGGGTATCCCCGCCGAGCCTTGGTGAATGTTTTGTTTGATCGTCAAGGCCCGAGAAATTTTGAAGGAAATAGTGGGAAAGTGATGGTCGTCGCCTGAAAGGTGAAAATCACATCGGGATGAGAGAGCGCGCGCGCGGAGGATGTGCAGGTTTGATCGAGATCATGCGAAAATCATATTCTACGAATTCATTCTCCATATCAACAATATACTATTCTATTTACAAGAAGCTGCAAAACACATTTTTTGAACAAGCGACAGATTGCTGCATCTAGTAGACCTCGAGAACGTATCTCTCCTCGTCCTTGAGCTGGTCAATGACCTTGCGCGAGTCGACCTTCTTGCCGGCCTCCTTGGCCTCGACCTCGATGGCCTCCTCGAGGACGTTGGTGACATCTGGCACGGGCCAAGTAGGACCACAGAGGTAGAAGGCACCCTCCTCGCGGAGGTAAGCCTGGCGGATCTCCTTCAGGGTCTCACGCATGCGGTCCTGAATGTAGATCTTCTCGGGCTGATCACGAGAGAAGGCACAACCCATGTGGGTAATGATGCCGGCATCCTTGTAGGCTTCCCATTCCTCACCGTACAAGTATTCCTCCTTCTGGTGACGAGAACCCATGTAAAGCATGACAGCACCGATGTCCATGCCCTGCTCCTTCTGCCAGGCACGCTCCTGGACAAAGGCGCGGAAGGGAGCAAGACCCGTACCGAGACCAGCCATGATGATAGGAGCGGTGGACTTGTGGGGGAGCTTCATGACCGAGGGCTTGACAGAGACAGTGACGGTCTTGCCAACCTCAAGAGCATTGAGGTAGCGAGTAGCCTGACCGAAGCGGTCACGACCCTTGGGGTCTACCCAGTTGACAGTGACGATACAGAGAGTGACACTGTTGGGAGTGACTCTCTGCGAAGAGGCGATAGAGTACTCACGACGCTTCATAGGAGCAACGAGACGAGCGATGTCGTGGAACGAAGGGTGAGCAGAAGGGAATTCAAGCAGGAGGTCGGCGTAGGTGACAGTGTCAACCTCGGCACGACGCTTGAAGTCAACTTGAGCCTCCTGGTTACCGCCGGTACCGAGAAGGAGAAGTTGAGTCTTCTCAGCCTCATCAGAGGCATACTCGGAAAGAGCTTCGTAGAAACGCTTGGGAGGACGTCCGAAGATATCGACGTTCTGCAGAAGAGCTTGGTAGACAGTGCGGTTCTCCAAAACCTGAGCATCCTCACGGGAAGGAACCTCGACAACCTCCTCAGGGTTGAGGCCGTACCACTTGATGAACTCCTCGACCTCGACCTTGTCGTTCTCGGCATGGATACCGAGAGCCTCACCGATGGCGTAGGTAAGACCGGTCTCACCAAGGTCGAACTCGATGTGGAAGATGTTACGGTCGTAAGTCCTAGGAGTAAGACGACGGCGCTCCTTGACGGTAACGACGGCAGTCTTGACGCTGAGGTCAGGACGCAGAGCATTCTGAGTACCGTAAGCCTCCTTGAATGCAAGACCCTTGGCAACCTTCTCCCAATCTCTAAGCAGGTACTCCTCCTCGGGCTCCTCCTTGTCGAACTTGATGAAGCTGTTAATGTTCAGATCCTCAGGCATGAGCGGGGGCTGGTTGGCCTCGGGGTCAACAGTGAGCCAAGACTCGGGAACCTCGACCTTGCGGACGACCTCATCGAGCTCCTTGGAGAGGGCCTCGAGAGCATCGTTGCCACCAGCAAGCTTCTTGACGCCAGTCTCGTAGAGGTCGTTGCGAGCAATCTTAAGGAAAGCGAGCTGCACAAGGTAGCTCTCCAATTCAGGCTGCTCCTCAACCTTGGCAGAAGCGGCAGTGTCGATAGCGAAGAGCTGAATCTTCTTGGAGGCAAGAGCCTTGCGAACCTCGGTAGAGAGGCTCTTCTCGATTTCATCATCTTTGACGCCAGAAAGCTTGAGAATGACAGTGGCCTCATCCTTGACGGACTTGAGAACGTCGAAGCTCTTCAGCAGACTAGGGTCATTGACGACAGCGACGTCAGCGGAGCTGACTGAGTAAGCAGCCTCAATAGACTTAGCCGAAGTTCTGATATCAGTGCGGATGGCACCACCAGCAACGAGGTTGTCATGGCCGCTGCGAACGCTAACATTGAGCTTAGAGTCACCAGAAAGAAGCTGGCCAACCATGATGGGAGCAGAGGCAGCATTGGAGCTGTCAACGTCCCAGAAGGTGTACTGTTGCAGGCCGCCAGTGGGAAGCTCGAAACGCTCTTCGTCAGAAGGTGCGTGGTCGATCTTCTGACCAATCTGCTGCAGAAGGCCAGCAACAGAGGTGGGAGTCCAAACCTGCTCTCTGGCGTACTTGATGTCAAAGACAGCGGGAGTCTTGTTGAGGGTAGCGAAGCTGAGGGCAGCAAGAACGTCACTGTAGAGGTTGGAGTGCTCGGTCTCGTCGGTGACGGCAGACTGGTCAAGGACCTGGCCAAGAACAGCAATGTTCTGAACGGAAGGAGCAAGGACCTCGAGGAACTCCTCCTCGACGAAGGGGCGGTACACACGGACGTTGATAACGCCAATCTTGACACCCTTCTCGGAGAGAGCGCGGGCAATCTGGGAAGCCAGAGAAGCCTCGACGGTACCGAAAACGACAAGAACGGATTCAGGCTCAGCGTGACCCGAGTATTCGAACAGCTTGTACTCGGTACCGAGCTCGTTGTTGAAGGCCTTCAAGAGACGGCTGACTCTGCCCTCGTTGTCAGAGTGCTTCTTCTCGGTCAAGGATGAGTCGCCGAGAATGGCGTCGTAAGTCTTCTTCAAGCCAGACTTGTCGAGAACATCAATGATTCTGGTGGTCTCTCTGCCAACGGTGATACCGTCGTAGACGTGGAGAGAAGGAACGATGGATGCCATCAGGGTAGCGAAGAGCGACATGTGCTGCATCTCGTAAGTGGAAGCGCTGGCAACCAGACCGAGGCCGAGTTCCTCGGCGAGACGAAGGGCCGAGACGTAGTCGGTGACAAGACCAGTGGAAGAGTTGGCGGCATAGTCGACAGCGGCGACGTGAGCAACGGTTGGGTTAGCAACGTTGTAGAGCAGGGCCAATTGATCGAGGGCGGAACGCAAGTGGACCAGACTGCCAGACGAGGCGACGATGGACTGAGGAATGTGACGCTTCTTCAGATCAAAGTCCTTGGAGAACATGTAACCAAGAGCGATTGAACCAGCACCGGAGCGAGTCTCCATGGAAGCGAGGCCGGTCTTGTAGCCGTGAGCGTTCTGCTCACCGGCGCTTTCCCAGCTCTTTGCGGCGACATCGAGGTCGAAGGTCTCGGGTGAGTACGAGAAGATCTTGTCCGAGAGGGTGTATGCGACCTGCTGAACCAGAGTCTGAGCAGTCAGGTAGGTAGGACCGCTAATATCACCAAGGGCGATGTTCTGGCCAAAAGGCAGACTCGACGATTGTTGCTCGGAAGCCGACATGTTTCGTATTTTGTGGAGGGGTTAAAGATGCGGCGTGGAAGAATAAATCGGCTGCAACAACAATGCCGCTGTAAGAGAACAATCAAAAGCCCTGGCTAACTGCACAGAGTGACTCCAACTAACTAACAAACAGCGAGTGGAAAGGGGAATGAAGAACGAACGGCGACGAGGCGAACGACACGGGAAAAAAGTCGATGTCGCGAACAATCAAATGGTCAAGACTCTGCCGATGGCGACGGCTCAAACGCCGGCAGAAGCACGCCATCCGCTTACCCATCCACGCCGCTGCCGATTGCGGAGTCGTTTGTGGTCAGCATCTCCGGAATCTAATCTTATCATCTGACCGCTTCGTCTTCTCGCTTCTGTCACACAAAGAACATCTCTCTTCTCAACCGACACACTTGTCTATTACAATAATTCTGCCTCGATAACACTCTCTGCGACGCCTGGATAGTCGTAGATGCGCACAAATCTCAAGCCTGCCTTGGCGATAATCGCCTTCCACTCCACTTCGGTTCTCTCGCGCACGCCCATATGTGCCATCATCATCATGTCCATCGAAGTGGCCGCAATCATTGGGTTTTCTTCTGAAAGCACAATCTCGTTAAGCAGCACTCGAGAGTACCCAGCCTTGAGTGCAGGCTTCAGATTCTCCAAGATTCTGATACCTGCCTCATCATCCCAGTCGTGAAGGATTGAATGGAGCAGATACGCCCTTGCTGCCTGTATTGGTTGAGGTGTGAAGAAGTCGTGAGCCTCACATCCGAACGGAAGTGCTTCCTTGTCCTGGATGCTGGTGATGACTGCCTCACGGTCTTGCAAAACAAGCTTGCCCGGGTGGGCGTATTGAGCCGAAAATGAAAGGGTATCGTGACCACGACCACCACCAACATCTACGAGAAGCACCTCGTTAATGCTAGGATCGAACCCCTGGATCAGCTGCTCTTCTACTGGATAGAAGCCTGGACTACACCAGTCTGCTTTGCCAGCCCGATACGCCGACATGAAAGCATCGAATTCTTCGAGGTGTGGAGGCGTGGCAACAAGCCAATCAAAGAAAGGTAGATCAGTGCCATGAGCCGCCTGGAGAGGTCCATTGGTGAAGGTTATACGTGGTCTGTAGCCAGCCTTCTTGAAGTGTTCAGGGAAGACATTGAAGGCTGGTCGGGCCACGTCGTAGCAGAAGTCGATGCTTTGCTGGTAATTGTCGGCTGCAAGCCCATGGCTTAATGCTGTGCCGAAGAATCTACCTTTGAAGAATGTGATCATCTTCATGGCGATGAGATGGCGCATTATGCGTTCGAGCAACAGCACGTCGGTCCCAGTCTTCTCAGCCAACTCTTCTGAACCGACGCCATCATCGCCGGCATCTCTCAGATGCTGGAACAACTTGACTTGTACAGCATATTTGCAGTGTGCTGACAATGCTGACTGGAATTCGTCAGTAACAAAACAGGCCCGTAGAGCAATTTCTCCACACATACCTCTGCCCAAGAGCTCCTTTGTAAGAATTCGCTGGGAATTTCTAGCGTGGCTATCAAATCCCTGCTCAGTTCAATCAGGGATTCGCGAGAGCCAATTTGCTTGCTCTCGTAGGCCGTTCCTGCAGCAGCAATACGGTCGATGATGGATGAGATGGGTGTCGACATTCCTGTAACTGTTCCTGATGGTGAACAACAAAGCAGTAAGTTGAGAAATCGGCGGCAACAGAAAGTGCTGGGAAGCTGTTCACCACAGTGTTGAACATGTGAATGTTGGATTAATTTATGTTAATATGCTACACCCTCCTACCATGACTATCATTGAAGCCAAGTAGTTATATTACAGTGGCACGAGAGACTAACACGATCCTTCGAATGGTAGTGTTGATGATATATTGCTATTTGGTGACATGTCTATCTGATTGGTGTGCAATTCGAGTGTATAGTGTAGCATCTTCCAATGAGCGACGAGATAGCCATAAAGGATCCTGGTGCTCGATACGGGGTGTTCATTGAACCGATAGTCTGTTTCTCAGAGCATCAATTATGGCTCGAAAGGGTAAGAAGGAGACACGCCCCTCGTGTACGGAGCGCGATGGAGCACGGACCGGGCGGACCCTGAAAAGTGTCATTGCCCGCTTTGTTTACGGACAGTGTTTGCTTTTCAGGCCACTGCTGTTGTCACATGGACTCGACAAGTCAAAGTCGACGCAACAAACACACACCATTCCGACCCTTGAACACTCTGTCATCCACGTACACGCCACACTCGATCATCGACAACCATAGCATCGGCGACACCAGCTCTCTATTTGATAGCACGGATGGCAGCTTGGAAATAGACATCAACTACTTTCCTACGACAACAGCAAACAACACAATGGCGCGCGAACGTCGCCCTTCAGTAGAGCGCCCTGCTCAGCCTGCTCAACCTTCACAGGCCCGACCGCCTCACAATGTCTCAACACACCAAGTCCAGCCATCTCAAGCTGCGCCTCCTCCGACCACGGCTGCCACGAAGCTCTCAACACAGCCAGAGTTTGGCAGAGCCAGTCCTCTGCGTAACCCGCTGAGAGATCCGTATGCTAACGTCTTCAACACAAACCAACGCAGACCTGAACACCACCGTCCCATCCCACAACCCACCTTCCATCAATCCTCAACTTCAGGCCCTGCCAATGGAGGTCAGGCTAAGATATCTAACTTCTATCTGCCTGGTCACAAACCCCAGCCTCCACCGCAGTCTCGTCCTGCACAGCTTGGTAACCCTCTCTACGGTAATGCCGCAAACTCGGCTGCCATCCGCGTACCTTCGAACCCGAAGCTGAGAGACATTCCTCCAGCACCTAGGCCCGTCTTTTCCTCGTCCGTCGCCCCCACCAACGGCTACAGGCCCTACAACCCTGTACCTGCGCCGGCACCCAGACCGAAGCCCGTCGACCTGACCAACGACGATGACGACGATGATGCCTTCGACCCCGACGCCGCTCTAAGAGAAGATCGCTTCGGCGGCGCCGACCCCTATGCCTACGTCGACCCTAGCCAGACAAGCCACAACATCAAGGCCCTTCTCGAGGGTGCCTTTGACGATGATGGCGACAAGCCTAAGATGCGTCTGCGCAAGAGAGCCGCCAAAAAGCAGCAGCAAAAGGTCAAGGAAGAGAAGAAAATTTCTTCGCTCGAGGAAAAGCTTAAGAAGCTCGAAATCGATGCTGTAAAGGACGAGCCCAAAGAGGAGGAGACCGACACCAAGGAAGAAGAAGACGAGGACGAGGAAGATGGCACGGTTGAAGGTCTCACCGTCAAGCTTCTGCCTCATCAGGTCGAGGGTGTCTCCTGGATGATCGACAAGGAAATCGGAGAGCGCAAGAAGAACGGTGTTCTGCCCAAGGGCGGTATCCTGGCCGACGACATGGGTCTCGGAAAGACTGTTCAGTCCGTCAGCTTGATTCTTCTCAATCCTCGCCCGGAGCTTGATGCTAAGCCTCCACCGGAAAACCCCAAGCGCAAGATGCCTGGCAAGGAGGTGGGTAAGGGTACGCTTGTCGTTGCACCTCTTGCCCTCATCCGCCAATGGGAGAGCGAGATCAAGACCAAGGTCGAGAAGAGTCACGCATTGCGCGTCTTGGTACATCACGGTCCGTCCAGAACCAAGTTTGCTGCCGAGCTGAAAAAGTACGACATCGTCATCACAACCTACCAAATCCTCGCCTCTGAATTTGCTGGCTCTTCTGATCACCCGGACGGCGCAAAGGTCGGTTGCTATGGTGTACACTGGTACCGTGTTATTCTCGATGAGGCCCACTCGATCAAGAACCGCAACGCCAAGTCGACGCAAGCTACCTATGGCTTGAGAAGCTGGTACAGGTGGTGTCTCACTGGTACTCCTATGCAGAACAACCTTGATGAGCTGCAGAGTCTAATCTGCTTCTTGCAAATCAAACCATACAACAACCTTGCGACCTGGAAGGAACAAATCACAATCCCCATGAAGAACGGCAAGGGAAACTATGCTATCAAGCGTATTCAGTACTTCCTTAAGGGCTTTATGAAACGCCGAACAAAGGACATTCTCAAGGAGGACGGTGCTCTCAGCTTTGGCGGCAAATCAAAGAATGGCGAGAACAAGAGCACTGGATTGAAGATCGTGGAGCGCAGAGTCGAAACTATTATTTGCGAACTCGATCCTAAGGAGCGCGACTTCTACGACCAGCTCCAGGAGAGAGCCCAAAAGCGTCTTGACGATATGATGGGCGGTGAGAAGACCGACTACATTGGAGCCCTTGTTTTGCTCCTACGACTTCGCCAAGCCTGCAACCACCCAAAGCTTGTCTCCGGTTCTATGGGCAAAGACAAGGATGCATTGTCTACAGGACAGCCCAACCCAACCCAGACTCCGCGCAAAGCCTCAGCTGCTAGCAGTCAAGACAACGATATTGACGCTCTTGCTGACATGTTCGGTGGCATGGGTGTTCAGGTCAAAGACTGCGATATCTGCAGCGTAAGGCTCCTTCCTGCAGAGGTCAAGGCTGGCGCTGTTCGCTGCAATGAGTGCGAGGATATTGCCAAAGCCACACCGAAAAAGCTCGGCAAGAAGGTGAAGAAGGAAAAGAAGCACAAGCCTAAGCCTGAGCCAAAGGCTGCTCCTGCTGCTTCTCGAAGAAGGAATCGCAAGATCATCGTCGATAGTGACGACGAAGACGATGAAGGAGAAGGCGAATGGCTTGTCGACGCCTCTCAACAGAACACACCAAGCTATCGCAGAGCTGGCGGTACAGATGACGAAGATGCAGAAGGAGGTGGTGAGACTTTGGGTTCAATTGACTCTGTCTCCGGTGATGAGGATGGAGATTCACCATCCGAGTCTGAAGCCGAATCCGAGGAAGAGGAAGGTGACATCTCCTATTCTGGTCCGACGGGTGTCGAAGCTGCTTCCACAAAGATCCGTCGTCTGCTACGCATTCTACATGCTGAGACTCCTGAGCACAAGACAATCGTCTTCTCACAGTTCACCAGCATGCTCGATCTAATCGAACCGCATTTGAAGAAGTCTGCAATCCGCTACGTTCGCTATGATGGTGGCATGCGTAATGATGCTCGTGAAGCCTCACTCAACTCTCTCCGCAACGATCCCAAGACTCGTGTCTTGCTTTGCTCCCTCAAATGTGGTTCTCTTGGCTTGAATCTGACAGCTGCTTCGCGTGTGGTTCTGATCGAGCCTTTCTGGAACCCCTTCGTTGAGGAACAAGCTATCGATCGTGTGCATCGTCTCAATCAGACAGTCGATGTCCACGTCTACAAGTTGACTGTGGGTAACACTGTTGAGGAGCGCATTATAGAGTTGCAGGAGAAGAAGCGTGAGCTGGCTAAGGCAGCCATTGAAGGTGGAAAGGCTGTTGCTAAGCTCACCATGAAGGATATCATGAGTCTGTTCGGCCACAATCCCGGCGCCGTCGGCGGGCGCGAGAGCATCGGTAGTACCGATGACAACAAGCCTTGGAACAGAAGCACCAAGGTGTTGGCCCCAGAACCTACAAGATCTGGTGCCTCTTCCTCTACTGCTAGGCGTTCGGGCTCGAGCGCCTTGAAATCGTCTCCCAGAGATTCTCCTCCAGCACGCAACGACCGTCGTGGTGGATATGAGAAGGACAACAGAAGGATCAGAAACGAGGATCCTGTTTATGGACGCCGCTGATGGTTGTGATGTGACCACTTTTCGTATTTCTCTTCTTCCCGCTTGAATTGTTTAGGAGTTCATGGTCTTTGGTTTTCGGTTTTTGGGCAAGAAAAGGACGTTGATGACTTTGGGTCCCAATGATGATGAAACTTCTCTTCTCCTGTTACAATCCCTGTCTAGCTCTACAATTCGACCACAATGGTACATGAATCACTTTGTTCTTCTGATCTTGTAAAACTGCAATCTGGCGTTGAGCTGTCATGGTTGCTCCTGCATCTTGATGCCCTGTCCATCGTCGCAGCCACCTCGGCGCCTGCCATCTCGACCTGGGCGCTTCGCGCGGCCTGCCACATCATGCAAACCGACATGAAATAACGTTCAAGGCAAGCCCTTATTCTCTAAGTATGTACTCTCTCTTATGGACCCGCTTGAACGTTTCAAAGTCCAATGTTACCATGCAGGTGTTCCGCTCAACAATGATCGAGTAGCCGCCGGCAAGGCGCGTCAGACCAAAATGCATTTACATCCACTCAGCGCCCGTATCGCTTTCTTCTATTCTTGAGTTCATTTTGTCGTTGCCCAGGTGAAAAGAGTATGCTTGTGTTGGTTGAATAATAGGATTATACAGCTATGAGAAGACGGCGTGCTCTATATTCTTCGTCTTCGGATCAACCGTGGTATCAGAACTCGTCTGATGCACAGCGAGCGGCCAATTCGGGGCCAACAGCGGTATGCTTCTTGATATCTTATGCCAATAATTCCCTGCTGACCTGAATAGAACCTCGTGGCTTCTGATAGCAGTGGCACTGGACAGCGATATACGACCATCTACCTTACTCGAACGCAATACACCACCTTCGTGTACTCAAATTCGCATTCGAGCCAATCCTCCAAATCAGCCATATCGAGCTCCTCTTCGAGCAGAAGCTTTTCGCGTGCCACATCAACATCTTCTTGGTCATCGGCATTTACGTATCAACCCACAACCTTCTCTACCACGACCACAGCCAGGGTAACAACACACTCGACTACAACTGTCAAGACGATCGTATACGTGACAAGCACACGTACTGTTCCAGCAGACGTAGACTCTCCAGTATCCACGAGTACTAAACAAGACATAACATCGACGACATCGAAGACTCATTCATCTGCAGCGACTTCTTCTATTGGAGCTGTCGCTGGCGGTGGAGGACATGGCTCCCTCCTAGTGAGCCCAAAAGGGAGTTCAAAGCATTCAGCAGCGATAGCAGGAGGTATGACTGGTAGCCTCGCAGGCATGGCATTGATAGGCCTCCTTTTCTTGTTCCTATTCCGAAGAAGGAAGCGACGACCGCCGTACAACGAAAAGCATGAAGCCGCTGCCGAGCCTAGGATGTCCTCATCATCCCAAGCTTTGCCATCCGCCATTGCAGCAGCAGGAGCACCTCGACATTCCGATAGAAGCATCGTGCCTCAACGATCTCCATCCGGACGCCCACCTATCATCGACCATAACCTCATCCACATGGATCTCAATCACTGGGACCGCCCATTCGCCCACGAAGACCCTCACCCACGCGATGATAGCTCACCCCTTCGCCTCATGAACCCAGATCCCACGCCAACTCCCCCAATCATCCTCACCGCATCCTCTTCCGTCTCGCCAGAAAACAACCCCCACAGATTCCTCCAACGCCAACGCTCAGCACTAGCAGCAGCATTACTCTCCGTAAAACGCTCCTTCTCAAGTCAAGATGTTGTGCCCAGACACGCGAGCGAAGAATCACATACGCATACCTCTGCACATCCATCAGCTCACCCATCACCCCTACATATCCAAGATAAAAGCAATAAACTCACCATGCCATCTGAAGTCATCCTTGCCGGTGCTTCTGCTACAGAGTCGAGACCGATGTCTTCGCAATCGGCTATGAGTAATAACACGATCATTCGGCATCACGCTCCAGACGATCCTTTTGTCAGTTCTCCTGACATTGTCTCGCCACTACCGGGGTGCTTGCAAGCAGGTCACAACAATGGGGTAGCTCGTCGCGATTTTCTGGCACCTCCACCTTTACGCACAAGAGTGCCAGTGCCTTATACACCAACACAACATGGTGCGGTAAGCCCACTTACGAGAAGCAACAGTGATTGCAGTACTAGATTCGAAAGTCTGTCTTCAGCTACGAGGAGCGAGGTTTCCAGTGTCAGTGTGAGAAGTGGGCCGTTTGATTTGGCTAGTGCTAGTGTGGTTGATGGGGATGTTGGAAGAGAAGGGGAAAGAGTGATTTTGCAGAGGAATGGAGCAGAGAGGGTGGTACTACCAAGAGACGGGGCAGATAGAGTGATAATGCAGAGGGGACAAAGGGAACAGACGCCTAATTGGGAGGTTCATGTGTATCCTGGGACTTGAGGGTTGCGATGAGCTATAGTGTTTATTTGTTGCTCTGTGAGCAGAGACGTATGTACTGTTGATACCGGCTGGCTCGGTGATTATCAGCAAAGGAACCAGTATCTGAGTGATGGGATTGTGCTGTGCAGCTCGTTGTTCATATGAAGCTGGGCTTTCTGCCCAGAGGTGATTCGGAACAGAGCGTTCAACTAGTATGGCGGCATCGCCCTTTCCATTGTGTTCTCGCCGGACCAAGGCTTTCAAAGGATAGTGATAAATATGTTGCTGTGTTGATCAAGCAGCGAATGCTGATAGTGTCGAATGATGCAGTTGCGACGTTGAAAACCACGTCCTCTTAACGACTTCCGACGTGCGATAGGCGTGCCACATTCACAGGCCTCGGTCGACTCTCAATTATCGCGCAGTTCCAGTCACCAACTGGTTTGCGTCGTGATTCCTCTCAATCCTCATCCAAAAACACAATCCCCTGCTCCTCCACCGCAGGACCAACCTCAGCCTCTCCATTCAGCCCGTTTCTCTGAACAGCCACATTAGGCTTAAATTTCTCCTTCTTCTGCACCACATCTCCCTTGCTCTCACCCTCTCCCCCCTCCTCCTTGTTCTTCCCAGCCTTCCCCTTCTCCTTCCTCAACCTAGCTTTCTCCCTCTTAACCCTATTCTTCTCCGTCTTTTCCCTATCCCTTTCCTCTTGCTCTTTCTTCCTCATCTCAAACTCCCCATCCCTCTCCTCCTTTTCCTTTTCCTCATCCATGGCTCTCAATCTTTCATATTCTCTCCTCCTACTCGCTTTGTACACGTGAAATTCTCCACTACCTGCTCCAGCGCTGGAGCCTTGCACATTGGCGACTATCTCTGGTGGTAATGAGGAAGAAGAGGTTTTTGAGGAAGTGCTGGAGGTTATGGCTTTTTCGGGAAAGGCGAAGAGGTGTTCGAGGTGTGCGGATTGTTTGCTTCGGGGTGAGAGGGCGCGTTTTTTTGTTGCTTGGCCGCTGCGGGGGTCGCGGTGCGTGGGGATGGATTCGGGTATGTTTTCTGACATTGTGGGTGTTTGCGTTGTGGTGAGAGAGAGGCTGAGATGGATTTGCGCAAGAGCCTGCGGTGGTTGAGTTGTGATGTTGAAGTGTTGATGGAGGAAGGAAGAAAGCCGAGGGTTGTGACGTCGATGGATTTTTGAAACACCGACGCGACCCTGTCGCTTGGCTGCCGAGCCTCACTTGACTCTGGTTTTCCACCTTGATGTTCTGCCGAGGGAGCCTTGAATGACATTGTCTACAATGATGGAGTGATCAGCATTTACTCTGCGTACACGTGGAAAGTTGTAAGATAATATAGAAGAAGTGCATTGCTCAGCATAGTTTAAGCCGGCTAACCTCCAGAAAAGCGCCTCAGGCTACCTACCTGCCTTTGTTGTGTGTGAGAAGACCCCCCTTATACCACACCGATTCATCCCATCATTGTTGACCAATTCGCCTTCCTCCATGCATGCATAACGCCAATCCCCAGCCTTCCCAAAATACCGATATATGAAATTACGCAAAGAAAAGGATGAAAGGAATGGCATGAGCTTCTCCGAGCCCTTTACTCAACACCTGCTTCGCCTACGCAATCCCCAATCCTGATCCTGTAGTTCCCGTGCAAGCTTAACACTCTGCTCCTCTTCTTCCTCAACTATACTCTTCTCTCTGATGACGGGCTCGGATTTCTTGGATTTTGCTGTAGCCGGTGTTGCTGAGAGACTATCTCGCTGATGTTTCTTGCTTCCAGGAGTTTTGAGCTCCGTAGTTTCGGTGATTTGCGTCGGTACGGGTGTCTTGCTAAGAGACCTTTGCATGCGGATCATTGGCTTTTCTGTGCTGCCACTAAACGAGTGACGCGGGATTCGAGGTGTCTGGGATTTCGTCAATGGTGGTGCCGGTGGTTGGTAGAGTGGTATGCTGGCCAGACCTGTGATGGGGGCTACGGAAAATGAAGGTGCTGTCTTTTCTGGCGAAGAAACTGCCTCTTCCACATGGGCCATAGAGGCACCATTTAGGGCAGTAGCCTCTGGGAGGTGTTGAACAGAAACATCCTGGCTTGTGGCGTTGACTTGACCTGCAGCGAACTCCGGCTCCAGCTTCAGCGCTTCTGACATTGCTCCGGCAACGTTTTGTGAGTGCGATCCTAGTAAGTTAGCGCTGTAAGGCTGCACGGGGCCGCCAGAGGATATCGGTCGGTGGTCGTGGCTGATCTCGGCAGGCTGATTAGCAAGATCGAGACCAATGCCATTGTGGAAGCTTGGGCGAGCTTTAGCCAACAAGGGCGATGTCTCTTCTCGATTTCCAATGCTTTGACTCGACGCTGAGTTCTGTTGTTGCAGTGCGGGGTGGAGCGCACTATCCCCATTCGATTGGGGCACGGTATAATCTCCGTCGTTGACATATCTAGAGTCAAGGACCTCGTTTGCCAGTTGCTCCAATGACTGTGCATTGTAAGATCCGTTCAGGTCCGATTGTTGATGGTATGGGCCGCCGTGAAGAACTACATTGCCACCGTTCGAGGTCGGATCGGGATACATGTACGAAGCATGTTGCCAGTGGGGAATGTTGGCTTCCGGAGCATAAGGGTATTGTTTGTACTGTTGAGGTGACACCATGTTTTGTTGGTAGCTGGGTTCCATTGAGAATGGCATCACAGGAGCAGCTTGCGAAGTTTTGGCTTGCTTCGATTTCTTGATGGGGCTTTCCATGTCTCCGCTCGTCCTTCTCTTTTTCGAGACGACTGAACCACGAGGAACCGGTGTTTGTTCAGCCTTGATGGGATCAATTTTGCCATTTTCATCGTGAATGCATCGGCGCTGTATACATGTTAGTGACTCGTTTAAGAACAAAAAGAAGTTACAAACCTTGCTTTTGCGACAATCAAGACACGCCTTGCTTCTTCCGCGCTTGCTGTTTGGGTCCGCGAGCAATGCGTTTCCAGGAATCACAGCAGGACCATTTCCATCTGTCGATGTCATCTGCGCCATGGGAGCAATACCAGCTATGTGGTTGGCCTGTCCGTTCTGCATGCTCTGCATACCTTGCATACCTTGCATACTTTGCATACTTTGCAAGTTCTGGTCGATGGCCTGAACTGACTGTCCAAAGGCTGTGGTCTGTATGGTTTGTTCAGGCAGCTTGACAGGGCTCACGGTATTAGCGGCAAAGAAATCACGAGAGTCTCTTCTCTGCAGATCGTAGGGCATAGCATCCGCGGTTCCATCGAGAGACGGTGTCGACTGGAACATCATGACGGGTTGACCAAAAGATGTGCTTGTGGTGACAACATCCTTGTGCTTGCACTTGATACGACGCTTCCTGCATGCGTCGCAGGCGACCCTCTTAGGGCCAAGTACTGACGTTTTCGGCGTGCTTGTGTGTTGACCGCCAGGGCCAGGGGTGGTCTGAGTCTGGGAAGCCGACATAGGAGGCATAGACGGTCTGGGAGATGTAGCAGTCGCAGAATCAACGTCTCTGGAAGCATGTCGTCGAGTCATCTGCCTCTCAGGAGCAGCTTTGAAGGCCTCGAATGCCTCTTGTCTTTGCATAGCCTTCAATGCTCGAGCACTGAGCTTCTTCGGAGCAGCACTCTCCTTGTCGGGGAGGTCGGCATCAGGATGTGCCCAGGCTGGTGGGTCTTCGTTGCCACGTTTCCATGCTACCCAAAGAGCAAAAGTCCTGGCCAACTCAAGAGGTTCGCCGCGAGATTTAGGTATGGATCTCATGACCTTTTTTCTTGTATCCTCTGTCACGCCTTCAATCCGGCCTAGTGAAATCATCACAGTACGGAAGATGAAGTTGATCAAGTCGGGTAATCCGTCGAGCTCGGCCTGGGAGTAGTAGCGGCAGTTGTAGTAAGCACTGCCTGGAGCAACACTCGAGCCTTTCCCGTGCTGGCCGAACTCTTCCCAGACGGGTCGCTCACGCACAAATCTTGCGCCATTGTAGAAGATCTGGGCCACGTCGGCAGGCAAAGGATCGGTCTCGAGGTATTTGATAACTGTGTACCACATAACCTTTTGGAAGTGTGGATATCTGAACTTTTGTGGTGTCTTGATCGCCTTCTCGATATCGACAATGCGGAACTGAGTCGAGTAGTGCATGCGAGTCAAGAAATTGCCTCCAATCACTAAGCTGTTTTCCGGCGTCCAGACAGCGTGGATCCAGCCGGAAGGAATCAACATAGTATCTCCCGCGGACAAGTCGACTCTGTAACACTCCTTTGTCGCTTCCGGAAGCCAAGTGAAGTTTTGCTCATGTGAGTTGTTCCAGTCCTCGTATTTCTTGAGGTGGCTTGGCTTTGGCGGAATGAAGAAGAAAGTCTTCTTGCCGCGCAAGATGTGATAGTAGACCGACGAACCGCCAAAATCGATGTGGAAATCGGTAAAGCTGTCGGCAACAGACATCAAGCAGTAGAATTGTACCTTTGGATAGTTGCCTTTGAATGTTTCTTCATCGGGCCAGACCGAGTCCTGGAGGTCAATGTCTCTCACCACTTTCGGTCTCCTTAGCAGTCTTCCAAGCTTGGTTTCAGACACCTCGAGACTGATGACGTTGCGAACAGCCTTTTCTCCATCTGCCTCATAGTAATCCGCCCATTTTGACAGATTCCATTTGCCTTCCGTTCCCTGGGTCTTGACATCAATTACCTCTAGAGGCTCGTGTGGGCCAACAAGCTCAGCAACATGCCTGACAGTCAAATCCCGAGGCACAACCATATCCAGACGGTCTTGGCCGTCATCGCGTACAGTCTCGTACTCAAAGTCTTGGAGTAGAACCTCCTCTTCCTCTGCGTTGCCGAAAGCGAATGCCGTTGTGTCATCAGCGTCGTGGGATGGGGCCGTACGCTGGCGAGGAAGCTTGGGGTTGAACTCGGCTGGGATGACAACAGGCTCAGAGAAAGAAGAGCATGTCTCGAAGAACTCGCGAGTGACAAGCTCAGGACGCATTCGAGGAAACATTTCCTGGTCAAATGTGAAAGAGCCATCTTTGATCGGTTGAATGTAGTGATGTTCTGGGTTGTCATCAGAAGTTTTGAGGATGCCTTGGTTCAAACCAGCATAATCAACGGCTGCGTGGGCACGACTCGACTTGCGTACAAATGTGGTTGCTCCGTGTTTGGGCTCGCAGGCTTTGCAGAAGAACTTACTGACATCCCTGACATCGCGTTCGTTCTTGAAGCCAGCACAATCGAAGTGGAACCACAATTGGCAGCCGTTGCAGCTAATCCACTGGTCTAGCTCACCATGGTTGGATTCCCGAGTCTGAGCACAGCTAGCGCATACAGTCTCTTGAACATCTTTTGATGGCTTGCGTGTCGACGGTGCTGGTTTTAGGTTGGGCTGTAAGATTTCGAAGCGCAAGTTTGGGGGAACTGTCGCAGCTCGCGAGTCTTCGGAACGAGATTGGAGTTGCTCCGAGAATAAGTGCGACAGGTCCGAATCAGATTTGCGCCTAGCCCTCTTTTCCTCAGCACTCGAATCACTGCTATCGGCGACCGATTTCGCGGTCGAAGCACGCGATCGACGTGCTGATGAGCGTGGCTTGGTGGTTGTAGAGTTCTTGTTCCGCGGGCCACGAGGTTTACCCTTGGGCCATCCCCGACGCGGTCTCACGGCTGGCGCATCCGAAGGCTGTTGCAGCTCTACCGAAGCAGTAAGTGGCTCAACGGCGGCTTGTGTTGAAGATGTAGTTGGTGCAATCACTGCAGTGCTCTGCTCGAGTTGACTGCGCTCCTCCTCCGGCGGGGTGTGTGTTTGCTGGGGCGCGCGTTCCCTCGGCGACTCGGAAACCACCGCTACAGTCGCTGAGGCATTCTCTGTGCTTTGGCTGACCTCCTTGTCTGTGTCCATGCTCTTTTCGTCTTCATTTGTGCCTTGAGGTGATGGCAAGGATGCTGAGGCATTTTCGGAGGCCACGGACGGGGCAGGTATGGGATCGGGGACGAAGACGGGAGCAACATATGGCGTCACTGGTGTGAAAGGATATGCTTGAGGTGGAGGCGCCTGAGGGGCGGTGTAGAAATTGGTGGTGGTGGGGTGTGCTGAAGTGCCCAGAGGGACATGGCGAATAGGCGGCTCCGGTAATGGGGGTTGAGAAGTGACTCGGCCAGCAAAGTTCAAGAGCAGCTCGGCATCCTCGAGTGAGGTGACTATGGCCGTGTTTGTGGATTGACGACGTTGGCGGTCGGTATTGGGGGCCAAAGGATTCACCCTAGGCCGAGAGAAGTGATGGCTGGACGAGGGTCGAGCTGAGAAAGCGTAGGCTTGTGGGCCAGGACCAGCATCTGAGCGAGCGCGCTTGGTACCGCGAACAGGCTCGGGGGTAACAAAGTTGTCGGGAGCGTGTTGTACAAGCGGTTGGGCCGGAGGGAGTTGGGGACTTGTTGAGAGGGCAGCATCAGCAAGAACCTCGATGGTTGAAGGCGAGCGCTGATGTCCGCGAGACTTCTCTGGTTGTTGCGACGCGGTCGGCGGAGGCTTCGGGGCCCAAAGGCTAGATTGAACTGAGGCGGGATAGTTCAAGGTGGGCTCGATGGGTCGCGGAGGAGAGAGCGGCTCCCATTGCGGTGATTCGGGAGAAGCAGGACGCGCATTTGGGTCGATAGAGAGCGGGGAGCGCTTAAAGGCGCTCTTGAAGGAGGCCATGTTGTCGTTGCGACAGACGAGATGGGTCGAGTCTTGGTAGTCGAGTTATGGTATTGACGCGACTGACGCCGCAGCTGATACAGTGGGGTGCACTAGAGCGCGGCTGTTATTGATTTCATTTGGATAGAGCACAATTGTTCGAGATGGTTCGCAGTCGAGCTATGCGACTCGGTTCGTGCGATGACTGATGGTCTGTCGCGGTGCTGAAGACGGCGGTGGTTTGACGGTAGACGCGGGGTTCTTGGTTGGCCCGCGATCGAACTCGGGGTCCTGCGCAACCTTTCCCTGCGTAGATTGGACGGGCTGCTTTATTCCGAGCTATCAATTCGGTCGGAGACGGCAGTCACCAAGCACAAAGAAGACGTTACTTGGTCGGTCGCTCTTTCATTCCATACAGCATTCGTCCTTGTCCTCGCTCACTCGCCGGGGTGCACGGACGTCTTGGCACATCTCCGGTTGCCGGCAACTCGAGGCAGGCAAGCCAACTGCTTGGTCGCCTTGTCCTTATCACCTCTACTGACCCCTCCGTCACGTATACCAACAACTCTGTATCCAAGCTATGAGTCGAGGCGGTAAACTTGCTCCTGAAGTGAACCGGTGAGTAAACCCCAATCTGTCGCCGCCGCGAAGTCCAGCCAGCTAACAATGCCTCAGCGCGCTTTTCGTCAAGAACCTCAACTACAACGTCAGCCCCGACGACCTCTTTGAGCTCTTTGGCAAATTCGGCCCTGTCCGGTGAGCATCAATCGCTTTTTCTGATCGCTCCGCGACATCCTGCTAATGAGTTATCAGTCAAATCCGCCAGGGCATCGCCAACAACACAAAGGGCACCGCATTCGTCGTTTACGAAGATGTCGTAGACGCAAAACAGGCTTGCGACAAGCTCAACGGCTACAATTTCCAGAACCGCTACCTCGTCGTCCTCTATCATCAGCCAGAGAAGATGGCTCGTCAAGCACAAGATCTCCAGCAGCGCCAGGACGACTTAGAAAAGCTCAAACGCCAGCACGGTATCGATTAGCATTACGCGGGAGTCCCAGCCGTCCACAAAGGCGACATCTCTGACCCGGCCCTTTCGACTACAACCACCCTTGTTTCATCCAAGCGGCCCCAAGGTCCCAATGAGTCGCCGGTTGTGGCTCCCAAGCGCGGCGTGCGCTCGACTTGCCATAATCTAGGCAACCACACCTTTTCTTCACCACGAATCAACATGAGCTTTTTAGGAAGGATTAAGGGAACATGGCGTATACGCGGCTAGCTTTTTGACTAAGGCGACTCTTTTTATTTTCATTCGGGAACTGGGCGTTTCTGCTTCTCTGCGTAGAGTGCACTTGACTGTGCCCTCCGCGGGTTTTTCTTTTCTGTTACTCTCTACTTTTAACCAAGGCCTGAGCATACCCAACTCGGCCATATCAAATTCCCATTCAATTGAGATTTCATCAAATATGTTTACCCTCATATTGATCAGATGCCATTGGAAACGTTCGTCTGAGGATGTGCTACTGACAATCAGTCAACCCCAGCCAAAACAGCTCGAGCTGTCACGCAATTCTGGTCAGGCAGCCATGCTGCAAAGAGCGTACGCGGCGTCACATGATATCAAGGTTGATCCTTATCTCAGACGAAGCAACCTATCAGAGTCAAACACAGCGAACACCAATCGACAAGAAGCCGCCAAAGCGGACAAAACATCACGAAACGGGCAGCACTGTGCAGGATAAGACTTGTAAGATGGAAGGTTCGAATGTGTCTTTGGCTTTTGTTGTGAATATCCATCTATCGTGAAGTAAACACTTCATGTCCCATTTTATCAATCTAATCATATAACCATCTGATATATCTCTGTCTGATGTGTATGCCGACCGACGAACAAGCCCCCAGAAAAAGAAAAAAAAGAAAAAAGGGAGGAAAGAGTACAAAGAAGTGAATGTCCAGCACCACCCTTCTACCCTCTACTTCTGATCATTGGCCATGGCGGCTGAACAGCGCTTAGTAGCCAGTAGGAGCAGGCACGGCGGGAGCAGTGCCAGTGGGGTAACCCCAAGCGCCGGTACCAGTGGGACCCCATGCGCCAGTAGGGAAAGCAGCGTTGCCAGTAGGGACAGGGAAGACAGCAGAGGCAGTAGGACGAGGGCCCCAGTTGCCGCCCCAGTTGCTACCCCAGCTGCCCCACCAGAAACCGGGCTCGCTGCCTTGACGAGCACCCTCGAATCTCTTCTCAACGGGCTTGGCAGCGTAGCCGGTGGGAGCAGGAGCATCGCCAGGGATCCAACCTGTAGGGAAGCCGGTAGGGAAGGCGAATCCGCCAGTGGGTGTAGGAAAACCGGTAGGGAAGGGGAAGCCGCCAGTAGGGTGAGGGAAGCCTCCTGTGGGACGAGGGTGCCAGCCGAAGTGAGGAAGAGCGGCGGCGAGGTTGAGGAAGAGGGCAAGAGCCGAGACGATGAGAGATAGTCTTGCGAACATGTTTGCTTGTGTATGTGTGATTTTGGTGGGATTGTTGGTTGAATCGACAGTAGAAAGTGGTATATTGCTCAGCGAGTGTTGTTTGTGCTTCAAGGGGATGTAGAGAGCGACAGAAGAGATGAGAGATGCAGAAGAAAGAACCTACAGGGACACAGCATACAACCTCTTTATAACCCTTATCGCATGGCATTCCATGGTGAGGGAAGGGAAAAAAAGACTTTCAACCTCTGACAGCACGAGTACAGGGATCTTCTCACCCAGTAAGCCACACTGGGCTCCGAAACACAGCCAACGACCACACATGCATTGCCCTGTCTCCACGATGTCCGTGGATCGCCTGCCTGCATTTTGATCCAGAGACCCCTCCAGCCTCTTCCCGAACAGGGGTGTGTGTGAGAAGCTGCGCGAACTCGGCGCAGATAGAGTACCATAAGCAGAGACCAGGTCGGGACCCGATGGCCGCTCAACTCAACCATGCAAGTCCCAGTCACTCACTATTGTACGGAATGTCCGAAGGTCTGCCGTCATGCGTGTCACCACCGTTGGCCATTATTTTGTTCGCCAGCAAAGAAGAAGGCAAGATACGCAGGGGTTTATCTGCGGCCCCATGCTCCGAATTTGTTTGTGTTACGCGTTCACCAGCCAGCGATTGATTGCTGATCCTGTCAAGCGGTCAAAGACAGCGAGCTGTGAGACAGAGCGGTTGCCAGGTATGCGGTAAGAAATCTCTGTCCCGGCCTTCTTTGACGTCGTCGCTACGGCCTCGGTGTTGTCCGTGACAGGAAGATGGCTTGTCGTGCTTGTTTGCGTTGAACTTGCCCCTGGGGATCTGTCTGCTGTGGGGATCGCCCGGGTGGGTCTCTTCCCTTCAGCCACTCCGGCCAGCCATGCTTTCCACAACCTTGTTTGCTCTTCTGTGCAACCCATCTGATATCGCATCATCATTGCGCTCGAATCCAGCACGGCATAGCCATCGATTGTGAATGCTGGAGGCAGTGTTCTCCACAGCCATCTCTGCACCCGCCATCGCCTACCCACATCTGGTGAAACGTCATCTGCTTCCCAGGAACAAAAGACATCCACTTGTCAACCCTTGACAGGCGGCTCTGGCAGTTTCAAACAGCCTCTCAACATGAACCAATGCGCAAGCCACCAAAGCCCTGTGTGGACGGCGGGAAGACGGGTTGGAAGATCAAACATGCATGCTGAACGTTTGTCACAAAAGCCTCACCTTCGCATCTTTCTTGCCGAGCGCAACCCTAATAATAAGATCTAAATCATCTTATCAGAGACAGGAAAAAGGATTTAGCCATCCCTGACGACCATCTTTCAACTCGCGAAGCAGCGAACAGAACCTTGTGTATTTTCAGCGTGTTTAGGACTCTGGCTGCGTCTTGTCGCTTCCGGACCATAGTACATCGAGAATGTACCCCCTCGGCATTCGAAACAGCTGTGAGAAGGAAATGGATATTCACATGGTAAGCGCAACTCGGATTAATTTTCGTTTTTCTACATCTCTCCACTGTCGCAACTTTTCATATATCTCATTCTCGCCCTTTCTCGTCCGCCGTATACTACAGAAAAGAATTCTTTTCGTCAAGTCTCAAGTCTCGCACGCGAAGGACATCTATACCCAAGGATCGACCAACCATGACCGAGGAAGTCGTTAGGCAAACAACGCACTCCTCATCGGATCTCGAAGTTCGGCGAGGAAGCTACGGCTGGCTGCCGAGGCCTCAAACGTGCCTGCATTCTGCATGACTGCACCAATGCATACACATTTGGATCGTATTGACATTGAGATGTACTTCCCGCGGCCCTGAGTACACAGCTCATTCAGGTCGAAAAGCGCATCATAGCGATTGAATTGCACACCATCATCGCTAGTAGGCCATCAATCGATTTCGGAGACTTGGCTTCCGGGTCTCCAATACCCTTGCCCTCGGAATACCAAGGACCCAGACTCTCTACCGCTCGGTATTGTTTCTGTCTCGCCAGTGTGGCGATGATTGGACAGAATGCAGCTTGTCAGTAATCTTGTCTGTAATCGTCTCTCCATGGACAGCAGAAAATGGTAGTCGGAAATGTATCTCTCTGTACCTTTCTGCGCTTGACAAACAGCCTCCAGAAGCTCAACCAGTCTTTCCAGGACAGAATTCTCTGTCAACCACTTCTCGAACGCTGACATGTCAGCAATCAGATAAGAACTCATTTCCATTTAACATGATCTCAATCGACAGCCATGCCTTCCTTCCATGCTGACAGCTAAACTATCGACTCATTGCATCTCCCCAGTGCCACTGAGTCAGTATCCGGCAGTCACGAATATGCCTATCGCGACTCGCTCAGATAAGAATATATTCTCGCAATTGCTTGACTGCTGCCAAATTGGAATTTCCACGATAAGATGCTGACTCCATCCCGTCAATTGCTGACCACATGCATACGATCTATCGAAAGATGCACTGCTGCCGAGTGATTCATACTTTCTGTTCAATAATTCGGCACTTGTTTTCGCAAAAAGTCGGAGCATACTTTTTCGTTAAGGAATACCCTGTTTGATGGCTGGGGACCATGCAGGGCTTAATGTGCGTGTCTTGATACTTTGATAACATGTACGGAGTACAAAAGTCTCTTTAGCTTTTCTCGCCTATATCACGCACACGTTTCCGACTCACCATTTACGAAAGTCACTTCTTCCAATTATCGTCTACAATGTTGAACATCCTCCAAGGACACCATCACCTGGACGAATTTTATCGATTTCGCCTCGTTCTTGCTGGAAAACTGATCAATAGACATATAATTATACACATTAAGCTTTTTTTGTATACTACTGAAAACTAACACCACGACCATCGTGCGTTGGGACTCCTCTAGAATTCCTCGAATGGGTCGACCTCCAGGTTTTCGCCAAACATGTACCCCTTTCCTGCCATCATGTCCTGTGTGCTGCCATCGCCCCTGCGTCTGGCTTGAGACGTTTGATCTACGCTGTATCCCTGATGGCCGATAAAGGCATCCATGCGCACTGTGCCGATCGAACTCTTACGGTCGCTGGATCTGAGGCTTGGGCGTGCTGGAGCATTCACAGTAGGTTGTAAGGTCGCTGTGTTTGATGCTCTACGTGCAAACGCCGAGGAGGCGGTCATGGAGCCTTCATTGGAAGAATTGGCGGCGGAAAATTGAGGGTTCGTACTGCTTCGCTTGCGCTGATGGCGACCACCTGCGAATCTCGAGATATTCGGTGGAGCAGTGGAATCCGCAGTGCCCATTCGCTGATGTGCTTCAACTCGAACGGATGGCGGCGCTGGTCCAAATGCTGGCTTTGCTGGCGGAACGTACCCTGGCATTAATGAGGATCGTCGTTTCTGATCATGCCCTTGAGCAGGCTCGGGTGCTGGCGATATACGCGGCACTTGTGGGGGACCACGGCCGCTCTGCGCAAGGAACGACAACGCCGTGAGCCATAGGTAATGTCTTTCACGGTTGGAAGCAGTGAGCTTGAGCGCTCGCTCTGGTGTTATGATCAATATGGACCTGTCGAATATAGGCTCGTGCGACGCGCTCTTGTGGAGCGGCGTCGTGTCCTTGACATCGAGGACTGATTTGATTACCACTGGTGGATGTTAGCAAGAAGACTAGGTGTGAGGTTGACAAGATAGCACTCACGTTTGCGGCCGGCTTTGCCGAGTAAGGCCGGACCTGAATTTGGCTGTTTCGAACTCCACATCACTGTGTGTTCGTATGGCGAGAGCCATACCCATCGCTTGTGTCTCACACCACTCGTCGCTCCTTCATCAGTTTGGTCTGCACGGGATTCGCCCAAACCAAAGGATCTGCGTCGGCGGACGTACTTCCACATCCACTCGCCTACCATGGTGGCAGCTATCGCGTCGACAATGACATTGTCCTGGCTCTTCTCTTCCTCTTCTTCCACTGCACTATCTTGGTCGAAGTCTGGAGAGTCCAAAACGTATTGAGCTTCATTTGGCACGCCAAAGTCTTCACGAGTCGGCGTCACTATGCCGGGAAGAAGCAGGTTGTCCTTTGGTGGTGTTTCAAACGCCATGGATTGGATAGGTTCGAGATGTGGAGCTCTTCTTCTCCGTCTTGGGGACATGCGAGCATTCGACCTCATGGTACCAGAAGACTGAACCTTTCTAAGGCCACCATCTGGCGCAATTCGAGAGTCCTTGCTTGACCGACGCGATCGCATAGAATAGGCATCACGACCGGTCGGGCTCCGAGGTCCATCATTACTAGGAGGCCGTGAGCTCATACGACCAGGTATCGGGAACGGCGGTGGCGGAGCCTGGACACCATGACTGCTGGCTGAATTTGGTCGGCTTGATGTGCGGTCATAGGAATTGAAGAAAGGCCCAGCTCTTCCAGCGTGAGCTGTACCTCTCGAGCTCGATGGACGACTTTGGGTGGAGCTATCGTCAGATCCCATCCTTTTGCCATGTGCGAACGCAGATTGTCTCTCTGAGCTCAAGACAAAATTAGCTGGTGATATTGCTCGGTTCTCTGGTACTGTCTTGGGAGGACCATTGAACAGAGAGCGTACACTCGGCCTAACGATACCAGGCATGTTACCAAAGATCGCCTTCATATCATCGCTTGATTCTGCAAGTCGGTCATTCATGTCTGTGTCTGCATACCATTGTGGAGGGGTCTCTTGCAGCGAGTCGGCTTCTGACTGTTGATGGTTCTCTATCGACACGGAGCGGAGTCTGGGCGGTGGAAGATCGATAGGCTTCAGAGGCAATCGGTTGCCATCTTTGCTAAAAGTGCTCCGATGCATTATCAACCTGTGCTTCGAAGCCGGCTGAACTTCCTGACCAGCGACAGATTCGCTTTTCCTGTCATTGCCATTCTCCAAAGCGCTTGGTAGTAGATGAGGTGGTAGTTTGATTGGTCTTCGATCAATCCTGATTTCTTCCGTCTGTACTCCAGCATCCAACATAGGTGTGGTGACAGCAGCTTCCGTCTGAACAGCACTGCTACGCATACCAGGAGGGAGAACACCCTCGCCAGCTCTAGGCGACATGGGAGGCTGGATTGTGATGGCCGGGATAGGAAGAACTTCGATTGGTGCCATAATCGTACTTCGTCTAGATGCCAGGTCGCCAGCGACAGCAAGATCGGTTTGTGTCGACGCCGATTGGTATACTGGCTTTTTGGAGGGTTCGTTTCTGGCATCTTCATGTACCACATATTGTGGTGTGTCTGGAGGACTTATGGGAGCCTCGGCCAAACGATCTGATGTCAACAAATTTGGCAATTTTGACTGGAGGCCTTGTGCTACCGGTTTCAGCTGAGTGGGTACCGCAGCAGCTTCGGCTTCTGTGTTCTGATCGCCTGTCGAAATCTTTGATGATTCACTGGCAAATTCATCTTTCTGTCTTGCCGGACTGGTCGAACGCGAAGACGCTCGACTTGCATCAGAAGACCTGAAGTTCATCTTGGCCATCTGTAAACCGAAACGCTCTGCAAACGAAGGCGTTCTCAACGACTCAGTTGAAGGTGCTCGTGAGCCATCGGCTTCTGTCGAGGGGTCGGAACTGTTGTTAATGGTCAGGCCCAAAATCTTCTTGGCCTTACGGTCTGAGATAGCCGAAGCTCTGGAATTAATGCTTGAGCGGTTCTCGGCGAACAAAGGTAGATCTTCATCATCGCCCTCAAGATCCTCAGTATCATAGTCCTCGTCGTCCGAGTTGAGCTCATTAGCCAAGGAAGTCATGCCTGGCCTTCGGCCACTGGCAACTGATGGTGCTAGACTCCTCGTGCTCATGCTGCTCTGATTTCTGGCGTGCCTTGAGCGTCGGTATGAGCGAATGCTGGCAACATCACTGTCGCCTGACGTGTCCTCTGATTTTTGCTGAACCTGCGACGCGAGATGCTGTGTTCGCACCTCTTCAACCACTGACCGCAAACGTGTCTCGGAAATATGGACCCTTTGCTCGAGTTGTCGTTTTTCATTCTTCCACGAATTCCTTTCCTTCTCCCACGCATCTCTGGTTTTGGTGTTCTCCTCTTCCAAGCTCTTTGCTCTTTTGCCGGCAGTCTCTAACTTGTTCCGTAGCTCTTGGTTGGCAACCTTGACGTTGTCTCTCTCGCCAAGCAGACCCTCGACAGCGTCGAATGTGCCATTCTCGAGGAGTTTGAACTTTTGTTCCAGCTGTCTAGTCTTCTTTGTGCTTTCGCGAACTTGGCCGGACAGGTTCTCGTTCTCGGTATGGGCAGTCTTGAGACTCTCTTCTAGGTTGTCGATGAATTGATGCTTAGAGTCTAGTTCTCGTCGCAATGATAGAATCTCAGAGACAAGAGAGGCGTGCAAAGTGGGGGTGAAACGGTTCGCGTCGAATGCATGAGCGTTGGCATCGTGGGTTTCGGAAGTGTCAAACGACGGTAGGGGAGCAGATTTGGTGGAGAAATCACGATGTTTGCGACCTCGTGAGGCAGGCTTCGATAGCGACAGTTCCGGTGGAGTGTGTTCCGGAGTCCTTGCTGGTGAAGCCAAAGCTCCGTATTGGAAGTAGTCGGTCGACATGGTACCGATACGACGGGATTTGCAGTAAGTAGAGGCTCGCTCTTTCCGGCAGATCTACCTTTCAAAGCGATCACCAAGTCATGACTTTGCTCGTGACTGCACGGTATGAAGCTGATCCGCACGAGACGGAGAGACTGATGCCTCGAGAGGACGAGGAATCAAATGAGAAAGCAAAGGCGACGGGGAGAGACAGTGGTAATGACGCTGTCAATCGCGAAGCGGAAGTGTCAATCAAAAGAGAGTGGACGTGAATAGAGATTGGCCGGATACGCCGATCAGGAGCAGAAGAAGGCTGATGGTGATGCTAGGAAGGAACGAACAGACCAACCTGTTTATTGCATTTCAATCTATAGCGGAGCTGAGCAACCACGCTTTCCCCGCTCTGATATGTGCAGTCCTGACAGCCCATTTGTCGCCCTTGGGCCGCGGATTGGACGGCCCTGGAGAGTCAATGATGGGATAGAGGGCGTTGCAGCAGCGAACCCGGAGCTGTGGAAAGCGCGACTGAAGAAAGTGCCGAATGGCTGCACGGATCGAGTTGAGATGCAAGCGCCCGCTTCTCCATGCAAGGGACTGACGAGATCGACCCTGTAACTGCACCGTTTTGCCATGCCCGAACGAGCTTCTGTTTCACCACGCCAGAATCTTCAACGTCTGCTTCTGAAATCTGACTTGCTGCTTGACACGACACTGCCAAGGGGCTTTTTAAAATGAGCTGCCCGAAGCAAGACAGATTGATTCTTCTGAAATCTGCCCTTGGCAAGCGCTCGAGCGTTCGTGACAGTGTGTGACCGGGCTTGTGCTCGTGCTGATCACTTTGATGCTCATTAGCCAATCGTCGTCTTTATTGCTCGTCCTACACGGCCCAATCGTTGTTGCTGTGCCTCTCGACATGTCGCTTCCCAGTCGCAGGATCATCTCTGGATTCTTCAACTTATCCATGAGCTCTCATAGGTCTTGAAGAAAAGCCACACCGGGCCGGACATTACTTGGTAGCGCCTCTCGGGACGGAAGACGACGGTGTTATCAAAAAGTCACAGAGACCCCCAATGCACCCATTCCAGATTGCTGGGACCTTATGACCAGCATGGGTGATATTGACGACCAGTACGCATATCGAGTATCAATAGAAAACAAAACCACTCAGAAATTGACTCGAGAATGGGCATGTTGTGGTCACCATTTGTTGCAAGCCGGGTAACCCTGCTTCGGGCTGACCTCTCCCGAACCCCGCGTCGAAACGCTCGAATTTTTCGAGTTTGAGAAACGTCAGGCCGACAAGTTTTGGAGTTTTGACACTGCCTTGACATTTCCGATCTCACAACCCTATCTCAATCGGCGAGCCTTAATCGAAGTCGAAATCTCGAAAAAACACACCGACGGATAAGCCCTCCAGCAAGGCGTACTACGATCAAAGGACGGTACCATCCCATCTTATCCCCCAGTTGAAGGCAGAAAGAGCTGGAAAGGCTTGAAACAACCACACAAACACTCCAAAATGGCATCGCGTGTCCAAGAACTACCCGATGATTTCGACGACAAGATCGACCTGAACAAGGCACCTCCGGAGGTCAACGGACCTGCACCAGCGCCCGAGGCTGGCGGTGAAGGCGGTCTCTCGTTCGACATGATGATGCAAGCCGCTGCCAAACATTTCCCGGCAAAGAAAGATGCAGTACCTGAAGGTGACTCATCCCAGCCAGGTGCAGAGATGCCCCCCGGCATGGCAACAGCAAGACAATACACAGCAGACGAGATGTGGCAGATGCTCAACAAATCTCCACTCTTTATGACTGAGCTTGACGAGACTGGCGAAGATGGTGGTGAGAACGTAGCACTGGAAGCACTCAAGGCTCTGGCCTACGAAGGCACGCGCGCTGAGAACGCCGCCTCGTTCCGCGAACAAGGAAACGAGAATGCGCGCCTCAAGCGCTGGAAGGACGCTCGCGAATTCTACGATCGCGCCCTGGGTGCTCTGAAACTGCCACAAAAGACTGCCGACCCGAAAGAACGCGAGGAAGACCCGGAACACGACTTGGCCGAAAAGGACTTTGTCGAACTCGACGAGGAAGAGGAAGCTCGCAAAGAGAAGGAACATGAGGAGGCTTCCTTGGTTAACCGCGCACTCTGTAACCTCGAGCTGAAGAACCACGGTTCTTGCAATCGCGACTGTGCCGCTGCTTTGAAAATCAATCCCCTGAACGTGAAAGCATACTACCGTAGTGGCATGGCAAACTTCCATCTCGACAAACTCCCCGCCGCAAGTTGGTCCTGCGATCTGGGCCTGAAGATTGATCCGACAAACAAGTCTCTCCTGCTACTTTCTGAAAAGATCCAAAAGCGTAGAGACCAGATCGAGAAGGCTGAACGCGAACAACGTGAGAGAGAAGAGAAGGCCCACAGAGAAAAGCAGACTTTGGCCCTAGCCTTGAAGGGCCGTAACATTGCCACGAGGTCGACAACAACAGCACCGCCTCAACTCGAAGATGCCGTCGTCCAACTCGAAGATCCCACAGATGCAGCTTCAACTCTCAGCTTCCCTTGTCTTCTCCTCTACCCTCTACACAACCAGACCGACTTCATCAAATCTTTCGCCGAAGACGAATCAGTTGGCCAACACCTCGAATACATATTCCCATTGCCTTGGGATGAAGATGAGCAATACATGCCCGAGAAAGTGGAATGTTACATCGAGACCAAGACCGGCGGCTTGGTAAAGGCCGGCAAGAAGATGGCTTTGCTCAGAATCCTGAATACCGGCAAGGTAGAAATCGTGGATTCTCTGCTCAGAATCAACGTCGTACCAAGCGCCAGGGCACAAGAGTGGGTGGATAATTTCAAGAAGATCAAGGCTGCTGCCAAGTAGAAAGAGCGCTCCTTGCGAATCGAGAAAACTCATTGATGGGACGAAATTGCTTCCCAAGCATCTCCAAAAATAATTGGCCTATGGATCCCGAAACGTGATAATCCTATCAAGATATCATGCTGCTACTGCACCTTTTCTATCCGACAGCCACAACTTGCCATCCATCCAAGTGCACAATATCTCTCAAATTATAGAAATTGTCAGGCGTGGAGAGAGCTACACCATCATACCTTTCAACTCGTGAAGCCGTCGACAAAAACCCCTTTCCGCCTCAGTTAACAACATATTCTCACCGCCTCTAGCCGCAAACTCCCTCAAACCCCCTGCCCTCCCCGTCCTTACCATCCAGTCATACACCTACCACCAACCAGACCTAACCTTTATATTCATCAAATTTCAGTGCTCTAACTAATTATTCCAGCCGTGGTGGTGTAGTGGTTCAACACACCCGTGGTCTTAACACGTGCGCAGTCATTCGTTGTTACTCAACGCCGTGTCAGTCTAGATCCGAGGAGGTCGCGGGTTCGATTCCTGCCCATGGTGCTTATATTATTTTTGGTTCTTTTTTTGTCTGGAGATGTGTGTTGTTGGTGTTGGTGTTGGTGTTGGATTGATGGTTTGGTGGTCGCAAGGTGGTGATTGGTTTATCGTTGTCGTGGATGTGATCTTTACTGAGGCTGTACTGTATGTAAATGTTCCGATTTGTCGTCCGCCTACCTGTTCGTGGCTTCTGCGTTTAGTTCATCGCACCTTGTGTGTGAGATGTTTGGTTTAGTGAATGATAAAATGATGAACTCCATTTTTATAGCTATGCCGTATATGCACCCTTTCCTTTACCCTGTCTAATATTGTGATGAAACTCGAATCTTTTTTCGGTCATAATCGTCTACCATGCTTTGTAAAAATTTCATCTGGTCAGATAACACATGATACCCCAGAGGCAGCGGAAAGCCTCTATCCTGTCCTTGACGTTGAACAAATCGAACCACTTGGAGCGCTGCAATACCGGGTGGCACCAGTCCTTATCCGTGGGTATGGTTTCGGGGAATTTGCCAGTAGCGACAAAGTCGAGATAGGCGCCGTGGACTCGAAGCTTGAGGATCGAGACATGGTAGTACATGCTAGAAAGCACGTAGACCTGTGTGTGATTAGCAATAGTTCCAGCACACCTCTGCTAGTTAATGCTTACCGTATCCCACTCGCTACCCTCGTCTTTGCCTATAGCTTGATAGTCGCAGTTGGGATCCCAATGAGATCGCATTGGCTCCATCGCCTTCCATGTCTCGTATTGCGTTCTCTTCTTTTTCTTTCCGTTCGCAAAATGAACAGCAGCCTCCTTGCCTAATGCTGCTGCAATGAGGTCGTTCGCGTCGTCCATATCCGGTGTCTCTGGCTCCGCTGCGTCCGAAGCCATCTCGCTGAACCAGTGCTTTCCACTTTTGGGTGTTGGCTTGATCCATACCTTTTCCTCGCGTCCTTGTCGCCGTCTTTCTTGCGCAAGGTGTAAAAGACTGCCAATCTCCTTCAGCTGGTCCAGTCGTAGCTTGTCCCTTATCTCATCATCAGACCCTGAATCGAAGTCTTCCAACTCTTTGCGGACGTAAGCGGCCATGAGCGGTCCCTGGATCATGTGTCTCTTTTCCTTCTCTTTCGGTACGCGGTGAATCAAGAATGACTGGTAGTTGACGGGCAATCGCACACCACTCAACAGCAAAGTGGGATGTACGCGCGGCGAACCGATCTTGCAGCGGAAGGGAAATGCGGCGGCCTCCATGAAGCCTTTGATCACGTCCATGCGATAGACCCAGGGCATCTTGCTGCCAGTCGAAGTACGTCTGCCGCGGTACAATTCTCGTAGGAAGTCGTCGGAGGACGCATCGGAGCCATGAGAAAGGATCTTTGAGAGAGGAGGAGATTCTTGGTCTCTTGCAATGAGTTCGCTGTATGTTAGCGGCGCTGAGGGAGGGAGGTCCACGGAGTCCTCTTCCATGTTTTGCACGTCGAGCATCATATCTTGGTCGGCAAATTCGGGATGGTCTTCGTCGCGTACGCTCTTTCCATCATCGTCCAAGAAAAAGTAGTCGTCAAGATCCGTCTCCCAGTGCTCACTCATACTGTGCAGGGCAGTGAAGAAAGTGCGGAAGTCGCTGAGACGGATCTTGTTCAAGCCTTGGGGCAGGTTTGTGCGAGTGACGGTACGGTATGCGATGTCGTTCTCAGTCTTCAACTCGACCAATCTTGTTACGAAGTTGCCCTGGTTCTGCATGGTGTTCTCGGCCATTGCGGGATTCAAATCTTCATCGTCGGACGGCATGAACGGGCGACCCTCACTGTCGGTCGGGACTAAGTGGTCGACAGGGCATGGTGTTGCGAAACGAACGTTCAGGTCGGTGTAGAACTTTGCAGTGATGTCCGAGACCCTGCGCGATTGCACAAAGTCGCGGCGCAAGTCAGGACGGTCCGACTCATCATGCCAATCTCTGATTCTCAAGGCTTCTTGTCTGGCGTAATTGGGCAGACCGACATGGGTTGGGGGATCGGGTTGCGGTCGTTCTTTGAAAGGATCGATATAGCTGGCGTAATTACTCGCTGTGTCGCATACAGTCAGACGGTGAGAGATTGGCACAGGTTCGGGTAAGGCAAAGGTTTGAGAGGTGCAGATAGGCAGTTGGCATTCAGAACTCTAAGCACGCGACTGCATAAGTTGACAGGGAGTGCCAGGTGCAAATGTCTTGGTCGACTTGGCTATGCGAGCTGCAAGGTCGCCTACCTAAGGTTGCCAGGATGCCTCAAGGGATATGATGATTTGCGAGACAACAAACATACCAGCGCCGAAACCACCAAACATGATGGGCGATTAGTTCAGTCTGTGTCTAGACAGTCTTGGTGTATTACTTGGACTTGGAGTGGCAGGGAGGGGAAAGCGAGAGTGGTGATATGAACGAGAGGCGAGGAAACATGCAAAAGAAAAGCGCACGTAGATCAAGCACTAATGGGCGGCAACATGGTGAAAGGTCGAGTCATTAGATGAAGGTGAAGAAAAAGGAAGTCGAAGGAATTGACAAGATTTGTGGTGCACTTCTTTGCGGGCGTCTAAATTTCCTGGTCGCTCTCTCGTCTTCGCCGTTCGGGACCCCTCCTCACCATGGTCCCTGCCTTCTCCCATGACTTCTCATGACGGCGCGGCGTTCGGGAAAGAACGACTCGTTGTCACGGCCCGAATGGTCGAGGCTTGTTTCCGCCCGGTGTCGCTCGGTATCAAGCACCCCATGGGCTGTAGGTGACGAATCGCTGTGGGTCTCTTTACCAGCGCCGGCTCGTGAGTCGTGAGTGAGAGCAACAACCCCACCATGTTGCTTGGAGCTCCGCTGGAGGAAGGTACAGCCTTGGAGCCACGCGGGTCATCAACGACCGTGAGGGGCATCCGCGATATCTTCTCCATCATAATCAATTCCACATCTTGAATCTGTGCAAAACTCAACCTTTCTGTTCCAACACATTATACCAAATCAGTCAAAATGGTTCTCAACTTTGGCATCATCGGCACCAACTGGATCACCGAGTCCTTCATTCAATGCGCCCAGGCATCTGAACAATGGAAGCTGGCAGCAGTCTACTCTCGCAGTGAGGAAAGTGCTCGCACCTTTGCCAACAAGTTCTCCGTCAAGACCGTCTACACATCCATCGAGTCGCTTGTCCAAGACTCAAACCTCGACGCCGTCTACGTCGCCTCGCCCAACTCCCTCCACTACTCGCAAGCAAAGACAATCCTCCAGGCAAAGAAGCATGTCATCCTCGAGAAGCCCGCCACCTCGACCCACGCCGAACTCGAGGATCTCTTCAAGATCGCCAAAGAGAACAACGTCTTCTTGATTGAAGCCTACCGCCACATTCAAGAAGTCAACTACAAGCTCCTCCGCCGTGTTCTGTTCGACGAGAAGAAGCTGGGAACCATCTTTGGTGCCAGTCTCAACTTCTCCATGTACAGTTCCCGTTACAACAATGTTCTCGCTGGCGAGACTCCCAACATTTTCAGCCTTGAAATGTCAGGTGGCTCTCTTGTTGACATGGGTGTTTACCCCGTCATGTTCGCTATCGCTCTATTCGGCAAGCCCAAGTCGCAAACATACGCTCCCGTCATCTGCCACACTGGTGCCGACGCCGGTGGCTTCATTATCCTACAGTACGAGAAGTTTGGTGTCCAGATCCAACAGAGCAAGTGCTTTACCTCGTTCGCTCCTACTGAGATTTACGGTGAGAACGGCACCATTAGCTTGAACTCCGTCACCGACATCGCCAGCGTCAAGCTTTGGGATCGCAAGACTAAGCAGACTGAAGAACTGGCAGAAAAGAAGATGGACCTCAACTTGCAAGAAGAGGCAACAGAGTTCGCTCGTATCATCAACAACAAGGACACAGATGCCGCTGCTAAGCTCGAGCAATTGAGCTACGACATTGTTTCCGTCACCTCTGATCTGAGAAGACAAAACGGTATCTTGTACCCCGCCGACAAGGCATAGACATGATCACGATCAACCAAAATTGTTGTATATAATGTAGACAAGACAAAAGAAGTAAAAGTCATATTTTGAACAAGAAGTAATAAGAAAAACGCCATTTGTATCCATCTATCTGCACCGCTATGCAAACGTGGGACAAGAAGCCAAAAAGAAAAAAACACAGGCTCCGTGCTCTTTCTAGGAAAATGAATATACACAGGTGTTTGCAAACATTCAGCACTCTCCTCTCTTTACACCCTCGAACTATACCCAACAAACCCATTGCCCTTTGCTTTCCTCCTCTCATACCACTTCCTCCCCTCATCAACCCAAAACACACTACTAGCCAGAACCACCAAGCCCAAAATATCCCTGAAGCCCAAAGCCTCTGTTTGGAAAACGCCCTGCAGAGGTGGGAAATAAATCACCAATGCCTGTCCTAGAAGAGACCCAGCAACGGCATAATTAAACATTGCATTTGCTTTGTGGCCGGTGAACTTGATTTCGCCGAGCAAGAGGGATTTGGTGGCCGAGCGGCAGGTCAGGGCGTTGAACATGTCAAAGAGGACGAAGGCGGTGAAGGTGAGGGTTGTGTCGCGAGGGGACACTTCGTGGCTGGAGAGGTCGGTGGAGGAGAGGTTGGAGATGTAGGTGTATAGTGTGCCTGCCATGATGACGAGAGAGCTCTGCAATACTCTTCGAATAAGGCGGGGAGTAAGTACACGAGCGTGACGGGGTCGAGGAGGAAGCGTAAGCATTGTTTTATCGACAGGTTCGACACCCAAAGATTGAGCAGGGGGTCCGTCCATGAGGATATTGATCCAGAGAATTTGCATAGCGTTGAGGGGATTCTTGTAGCCAAACGCGCTGCTCAGCATTACAAGCCCCAAAGCGGCGGCAGAGGTGCTGAGCTGGAAGGTCAGGAAGTTTTGGATGTTGTGGAAAATGCCTTTGCCTTCTTCGATTGCGGCAAGGATGGTGCTGAAGTCGTCGTTTGTGAGAATCATGTCGGCGGCTTCTTTGGCGACGTCTGTACCGAGTCTGCCCATTGCGATACCAATGTCGGCCTTCTTGAGAGCAGGGGCATCGTTGACGCCGTCTCCGGTCATGGCTACAACGTCGCCTCGTGATTGCAGAGCGCGGATGATCTTCATCTTGTGATCTGGACTTGTTCTTGCAAAGACCGATGTGCGTGAAATTGCTTGAGCGAGGTCTTCGTCGCTCATCTGGTCCAACTGGTCTCCGCGCAGGACTGGGGAGCCAAGTGCTGAAGACATATTGATGGGCATGCCGAGCTTCTTTGCAATAGCCACCGCGGTGGTCTCGGCATCACCAGTGATCATAATAACCTTGACTCCACCGGCCATAAGACGACGAATAGAGCGGTCCACACCCTTGCGAGGAGGGTCGTTCATGCCGACCAATCCAGCAAAGCATAGGCCAGTATAAAGGTGGTCTTCATCGGCCAGGGATGAGCCCTCGGGTTTAGGCGAAGTGCCGCGGGACGTCCGGCGATCCTTTGATTCACGAACGAGTCCACTTGCCAATCCAAGGACACGAAGTCCGTCCTGAGCCATGTTCTCGGCTGCCTTCAACGCTTCTTGACGTCTCTGCTCATCCAGAACAACTTCGCGTCCTTGGGAAGTCATGTAAGTGTCACAGCGCCCAAGGACACGCTCGAGAGCACCTTTGATGTAGGCGGTTGCAGGTCCGTTAGGTTCGAGCGGGTTGTGAATGACTACACCCATCCATTTGCGCTCTGAGCTGAATGGCGTCTCGTTACGTCTGCTACCGATGTTGTGTCTAATGTCATCTTCACCGAACGCATCCAGGAGGTCCAGAAGTGCAACATCGGTCGGCTGACCAGTCCAGCGGCTCTTTGCGTTGGACATATCGCCTCCCATGGTAGAGGAAAGAATGGCTGCGGAAGCCGCTGTTGCGTGAGAAGAAGACTCGGAACCTAGTCTTCCATTATTGACAATGTTGCCAATACGTAGGATAGAGCGTGTGGCCGAATCAGAGGGGGCTGTTGCATGCACCTTTACTACATCTACCGGTGCCTCATCGTCAAAGTGCCACATTTTGGTCACAGTCATATGGTTCATGGTAAGAGTTCCAGTCTTGTCGCTGCAAATGACATTGACAGAGCCAAGAGTCTCCACACTCGGAAGCCTACGCACGATGGCATGTCTTTTTGACATGCGAAGTACGCCGAGAGCCAAGGTGACGGTGACAATAATGGGCAGACCTTCGGGAATAGCAGCCACAGCAAGAGAAACACCGATTTGGAACAGTTCCAGGAAAGGCCTTCCACGGATGAAACCAATAAGCATGATGAAAGCGATGATGCCAAAGGACATGTAGCTGAGCTCTTTGCCGAGGTTGTCCATGGAAAGCTGTAGGGGAGTACGAGGACTCTCAATCTCTTGCAGTGAAGCAGAGATGGCTCCGAATTCCGTACCACCTCCTGTACCAATGACGATACCCTGTCCGTAGCCTGAGCGAACGAGTGTTCCCATAAATGCGATATTCTTTTGCTCGTTCAGACGCAGGTCGGCACCTACAGTACCTGAAGCCTCGGACGCGTATACAGGCGAGCTGGGATATCCTTCTCTTTTCAGTGCTGTGATGCTTGCAGCAAACTTGTGAACAGGCTCGTTTTCACCAGTCAAGTTGGACTCGTCGATGGACAGGTCTGCAGCACGAGTGATACGTATGTCGGCAGGAATGCGATCGCCAGTGTGGAAGAGGACAAGGTCTCCGACGACCAATTGACCAGCGAGGATAGTCGTCGACGCCTTTTCAGCATTGGCCAAAGAGACCTTCTCAGCGTCCTCGAGTGTGTCATTCTCGGGCCTGCGCTCTGCGCTGCGGATGACATGGGCAGAGTGAGGTACGAGCGAGTTCAAGGCCTCCATAGACTTCTCTGAGCGGTATTCTTGGACGAAAGCGACTGTGACGACAATCAAGACGGCAATAGCAATACTGATGGCGTCTTCCAAGTTGCCCATGACGGCAGAGATGGCGGCGGATGCCAGGAGCAACAATATCAAAGTCTCTTGAAACTGCTTGACAAAGCGCAGCCATAGCGGTTCAGGTTCCTCGTGAGGTAGTTCGTTCGGGCCATCGCTATGAAGACGTGTGGCAGCTTCGTTCGGTTGCAATCCATGAGTCAGCGATGTTGAGAGGCGGGTCGCTGTTTCCTGCGGCGTAAGGACTGCATGGTTGGCTGTGACGGTTTGCTACGAGAATAAGTGTCAGAAGCAAGCAGTTCTTGGAAGTGCGGCATTTAGGGGTAAGCTCGAGACGCGAGTTTTGCAGATGGATGGAATTGAACGGTTCGGGATGGGCAGTAAGGGAAGCAGTGGATTGAAGATACCGGAGTCCTTTGTCGGTTGAGAGGTGGTCGTCCTTGTTCAGGGGGAGCTAGATCCTGCCTCGAGGCATTGTACATGGGCAAAGCCGGGGTGGACGAACGGGACATGTCAACGAGTCGCAGTCAACATGGGGCCTGACAATGCGCGGGATACGGCGGCAGTGACAATGCCGGACACGAGGTAGCACTTGAGACTGGGTGTCGGAAGGTGAATGTAAGAGCGACACCGAGGACTGATTGTTAGGACGCAAATAATAAACGCTCGAGGGCTAGGGTACGTGGCCTAGCCAGACGGAGACTGTGGAGAAAGCTGCGAATCTCCTGTTGAGCCTCTGCTATTGTTAGAATTGTGGAAAGTAGAGTGATTGTACTGTGTTTGATATGATTCTTCCATCTGCTAATGCTGCGGTCTGTCCACGATGAACATCCCGTCTGTTCTACTTGGTAGACGACCTTCAAGTGCCATCCCATGCGGCTGCTGCATTCGTCTTGAGAAAGCGTCATTTTCGCTTGGCAGAGTTTCTCAAGCAGCAGCAGGAAGTTACCTATTTCCGGAATGTTGCTTACATGGATTGAAACATGAAGAGCATCCAATTCGACAATAGCCTGCTTTCAATTCGAATAAAAATACGACTCGATAGAAGGCTCTATACATGTCTATAGAAAACTCCATTGAGGCCCATTGTTCGAGAAATCAATGGGCTTGATGAATTACCTGGAGCACGTGATGAACGGTTGCCCGACCTACCGACCCACCCGCTTCTTGGTCTCTTGCTTGCGACAGGCCAATCTACCACCACTCTATTCGTCCACACGCGCCATCTGCTCTGAACCTTTGCGATACTCCGTCTACGACTCGATAGACCTACGCGACCGCCGAAAATCGAACGAAAAGTCTTGCGCCGACTGTGCATCACACCGCGACAGGCCGAAAAGTTAAAATCGAGACGCGTCGCGCGTGTCGCTGCCAGTCAACACTGACGCATCTGCTTGCTGGGCCTACCCACCGCAACACCACAACACCATGTTTTATTCCGAAACTCTTCTGTCAAAGACGGGTCCGCTCGCCCGTGTTTGGTTGGCCGCCAACATCGAGCGCAAATTGACCAAGAACAACATCCTGCAATCAGACATTGGAAGCAGTGTCCACACCATCATCAAGAATGATCATGCTCCTATCGCTCTGCGCCTCAGCGGTCAGCTTCTGCTCGGTGTCGTCCGTATCTACAGCAGAAAGGCTAGATACCTGCTAGACGACTGCAATGAAGCTCTCATGAAGATCAAGCTCGCCTTCCGTCCTGGAAATGTCGACCTTCCCTCCAACCAATCGCATACAGCAAACCCTGCCGCCCTCGTGCTTCCCGACACAATCACCGAATTGGATCTCTTTGCACCAATGCCCGATCTCGACGAGCTACTACTCGACAGCACCCCTGGACCTGGTCAAGATCCCACTCTTCTGGACTGGGGCACTAGTCAACTTCTCCCCGAGAGCATGGACACTCGTGGAGATGCCGATAGAACTCTACAGCTTGAGGATGATGATCTCGGTCTGGACATTGGCGAAGACATTACCGAAAGAAGCCCTGAAATTGGTAGACGCGCCGAGACACCGCGCCCAGAATTTAACGATCGAAGCATGCTCTTCCAGGATGACTTGGATCTGGACATTGGTGATACCGAGGCCACCATCGAGAAGGACGTTCCCATGGCTCCTTTGCCTATGGATGATGACATCGAGATGGGCGGTCTCGATCTCCAAATCGAAGAGAGCAACCTCGATGCTTTGAACCGCGCAGATGTCCGTCGTGAGCGTGATAGTGTCTCGCCTCTTTCGTCTGTTCGTTCCAGTGTCGAGCGTGATCTTGAGCAGACCTTCCAGCTCGAACAGCACCCCACCGAAATTGAGCAAGACGAGACCATGATCCAGGCACAGCAGCGTGCCAAGCGCCGCAAGGTTCTTCCTGCTGACCTCAACACCGAACTGCAAAACTCCCAGATCCGCGCTCAACAAGAGGACCGCAGCAAGATTCTCAAGGCTCCCGTTTTCCTTCCCAGAGATCCTGTCCTCCTTGCACTCATGGAGATGCAAAAGAACGGCGGTTTCGTCTCCAATATTCTGGGTGACGGTCGTAGCATGGGCTGGGCACCCGAGCTGAGAGGCGTTCTCTCCCTCGAGGTCGTACGCACAGCCGGTGAGCTCAAGCGTAAGAGAGATAGTGGTCTTCCCCAAATCGAGATTCCCGAGGAGGAAGAGGAGGCCAATGCTCCTGAGGCTGCCACTTCACCTGCACCTGAGGCTTTCCAAGAGCCCACGCTCGGTGCTGATGACTTCGCTCCTGCATTTGGTGGTGATGACTTGCCTTCAATCATTGAGCCTGCTCCAGAGGATGAGATGGAAGCTTACTCTCCGGCACCTGCTTTCGATGAGACTACTATGCCCGTTCTTCACCCTGCCGACTCTGGACCTGTTTCACTCGGCACCAAGCACGCCGTTCATCTTTTGCGTGAACGTTTCTCAGACGAATCTGGTGAGCCACCATCACCCTCAACCCGCGCTCAACGCAGTGTCCTCTTTACCGACTTCTGCCCCGAAGAGCGCACGAGCAAGCAAGACGCCACCAAGATGTTCTTCGAGGTCCTCGTTCTCGGTACAAAGGACGCCGTGAAAGTGGAGCAAAGCTCGGACGAGCTTGGTGCTCCCCTCCGCATCCGTGGAAAGAGAGGTCTCTGGGGCGATTGGGCAGAGATGGGTGCCGGCGGCGAGATTGCAAGCCAGCGTCCCGAGGTTGCTGTCACGATTTGATGGCCTATTCTATCTTACGTTGCGACGTCCTGAAGTGATTTCCAAGCGTTTTGATGGTTTGGCGTTGATGGCGTTCCCAAGGGTATAATCGATTTTGATGGCTTGATTTGCAAAAGGCACGGGGATCTTATCATGCTTGTTGAGCGAGCATTGATACGCGTAGTATGCGCAGCTATTAGGGCAGTGCAGGGCTACTCGGAGCCTAGTTTCTTGGTTTCTTGATGGCCTTCTTTGCAATTCGCAGCCCTTGTCCATCGATAGCATGCGGCAGAGTTATAGGGCACCCTTTTTCATTAGTTTAGCTGTCAAGTTAGAGTAGAAAGTTTAACCAAGTCCAGTTTGGCACCAAACACTTTGCGGCGTGCGCGGAAGACGGAAGCCACCCGCTCCGTACCTGCAGCTTCTTAATTTTGAGCACACTTGACCCCTTTGCATCACTGTTCTGGTTAAATGAACACTCTATGCTATGACGAGATTTGGCCTGAAGAACCCGATAGAAACAGAACTCGATGGAACTTGCCTGGTAATCGTGGCAAGCGGGTCTGTCTTGTGAGTTTCCTACTCTGCGAAATGCCGACTTCAGGTGCCCAGGAACAAGCTCCGCTACACGCGTCCTAAATCTTCTACGCACGAAACTTTCGCAACCTTAATAGAGCAGGGCAACAACAAGCCCTAGGTCACACAGCCGAACTGATATCTGATCCGACCAAAGCCCTCGAAATAGTTGACTCGCTTTGCTTCAAAGTTGCCGCCAAACGACTCACCTCCTGGCACGGAGCACCGACACAACCAACCTCTGTTCTCGAAACACTTTCCGGTCATTGCACTTGTCCTGATACAGAATACGTGCCGGGTGTTTATTGTTTGCCCTGTACGATCACCACCATGGTTTCCTCGTGGGTGTGCCCTGTCGATCTCAACATACCGGCAGTGATGGAAATGCGAGATTTGTTGGCGGACGAGTGCGGATTAGCTCAGAGACTGTAAGTGTGGTATAGCTTTACTCGGTCAAGCATGTAGGGCACGACGATCTACAGGCAAGTTTTCATATGCCCTGAGTATCTATAAGTATTTTAGCAGCCCTCGGTGTATGCCATCCGGATCACCAGTCTCTCCTTCTCAAGCCCTCTTCCTCTTCTCTATCTCCAAAGATGCACATCTCTTCTTTTCTCGCCGGCACTGCCGCCTTCACCGTCGGTGCCGCAGCCCGTAGCTCTCTCTACGTAGAGAACGCTCCTGATCATGTCCGCCCTTATGTCATCGAGAGATACTCCAATGCCCAAGCTGTTGCCGTTGGCCAGCAGATCTACAGGTTCCCCGTCACTGGTGCCTCGTCCGGTGGTGCCTTCTCCATCCTGATGACTAGCTCTCCCGGATCAGATGCTCTCGGTGTCCTTCCTCACATCCACAAGGCTCATTACGAGAACTTCTTCTGCAGCAAGGGTCGCTACCAACTCTGGACCAACAAGTACGGCGACGAGGAGGCTCGCGTCATGCTTCCCGGTGACTACGGTGCCGTTCCTCGCAACACCACCCACACCTTCCAAGTCCTGGATCCTGATACCGAGATGCTTGGTGTCATCCAACCCGGTGGCTTCGAAGCCCTGTTCTTCGCCATCGCAGACAGCAACTACACCTCCGAGACCTCTTCCCCCTACGTCCCCAGTGCAGCCTCAGGCTCCGCAGACGCAGGCGCCGGCTCCTCATCCTCCATGATCTCCGCCCTCGAATCCTTCGACGTCTTCGCCCAGCTTGACTTCAATCCCCGTCGCGACCTCGTCAACGGCAGTGCCCCTGCAAACGCAACATGGCATACTGGCAAGAACACCGTGCCCTCGAACTCAAACACTCCCTTCTACGTGGCTAAGAACCAAGGTCCTATGTGGTTGAACTCCGAACACGGATATCAAATCATCGCTCCTTTCATCACTCCTACCCAGGGCGATGGTAAGTTTAGCGAAGGCACCATCACCATCGACCGCAAGTTGTCCAACATCACCACACCTGTGCGTCATTTTGCCGATCACTTGGCTTTCGAGGTGCTCGAGGGTGCTCTGCAGGTCAACTTGAAGAACGAGACTGTCCAGTTGTTGCAAGGTGATGTTGTGTTTGTGCCTGGAAACACCACGTTCAGCTATTGGTCCGAGGTTGCGTTTACCAAGTTCTTGTATGTCTGTGCCGGAAACAAGGGATTGGATGTTGAGTTGATGGACAAGGCTGTTGCTTGGGAGTACCCTACTTGGCCTACTTATGCTGTTTAAGTGGTTGGAAAGTGTGCTTTTGTGTGGTTGTTTTTTTCATATACCAATTAGACCGATATAGATAGGACATAGAGCTTTAGAAATTGATGTTTGTAACGACTAGAGAGTTTGTCTTCTCCGTTGTTGGGTTTCGTGTCTTGTGGTGTTTGTGTTTATCATTTGGGTATCCTGCACCATCGTAATAATCATCGTAACCAGTGTTGAGCAGGCGCTCCCTCGACCAAGCGATTCCATAAGCCTACTAAAGCTCATCAGGGTCAAAGACATCCTCGGTCATAGCAGCCCTACCACCACCGCCTCTGGCAGCCCAATCCTCTCTTCTCCTGCGTTCTCTTTCTTCCTGCTCTGCCTGAAGTCTCTCCTCCTCTTCCTGTCTCTGCTTGTCCCTCGCCTCTTGCTCTTCTGCACTCAGAACTGTGGTGGGGTCGGTGCCGTCTTCGATCATGCCTTGGATCGTGGCTAGAGCTCCCATACGAATGACGTCCTGCGATGGCCAGGGGACGAAGGGAAGTTGAGACAGCGGGTCTAGCATAGCCTTTGTTTCTGCACTGAGGGTGGCTACAGCTCTGTTCTCTGTTTGTTCTGGCTGATCAGATGTGCTCGTGTTGTCGCCATTAGCGGCAGGTGTGGCCATGCCATTTGTGATCTGCGTGGTTGGTACATCTGCAGTCACAGGCTGTGGTTTTGAGAGGAGCTCCGTAGAGATGTGGCCGCGGAAAGTAGGTGGGACGGTGGTCTTTGAGATGAATTTTGCGTATGAGAGCAATTCCTCGACGCCGACTTGACGGGTGTTTTTAGCTAGTTGTGAGGAGGGAATATCGAGGAGTTCTTTGCGTGTGTCGGCTAGGGTTCGTAGAGTGGACTTGATCTTTTCATCTAGGGCGTCGGCTGTGGCTCGTAGTTCGAGGATTCGCGCATAGTTTGCATGATGGACGGCGACTATTCTCATTCAGTGAGCTGGTGACGGGTATAGCGGTCCGAGAGACGAGTGTTTACGCTGTCCCAAGCTCTCCTCCAAATCCTCGTCGGCTGCGACTAGTGCATCTGCTGCCGAGACAGACGGGTTGTATGCAGCAACTGATTCGACCAGCGTATTCAGAGCTGTCTCCAGGCGCTGAAAGCGTGCTTGGAATACACTGAGCATGCTTGTTGTGTTGATTGATGCTGAGTTGGGAAGTTGACCAATCATGAGGCAGTCGCATTCTCGGAAAGCACATGTCACGGCTCGGTGGTCAAAGCGATCAAAGCACCGAGGCACGCGACAGCGAGGCGCCTTCCACGTCTTGCTTCACTTCGCTCTTGCTCTTGCTCTTGCTCTTGCATCTGACAGCAAGGTGCATCTCAGCCTCAATCTTTTATATCAGCAGCTTACGTTGGGCATGACCACGTCGACATCTTCCGCCGACTGCTCGGGTGATACGTGGCAGCTGTCCACTAATCATGCAGTGCAAGCCTTGTCGACATCCTATCAGCCAGCATTTCCATTCTCCGGACTGACAGCTGACCGGTCCGACCAACTTTTCCCATCATGTACCATGTAGGTTGGCTCGAATAAGATGCTCGACATGCCGGCTCGAGCGCCTTCCATCTCTTCTACTTGAATTTTACCCTCTCCTCGTAGCCATCCAATAGCAGTGACACCTGTATGACCATATTATCCCGGTGCTCTGCCCCGCAATTTACTCTCACATTACCTCTTATTCATGAACACCATTGCACGGAAAAACTCGAGGAAACATGGACCCGCATGCTTTTGCTCGAGCCTTTCTCAACAAACAGACCCACCGCCCTGCATCCAGTGGCACCACCACTCCTGATCACATCACTCCCTTTCCTATCCGTCTCATTCACGAAAGGGCCCCACGAAGGCCCCGTTCCATCTCATCAATCATCAGCAAGCCCTTGAACGATGACTTTTATCGCTTCTGGGACCGCTTCCTCGCGACCTCTCCGAATCGTGCGCTAAACACATCTGCTCTGGCTCGCCGCCTCGAACAGACGCTCAAAGCCGCCAGCGGTGAAGAAAATGGCCTGCATACCCAGGAGAGCCCTGCTGCGTCTTATGAGCAGGCGAAGAGGGAATGTCAGACCAAGGTTCAGGCCATCGTGGCTGAATGCAAGCGTCTCAATCAAAGATACCGAGACAGACAATTCGAAGTCGAGCTCTACCAGCATGACTGTATCGTTCCCTTGGTGGACGATGAAGGAAACACAACTGCTATACAGCCGTCCGGTGTCAAGCGAGTGAAGGTAAGTACCTTGTGTATGCTTTTTGCGTATATGCAGTATGCTTACAGATCTTGAAGGACATTTTCGAGAAACCGACCTTCAACGCAGAAGGCGCGTGTGGCGACGATGTCATGCAAGGCTCACTTGGCAACTGCTGGTTCATTGCAGCTTTAGTCTCGGTCGCTGCAAAGCCAGGGCTTATGCAACGGCTCTGCGTGGCTCGAGACGAAGCTGTAGGTGTATATGGCTTCGTCTTCTTCCGCGACGGAATCTGGATACCAGAAATTGTAGACGACCGCCTCTTCATACACGTCTCTGACGGCGACGACCTATTCGTTGGCAAATACGTGGAGGAGAGACAGACAAGGAGTACCTTCAACAACAGCAACGACATAACGAAGCTGAGGGAGAGCTTGCAGAAGGGGGGTGAGGCACTCTACTTTGCGCGATGCAGAGATAGTCAGGACACATGGTTGCCGTTGATCGAAAAAGCGTACGCAAAGGCTCATGGTGATTATGGCTCATTACATGGCGGCTGGGTTGGTGAGGGCACTGAAGACTTGACCGGAGGCGTGTCCATCAACCTTGCGCCATCAGATATTATGGACAAGGCACGGCTGTGGGAGCAGCTGATGCAGGTCAATGAAACTTACCTTTTCGCTGGCGGAGCATTTCACTACAAGGAGGCTGGCAACTTTGGAAAGCACGCTTATGCCGTGCTTCAGGCGGTTGAACATAAGGGGCTTCGGCTGCTGAAAGTCAGGTACGCTCTTTCCTTGTTGATGGATCCGGACGATTTGTCGCTTACCTACGCTAGAAACCCTTGGGGCAACAACAAAAACACAGACAACTTTGATGGTCCTTTCAACCACAAATTCGAGGAATGGAGCGCTGAGCTTGTTGAGCAACTCAAGTTCGATTTCAAGGATCCTGGCGTATGGTACCCTCCGTCTGTTGTACTTGTCTTTTAAGCTAACAAAAGCAGGTCTTCTGGGTGACCCTAGACAATTTCCTCCGATACTTCGACTCCATCCAACGCACACGCCTATTTGACGAAACCTGGACGCTGACCCAACAATGGACCTCCGTAAATGTGGCAGCAGGTGCGGTCACCTACCTAGATACTAGCTTTCATATCACTGTGGCTCGCCCAGGACCGATCGTCATCGTTCTCGCCCAACCAGACGTCAGCTATTTCCAAGGTCTCCAAGGCCGCTACACGTATTGCCTCCACTTCCGCGTCTACGACGCGAAAGACCCCACAAGATACTTGGCTCGTAGTATGCACGTTTCTAGCGGGAACTACATCAACACACGTTCGGTCAGTGTAGACCTCGATCTCGAGGCCGGCAGCTACAACGTCCTGATCAAGATCTCGCCATCTCGAGTACCCTACCGGACCGCCGAGTCGGTCATCGAAACAGAAGCACCATATCGTAAGCAGAAATTGCTTCAAATCGGCCGCAACTTCGAACTTGCCCATGCGAAAGGCAAACTCAGAGAAAAGGAACAAGAGGTTAGAAAGCAGAAGAAAGAACAACAGAAGAGGGAGTCAAGGGCACGGCAGTCCAAGATGAGGATGCTCAGGCAACAAGTCAAAGCCAGAGAGAAGAAACGTAAAGACAGAATTGCACAAGAGAAGAGAGAGCGAGAAAAGATGGACCTCCTTAAGCGGGCGGGCGTCGTTTTTGCTCCCTTCCCAAATGATGATCCGCCTGTCAATCTGACCAGCAAGCCTGCAGGAGGACCTGTCAGTCCGCCACCGTTACCACCACCTATGAAGTTTACGGGCTACGTTGGAAGCGATATGGATCCTAATGCCGAGCTCGAAGACGATGACTTTGCGTGGGACAGTGAGATGGATGGAGATGTCTATTCGTCCTCTAGTGAGGATGAAAAGGACTGGTTTGCGGATGATCCATGGAATGCATTGCTTGTGCTTGGCTTGAGGGTGTACTCTCAAGCAAGTGGTGTCTCAATCAAGGTCCGTGATGGCGACGAAGCGTATGATGATTTCATCGTCGTGACCCCACCGTCGACCAGCACATCAGACACTGAAATGCCAACCAAGGCCACAGAAACAAAGGAGGAAAAGAATGGCAAGACAGACGATCAAATGGAGAACCCCAAGGCTCAGACTCGGCCCGAGGATGCCAAAATTGATGGTGATGCCGAAAAGCAGCCTTCAGTCTCGAGCGAAGCAACACTAGTAATGGAAGCGACATCGGACACAGAAGAGAAGACCCTCAGAAGCGATTTTGACGACAAGCCGGCCCACCACGACGCCAGTGTGACAATCGAGAAACCGGCTTCAGAGGGAATTGCGAGTCAGACACCAGACGAAGAAGCTGCATCGGCATCGAAGGACGAGCAACAAGAAGCAGGGGCAGGGAAATCAATCTCGGAGGAAAAGGCAGATTGAGGTGATCAACCTGAAGATGACTTTGACCTCAATGATGGCATTAGTCATGATACCTATGTAGCGTATGCGGACTACAACATCTTCCCTCTAATACATAATAGCAATACTGCTCTTCTCTCTTCTAGCCAGACCCTCCCACCGCTTCACCAAGACCAACCGGTAGAACAACTCTCCCAGGCTTCAAGCAACCTTCGACCATCACATTCCTTCCATCAGCACCACAATATTGCTCTCGCATGCATTCCCTCTCGCTCTCGCCCTTGATTGCAGTCCTCATGTCTATGAAAGCTTCAATTTGCTCTGGACTCAACTGGCGGTAGTCGAAAACTGCAGTGGGGTGGTCGAATTTGCATTAAATCCAAGAGCGCGCAGAGAAAGTCGATTCCTTGCTATGACCGCGAACGTTGGCTATTCTGTGCCGTAGTCCCGAGTAAAGACCAGATAGGTAGGTGCGTAGGGTTGCGACTGCTGCTGCAAGGTGCATTCAGCCATGCCGGTAAGTCCCCGGTAAGTGATTTGGTTTCCTGTTCGCGCAATCCTCTTTCTCTTCGTCCACGATTGTCACACTGCCCACATTACCTGCCATCAGAAGTAAGTGCATCTTTTGTTTTGTGCCTGTCAGAAGATCTTCTCGAAACGCTTTACTGCATCTTGTCATTACACAACTTCCATTGCCACACTTACAATGGGATCCTACGACGAATTCCTATAGCCAGCCGAAAGACATCTCGCGAGCCTACGCCATCGATGTTGCGAACATCTTGCTAACATTTACTCTAGTGGTCGGCGGTATTACCGTAAATGGCGGAAGCGTCACAATCAACGTAAGTTTAGACACATTCGTACAGTAATCTTATCCCGGTCTGAGGCCTACGATATTTTTAGTCCCTAGCACACATGCTACGTTATTTTCCTTTCCATCTTTTCAACTAATCGTGTCTCCCCATTCCGTTGACATTAACATCGTTCACAAAACTTTATCTTGGTTTCGAAAGAGCTTCGAATGTGCTTTTTGATCAAATCATTTGCCCAATTCACGTCATTTCATTCCAGTGGTCATGTGCTAAAGATATATGTGTAGGAAAATCACTACGGCAAGGGCCGTGTCAACAAGAAGAAGAAGAAGTCACCTGGCCAGACTGGCCGTATCGACGACAAGGGCGCTGTCCAAAAGACCCTGGACACGTCTGAAAATGTAGAGGGCAAGACCAAGAAGAAGCGCAAGCGCAAGCGCAAGGCCAAGGGCAAGGGTAAGGGGAAGGGCACTCCTCCGCCCGACCCCAAGCCTGCGCCCGAGTCCCTCGAGGGCGACAAGGTCAAGAAGTCTTCTGGCCTCGTATGTTATATCTCTTTTACCTCTGTCTGCCTTTCTTTGTGTTTGACAGACACTCTTTCCACAGTCTATGATGTTCTATCTGCTGTGGAGATTTCGTCTGCTCGACTTTGAAGGACAAACATGTGTATCGGGATCTCTGTATATTTTGCTGACGTAATTAGAAATGCAACAAGTGCAAAGCGCCTGGGCATCTCGCCCGTGAGTGCAAGGTATTACCTACGATAACAGAAACATAACGAAACATGCTAACGGCCTTCAGCAGTGCATGCTCTGCAAGGCTTGGGGGCACATCGCCCAGAAATGTCCTGTGTGTAACACTTCTATAGTTTCAAGTGATATTTTTGCTGACAGTAAGTTTCAGACGGCTGAAATGGTCATTGATGAGGATGAAGAGAAGAAGCGCGAGAACGATGAAGGTTCTGCTGGTGGCAGTGGGGACGAGTCTGGGAGTGGTGAAGGAGAGGAAGAGGATGAAGAGGATGAGATTGTAGGGTCTCCTGTAGGTCGACCTCGAACAATTTTGAGGAGTCCTTTTGCTGACAGAACCATTGTAGCAGTCGACGTTGGATTCAGCGTTGGCACTGGTGTCCAGATCAAAGCAAGAATAGCTTGGTCTGTGCGCTCCCCGCTTGCTCGTTGCTCACTCTATCCGAATCATCGATACACCCGTTCACATCCGGTCGCTTCTCTTATCTTCTTGACGAAAAACACCGAAGTCACGTACCTACCTAATTCAACTCCTGAAACTCACGATGGCAATAACAACAACCCTACCACAAACAACCACCATCATGGAAAAAGATATCCTGGACAGAAACATCATGTCAAGAGCAGAACTCGATCGCGTCAAGGCCAGAATACTTGCAAGCAAGACCCTCACTGAATCCAATGATCCCGCACGCAACCTTCAGAAAATGGCCTTGGAATGCATCGAGGATGTTCGCGAACGCATGGCTCACATCAAAGAACGACGCGAGCAAAGACTTCTGGACGAAGAACAAAAAATCTCCTCCTTCCGCTCAGCACTGGCTGAAAGAAACGCATACAAGGAAGTTGAGAAATCCACAAAGACTGGCCAAAAAGCTCACAGGAAAAGAATCGAAGTTTGGAGGGATGAGGTCAAGAAGCAAACAGTTGTGGACAAGAAAAGCGCATCTGGTACTACTACTACTGCCACAACCACTACCTCACAAACATCCAAGAAAAGAGCCTTGGACAACAACAATACATCCTCACCTTTCGATCAAGTCTCGGCAACCAGACCCCTCAACAAACGCTTCAAACTCGCCCTGGAAGACTCATCCTCAGCCGCACAACCCACTAGCAGTAAAAAATCCGTGCCTTGGCTGAGCACCCGCGCATCCATGGACGACGAAGACGTATTCGCAGATGACCATGTTCGCCACCCCGAGTACGAAAACATACCACGCATCAAAAACGACGACGATGCAGATGAAGAACTCGACGATGAGGATTTGGAGTCTGAGGATTCTTACTTGACGCAGCAGGAGCAGTTGTTGGTTGTGGAAATGGCAATGGTTGCAGCGATGCAGTCGATTCTTCCTCAACTGGTGGAGAAGACCAGACCATCACGCTGACACAACGATGGAGAATATTCCTCATATTGCTGGAATGGCTAACGACACAGGAGGATCACGACGTTTATGAGGTAACTGGAATTATGGCTCAACTGAGTCGCTTTGAGGGACGACGAAATGCTTAGCTGAAGCAGAGAAACAGAGTGGTATCATTCATCAATAACAAAAAAAACTTTGAGACGAAAACAATATTCGTGAGAAGAAGTAAAGATCAGGGCCGAATTCGCGACTCAATATGCTCCATATGTCATTGAACCCTATTGTCCCTTTGCCAGCGAAGCCCTGCTCTTTTGACGTAAAAATGCCGTTGAATCAAAACGCCAAAAGTCAGTGGATATCCTTCAATATGCGCCATGATTGTTGTCCGAGATCCAAGAAGTAGCAGTTGCTGCCAAATGCCATGTCCGCTGATATCGCTTATCGCGGGCCAGTATATTCAGGCTTGCGCGCAATGTTGACAATAGGCGGAGGGCCGTCGGTATCCGGGTACGGCGGCAGAGCTTGTCGCAAAGGTGCAATGTTGAACGATCCTCCACCATAAGATGCATGCCTCATTGGGCTTCCAACAGTTGGGCTGGAAAGAGTAGGACTCATAGGGGCAGATGTATCGGGGTACGGTAGGGGTGTTTTCGGAGGCAAGGGAGGGGCGTAGTTGGCGGTGCCGCTGTCCTGAGATTCTGGACGGTATTGGCTTAATGAGCCACTGGAGCGGTGGAGAGAATCCATCGAAGGTCGGTATGCGCCTGGAGGAGGTGAAGGTCGTGTGGCGCTGGTCGGTGTGGCTAGAGGCTGAGGCCATTGGTCGTCAGATACGACTGTGTATTTCATGTCAGAGATTGAAGATTGGCGCATAGGAGGTTGTGACGTTGGAGGGCGCTGTTGGTATGATTGCGGCGGAAAGACGTCGTCTGCTGGGAGTTCAACAGCAAGAGGGTTGCTGGGCGGTGGGATCGGAGGAAGAGGAGCGTTCTGTCGAGAAAAGGTTGTATTGATGACTTCTTGTCCATCCCATGATGGGTGTCGGTCGTGACGGTTCTTGCTGAAATGAATTTTCGCAAGTTTGGCAGCAGCGTCGAAATTCTGTTGCTGTACATCGGGGCGGGCAAGATGCATACGTGTACTGGTGCTGATATCGCCGAGGCGATTCCATTCATTCATGCCGTACTCGCCGACACCAACCTCGACATTGAGACGATAGTAGTTCTGGCGGTTGACTTGACGCTTCGACAGATATTCCTCAATCATGTACTGATGTGTCTCCTCGCATGCCTCAATCTTTGCGATGAGTCTGCGACGGGCTTCGGCAAAGTCACCCATGCCACCTCCGACAAAGTCCTCCCACCACTCGTGTTGGCGATTGTTGGTGCCTGGGGGACGTTTGCCAGTGCCTATACTGAAGAAGACGCCGACCTCTCTTCCTGGCCATTCATTGCAAACGGCCTCGTCCAGAATTTGAGGGCTTGGGTTGTATTTACCTGCACCTTCGTCCAGAAAAGTACTCTGACCAATTTGAATCGGCTTGAAGGCCAGGGCAGTAGCTGAAGTGGCGCGTCCAGCCTGCCAGATGTAGCAGTTATATTCGGGTGAAGGTTCCTTGCGCGAGTCGTATGATCGTAATAAAGCAGGCTTGCCGCCCTTAGGAGTGCCGCGATATACAGCAGTCACTGCAGTCTTTGTCCTGTTCTCGCGGCTATCGTAGAGTAGCGCATTTGGGTTGCCCCATCTTGAGATTCCGACAGAAGAGCGAGGGTCCACAGGGGTCATGCCAATGGTGCTGTGTCTGCTGGCAACGCTGACGGAGCGAGCAGGTCGGGCAACTTGAAGGCTTTGGCGTGAGGTTGAAGAGACGGCATCTTTGGAATCGTTGCCTTCGTCGTCATAGATTGTGTGCTCTCTTACGCATTCCCGGATGGCTTCCTCGAGTTTACTGGCCTTGAACAGAGTAGAGCGGTATGGTATTCCAGCTATCGTCTTGTCCGTCTCAAAGACACGACGGGTCATGCGTACATAGACGTCTTTACAAGTCTCGATGTCCAGTCGTAAGCGTCCCAGCATGATTGCGATCAAGCCGCCGGTACCCGTTCCAGCAATCAGGTCGAAGTGTTCGCATGGTTTCGGGATCTCGTGTCGCTTTGGGGCGCGTCCTTCGATCTCGACGAATGTCCGGTGCATCAACTCTTGCAGGATAATCAACATGCTGTAGCCGCGGACACCTCCGCCGTCCAGACACAGGATGCGCAAAGGCGGGCCCTTGGTCGTGTCTTTTCTCCGCACTCCGTTCGCGACGTCCATGTTTCGTAGTCGGTGCGCTCGGGTGCGCGTTTCGTAGGTTTCAGATGGTCCAGTCGGTCAAGTTGAATTCGTGGGAGTCGTAGGTTGCGCTTGGCGTATTCGTGTAGGAAGGATGGTTGTGCTTGGCTAGAAACGGACGCCTTGAAAGTTGAAGGAGTTGTGAATCTCACTCGTGTCTGTAAGCTTGACTAATGCGTCATTGCTCGTGTTGGGCGGCACTCGAGATCCGACTGTTTCTTGGTGAAGACTCCTGTCTTGAATGAGCAGAAAGTCGAATCATAACAGGCGGCAACTCTTATTGCGAAACAAGTGAACCGGCACGCGAACCACTTTGGAATCACCCTCATTGGGTACGCATCGCGGGGCATGATGCGGTGACGTTGTGGAGGCTGTGCTTTGCCATGTTTTTGCTCGTGCCTGTCGCTCTATTTTGGTGACAAGCTTCATTTCAACCTTCTTCTAACCCGGCGCTCGCTTGTCCGATCATCACAATAATCAAGACCTTCCAGCCTCTTGATTTCCCGCCTTCTTGCAAGTCTGGTTCGCTTGCATCAATCATGACAACTTGTTTGCTGAGCCTGCTTCGGCAATAGACTGGCCTTAGAGGCTTCGTGCATGCTCGATGGACAGACTGCCGATTCTTGGGCTTCTCCTATATTTTCTGAGTATGATATGCTAAGCTGGTGTACCTTATACATGTTATACAGCATCTGGAGACCACAGTTTTCCGCATGCAATCTTCTATATGGGCTATCTGTATACTAGATTTGGAAAAGGCTTCCAAGACTACCCCTCTATCGTGCTCCCACACCAATTTGCGGGGCAATCGACTGATAGAAAGTCCGATCGACCTCGCGCCTTTTACTCGACATCTTCCTCCCTTCTTCTTCTGTAGACAAGATTCGTAGGTTTGATTCTAATCACCACTTCATCTCTGTCTATCCACCAAAGCACTCAACCATGCACATCAGCAGGGTCAGTATTGTCGTTCGCCGCTCAACCGAAGCGTCTCTTACAGGCTCAGATACTCGTTTACCCTATCAAGTCGGTTCGACCGTATGAACCTTCCTCCGCCGAAGTCACTAAACATGGATTCACCTACGACCGCTGCTACATGATTCTTCAGGTCCAGCCAGATGGCTCGTTGAAGAACATGCATGTCGCCTACTTCCCCGAGCTGACGCTACTGTTCGCCGAGATCAACTTTCCCAAAGATGTTAATGTAGAAGAGGCCTTTATCGACCTGACTTGGCGGCCACCACATGGCGAATCAAAAGATATGAAGGTTCCGCTTGTTCCCGACACAACATCACTGAAAAAGATTGGAGTGAACATGCATTCCAGTCCTACGGAAGCATACCAGATGGAAGATCAGTACAATAAATGGCTGTCTGCATGTCTAGGTTACGATGTGGTACTAGCATACCTGGGCGACAACAGCCGCTCTGTCCTTATGAGCACACATCAAAGGAGCAATCAATCTCAAGCCCAACAAGGTGGATGGCTATCTTCGATTACGAGCAAGCTTCCGACTTCGATCGGTAACATCATCTCGGGCGAAGCCGACGACAAGATCACATTTGCCGACTGCGCTCCCTTCCTTGTTGTGAATGAGACATCCCTCCACGACGTCAGCAGCCGTCTTCCTGACGGTGAGGAGATGGACATCACAAAGTTCAGACCCAACATTATTGTCAGTGGTGCCGAGTCTTGTTGGGAAGAAGACTACTGGTCAGAGTTGCAGACTTCCAGCGACGTCAAGCTGCACCTGGTACAAAATTGTGTCAGATGTGTGAGCTTGAACATCGACTACTCCACAGGCAAGCCTGGCCAAGGCGAATCTGGAAAAGTGCTCAAGAAGCTGCAGAGTGATAGGAGGGTGGACAAAGGGTCCAAGTATTCGCCTGTTTTCGGCCGGTACGCATTTTTGGGCAAGGGTGGTGAAGGCAAAGTCATGGCAGTTGGAGATGAGGTGACTATCACACGACGGAATGCTGAGAGGACAACTTTTGGTGAGTCGAATATTAGTTGCAAAGCAATTGATGCTAATCTTATGCAGATTGGCCTGGTATCTCTAGTTATAGTCTTTCTAAAAGTTCATAGTAGTATGTAATTCGACACGATTTCTCCATCGCCGGATTGTTTATGTTGAAGAGTCCAACTCTTTCAAGTTCGAGTCGCTGCTTAGGCATTGGTCAGGGTGACAAGCTCAACCAGCCTTTCTCAAGCCGTTCCGACACGATTGTGGCATAAACAACTATGGTTCTACCCTAGACCATCCGTGGATGAGATGCGAAAAGAAGATTGCATCTGGTATCGCAAAAAGAAACGATGAAGCTAGCCCGATTTGAACGGACGACCTTGTGGAATTTCCTAATTGAGACTGGAATCACACGCGCTACCGCTGCGCCATAGCTCCGATTGTTGAAGATGGGGTGAAAAGATTAAAATATAACTCCTGCAAAATAGTCGTGCTTTGAGAAACTGCAGACGCCGGTATCAGAACAACAAAATGATACGTACCAGAGTCTCGACTGCGCTTGTGATCTCTTGAAGCGAGACAAGTCGTAACAAGGGTTTGTTGTTGTGGATTTCGAACCCCTAGATCTTCCGCCCCCCCCCCCCTTCAACATCCGACTCAAAGTCAGCGTGTCAATGGGAGGATTTATGGACAAACCCGGAAGTCTGTCCTACCCGCCGCCGGAGGTTGACCTCCGACGACTTGCCACCCGAGGATAGTCTTGCGACCATCCCTTGTGACCAGGGCCGCCTCTGGAGCAGTCTTTCGACTACCCCTTCTACGACTTGCCACCCGAGGACAGTTTTTCAACCATCCCTTGTGACCAGGGCCGTCCACAAAGCAGTCTTTCAACCACTTCTACGACTTGCCACTCGGGGACAGTCTTTCGACCATCCGTTGTGACCAAAACGCCGTCCACAAGACAGTCTTTCGACCACCTCTCCGACTTGCCACTCGGGGACAGTCTTTCGACCATCCTTTGTGACCATGGCGCCGATTCTCGAGGCAGTCTTGCGACCACCTCTACGACTCGCCGCTAGAGGAGTTCCCCGGCGGCTCCGAAAAGCACTCAATTAAATCGACCTCGACGCATCAATGGTAGTTGTCCTTCGGGCAACTCCAGAGCACCAGGGATCCGCTCGAAACGCAATTCGTGTCCCAAATAAAGCCTTTCGCGCCCACTGAACGTGTCTGGAATTGGATCGTCGTCTTTCCAAGGAAAAACAAGTCTCCAGCGATCAGTCGGTAGCCACGGTGCGTTAAGCTCTTTCAGGATGTCGCCCATGTGACGGCGACCGGCTGATGGTCTAAATTGCCATCGGGGTAAGCGCAGCGGCGTACCTTGGTCTCGGAGTACAATCCTTCCCTGAGGGTCGGCAAAGTAATCTTCCCAAGTCGCGGCCAAAACTGTCTCTGCATACGGGCCCATGAATGGGTTCCGATCCGAGCCCCAGTGCCTCTCATCCATCTTAGAGACGTCGACTAGCTTTCCAAGAAGCCAATCATGGAAGGCGTTGGCAGTTGCAACTGCTGTCGTGCCCCGAGAGTGGATATAAGATGAGAGAGCACCAACCGTTAGTTTGATACCAATCTTTGAGCCGTCGTCGGTATCGATAGCCTTTTCCGCCCATTGACAAGGATGCGTCGAGCCTTCATGTGCCACCTCGAAGGACACGAATACCTCGGAGCTTTCGGCGTCCAGCATAAGAGCGTGAACAGCCTTAGCGTCAATCAGGACTTTGAGCTGGGAAACTCTGAAGCCATACTGAATCCATGGGCGGACTCTGTGCGGATGATTGATATGTCTCCAGATGGGGAAGTACCCACCTTCCAGAACTTTGCGGAACAATGTGTACCGACTTGCCTCGACTCTTGCTGCCATCCAGTCATAGTGGCCTTCCGTCATCAATGGCTCAATCACATTCAGACCCTCACCGAAACGAGCTTCCGGCAACAGCGGGTGACGGTGCTCTTGGTTGAACCGCGAGATATGGGAACCGAATATGTCTGCCATGATGGTTTCGGCCAGAATGACGACCTCTTTTGGTTGACGGTCCTTGAAACGCGTCACAGGGACTAGGTGTGGCACAACCCCTTCCTGTTCCATGTAGAAGTAATGCTGAGACGGTCGCGTGGCGCGGTAGTCAGGGTTGAGATGCTCGCGGTAAACTCGCTTCTCACACCCGCCTTGTCCATAAGTAGACCCAGCGTAACTCTTGGAGGCGACTACCACGCCATTGACTATCTCAAGCAGGACATCGAGGTATGCACATTGGTCGTGCGTATGACAGAGATTCTTGACGGAGTCGAGGCTAGATACCGTCCATGTCAGCAAAGCGTACATCAGGTAGATCACTTGGGCGAATGGTCCTACTCTGCCTTGCTGTTCTTCCATTCGGTCGCATAGTGATTGATCAGGTCTGCGACATAGGAAGGCGTGTTTTGCCAAATCAGGTCACCCCAATCGGCAGCTTGCTCAGCAGTGGCACCATTGTCGAGCCAAAACTCAACGGTGCCGGCAGGTGCACTCAGGTTGCTGGTAACGACGGCCTCGAGCTTCTGAATCGCCGCCGAAACGATGATGCTGCGGAGGCTGTAGTGAGTGATTCCAGTAGACATTGTGGCTTGGATTTGCAAATGACTGATCGAGAGGTGGTATCAAGATGACTTCAAATGATTGTCTGACTGGGTGCAAGATGAATGCGAAAGGCATTGAATCAAGAGAGAACAGAGATCTAGCTGGAGTCGCAGCAGCACCATGTTCAATATGGCAGGAACCACCAAAATGGCAAGAGCGACCACCCCACCAAGATTGCTGTACATCTCGAAGTCAGCAACGACCAATCCTCACACACCAAACGACACCTGAAGTCTTTACACACCTGCTTGTCAACTTCTGTTCCTGCTACACTTCTGTGACCAGAAACCGGATTAACACCATGTCCGCAATATGCAGGAATGTCATTGAGCGCAGCCATCAGCCGAGTTCAAGAGAGAAACCTGTGAGAGTCTCCAAGCTAACGCGCGCTGCATCCAGGTCCTACACTCGTCGAAGTCTCCAGTGCTGATGACAGACATGTCATGTCGTACACCACTTTCTCTGCCACCGCAAGCCACGAGCGATACTGCCCCACATCGCTCGAGTGCGACTGCTCGAAACACACCAGAACAAGGCCAGCGAGTATCCGCGACGTTGACATGGCTTAGGCCCCAGTCGAAAGAGCGGTTTGACCAGGCTTCAACCAGAAAGAGTGTTTTGATCAGGATTCGTCCAGAAAGAGTGTTGTGGCCGGACTTCGTCCGACATATCGTGTCATTCAAGCTCCAACAGACAAATGAAGGTCGGATCAGATGCAGATGTCAGACTGCTGGCGTGAGGGTCGTTATAAGAGCAGACACGAGCGGGTATCCACAAGGTAGCTTGTGAAGCCTGTTCGAGTCTCGCGATTGGAGTTTGAAAAGGCAAATAGTGCCACGCCCGTGTGTTTTCCATGCAATGCTGAGACATAGGGTGTAAAGCTTTTTGATGGTTGCCTTTGGTGCTACTGTGAGGGTAAGCGCAGTCGTCAAGACGCATTGCAGCCCATGGTCGACGTTTTAGAGCGGCATATATATGGATACGACGCGCCTCTCCGACTCCGACATGAACACGCGATGTGAAAGGCGAGCAAAGCGACCACATCAGACGCCGTCTCAGGTGCGCAGCGTACAAATAATCATGAGAACAAATATTCTCGGCATTCTGCCACAAACTTGGCATCTCCGCACTCTACCGTATCATTCTTCTTACTATTTAGCGGCTTTGTTTACGCCTGTACAATTGGAACTGCCACGAGAGGAAAATGAGACTTTGTTTTGCGCCAATAGCGTCTATGCCTACTATCTACTAAGGTAAGTTCAGTGTATGCTAAGTTGCTCGGAGTAGATAAGAGCCATAAAAGATGAATATCAAGAAATGCTCTACACTAGTTAATTAGGACTCAAAGCAAGGTGCGTTCATTCTTTCATTGTGTAAGCGTAGCATTGCTCTAGCTGGACGCGCTAAGGCTCAACCAAAACCCAATAGCGAGTAGAGCAATTGCTAAAACCCGTACCCAAAAAGCGCGGAGATATTCACAAGTTCGGCGATCATGATAAGGTACTACTTGCTCTAAAGGTGCAGACCTTCGAGATATGAGAAAGTTGTGCTTCTACACACAATGCGGACCCATTCGGTGCTCTCTCTTTCCCTAGATGAGTGTAGGGTTAATTGTTCGTTTTGATAGATACTGCAGTAGAGATGCTTCTGCTAAGACGATTCAGAAACGAAGGTTTAACGGATGTCAGTGTTAGTATAGTAAGCAAAGTACAAGAAATGGTTTGCCAGGGAAGCAATAAGGAACGGTAGCGGTGGTATGCGAACAATTGCCTAGCGGCAAGTACACTTCACTTGCCGGTAAGGTATAGAAGGTAACTTGCTTGTGAAGTTGGCTTTGTAGCATCGCTCGGAGCATTAAAGATGTGGACATTGGGACAAAGGTGAGTTCCGAGTATCGTCGATAGACAGGCAAGAGGTCCGGTGGAGCTTCTCGAGAGTGCATGTCTCCACGAACATCGTTAAGAAGAAGGAAATATCCTTGAACGGATGACCTTGTGGAATTACCTAATTGAGACTGGAATCACACGCGCTACCGCTGCGCCACAGGTCCATTGATGGAAAATCGCTGGATATGAACAAATATCATTTTACAGAGATCGAGGAGAAGATGGTCGACAGGAGTTCCGGGCAATTCCACAAGGTCACCGCTCAAATCGGGTCAGGTTCATCGTTTCTTTTTGCTCTTTTGCTGTACTTTTGGTGTCGGGCTACGCCCGACACTGCTTCAATACCGAGGTGGTTGGTGGTGAAGCTCGGTGGATGAACGTCAGGGCTTTTTACCAAGCGGCGAAGCTTATGCTCTCACGGTCGATGCCAAAAGGGAATCCAGCTGTCAAAAGGCATAAACATTGCAGGCTAGAAGGCCTTGTCCAGTGAGAAGACCTTAGGCGTCGAGCTCTCACTGGACACCTCCTGAGTTCTCGAAATGTTTGTGCATTCCTACAAGTTACAGCAGCTGATGAGAGATTCTACCAAGCGTTGGTCTGTGCACTCGGCATCATATTAAGGGTGTCAGCATTGCAAACCCTCCAAAGGAATACCTACTTGGCTCCCTACTTGGCTCCTTGCAGGCTGTATTTATACAAAATTTATCAGTATTCTAAGGAGTTCCGAATGTTCGTATACTCCATACTATTGTAGTTTTATTGTAAGAGTTGGAGAAAGTTCCGTATGCGTGCGCCTGGGCGCGCCAGCTTCGTCGATCGTTGCTAACAAACACATGACTGAGCTCTATGTACTATCTCATGTCTGCGGCAGACATTCTATTGCCTGTCCTGGCCTATCACGTGCAGCTTGATTTTCACTTGCTCAGTCACCAGTTTGCAGTCGAGAGATTGATTTTGGTCTTGGTTCAAGAGGGAGTTAGCAGGTTGGCGGTTGGGCTGGAGGGAATTACTGCAACTAAGCCTACTATGGACCGAACTGGTACGACAGCTGCCGCAAGCCTTAACCTCGCAAGTGCCCTTGGACCTGGGAAGAAGATATATGATAGAGGAAGGACGCCGGTCGTCAAGGGAGAAATCGAGGCTGAGATCAATCAAGACTCGACTGACAACCATGTTGATGCTCCTACTCCGCCCAGATCTCTTAGGGCACAACAGTCGCGACCTTCATCTCCCACACCCTCTCGTCCAAATACCGACATCTTCAAGCAATTCGCAATTTTCAGTGCAGCAAAGCAAACCTCTCATCGTGCCTCATCTTCTGCAACTCGCTCATCGGATTTTCCACCCCGCAGATCGCGAACAAGGTGTGCGAGAATTACGGGCCGATACGACAATTGGTAGCGAATGTGCATGCGTAGGCTTTGATGTTGACGCCGGTGAGGTTGTAGCGATGAAGAGCCCAGGGCGAGACAAGCGAGTTTCGATAGCGAATACGACGTTCGCGACCGACGGAGTAGCGCTGATGAAGCCTGTAGGCAGCATGTAACTTGTGATGTTCTTGTCGTCATTCTCGTCTTGGTTGGTGCTGGGTCAATAGTCGTTGAAAACGAGCAAAGTCGGGTCAGCGGGCGTGCCGTATTATGTGCTTGGCGAAGCACCGCAAATTCGCATTGAGCATGACATGGAAGACTTGTTCGCAGGTTTCGGATGAGGTGGCGGGCATGTTGGACCTGTTAGGTCGAAGTGTGGGTTCGGAGGAGAGGTCGAGGTTGACATGGATGGTAGTGGGAAGGCGGATGAAGGTGGTCGTGTGTGCTTGAGTAGGCAGTCGTACCTATTACGAAAACGATCGCAGATGCGAGCTGGATGGTGCGGTAAGTGTGATGCACGTGATTCGAGGCTATGGTGTGTTGTGTTTTTCGAGGAGCCAGATTGATGAAGGCTACCGTGCATACAAGCTTGAATGAGTGGGGACGAGGGCGTTGTAGATATTGATGTTGTACCTCCTCTCCGTGTCTCAAGTGGTTGCGATGCATAGCGGCTTACGATCTAGGGTCGTATCTAGCGAGAGCGCGTCGGGCAATTTAGCTCATCTCTGTAAAGGTATTAACTGAAGCAAAAAGCACTATGCATCTCTACAGCTTCAAGATCTCGGGAGACTATGATCGGCAGATGGTATAAAACTAACCTTTCGCGTCTAGGGAGGCTATAAAAGCGCTAATTGCTTCACCTACTCTACGGTTTGTTAGAATGCTAATGGTTTAGCGCTAAACAGCTCTTAGCTAGGACTTACGTATAGGTAGTGTGTTAACGATATTATGTAGTAGAGTATTGTCGGGTCAGGTTCATCGTTTCTTTTTGCTCTTTTGCTGTCTGAATAATGGTCGAGCCATTGGGCATGAGTACTATCATTTTGGCAAGATTTGGGCAAGTTTGAGCAAGTGGGTGCCGTGTTTTCGTCATTACGGGCAATCGCGTGGTCCAGCGGTCGCTCGGTGCCAACGCCTTGGCGACTTTGCTTCCATGAAACTCCTTGTTTGACAGCATTACAACAATGAACGCAGAACTTGTCGTGGAAAAAGACCATGGTGACTCTAACGGAGAACAAAGATCGAGCAACTAAATGGCTACAAATGAACTATCAACTTCTTTTAAGCATGCAAGTATTAAGATAAAACGCTGTTTAAGTTTGCTCGTCTGGTTAAACAGCGGCCATAGACATGGTGAAACAGTTTGCCGAGGCGCCCTCCTGTTCAACGAACTTCCCGACAATCGCTCGAGGTTACCATCCTTCCTGATCATCACCATATATCATCATGTTCCTGATGGGCTGCCCGATGTCTATCTGCAAGACTGAACCTGGCTGACTGTAGAACTATCTAACTATTCGTATGCTTGTGGTTTTGTTACATCTGCTGGCACATAAACACAACGTCATAGATGACAAGACATCAACTGTTTATGAAGTACTGACGACAGAGATATGAGGACAAGTTGTGCTCTCTCTCCTCGCAAGCTTTTATGTTGTACCTGCTACAATGCACAAATTCTTTGAAATCAGGCTGGTCGTCCAGAGAGAGAGCAACTGTTTCCCTCACTTTCCCTGAAGGTATCACTGGAAGGAAGTCGCGAGATGAAAAGCCATGTTTATTGCAACAGGCAAGCGCATCGACTTTCTCAAAGCTGAGAGCTAGCCCTCTTTCCTCATGAGCCGACCTATGTTTGACTTTCTCCTCAGCGAAGCAGCTGCAAAACATCAACAAATCATATCACCATGGCTGCACCAGCCCCTGGGCCACCTCCCCCAGCAGGCTTGCTCGACGACGACGACACACTGCCTCCACTCAAGCGCCTGGATGAGAACGTACTCCATACCACCCAAGACTCAACGAAAGAGCTGGCCGGCCGCATCTTCAAAGCGGAAGGCATTACTCGAGATGCCTTCATGAAATTCGACATAGTCGCCAAAAACAGGCTCATGTACCGTGCCTCAATGATCATAACGCACGTGCCCGGATATATGAGCAGACTGCGAACTTCTGTACCCCTCAAAGACGAGAATCCTTTCATCGAAAAAGATACCATGGCGTTCAGAGCAATCTACAACTGTCTGACCGAGAACAAGGATGTTCTGGGCAGAGTAATGAAGCACTTCGAGTGGGCTGAGAAGATGAATGCACAGATGAACGAGGAAGAAACCGAATGGGAGACGGATGAGGATATTGATGAGGAGGCCGAGAAGACCAAGGAGAAACCCGAAGAATCTGAAACCGAAGAAAACCACCAGGACTGGGATGGCCCCGCTGGCGACGATGCCTACTCACTGATTTGCAAGCTCTTGGCCGACAATCCAGAAGTTACGGAGGTGTTCATCAGAGAGGTGGAGCGCAAGTGTGGCTTTGGAGAGGAACACGTGATGGTTCTCAACAGTCTCAACGAATGGGCTGTGGTCAGAGAAAGGCTTGCTACTGTGTTCAGGAGGAGATCCGACAGCAGTGGCCGTCTTTACCACTACAGAACCTGAATATGCTCTTGTCGTGAGTTTAGCTATTCAATCGGTCTGATATGATATGTGCTGATATTTCAAAGAACATCCTGGCCGCCCGCCGTCCATTGATACTCAACTTGGTCGCTCGTTTAGGTCACAAGCATGAAACACTTTTGGCATACTCATCAGAAGGACTACATAATTATCGCACAGCACAAGATAGTCCTCGACTATCATCACATTCATAGAGAGCTTCTGCGTCCACCCTTGGGCACATAGTAGGGAAGCATTGTACATTGCATCAGTCAATTTCAGCCTTTATTTCGAAGAGATATTTAGACAACTATCGTTGAGGCGGTGATAAGTTGATGGCTGTTAGGTCTGAAGGATTTTATCGACTTTCAACGCCATGTCGCCGGTAGGTAGGTAGGTGCTACGAGGTGGCAGCCGCTCGACAGCCTCAAGCAGCGACTTCCTGACCTGACTAGGAAATCAACTCTTACTCGCTCATCAAACGTCAGCAGACAGCTTGGCTATGGATAACAATAATTATTTGTAGAATAACGACATCGATCCAACTCAAATGCGTGGTATAGGTGAGTCAAGCAGACCGAAAGCCTGTGGGAGCACGCGATGAACGATATCATGACTGTATCACTGACTGATTTTCAAAGAGTCCGATTCATCCATAAAATCATATCCTTGAACTTCTTCCTCCCTCTGCGCAACAATCTCGCAGCACCAGCAAATAATCTACTTTGGCCATCAACCACCAACATCCCATTCACCGATAATATGGTTACTTACAACATGAGCACCAAGCCTGCAGAAGACGATTGGGAGAGACTATCGGGCCTCTCGGGTGACCAAGGCAAGCCGGCCAGGCAGTCGCCTCCATCATACTACGCCGCACCCAACCCCTTCGCAACCTCAAACTACAATGCCGAAGACAGTCCCGTTGCCGCCTCGGCCGGCTCTAGAAGATTTGGCTCTTCAAGTTACGCTCTTCCCTCTACTCTGCCCACAACCATCGAGATGCACGATCTAGGTGAACCATCGCAAAGTCCCTACAACATCCCAACTACCAACAACAACGGCAACACTCTGCCACCCCCTGTCACTCAGAGCACTTCAAACTCCGGATGGCAGCAGAAAGACCAGCATGGAATCTGGTTCCCCTGCCTCCTCACTCTCATCCTCCTCATCACCAGCATCTCCCTCCACCCACCTCACTTCAGCCCAGAAGCCTGGAGCAGAACCCGCTGGTCCAGAACAGGTCACCACGAAAAGCTAAATGTCGAACAAGTCATCTTCGCCACCGTGCCCCAAAAGTTCATCTGGTCGAACTTCCTGTCAGTGCTGATGCTGAATGTGTGGGTTTTGCAGTTCATGTATTGGTATGGAGGGTTTGCTGCCCGAGATAGTAGGAGAGGCAAGACGTTTAGGAAGATGAAGCCGTTGTTCTTTTTGGTTGTTGTGATGGTGGAGGCTGTGTTTATGTGGGGATGGCTTCTGTGGACTATCTGAGGACTGATATCGAGCTAGTTGGAGGCGTGATCGAGTTTGAAATTGGGATGGCTTTGTTGCTATCAAGCAGGATGAAGTCGAACACTGGATAAGTAGCCGAAGAACAAAGAACAAGTCTTCTCGGATATGTGCTTTTGACAAGTAGTCTTATAGCAAAATAGCGTATGAAAAATATCAGACGATACTCATCTCATGTGCTCCTGACTTCGAAATATTGTACCGCAGGACCGGGCCCCCTGAATCTGTTCGACTTCTCCCCGAGCTATCGCTCCCACCACATCATACACACGGAAGTAGGTCACAACAATCTTTGACTGCTACACACGGAAGCCGAAGCAACACGTACGGATCACGACGATGTACCGTATCCGATCGTGGTGATCTAGCCGTCCCGGGAGGCTTTGACAGACGCAGCAGCAGACACACTCCACGACAGACTAGAACTAGAAGGTTCTGCTGAAAAAGGGGGTTGTCCTTGACTCGATGCGACTGGAAGAGTAAAGCAAATCCGGTGGATGAGACTGACCTTTTGTAGCAGCGTGAGAAAAGAAAACCTGCATGTGATGGATGCTAGTTGGTCTTGAACCATGTGAATCGTACAAGCGCAGAGAAGCAAGCATGTTTGATCATATACATGGTGAAATTGAAGAAATGTGCTTCAAATACTGCAGTATCAACTCAAATGGCAGGCGCGAGGAGCAACACGCCAGTATGCAAAAGGCATCATCAAGCACAGTGAAAGAAATGATGTGATGAGCATGATGTTTGCCAAAAGCTCCGAGGGTATCTACTTCCATCCCGAATCCAAAGACAGACAAAGAAGCAAGCCCAATCGCTCAGCGAAGAAGAATAGAAAAACCATGATAAGAGAAAAAATGAATGCCGATGCTACACTTTGCCCATTGTCTAACATAACTTTTTCGAAACCTCAAAGCCCGCTGGGTTTCTTGGGCTTTAGGTATCCCAGATCGTCATCGTCATAACGTTCATAGTTGCTGTCGTCACTACGACTGCGACTTCTGTCCATCCGCACGCGTCCTAGATCTCCCATGACATCTTCTGGACTTTCGCTTCTACCGCTGGTGACGAGCCAGTCGTCGTCATCCTCGGCTTCGTAGATGGGAAGCCCTTCGTATTTGGCTTGCTTGTTCTTGCCAGCGCTGTTGGACGGGGACGCGGCATCTCCGGTTACGAGACCTAATCTCTCTTCTTCGGAAGCGTTGTTGCGACTGCTGGGGCGGTGATGTGAACTATCGCTTTTCCTACTGGCGAAGCTCAGGGCACCACGGGAGATCGGACGGATAGCGCCATCGTCTGCTTCTTCCTCGCCGTGCTTATTGCGGTGGAAGACGTTTTGGAAACTGAAGGTGCGTTTGCCGGAGGAGTCTGGTCGGGCGTGGGGGGGTGGTTTGGGAGGCATGAGGGAACTGCCTTGACTCATTGCTCGTTCTCGTTCGCGCTCGTCGATGCTGGTTGTCCAGTGGATTGCGCTACCACCCTTGTAGGAAGTATCTGTATCGAGGTTTGGTGAGCGGAGGCCAGATGGTAGTCCATAGACGTGTTCGCGTTCCGGTTCGTCGCTGGCTACCGTTGAGAAGGTGGATTTGGGCTTGAGGGTGAGTGGTGGTTTCATCTCTACCAGAGAGTGCTCTCTGGATGGGTGTCGTGACTTCTTCTTGCTGCGGCGGAACCGAGGGAGGAAGCCTGGATGCACATCGTTGTCACTGTCACTATTGTCAGTGTGTTCGTCATCCGGGAAGTGCGTCATTCCCAAAGGAGGGTGAGATGTGTTCGCGTGCTGAAGTGGCCGATGGTCGCCTGAGCCCACGACAGTTTTGCGGCGTCGTAAACCATCGAAGTAGACTGTATCGTCCTCGCCGATGGGCTCCATATGTTCGCTGGCGATTGTGCGCGCTTCGTCAAGCTGTTTCATGGTGCGCTTCCTGCTCAGCGCACGAACGATTGCTGCACCACCACGAATAGTGTCGGCACGGGGCTCGCTCTCAGGCTCTTCCTGCTCGGCGATGGTGCGGACTTGGTCCAAGTCGCCTTTGAACACGGCTGAGTCTGGTACATCTTTTGAAGACTTCGCGAGCTGTAGTAATACCACTCCAGAGCAGATTGTCAGGAAGCCCATGATCACACTTACAATGCCTACTGTGCTGCCACCGAAGCCCCTGAATAAGATTGCTGAGGTAATAATGGTGGCAGAAGTGAAGTAGACGTAGTATGTTGGGGTGACAAGGGCGGCGTTGTAGATATTCAGCGCTTTCTGCAAGAAGTAAGTACATCGAAATGTCATGTTTCGCATATTAAAACTCACATTGAGATAGATAATCTCAGTCAATAGCGTACAAATGACGAAGACCAGCAACACCCAGAGGAACCATTGCTTGAACTGGTTGACTGGCGTAGTCTTGCCAATTGCAGCAACAATAGCAGCACCAAGACCTTGTGTCGCAACGACACTGAGTCCTCCTATCAGACTGCAAATGGTAAGGTAGACAAACATGCTCTTGTTGCCGTAGCGGGGACCAGCCCACAGAGCAGTAAAGATACACCCAATAATGACAACTCCGGTATATGTCAAGAAGCCAGGTGCGATGACAAAATGTTGCATTTGCTGAATGTTGGCAGCAGAAGATTGCTCGGGAGCATTCAAAGCAATGATGACGGCGCCAATCACACATTGAAAGCACCCAACCTTACCAACAAAACTGAGACGCTCTTTGAGGAAGATTGCAGATAATACTGTAGTGATGACGACGCTGAGCGCTCCAAAAGGAGTAACCAGGATAGCGTCCACAAACGCGTATGCCACAAAATTGCATATCTCGCTGTAAAAGAGTCAGCATTCAGCGCCGTAACCAAATCATCTGGCCGTATCTTACCCTATAATCATCAAGATCATTCCAGTCCACCACCAACCATTCTTGAGGTAACCGTAGCCCTCGCCAGCAGCCTCGTTGTATTTCTCATTTGCCTTGAGCAATCCATGCTTCTTCAATACGAATGATGTTCCAATGAAGACTCCAGAGCATACTGCTAGAATAATACCAATGGCCTTGTATATCGGGGGTCTTGAGGCGTGGTTCTGGCTGTCTTCGGTCGTGCTTGTTCCGTTGGTTGTATTTGCTCGCGCATACAGGTCATGTGCTGCGAGGAGGATATGGCCAGCCGGATCCATATTGGGTCGGTAAAGCGAAAACCGGATTGGTCTCGGGTATGGCGACGGTAGAACGCCTTATCTTTGGCGCTGCTCACGGAGCATTAAGCGCTGAGGATGCTTCGTAGGATGGTGTTCTTCTGCAGGTATGATTCTCTACAATATGACCAAGGTCCTTCTCTTCTTAGGTGAGTCCTCCAGGGATGTATGCAAATTGCGATATGTACAGAGGGTTTGTCGTGGTTGTGGATTGACTGAAGTTATCTGTTGACGGTGTGCTGACAATGTGGGGATAGCAGTTGCAGGGCGGGAGTCTCTGTCGTGCGCGACTCAGGGCGAATCTATCGCGGCTGTCGTCTTCGAGCAAACGTCTCAAATTCTGAAAATCGAGTAAGATGTTTAAGATGTGAAGTGGTTGATTGCACTGTACGCGTGTTGAGGAAGCGATCGCGTGTGCAACCAATTTGTTAGTCCCTTAATACGCACTGCGCCACGGACGGCAGAAGTCGAGGCGAGGCTGACTGAAGCTTTTGCTACGCGCTGTGCATAATCTGCCACTTCACGACAGAGTCAGACCTTCTCAGAAGAAAGATTATTTGTTTCAGATTGGATTATATACCATATCATCTTCAGTGGCCAGATACGCAGTTCCCAGTTCGCTTCTCACCACGGTCCAATCTGCTGCACCACGGAGGTCTGCCCGGCCAACAGAGATGACTTCATCAACATCAACAATCCGCACCCACGCGAAGCCATCTTACCTTGAACTCCACTTTAATGCGTCGAAAGAGTCGATACGAGTTGAGCTCCGAAGAAATAAGGAGATGCTGTCCGACTTATCGCAGGAACATGTGCAAAAGAGTCTTCTCATTCCAGTTTACGAGCTGAGCATAACGACCCTAGATACGACCCCTTGTTCAAGCATAGATATCGCTTCACAATTCTTGGAAGGATCAATATCAGATTCAGATCAGTCGTGCAGCACACAAGAGAGGTAAGAGGTGGATCAATATTTCCTTGCATGATGCTCGATAAGCTGTTCTCGGATCCCACTCCATCTCATGTTCCTTGTACCTGATGATCAAGGATTCGCATGCATTTTTCGGACTTGCCGTAAGCGCCCTCCCTCCCACAAGACGTTTTGTCTCTCCATAAGACAATCAGCTTCTGGATTCCAAACACAACAGTCGTCCGCCGTTGAACGTCTGAGCTGAACCGCTGGAGGACGTTTGAAAAGTCGTCTTCCCAAAGAGCTGATGACTTTTAAACGACCCCTTGTCATGGTGCAAAGATCGGAACGCGAGAGCAGCACCCGTTCGAGGCTGACGTCTGTCCAATTGGAAAACAGGAAAGGTGAAACAGGCTGATGCGTCAACTGTTGAAGCTTCCAAAATTGGGATTAGCCTTCTCGTGACGCAAAGCATGTGGGCGGGACGACTGGGTGGTGGCTTGCGGTTGAGAGTGAGATGCACCATCAACGACGAACTCGTTCGTGTCGTCGAAAGAGGGTCGCAGCTGCTTTTTGGTCAATAGAGATTCGTCAGCTCGTAAACACTCCTTGGTTTCCCTCTCTCCTCGGCCCTCGCTTGGTTTCTACTTTCTTTCCCATGTCGATTGCTTGCTTGCTTCCAATTATTCCTCTAGTTCATTGAGAGATTTGTGACAGAGATCTGCTGCAGGCCAAGATTGTACCAAGGCTGTCAAACGACTCGAGTCCGACCCGACGATATGGCGACTTCGTCCGCGGGAGTTTTCAATGCTTCCAAGCTTGCCATCATCTTCGCATTGCTGTGTTCGCTGTATCTATTCCGCGACATTTGGCTTCCGTCATCGCCCACCACGCCGGTGCATGCTACATCAACCGCATCGACCCCTCAATCGTCAGCACCTCACGAGACCGAGTCGGCTCACAACCACACCTTGATATCTCAGCATGTCGACTGCCTCAATGCGCCAGGTGCTGATCGCGTCATGATAGTGCTCAAGACTGGTGCCTCAGAAATCTACGAGAAACTGCCAACCCACCTTATCACTCTGTTCCGATGCACTCAGCACTACCTCATCTTCTCCGACTTGCCGCAAACATACTCCGACTATCAGATCCATGATGCCCTGGACACCGTCAGCCCAAAGTACAAGGACGATCACGAGGACTTTGAGATGTACCGCAAGCTGCAAAAGTATCAAAGAGAAGGACAAAACGTCGCAAAACTCAAGGGAGAAAAAGGTTGGAGTCTCGACAAGTGGAAGTTCTTGCCCATGATGCACGAATCATACCGCCTGGCCTCTCCAGATGTTGACTGGTTTGTCTATATCGAGGCCGATACCAGTCTGAGTTGGACAAACTTGCTGCAATTCCTTGGACGCATGGACCCAAGGAAACCTCTTTATCTGGGTGCGCAGAACGTGATCGGACCCACGACTTTCGCCCACGGTGGCAGTGGCTTCATCATCTCAAGAGGTGCAGCAAAGAGGATCGAGGATCGTAGGAGGAAGATGGGTGGTAGGGCGTACGATGACCGATGGGAGTTGTCCACAAGCTTGTCATGTTGCGGAGACGAAGTTGTCGCGCGCGCTCTGGTGGAAGTTGATGTTGACTTGACACCATCCTGGCCTCGTCTCCAGGGCGAGACTGTCGACACGCTTGACTGGACAGAGAAGCATTGGTGTACACCCGCCATCACATGGCACCATGTTTCGCCCTCGCAGGTCGATAGCATGTGGCGATTCCAGAACGAGTGGGTGAAGGAGAATGTGAGTTCGATCTGGCATCTCATAATCGATGGAGTATCATACTGACAAGATAACAGGGATGGTCGAAACCTTATCTCTACCGTGATGTCTTCGACGGCTTCGTAGCACGACACATCTCCGTCAACAGGACCAGCTGGAACAATCTTTCCAAGGACCGAGAATTCATCGCACCCGACGGCGACTCTAGCGAAAAATCCAGAGAGTCTTGGGAGAAACTTTCGGACGTTGAAAAGAACTCTGTAAAGAGCTTCGACAGTTGTGCTGAAGCATGTCTTGCTTGGGACCACTGCATACAGTTCATGCACGAAAATGGAGTCTGCAAGTTGGGCAAGGACGTAAGGTTAGGAGAGACCGACGAGAGACACAACAGCGGTAACACATGGTCCAGTGGGTGGATCCAAGATCGCATCCAAGGAATGCGGGACGATCTTGCCGACTGCAACACCAACTGGAATCACTGATTGGCATAGTGCTTGGGCACTTTCTCTTCTCCTTCTTTCCACACTGGTTTGGAGAGCCATGTACCAAGTGCTGGGAAAATGGTTTCTTCGAGGTTGATGGTTGGACTGTCCTTCTCTGGATTCAAGGTGGAAGCATCAAGATTTTGGACGTCTTCTTTCATTCATCTGTTCATAGTTTTGATTGCAGGGAAGTAATGGTGGTTTGACGAACTCACGATCATGATCTGACATTCATTAAAGAAAAAGCAGAAACTACATAGACTTGATATTCTTTACATGAGCATCTGCAACCAGCATCTGTTCACAGTCAATCAACATAACCAAAGGCAACGAATATGACATGAAATGGCTTTATCCGCCAACAATTTGAAGGTGGGGGTATATGTAACAGTTTGGAAAAGATCCAAAAGGCAGAACAGAACGCACAAACAAGAGCGGCAGAACATTCAACCTCCTCTCCAGTAAACAATTGCATCCATCCAAAGACCACTCTTTCAATCTAAACAAGAAAACGCCTAACCCAAACAGAAAAAAGCACAAACCATACATCTCATCATTCCTTGGGAACAGTTTCACTGCTCACGCTCCTGTTGTTGCCGAACCAGCCCATCCAACTACCGCGTTTGGCTTTCTTCGCGGCTTCTTCTTCCTCTTTGGCTTCCTGCACCAATCTCAACGGTCTCATGCCAGCTCCCCTCATAATAGCACCGGTGGGTTTTTCCGAACTGGATGCAGTGCTGCGGGGAGGACTGACCGTGCTCATGTTATCGGGGAGTCCGGATTCAGAGTATACGCTGTTGCGGGCGGAGTCGCGAGGGCCGGTGGAAGGTAAGGCGGGCGGGGGCATGGATTGTCTGCGGTCGTCTTGGGGGATTGAGGAGGTGGAGGGGACGCGGGCGGCTGCGGCGGGGGGCACGGGGAGGACGGGGCTGAAGAGGGAGGAGCCGCGCGGTGGGACTAGGGATGGTGATGTTGGGCCTGAGCCTGGTGAGGGGCCGCGGTACATGTTGTTGACTAGGGTGGCGGGGTTTCCGAATTCCGAGTTTGAGCGGCGGTGTGCTGCTGGGGCGCCGCCGATGGACATGCGGTTTGATTGTGTGCGAGCGAGAGGGATGCGAGGGGCGGTGTTGGGGTCCTCGTTCAAGGTGGGTTGCGGCTCCGAGGCTGTCTCGATGGGTTTCGGGCGACCACCACGAACGACTGAGGTGGCGCGCTTGAGGAGAGAGGGTTGTTCATCTTTCTCCGGTGGTGGAGGTGGCAGTTCCTTGTTTGTTGGTAGGGCCTTTGAGGTTGTTGCTGAGTCGTCTGCTCCGGACATGAGGTTTGGTGTCTTGTCGAGGATGTTCTCGAACTCCTTGTGCTGTAGCAAGCGGGAAATGATATTGTTGATGTACAATGTCAGGGCCTTGTTCTGATCTCTCATCGAAGACAAGTCGGCTTGCAAACGTCTGTTGTCTGCGGTACCGTCGTCACTTGCGTTCTCGAGTTCGTCCGCCAGAGTCGCAGCCCCGGCCATGGCCGAGGGAGAAGAGGGACGGGACCCAGCGCTCATGATTGAAGGAGGACGCAGCAAGCCGCTGTGGGCAAAGTCTCCGTTCAGGGTCTTCTCGCTCAGGAGAAGCTGGAAACTCTCATTGTCCTCCATCAGTCTGGCGTTGGCCATTCTCGTCTCCATGAGTGTCTTTTCCAACTCTTGCATGCGACCGCCGCCCATATTCTCGACTTCGACCAGCTTAATCTGCGCTTCGGCCAGTTCCAAACGTAGCGATTCAATAATCTTATCTTTCTGTAGCACCAGGCGAGATGAGCTACGAGAAGAGTCGCTGCGCTGGAGAGATGATGGAGGAGCGAATTGACCGGCTTCTTGGTTTGGAGAGGCATTGCTTCTGTAGCTTGCTGCGAGGGAGGTCAATAACATGACCTGGAAGGGTCAGGGGGTAGCACAACATACATGCTCTGGAAATGCTTTGCCGTCTCTCGTCCTCACCACGCAACTCTTTCTGAGCCATCGTCTCCTTGAGTCTCTGGATTGTCTCGCGAAGTTCTTCTTCACGGACTTGCAACTCTTCCTTCTCTTTCATAGATTGAGCGCGCTCGGCTTCATAGATGGCTTCAAACTCCCTACGTTGGCGAATGCTCTCCTTCTTCTCATTCTCCAACTCTTCCAAACGCTCTTGTTGCTCATGAACAGACTCTTCAATGTTGTTGTGCTCCTTGTTTGCATCGTCGAGACGGGCTTGGGTGACAGCATTTTGCTTCTGGGCCTCCTCGGCAGCCAACTCTGCCTTTTGCAGACGCTCACGCAGATCGTCAATAACGGCAGCAGTCTCTGCCTTTGCGTCGGCCATGGCTGATTTGGTAGTCTGCGAAGTGGTGGTAGAAGTCGTAGGCTTCTTGACAGCAGCGCGGGCTGAAGGCGGGGCTCCACCGACTGGCGTGCGGACGGACCTAGCGCGAGAAGGGGTTGCAGCTGAACTAGGCGTTGTTTGTACTGTTGGACGAGAAGGACTGCGTGAGGGTGTCGTCTTGGGCGGGTTCATAGAAGGACGACGAGGAGGAGCGCCGGGCTGGGCAGAAGAAGTAGCGGCAGCAGAAGGGGGCTGCTTGGATGGCGTCGACATGGTGAAGGCTAAGTAAGCTGAGCGCCGAGCTTACTTGAGCCTAGATTCCAGAGTGTCACAGGTACAAGTATTCAGGGTGGGTTGAGGTGATGTGTGTAGAAGGAGAGTACGTGTATGTTTGGACAGCAGGACAGGCGAGACACAACAAAAAGGCCAACAGCAGTATTTGGCTCGAGAGGGTAATGAGATTAAACAGGGTCGTGGTGGAGTTTCCGCTACCATGTTTATTTGATTCGTCGACCGTCACCGCCTTGCCTCGTTTATGAATGTCTGCGACGTGCTGTAACATCCAGACCGACTCTACCACTCCAACATGTGCTCCCATGGGATGCCTCAACACTCTGCCTTGCAACAAGCGACCAACAATTGACATGTGTTGGATGATGCATGGCCATGGCATTCCAACAACATTCAAAACGTTCGAGGGGCTCGGAGGCGATCGTCGGACGCCATCTCCATCCGGCCTAGTCGCCTTTCGCTTGGCGCACGAACCAAGCTTGGCGGGCATCTTTGCAAATTCCATCTCAAATTTCGACTCTTCTCTCTCCAGCAAACGATAAAACAACAGGACCGGAGCGCCGTACTTTTTCCAACAACCAGACAATCCCCAAAAACCGACGCAGAGATGGCCCCCAAGAAGACCAAGACCTCCGACTCCATCAACTCGCGCCTTGCGCTTGTTATGAAGTCCGGTAAGGTTACCCTCGGGTGAGTTTTCAACACCAAGACTTGCGACAACATCAAGTCTTGTCAATACCGCTCCAGAAGGCCTTCTCTGACCTCTTACCACAGATACAAGAGCACTATCAAGGCTATCCGTTCCGGCAAGGCCAAGCTCATCATCATTGCTGGCAACACCCCTCCTCTCCGCAAGAGTGAGCTCGAGTACTACTCCATGCTCGGCAAGACCGCCGTCCACCACTTCAACGGCAACAACGTAAGTCGACACATTCGCTCTGAGAAAAAGCCTGGGGGTGTGTTTGATTGCTCTCGCAAGTTGATTCAACATCAAGCTGGCTCGCCAACTGTTGAATTGATCATGTCTTCAGTTGAAGACGCGAGGCAGAGCAATCAAACACGCCTTCCATTCAGGGCTTTGGAGAGCAGAACACTGGCTAACGTGTTATTGGCTTGTAGATTGAGCTCGGTACCGCCGCCGGTAAGCTCTTCCGTTGCTCCACCATGGCCATCATCGATGCCGGTGACTCCGACATCCTTACCGCCTCCGTCGCATAAGCGTTGGACGAGTGATGCTGGAAAAGTTATCATAGAGGAGAATGTCAATCTGATACCCAAAAACAAAAGTTTCTCTTCTTTACTTGCTTCCCTTCCTGTGCCTTTCACTGTCTTGCGTGTCTTGTTCTTGTCCCTCTCTTTATATACACCGTGTTCGTTACGTCTCTTGTCGTTGTGAATATGATAGATGGCGATCATGTTTAGGGGATTGTACGTTGTGTGGTGAGCCGTCTTCCATCACTTTTTGTCGATACAGCTAACGACATACCGCCATAGACAAACGTCACGCAATCCTCACGGCTTACAACACTGCCTAAAGATCGGACCCAAGGACGTTGACATCACCTAACACCACACCCTCCGAGTGCCTTCCAAAAAAGCAAAAAAAACCAGAGCTGCGCTCGTGGGGAAACCTCTCGACATCTCCTTGATCAATATCACCAGAGTAACGGCTGTTCTGGCTTGGATTTCAAAGTACCAAATTAAGACTACACGGCGGAGATTCGAACGAGTGTTTCATCGGAATCATGAGTAGGCTATGCCGTTACACCAACTCAGCGGATTATGGTAAACTCTGGATCTGCTCTGGATATATGGCCGACGACCCAAGGGACTCGCGTTCGATCCTGAGAGTGAGCGATGTCTGGGAGACATTTTGGAGAGGTCTTTCTACCTGTTCCCAGCTCAGAGGTCTTTCAAGGGCATCTTCCTGGCGAACGGCAATCTGCTTTCTGTGTGAAGCTCCATCCAAGACCCCTTCTCCTATGTGGAGCTCTATCTATGGCACGACTGGGAAGAGCAAGGCATATCAGTTGATGATGGTATGATCGTATAAGTCGCCTCTTTTTCGAATGAGGCATGGTTGGTCATCCGTAGGGTATGCCTGCATCTCGCTGATATCTGGAAGCTACTGGGCTTCTCGAAATGTCGTAGAAGAGGGTCAATCAGAACCCGCTGGTCCTCATCAGTATCTCGAGTCAGGGGACGCTCTTTGGGGCTGCCCCCATTGGGCCTCGTGACTCTGGCTATCCAAGCGAGAATCCAAATGTGGCTATACTGTGGGAAACAGAATTGAACTGATGCCCACAGAATTGCCATTTGTTTATCGTCACTTTTCAGTGATTCCGACTTCCCTCTCAAGAAAACAAAAAGATTGACTCGAGATCACGTCCACGATCTCCTCCCCCACGATCTCTGCCCCACGATCTATCATTTCCTTCCATCAAGGTACCCTTAACCTTACCGTCAAGCGCCGGGTACAACATGGGCCAGACCAACTCCGAGCAGGCGCCGGTTGTCGGCCGTGCTCACGTCAACAATGGCGCTTCCAAAGGCAGAGAAGACTTGGAACCTGCTTTCCGTAACAATCACACCGGCCGTCGTAAGCAGTACAAGTCTAAAGACGGTTACCATCTCGTAGTCCACGGCGGCGCCGACAGAAACGCCGGAATCAAGACCGAGCCCGCACCTGATCAGCGCGAGACCTTCGATGAGGCCCGCAGAGGCAAGGCCACTGAGATCCAAAGTCTCCCACAGAACAGAAAGAGAGCCGCCAGCTGGGACAACAACCACCAAATCTCGGCCAAGACCAACAACAAGAAGGGCTGCCCTGTTTGCCGTGAGTGTGGTGGCTTTCACAGATCGGCTTGCAAATGGCTCGTGTGTAAGAAGTGTTCCGTCAAGCACCACCCCGAGGTACCCTGCAAAGAGGCCGAGGCTCGACTCAAGAGACGTCTGGAAGAAGAGGAAAGCAAGCAGGCCCAGCGCTTCTTGGAAGAGGAGGACAGAATGCGCGCCCGCCCCAGCGCTTCTCGGAACAAGAAAGCCAACGTTGCAAAGAAGTGGTCTTATGCTGCCCTGGGACCCTCCCCTCTGAAGCAGGTTGAGCAGACCGATTACAACGACCCTACCAGCTCGGCTGCACCTCTGCCCATCGCAGCTCCCATCTTCCAGCCCATCGCAGCTCCCGTTGTTCAGCCAGCCTCAAACTTCCCCTTTGCTGGAGATATATCCTGGTTCATCGATTCCAACAACATCATCCGCTTCGGCTCTGCTCCTCCCCCTCCCATGCCACAGCAGCAGAATGGCCAGGTCTACCCTCCTGCCCCCAAGCCGATGAAGATGGCAGGTCCCGGTATCACACAGTCCGAGCTGGTATCCATCCTGAGCAGAGTCGGCTCGTCGCCTTACCCATCCGCCGTCAAGTTGTATCTCGAGGAGAACATTGATGCGCTCTTGGAGGAGGCTGAGATCAACGCACGCGCCAATCGTGCCGTCGTTGTCGAGCGCGAGGATGGTGAGAATGGAGAGCCACCTTCATACTTTGAGTGGCGCCGTCGCGGTGGAAGACAGTAGTATCCTCGCCCGCACGTACAAGTTACAACGAGATACAAGCGAGCAAGATGGGACAAGGTCACGCAGCGGTTCCCAATCAATGTAAAATAGAATTAGCATAGCAAACCAAGAAATCAAGCCTTTTCTATATGACGTGTCACATCTCTTTGTGCGTTTTTACATGTTTTCACTTACCGTCCATATATTTGCTGTATAGAAATTGGATTTCTTGTATCAGAATGTTACCAGAAACATAGTTTATCTCAGTATCTCACTCTCCCAGCCTCCAAACACACCACCAAAACCCCCTGTCAAAAGGCAAGAAGTTTTTCGCATCCTCACAAACGTCCGCAGAGAGCACGAAATGTTTCCACTCTCTGCGGACAAACACTTACATCCCAATACCTTCTTGCCTTTTGACAAACAATTTATCCAGAGTATCTTGTGTTGGGGATACCTATCATCTCACCCTTTAATAAGGGGTAATGCAGTGACATAGGAGAAGAATCATCGGAAACCTCTTCCATCTCAGCTTCCCAGCAGAGCATCAAAAAAATGTGTCAAAAGGCAAGAAGTTATTTGGATTAGAATAAATGTCCGAAGAGAGTATGGGGAGTTCCTGCTCTCTGTGGACAAAGACTCAGATCTGAAAAACATGCTGCCTTTTTAGGGAGGAGTTTATCAGGGTCTCTTGTGCGTGAGAGACAGCTATGTTCGTGTGGCATTATGGGATGCACTAATCAGTCACGTATTAGCCTCGACGATGTGAAAAAAGGAATTGTATAAATAACATTCGATATTTATGCTGAACAAGAATCCCCTTCGAGCACCTGCAATGAAGCAAGTGAAACGATGGGAAAGCCACCTTCCCTCGTCCGTTTGGTTTTTGTGGACAAGGATCATTGGTAGCTTCTCAAGGACGAACAAGAACTTTTGAGAAGTTCTTGTCGTCCTGGTGAGTGGATTGCATGGTTCAGGACTCCTCCTGATTTTAGACAAGGGAGGGTAGTCTGCTTTGGGCAGGGTCACCCACTCAGGATCTCGATTTGCAACATCTCTGAACACCTGTCGCTAGTCGCGTTCAGAGCATTTCAATGTGCTCTTGTGCGCTCATTGAGGCGGCAAGGGGGTTTCTCTAGGTTTGAAGGGCTGTTGCGGTGTTGTGTGGGCTCCAGCTCTCTTGTTTGCATCCGCCAGGGCAGCATTGAGAACGGTAAGCTTTTTGTGGTACTTGATTCTCTCCTTATGAGCTGCGATAGCCTGTCTGTTGACCGTCTCGAGGCCAGCCCACATGAACATACCCAGAATATCGTCTTCTGCAAGGTCGGAATACTTTGGTACCGTGGTGAGGGCAGACAGTGGCGTGTTCGTCATGCAGTTCAGCAGCTGATTGTACTTGTCGATGCAGTATTCTCCAGGGTAATGGTGGAGTGGACAGCGTTCGCACTTGGGCCGATGCTGGCCTTTTCCATGGATAGTACCGCCGCAGAGAATGCAGAAGGGGATGAACGAGAGAGGTGATCCGTAGCGTGGTCGCTTTTCCGCATCTGGTTGACTGTCGGCCTTTCTCTTCTTCGACTCGCCGACTGAGGGTGCTTGGGGAGCTCCAGAAATGCCAGGTTGTATGGCACTGTCTCTTATAGCCTTGTTGGCTTCTTCTCTGGGAACTTGTACCAGATTGCAGTGAGGGAGGTGGGACCTCCTGCATATCGGACAGTTGAATTGCGCAGAGTGTTTCCAATCGGGCAACGGGGTGGGTTTGATGGAAGCGCTCGAAGGAACACCGGCGAATAAATTATCGACGTCCTTCCTTCTGATTGCCTTGTTGGTCTCATCATCGAAGTCTGAGTCTTCGGACTCTGGCTCGTAGGTACTGTCATCATCGTCAGTATCAGAAGGCTCTGCGAGTAACCTTATGGTTTCAGCTTGCTCAGCTGTGAGCGGAGGCGGTGGCTTATAAACCTGAGGCTTTCCTTTTGTCGCCCAATATGTAAAGACAGACATGGGACGCTGTTCGCTCGCCACTCGAGAACCTTTGGGATACTCTGTAGCGGCGCTGTTCGAGCCAGAGTTGACGGGACCTTCTTGGGTTCTATAAGAAGACCTATCAACTCTATGTGGCTCGGCATCCTTGCCTGACGCTCCATTCCCCGGCTTCAGCTGAGGAAGGAGGTCACTTGGTTCGGAAACATTACGCTCAGTCAATAAAGACTGGCGTACAACTTCAGGCGAGACTTGTTGACCCCTTGGGGCTTCACGAGCTTCGCGCTGATCTTCAGGCGAAACAGAAGAACATTGGCCCTTCGGAGCGTGTTCTTCAGTCTGGCTGCTTGAACCATGCGTCAGACCTGCAGACGGGTTTTGGCCTGCAGGCCTTTGATATGGATCAATCTTATTGGCAAAGGACGCATCTACGAGGTTTCCACCTCGGACGACATCACTCTGCGCAACAGCTTTCTTGCTTGTGCCTTCGGTGGCCGGGAAGAAAGGAAAGGGATTGGGAATATTGGGCTTATCTTGTTCTTTCATGGATGTAAACAAAGCGCTCGATTTTTGGTTGCGCAGTTGCTTGTTTGTGGAAGAAGAAACAAAGCTTGGAGGGAAAGAGAAGTACTCACACGGTGAGAGATTGGACCCTGGATGGGAACACAGCTTGCGCTCCATCACTTCGATTCATGAAGCAGCTTTACTATCATCACTTTACCGGCACAACTTCCTTCACCCAGCAACGGTTGCCAATAACAGATATATGCCGGTTGAAAAATAGAGCCACGTCAATGAAAGCGCGTAGAGAGCTTTCAGCAATCGAGTCTGTCACCCTCAAATATACCTTGCTTTTTGACAGTCGCCCTTAGAGAGCTCAGTGTTAGTTGAGTTCCATGCCTCACGCCTCTCTGGTCCTCGATACTACCAACAGTGGCCCAACCAAAGGTCTTGCGGTGAACCAAACATAGCATCTCATGAATAAGAGAACCAATAGAGTTTGAATATAGCACTGTGTAGCGACCGGTAGCTTTCACTGCAACTGCCATAGCAAGGCACTGGTATCATGATTGATAGTGAGTCAGAGGGTCGCCATCGAAGGCGTGCTGGCACTAGCTCAGATATGATTACGAAGCCAATGAGGATGCAAGCAGAGCATGCGGTGTCTTCTTCCAGGACATATCAAGAGGCGACTTGATTTCAAAGCAACATCACGAGTGAGCAGAAGGAACAAAGGGCGTTGCGACCATCACTTGGATTGATAATCGAGGTTGAACGTCATTGGCCCAGCGGGGAAGGCAGGTCGGATTTCCAATCGGGGCTTGGCGCGCGCGAACAGCCGAAAAGCCCACAATCAATTGCACAACGCCGTCTCCTTCGAGGCGACTTCCCTTTCTACGAACACCCAGCGACATCACAACACCGTCAAAATGGCTCGCCGTCCCGCTCGTTGGTGAGTACAGAACTGCTCAGACCGTTGGAACGACTCTCCTGGCTTCGAAATGCGCATGTTGAAGAGATGGACGATATTCGCGAATTTCGACAGTCGGGAGAGGCCATACCAGGTCGAAACCACGCACAACGACTCTTTGCTAACATCTTCACAGCTACCGCTACTGCAAGTAAGGATCCCCAGTTCGCTCGCTTCGTTTTGCGCCCAGAAAAACATCCTCCATGATCATTTACATCGAATGTCGAAAAACATCACATCCGCACAACTCCGTCATCACAACCACTGCCTACACAATCGCCACCTACACCGCGCAACACCTTCTGGCTTCTATCTTCATCGGACATGGACTAATCACTCAACTACAGGAACAAGCCCTACCCTAAGTCGCGCTTCAACCGCGGTGTCCCCGACGTATGTTTTATCCCATCTCCCTTGCTCTGATACACTGTACTGACTCTCACGACAGCCTAAGATTCGTGCGTGCTGCTCTGTCTGCCTAGATTACGGACCGGAATACTAATAATCGATACAGGTATCTTCGATCTTGGCCGCAAGCGTGCTGGTGTCGATGAGTTCCCTCTCTGCATCCACCTCGTCTCCAACGAGTACGAGCAGTTGAGTTCCGAGGCTCTTGAAGCCGCCCGTATTTGCGCCAACAAGTACATGGTCAAGTCTGGTGGCAAGGACTCCTTCCACTTGCGTGTCCGTGCCCACCCTTACCACGTCGTCCGTATCAACAAGATGTTGTCTTGCGCTGGTGCCGATAGACTGCAAACTGGTATGCGTGGTGCCTGGGGTAAGCCCAACGGCACTGTCGCCCGTGTCAACATTGGCCAGATCCTTCTGTCCGTCCGCTGCAAGGACTCCAGTGAGTTGTCTCGACGTCCCTCTACAACAAGACAAGGTATTGATCCCTCTCTCCAGGTCGCGCTGTTGCCATCGAGGCTCTCCGCCGCTCCCAGTACAAGTTCCCCGGTCGCCAGAAGATCGTTGTCTCCAAGAACTGGGGCTTCACTCCCCTCCGCCGCGAGGAGTACGTCGCCAAGCGCCAGGAGGGTCGCGTCCGTGTCGACGGTGCCTACGTCCAGTTCCTCCGTAACAAGGGTCCCCTTGAGTACAACATGCGCCGCTTCCCCGACGCCTTCTCCGCTTAAGCGCAGATACCCAGTTCGGAAAGAACGCGAAGGATTGATGGGCTTTGGTGCATTACGGCGTGTTGAGGCTTTCTAAAATTACCATACCATTCGTCAATGAGACATGCTGCAAGACCACTTTTGATGACCATCCGTGAACTGTTTTTTATGTATCTGACAAACTCGCAATGTGTAACCAGAGGCGGCAGGACCATGAATAGTATAAAATGCTTCGATTGCCCAGATGACGGACTTAGCGGCTTCGTTGTGATATGATTGACATGCAAAGCTGCGCGCATTTCCCGACCTTCAAACTGTTCCACCATGTCTTGATGCCGCTACAACCTCGCCCAATCACCCTGTCGCTCAGGCAGACCTGTCTATACTATGCCTGCCGATCACGATTGAGTCCACTGGCAGGCGTGCAGCCTCGCCATCAACAGTTCTCTGGATCCGCATATCGCTTCGAAACCGCAAAGGCCGCCGACGCCGCTGTACCATTGCGCAAACAACTGAAAGAGGAGGCGAAGCAACGCAAGAAGTCTGCCAAATCAGCGAAGTCGCCAGGCAATAATGCAGCCGACCCACTGCTGGACAAGTGGGAGTTGACGGTCGGCATCGAAGTGCATGCCGAACTGAACACTGCCCACAAGCTGTTCTCGACCGCTCAAACATCTCTCAATGCAGAGCCCAACGAACACGTCGCTCGCTTCGATGCTGCTCTACCGGGAGCACAACCTGCTTTCCAGAAGGCGACGCTCATTCCAGCGCTGCGTGCTGCTCTGGCCATGGACTGCGACATTCAATCTCGTAGTAGCTGGGATCGCAAGCACTACTTTTACCAGGATCAGCCCAACGGCTACCAGATCACTCAATACTATGGTACGACTGTTTTGATCAAAGATGTCTTGCACATTACTGACTCTCAGCAGAACCTTTTGCACGCAGTGGTTCCCTGACTCTGACCTTGGAGGACGGTATCGACCCGAACGATTTAAGCGAGCCAGGAGCTACCGGCTTGACTATCGGTATCAAGCAGATACAAATGGAACAGGACACAGCAAAGACAGCTTTGCAACCTCCGTCCACGTACCTCCTGGACTTCAACCGAGTCTCGCATCCTCTAATCGAAATCATCACTCTGCCTCAAATCCACTCGCCCGCCACGGCTGCTGCAACTGTCCGAAAGATCCAGTCTCTACTTAAGTCGGTGGACTCGTGTGTTGCTGGCATGGAAATGGGTGGCCTGAGAGCCGATGTCAACGTTAGTGTCAGAAAGAGAGGTTCTACCGGTGACAACAACGAGTACTCTGGAGTCAAGGGACTGGGCACGAGGACTGAGATCAAGAACTTGAGTTCGTTCAAGGCAGTTGAAGATGCTGTGACAGCGGAGCGAGATCGCCAGATCAAGGTTCTCGAGGCTGGAGGTGTGATTGAGGGCGAAACAAGAGGTTGGACAATCGGCAGTACGGAAACGACTCGTCTTCGAAGCAAGGAAGGAGAGGTCGATTACCGTTACATGCCGGACCCAGACTTGCCTCCTGTCCTGATCTCGAGCGAGCTGGTGAACCATCTCAGAAAGACTTTGCCCGAGCTGCCAGACTCTACTATTTCAAGGACTCTTAACGACTTTGGCTTATCCATGAAGGATGCCAAGACACTTTTCTCTTTCGATGACGGCGAGAGACTAGAATACTGTGCTGAGACGATTGATCTGGTCTCGAAGAAAATCTCTGCCCAAGGATTGAACGACGATCAGAACCAAGCCAAGGTCGGCAAGCTGGTTGCTAACTGGGTCTTGCACGAGCTCGGTGGCTTGCTCACCTCGGATGGTCGAGAATGGTCGGATCTCACAATCACCACAGAGGAGCTTGCTTCTCTCCTGGCAAACCTCATGTCAAAACAAATTACTGCTCGCGTTGGCAAGCAAATCCTGCAACAGCTCTATGATGAGGACTCTGATGACAGAATATCTGTAGATGCTCGCATTGACGAAGGCAACCTTCGTCTGCGCCCGATCAGCAGGGAGGAGTACATCGAGCTTGCTCAATCCATAATGGACGAGAATCCTGATATGGTCAGCGCAGTTCGCGACAAGGGCCAGAAGGGCAAGACCATGTGGTTCGTTGGCCAAATGGTCAGAAGAGCAGAGGAAGGCACAGTAGAAGCGGAGAAAGCAAAAGAGATCATCGAGGAGCTTCTGTTTCCTTGAGATGAACACTATGTAATACAATCAACCCCATCCTATTCTATCTCCTGCGCGCTGCAAGGGTATCTAAAATGCAAATCAAGTCCAACGCCAATGTGTGGGATGCGTCTAATACAATGGGTCGTAAGGCATCTGTGATTGCTTCAAGGCGACCCCGTCTTTGAGGTATAGCACAAGTCTGTATGCACTGTTGCCGTTCAGGTAGTAGCGGTGCAAGCGTTTTGTCCTCAGAAAACCCAGTCGTTCGTAGAGTTTGAGAGATGGTATGTTGTCAATCTCAGTCTCCAATGCAATCTGCCCGAGTCAGTACTTGGCTCCCCGATTTGGCGGAGATGGTGTTCATACCTCGTCGGCGTCTTTGGCGATCATACCGTCCATGGCCATTCTCACGAGTTTCGAGGCAATACCTCTACCTCTGTGTTCCTTTTTGACTGCTAGCATCGCAATGTAGCCACGCATTGGACCACCACGGTGTGGTTCCAGTTTGCAGACGACAACTCCGATCAATTCCCCGGATGCATCGACCGTCTAGACAGAAGTCAGCATTTTGTACATACAAAATATCAACCAGGATGTACAAACCATGTAACAGAGATCTGCCCATTGATACAGGAAGTAGCGGTAAACATAAATACTGTAGGGTTCGGAAAGATCTTTTGATATCAATTCTCGAATGGCGGAGAGATATTGTGCTTCCTTGTCCGGATCATACTGGATGTAATGCAGATCCGGAAGGGGGGTTTCCTTCGAACCGTCGATCGCAGTGTTCATTCCGACTCGTTGATTGTCCAGAAAATAGTCTTGAGTACCAGATTCAATCATGTCCTGAGGCTCTCTTCGTTTGGGAAAGCGCAACGCACATGAAAGTGAGCTCGGACCAATGACGAATGTGGCAGTTGATGAACATGAACAAGTTCAAAGAAGCATCGCATTATTCTTGCTGATCCCTGCAGCAGCTCCTTCCCTACCAAGGCGACTAGAGTGCCCTGAGCCGTCATGTCAGGCCTACGGAGACGCATCTTCGGCTCGTCGACTGCAGAGTCACCTTCTCTAACACCTGAGCATTCGCGAGAGTCGACGCCCACATCCGAAGAGGTCCGCATCGTGTCGGCGAAGAAACTTGACAAACTCACCGCGTCGCACAAGAAGAAGGGCTTTGGAACAAAGAGGAGGAATGCCTGGGTCTTCGGTCTGGGAGGCCTCTTTGGCATCCTCATTGCAGGCTTCTTTGCATCCAGCAATGAGGTGTTTGATATGCAGGCTTTGAAGGATATGAACCTCGACTCTATCCTCGATGTCCTTCCTGCCGGCTTGATCAAGGATGCGCAAGCTCTTCAGGTCGGTTTCTTCAACGTGCTTGTAATCTCCTACATCTCCTCTCTTGTTTCTCCGCTTGCTGCTGCTTGCTCTTGACTGCGTATCATGTAACTTACACGTCGTATCTGGTAGAAAAACGAGCGAGATGCTGTCGCCTATGATTCCTTCTCCGTTGGCCTGCATGCCCAATCGCAAGGTATCACAGCCAAACATCCCGTCATCATGATCCCTGGTGTTATTTCTACTGGTCTCGAGAGTTGGGGTACCGATGAGCCGTCGCGACAGTACTTCAGAAAGAGATTATGGGGCAGTTGGAGCATGATGCGTGCTCTGGTTCTGGACAAGGCCGGCTGGAAGAGGCATATCATGTTGGACAAGAAGACTGGAATGGATCCTCCTGGCATCAAGTTGAGAGCTGCCCAGGGCTTCGACGCGACCGACTTCTTCATCACCGGATACTGGATCTGGAACAAGATCTTGGAGAACCTTGCCACTATTGGTTACGACCCTACAAACGCTTTCACCGCCGCATACGACTGGAGAATGAGCTATATGAACTACGAGATCCGCGATCAATATTTTACACGCCTGAAGCATCACATCGAAACGGCTGTTCAGATTTCCGATAAGAAGGTCGTCTTGCTGAGTCACAGCATGGGCTCTCAGGTTCTCTATTACTTTTTCCATTGGGTTGAAGCTGAAGGTTATGGCAATGGTGGTGAAACATGGGTGGACGACCATATCGACTCCTGGATCAACATCTCTGGATGTATGCTCGGAACGCCAAAGGGCTTGCCTGCAGTGCTGTCCGGCGAGATGAAGGACACCGCTCAACTCAACGCCTTTGCCGTCTATGGTCTAGACAAGTTCTTGAGCCGCAACGAGAGAGCCGAGATGTTCCGCGCCATGCCCGGTATCTCCAGTATGCTTCCCATTGGTGGTGATTCTGTTTGGGGAGACGAAAACGGCGCTCCGGACGATCGTCCTGATCAAAACGTCACATATGGCAAGTTCTTGAGCTTCCGTCATCTCAACTCCACCCAACTGCCCAAGAAGAACTTGACTGTTGAGGAGTCTCGTGCATACCTGTTCAACAACACAGAAGATTGGTACTCTGAAGCTGTTTTGAGCTCCTACTCCTTTGGTGTTGCTCATAAACGCGAAGAAGTCGAGGAGAACCAAAAGATCCCCCGCAAGTGGTCCAATCCTCTGGAAACACGTCTCCCCAAGGCACCCAACATGAAGATTTACTGTTTCTACGGTATTGGCAAGGAGACCGAGCGCGCATACTACTACCGTGAAGACAATGAGCCTGGAAGCAAGAATGATGTTATGCTTGATACTGCAGCATCATTCCTCAACCCTGATGTTGATCATGTCGCCGACCATGGTGTTGTCATGGGTGAAGGGGATGGCACTGTGAATCTCCTCAGTACCGGTTACATGTGCAACAAGGGCTGGAGAATGAGAAGATACAATCCTTCGGGCATCAAGATTACAACTTATGAGATGCCTCACGAGCCCGATCGTTTCTCACCTCGTGGTGGCCCCAACACTGGTAAATTTCTCCACAACGATTACGTGATGTGAACGTACACTGACAGTCAACTCATAGGTGACCACGTTGACATCCTCGGTCGCGCCTCCCTCAACGACCTCATCCTCAGAATTGCCGGCGGAAAAGGCGATGAGATTGAAGAAACAATTCACAGCAACATCACCCAATACGCCGAGAAAGTCAAGATCTGGGACGACTGAATGTTTTTGACATTGCATAACCTAATCATCTCTTTTGGACTTCGCTATGGCTGTAATGTATATAGAAGGGTGTGTCTTGGAATAGAAAGGGGGGACAGGCGGCATGGCATGTATTTATGAATTTCTCACCTACGCTCTTGCATGTTTTTGCTCTGATCCTACGCTCTTGCACTCTTTTGTGATCATCCTTATGCCTTCCTTTCTGGGGTGGTTCTTGGCTCCTGCTATAATTTTTTGGGTCTTACCGTGTTGACATGGTGTGAATTCGTGATAGTGGATGATGGCAGGAGCGATGGATCAAGGAGGCAGGATTCTTTTTTGATCAAACGCAGCACAATTCAAGTCTCCCATATCTCATAACGGAATCCCTAAAAAAACTACAACAGTTTAGTCTGACTTGTGATGGTGATGCCGTTGTCGTAACGATAGCGAAGCTGTTTGCCTGACCGTGACGGAGTTTTGCTCGTCGGGCGATGTATATTGTGTTCGCTTAGTCACGGTTGTCTGGTAGATTCGATACAGTCTGGTGTGTTTGCGTTTACGTAGAGGATGTTGTTAAGGTAGGTGCGTAAGAGGATGGTTGGGAGTATAGAAGAAGATTATCCATTTGCTTTCTGCCGCGATACCTTCTCCTTTTGTTCTCCTTGTCAGCTGTATAGTCTAATAGTGTTGTCTGTCGGTCCAGAGCATTATGCGGGCAGCACAATGAGTTCATGAGAGGAACCTTCGTGATATAGATATGAATGAGACACGAACCAAATCGCCGAGCGATCTTCGAGCCCTTGTCTGTGTCCGAGCCTGGTTCTCGATGTAATAGCTCGGCGAATGCGAATTCCCAATGGTAAACAAAATTCCCTCCAACAATAGCTTTCTTTCTCTCCTTACACTTGCTGGCAAATGCTCTAGGTACGTCTTTCTACGCGTGGGTCCAAAAAGGCAAAGACTTACAGCAAACAGGATAGAAGACGCAGTCCAAGATGAACAACAGGGTCCCTCACCACACCGCTGAAGAGCAGCACAACGCAAACACTGCAGCTGCTCAACAGACCCCCTCACCACACAGCATCTTCGAGCGCGACATTCAGGTCGAGAACGCCCCTCCTGAACGTCGTCATCTTCCACCTCCACCGTGAGTCTGCTTACCTATCATGTCACACTGCGAGACTAACCTCATATACCAGGTTCTCTCTCCAGAAGCAAGTCATCATCATCTGCAAGACCCCTGAGGGCAAGGTCCACCGCGAGTGGCGCTTCGAACGCAAGGACATCACTGACCGTTCTGCTCGCATGGACGACCTCTGCCGTCGTCGCTCATCCATCTGCGATGTCATGTACGTCTACGTCGAGCACCTGCACAACTTCTTCGCCAACTACGAGCGCTGGCTGCGTACCTCCGAGCTGCCCGACCTCACCGTCACCGCCGCCGACCAGCGTGACGTCCTCGTGCTCTGGATCAGCATGTACGAGCTCGCCCGCGAGATGGACGACTGGCGCTTGGTTGCCGCGATCAATGTCAAGATCATGGAGGTCGCCAAGGTCAGCATCTGGAGCTTCTATAAGCGTAGTGTTGTTGACTACGTGAAGAAGGCTCGCCATGATGATGAGTTGCGTCACCTGCTGGTTGACCTGCACGTCGCTTACTTTGATGGTCGTATCTTCAACCGTTACTTCTGGAAGCTGCCCAAGCGTCTTGCCTTCGCCATCGTTCGTCTCAAGATGCTGCCTCACCCGCCTACCCCTAAGAGCATGGCAAAGGGTTGTGCTTACCACCAGCATGATCACCTCTACCCCTTGACCGAGTGCTGCGCATATCGCGGCTGAGGACAGTGACAAGGGGGCGGCCGCAGGGTAGCGTCTGGGGCACCGACATCAGGTCATTGGAGTCCAAAGGATTGGACAAGATCCTTGTGGTAGATACACCTTCATTACGACATCGTATCGATGCACAATACAAACATTCTCTTCTGACCACCATGTCGAGTGTCTGAAATGTGAGAGTGAATTTGATGACCTCATTGTCGTAGTGGTCTTTTTGAAAGGTATCCAACCCCTATCCCCCGGGTACCGCTAGGTCTGCACCGCGGGTACTAGGTATGGCAAGTTTGATTGCGTCAAGGCAAGGCAACGGTGTGATCGCTCGCGAGGATAGTCGAGCGATTGTCGAGTCGAAGCAGTTTTCGGAACCCGGTGTTCGTTGTTGTGTGTCGACCGGCGTATCTTATCAATGCCACCTCGGTCTGCCTCTGCATGCTTCCGTCGATCATTCTTCCGGTCATCTTCGCGTGCGGATTCGTTGGGTTGTTCGATACACAGATCTTCCATCTTGAAGATTGGGATCTTGTTGACACAGCTACACTGAGCGCTGACCGCCTATCAGCATCCGCTCAACCTCATCTTGGCCTGTTCATCTCGACCTCTTGGCATTCATCCTACTCGTTCCGGTCACTTGTCAAGCAGTTTCTCACATGACAGACGACGTGCGAAAGGCGGTGTTGGTATACAGGGACTTGTTCTCTGACGTCCAAGATTTGGCTAGAGCGAGCTGATTTCCTGGGTGTTGGAGGAGCATCAAAGTCATACCCATCGAAAGGCATAAAATTTTTGAGATTTGCAAAGCGTCCCAATGAGAGCTGCCTCTCAATGCACCCTCGCTGGAGGTCACCAGCATTCAACACCGTTTCTCGCGTTTCCATAGCCGGGCATGAGACAAACTCCGGCGTATGGGATGCTTGTTAGCATTGATCATCTGTACTGGCCAGAATGCATAATATTTTGCAGGTTCTCAAGGTGGTTCAAAGAGACACGCGACTCAGCGGACTCTCACTGGAGGGCACCACTTCTCGAAAAAGTATCTTGCACTTTCACAGGCCTATTTTGATGATGGTGGCAGCTGGAGAAGTCGCAAGCATGAACTGAGGTTCGGAGGTCCGAGGCACGGATGCTTTCAGACGGGAGATAACGATCAGTCAGCATCGGTTTGATTGGCTGTAGATGGACGGCGATTGCCGTATCATGGCGGTCTGTAAGAGAATGTGGGATGGCCTGACCAGAAATTGACAAAGAGTCCACCAGACAGCCATAATTAACGAACGTCAAGCTCTTCCGGCTGTCTGCAAAAGTCTCGGGTCCGAGATCGCCGTCCACCGAGGATCTGATTAGCGTCATAAAGTGGTCGCCTCTCTTTCAGCTTTGCTCAAATCATCGCTTTCCCCTCCAAAGAAACGTCAACGACACCTACGAACCTGTCACCCACGAAACCATACACACAAACAATCAAATCAATCACAATGTTCAGAAGAATCGCATCAACCGTCCCCGCTCAGGCTAGCAGAGCCATGGCTGCTGCCGTCAGACCTTCGATCGCTCCCTCTTTCCGCGCCGCCGCTCCCGCCATCTCCGCCGGTAGAAGAAGCTACCACGAGAAAGATATGTCCACCCTTCACTCACGGTCGTCTCTGTGTCGATGGTGAACGACCCGCCATCGACGCATTGGCAGCCGTGTATTCAGTCACTCTCGAACACTCAGCTAACATCCGCAGCACTGCTCGACCACTACAGCAAGCCCAGAAATGTCGGTAGCATGCAGAAGGGCGACACCGACGTCGGTACCGGTCTTGTCGGTGCCCCTGCTTGCGGCGATGTCATGAAGCTTCAGATCCGCGTCGACCCCAACGACAACACCATCAGCGAGGTCAAGTTCAAGACCTTTGGTTGTGGTTCCGCCATCGCCAGCAGCAGTTACCTCACCGAGCTCGTCAAGGGCATGACTCTTGAGCAGGCCGGTCGCATTAAGAACACCGAGATCGCAAAGGAGCTCTGCCTGCCCCCTGTCAAGCGTGAGTGCTCACCATCCACGGAGATACCGAAGAAAGAATACATGTACTGACGTGTCACATAGTCCACTGCTCCATGCTCGCCGAGGATGCCATCAAGTCCGCCATCTCAAACTACTACACCAAGAACCCCAACGCAAGAAAGACCGACCTCGGCGGCACCTCCGCACCTCTCCCCAAGGTTGAGGTCGAGACTGTCTCCGCCTCCGCTTAAAGCGCATAGTCTTTCTACACCCATTCTTGATGTTTTCGTCCTCATGTCATTAGCGAGTTTTTCTTCCATCTTCGAATTTCCTTTTCTATCACAAATCTTCATTTGGAGTGGCCCGGATCGGCCTTTGGGAACGGTTTTCCTCTACCCCACACCCACACCCAGATTGCAGAAGGAGTAGGGGGCAGGGTCGGTATGTGCTTCACAGCTCGTCACGAACACAAATAACCATGTATTTTATCTTCGTAAAAAGAAGAATCAAATTGGAATGACCTGAAGCTTGCTCTCAGTCGACGTGAGGGCCCCACATTACGTTTGCCAGCCCATGCTTCTACAAAGAAGGGTTATGACCTACAATGAAATGGCAGCACGTAAAATATCAGCGAGCACAAAACCAGAAGCTTGATTCGTTGTGCAGATGAATCCATCAAAGGAACACCACAGCACCCATACCGCTCAAAAACGAGGTCGTCAGAGAGACAGGGATGGCAGGAAATCCATCGACGTAGACAGCGACATTAGCAAATCTAATCAGAGAAGAAGTACATCACGTCCATGTACCATCCAACACCTTGCTTTGATCCCAGCAAGCAAACCGGCTATCCGCCGGACTATCTTTTGTGATTACCGGTGTGGTAATATGTATACAGTGCTAATGAAGGAGATTGTACTCATCTCACAAATCAAACGAACAGCAGGTAACCGACCTCGCAGCCATAATCGCCAAATCTCCATGTCTGCATGTGCCACACAAGTCAGTACTTTCCTGCACTTACGCAAAATCCCCTCGTCTCTTATTTACAAAGCGAGTCAGACAGGCAAGCTCCATTATCGACCTCGTTCACGACCGTCGCGGTCGCCCTCGTCAGGCAGCTGACGATGTCCGTGGGCTTGCCAGAACTTGAAGAACAGGGCTGCAAGTGTCTCTTTCGTAAGCTTGGTGAGATTGGATTGGCGACGATGGCGTGGGAAGGGTTACTAGTGCGTGGATGGAGATGCGCACTAAGTGAGAGCGTGTAAGCGTTGGCAAGAAAGCGACAGTATTGTCGATAGTATTGGCGATGGTAATCCGGATTACAACTTTCGATCCAGAACGTGAAAGAACTCTTTACAACAGATGGCAAAATCGTCCCAGATCAAGTCGCGGGAGAGATGGCAGTAGTTACGAATCGATGATAACAAGAAGAAAAGGTGAAATGACTTTGGAAGAAGACGAAAGATGACCAGGAAAATATTGGTGATGAAGCCAAAAATCAACCTTGAAATTTCCCATCCATGGGAAAACGGGAAGAGGAAGGTATGAATAGACGTGACAAAAAAAGAAAAAGAACAAGCACCATGGGCAGGAATCGAACCCGCGACCTCCTCGGATCTAGACTGACACGACGCTGAGTACTAACGAATGACTGCGTCGTGTTAAGACCACGGGTGTGTTGAACCACTACACTACCACGGCTGAATATTAGTAGAGCACTGAATTTGATGAATATAAAGGTAGGTGAGTTGGTGCGGGATATGTCGGGAGTTGGTGCATGGACTGAGTTAGTTTTGTGGTCAGCTGCGAGGTGTGCAGCCAAGAGGGATTTGAGCCCGAGTCGAGGTCATGAGAGGAAGGGAAGGTAGGAAGCTTTGTGACATGACATGAAATCGTCTCTGTGTACTTTGTATCCATATTCTAGATAAGTGTTTACACCTCAGGGTAGACATCACTATGATCTGTTAGCTTACTGACAGGGAAAGGGAAAGATAGACTTACGTTCGCCTGTGTAGAGGTACACCCTTCTTGATCTTTGCTAGTTGGTCAAAGTCGATATCCGCAGTAGCGAATTCAGGTTCCCAAGAGTCCCCCTTCTTGTTGAAGTCATCCTCACTGCCCAACTCTGCAAGGGTTCTCCCCCAAGGATCAATGATGAGCGAGTGACCGTAGCTGGATCTCTTCTTGTTGTGGGGTCCGACTTGGGCAGGGGCAAGAACATATGACTGGGTCTCGATAGCACGAGCTGTCAGAAGAGCATGCCAGTGAAATTTGCCAGTGTCTGGTGCGAAAGCTGAGGGGTAGCAGATGATGTCGCTCTTTTGACGCTTCAGAGCAAGAGCAAGTTCGGGGAAGCGTAGATCGAAACAGATGGCCAGACCGACTCTACCCACAGGGGTGTCGAAGGGGGGTGTAATCTTGTTTCCAGGCTCGACTGTATCGCTCTCCTTCATGTTTGGGCCATCGTCCAGTTCCATGTCAAACATGTGCAGCTTCTGGTAGCGCTGAGTAATCTCTCCCTTCTCGTCAATCCATATCGAAGTGTTCTTGATCTTCTTGGGAGCATCTGACGGCTCATGAATTCCAACGTTGATGTGAAGGTTGTTCTTTTTGGCCTCCTCTTGCAGGCCCAAGACGAAAGGCGACTCGGTGACGGACTTGCACAGGTTGTAAGATTCATCGGGCGAACCGCCAATGTAGTCGGAGGCTTCAGGAAGGAAAAGAGCCTATAGCTATCCACTCTTGGTCAGCCGTTGTTGTTGTGAGTATCGATCAGGAAGATAGACCTTTGCACCAGCGGCGACAGCCTTCTTGACAAGAGCCTGACACTGGGTAAGATTGTGCGACATGCTTGATGTCGAGCATATTTGTCCGATTGCCTATAATACATATTAGTATGTCAAGTTGCTATGGACGAGGAGCAAGTCCACTTACTACTTTGGCCATGATTGCGTGTATCAGTCGATTGTTATCTTGTTGAAATCAGAGACGATATGAGGCGAAAGTAGAAGAGGAATCTACGAAGGATATGCAGGGCCTTCAGGGACAAGATCGATCGACGCAAGGGACACGGACAGTACAATTCACGATAGGTATCCAATAGTCATCAGTTACCTGTTAGGGAAAGCGCAATCGAGAAAGTCCAAAAGGAAAGAAGGCCGGAGCCGGTACGTCACAGGCTCACGCCGTGCCAAGGCTCACCCCCGAGCCGCCGCGTGTACCGCAATGGACACGGCATGGCAGCATCCGAACATCAATGTCTCCGTGACTGCGAGAAGCAGTAGTGCGCCGCAATGGCATCCCAGCCACCGAACAAAGCCAAAGGTTCCTCACGATGGGGCTCGTTGCTCTCCGGAGCCGTCGCCGGACTGGAGTCGCGACTGGACACGATCCTAGCTGAGGACAACGAAGCATCCGCTCGCAGTAGAGCCCAGGATAAAGCTGCCGTTCAGGAGAAGCCCCAACCCGAGAAGACCGCTGCTCTTGCCATTCCAAGGTCCTCGTCAGATGCTTCGCGCAGCCCGTCACGCTCCCGCTTGAACGATCGATTGCAAGAAAGATTGGCCAAGGCTGTCGCCAGCCAGAATCCCTCTCGCTCCTCAACTCCTTTGAATCAGCCTGCCAGTCCGCGCTCTAGTCTTGGCTCGAGGCAATCAAACGACACACCACGACAACTTTCAGAATCGAAAGATGAATCCGCGTCCACGTCAACTCCTGATGTTAATGTCCCCGAGGTCCCAACTCCAGTCGAGAACAGTGCAGTCGATCCCGTCCTTGAGACACCTATCGTCAAGGCTCCGCCAGAACTCATTATTACTGAAGCTCCTTCGACCCTCTTGACTTCTGGTCTACCAATCAATCCTGCCCGCATCTCCAATGACAGCCAGACCAGGCCTTCCATCGACCTTGATCATGACTCCACCACCGGGGAGCCTGTCGCTGAGCCCGAGCCGCAGCCTGAAGAACCCATCGTGGAAACAGAAGAGCCGGTAGCCAGAGATGTCTCTGAGCTGGAAGCTGAACTTACACAGTTGCGACAGGAGAATGCTGAAGCAGAAAAGCAACGGCAGGAAGAGATGCTCGCCAACCTAGAACGTATTGATGCTCTACAGGCCAAGCTACAGTACCTTGCGAAGGAGACTGTCGCAGCCGCAAAGGAAGCCAACTCGGGAACACCTCAAGAGCGGAAACTCGCTGAAAAGGATGAGCGTATTGCTCTTCTCATGCAAGAGGGTGAGAAGCTGAGTAAGGTCGAGATGCGACAAGGAGCCGTTATCAAGAAGTTACGCGTCAAGACACAACAAGATGAGAAGGCTACGGCCGAGCTTCGGGATCGCCTTTCAAAACTTGAGGATTCTGAATCGGACCTGAAGCAGAAGTTGAGACGGGCTGAACAGGCAGAAAAGCAGAGTGCCGAACGACTGAAACGCTTCTCAAATCTTGAAAAAGACCTCGAGAACCGCAAGTCGGAACTCGCAAGTAGCACGGCGACAATCGCCAGTCTGCGAAATCAACTGGCCGAAGCGGAGAAAAGAGCTGAAGAGGCCGAGTCCAGAGCGACGGAAGTCGTCGTGCAAGCGGATACCAACAAGCTATCCGCCATCCAAGAAGAACTTGAGGATGCAAAACTAGAAAAGAAGCTCGCCGACGATAAGTGGAGTTCGGAGATTAGGCGATTGAACGAAGAAAGCCAGCGTCAAAAGCAGCAGGCGAGCTTCCGTGAATCAGAACTCACAAATGAGATCTCGGTAAGTGCATGCTGTGAAGTCCCTCATCTTGATTGTGATGCTTATGTGTGGTATAGAATTATGAGAGTCGTCTCGAAGCACTTCGTGTTCGCGCTGAGGAGGCATCTTCAGACGTTGGAGGTGATTCACAAGCCAAACTTCTTCGCCAGATTGAAACATTGCAGACTCAATATTCTCTGGCTGCTGAGAACTGGCGGAGTATCGAAACTTCCCTGAACGGACGCATCGCTGCGATCGAGAAGGAGAGGGATGAAGCCACTAAGCGTGAAGCCGATGTTCGCAAGAAGGCTCGCGACATCAGCAGCAAATCCAAGCGCACAGAAGAGCGACTTGAAGAACTGACCGAGGAATCTCAACTGGTGACCTCACAGCTTCAGGCCAGTAAGGCAGAGATGAAGAAATTACAATCACGCCTGGAAGCCACAGAGACATCACTCAACGAAGCCAAAGCAGACTTCGACCGCCAAAAACAGTCTTTCGAAACAGAGTTGACCCAAAAGCTAGAAGAAGAAAGAACAAGACAAATGTCCCAAGGTCTAGGGATCGCCAGCCCCAGCAATGGAGCCATGGCCTCACGAACACAGTCACCGACCAGCTATTTCAGGAAACAACCAACACAAGACGCCTTTGGCTCGGTACAATCACGACGAGGACTCCAACGCATCCCCTCCCAAGAACAAACAACCACACTCTCGATAGACCGCTCAGTATCCCGCCGCCCATCAACCCTCACACCAGGCATCAATACCTCACGCACACCAATGACTCCCGACTTCCCTTCTCCCAGCGTCAGCAGACAAGGTTCCATGTTCTCCCTCGCCCAACTCATCAACGGCGGAAACGGCATGCCTCAAACCCCATCCATCCACACAAACGATGTAGACGCAGACGATGGCTTCGACAATCGCTCAAGCCCTCAACGCACCATCAACGACGTAATCAGCGCCTCTACGGTCCACACAGGCCCCAGCGTCCAACTAGTCCAACACATGTCCTCAAAAATCCAACGTCTAGAAGCCGAAAAATCCGCCCACAAGGACGAATTAGCAAGGTTGGTATCTCAACGCGATGAAGCCAGAGACGAAGTGGTTTCAATGATGCGCGAAATTGAAACAAAGAAAAGCGTAGACGGCAAGACTGATAAACTGGAAGGAGAGCTGGGCACGGTAAAGCAGAGGTATGAAGCTTGTCTTGAAATGTTGGGGGAGAAGGAAGAAGAGGTTGAGGAATTGAGGAGTGATCTTTTGGAGGTCAAGAAGATGTATCGGGAGCTTGTTGATAGGAATATGAAGTAATGATGAGAGATTGGAGTGGGATTAATGATAGATGAAGAAGATCTCCATCAGATGCAATTATGCTGTGTTTATTGAGAGTCTTGGTGCTACTTTGTTGTGCCTCTCGCTTGCATTGTCATCTATGTCGGAGCGCCATTTCCATGCTGTGCTCGACTGTCGGAACCTGGGCCTGCTTCTTCTAGAGAGCAATACCTTCCTCCTCTGCAGCGCGAGTGATGTAACTTCTGACCTAAAACAAAGTCAGCAACATGATCCCTATCAGAAAAGGGGGAAAGGGGCAGATGAACGCACCTTTGCATCCGGAGCAAGATCCAACGCAAGAGCACCAGAATTATCCCTCTTATCCGTCTCCGCACCAGCCTTCAGCAACACCACAGCCGTATCTCCATGCCCCTCAGCAACAGCATGATGCAAAGCGGTACAACCATCCCCATCACTCCCATTAACCGGACTCCTGTTCTCCAACAACAATTTCACCATCGGCACACTGCCCACCGCGGCGGCCCTGTGCAATGGCAATTGTCCTCTTTTGTCCTTTACTCTTGCTGAAGCTTTGTTGGCGATTAGCTTTTTGGCTGTATCGAGGTTTGATTTTGAGACTGCGAAGTGGAGGGCTGTGGCGCCGGTGGAGGTGACGAGGGTGGGGTCGGCGGATTTGGAGAGGAGGAGGTCGATGAGGGGGTCGGCTTCTTTGAGGGATGAGGCGATCATTAGGGGTGTCCAGCCTGCTCCGTCCTAGATGGGACTTCTGTCAGACTCTGGTTCCTTCTCTGCCTTTTGGAATGGTAGGCAGGACTATAGGAGCTCGTACTTGAACATCTGGATCAAAGTCTTTGCGCTCGGAGAGGATCTCTACGATTGGGAGGCGGTTGTAACTTGCTGCCCAGTGGATTGGAAGCCTGTCGTCGTCGTCGCGTAGTTTGGCGAGTTTGGGATTTGCCTTGAGGAAACCATGTTAGGACCAGAATGAGTGAACGAAGGCGAAACATGAGCAGCGTACATTTAGTAGTGATTCGGCCAGGTTGACTATTTCATTCGCATCAGTGGTAGCCCTCCATTCACACAGCTGTGGTGGGAAGAAACTCACTCTGCCCATCGCGGCAAGCAGCATGGATCGCAAACTTATTCGTCTGTCCTTCGTCTGTCGCCATACTTGTGTATTGATGATGATAGAAAGTCGAGAAAGATGAAACTTGGGTGTGACGCTTTCTGAACAACCCTCGTGAAACAAAATGCGGGGTGGCTGTGACGATCGATGACAGGATGCGGGGAGTTATGAAGCCTTGTGAAAGTGCATAATATCGCCTAGCAGTCACTATAATGCAAGGGACTACTTCTTCATCTTCTATAAAACCAACAACCTCGTCTTCATGATTCTTTCCATCGACGACTTCTTCAACAAGGATGTCTTCTGTTGCAACGATGACTTAAGATCTACGTTTGGCTTGTCCGTCGTCCTGTTTTATGGTTAGCCGGAGAATCAATCGAGGAGACGTCGAGAGACGGGCTACCCTCGAGAGAGTCGTAGGGCCGACTTGTAATAGAGCGGTAGAGCTCAAAATACATACTCGTGTCGACGATCAAGTTCCGAGAGGTCGAGCTCGGATCAGGTAGAGACAATCAGAGAGACAATCAGAGAGACGGGCTCATGTCGGGATAGGATTATCAAAACACGGGCTACTATCGAGAAGCTTATAGAGCTAAATCGTCTCAGAAAGTGAGAATTCAATGACAAACTCTTGTGGATACTCATATACTGAAAGTTAGAGTCGTGGCATCAGGGTTCAAGAAATAGAAGCAGTTCGGGTATAGAAAGTTTGAGATTTTGTGACAGGATTGCTATCTCGAATCCATGCCATGCTTTTTTGCACAACTGCAAAACTGCACATGGCTTTTGGCAGTTAGAGGCATGTCCGAGGAGAGCAGGCCAAGCAGCCCTCTCAATGGACAACTCAGCCGATTTGAACAGTCACTACTTCCTCGTCTTGCTCAGCTGGCGGATCAAACGCGCCGAGAAGGGTTCGATAGGCTCCAGAATCTTGTCCAACTGCAGCTCGTTCACAAGACCTGACATTGAATATTCACACAAGATGGCAACGACGCCGTCTTGGCAGGAGCTGTCTGACAACGTGACATTATTTTCCAGTTCGACAAATCTCTTGATCGCCTTGCGAAAGTTGTCTTTCCTTGTTCTCACCCAGTCGCAAGGGGCAAAGTCAAGCTTAAAATCCCTGAGAAATTCGAGGACAGAGCTGGTGGCGACAGCAGTCAGGGACGGGATCCTGTACTCGTTCGCTATAAGAAGCATATCGATCCAGAAATCTAGTTTTTGATCCTCGTTTGGTTTAGAGGCCAGGTGGTCTTCATCGTACTTGAATCCGTAGATATGCTTGATCATGGCGTGAACAGTTGCGGGTGCAAACTCCTCGATATTGTACTCGGCATTGTTAGCAACCTACGCTTCGTCAGCTCTCATGTAGACTTCATTATGGAGCTGGCAGTAACTCACTGAGAATTTGCTCTTGAAGGCCGTGTGGAACAGCTCCGACGCGCCCGCTAGGATGAGCCTGTGGGCGAGTACTCTCTGGTCGCCGAAGCGGAGAATCACATCTGACCGGCCTTTATCGTTGTAAAGTTGCTTATAGAAGGGATAAGGATGAGGAGCGGACATCTTGTTGGGTTTGATTCTGGAGAGAGGTCTTGTCGACGACGCGAGATGGTTGTGGATAAGAAGAATACTTGCAGCAGGAGTTGCAGAAATATGCGTTTTTCTTGCCTCGTGGGAAATGGTCTGGAACTTACTCATCCGACCTTCCATGTGCTGAGCTTTGTCACCTCGACGACTCTCGTGCTGCAGCGGTCCACGGGGATGCGTCCATCAAAATGCACGATACTCTTGACGGAGCACGTCGTCCTTAGACAGCAGATACTTGGCGTTCTCTCTTCAAACCTAGCTCATCTTCGGAAAATTGTCGTGCATTTTTACAGCTGCATGAGTGCGAGACTTCCGCAAAAGAGGGAAGAAGAACCAACGGTCGGCTACTCACCACCTCCTGGAGTTAGATATGCCCTCTATGTTGGTACGGAGCTGATGTTAAAGAATCATTTCTTATAAGCCTATGGTGTGTCCTGGGTATCAATTCGTAAGGTCGTGTCCTGTTCCTGGCGATAGCATATGACAAGGTCGGCGTAAATCGCATTGCCGTCAAGCTCCAGCGTTGCGTCGCTCGTGGGGAGTCGCGGATTGTGTCTTCTTGGCTCTCAAATGGGTCTTTCAGCCCTTCTTTTTTGAAGCCTTCGCGAACATCTCTTCCACTCTTCCGGTCCCCTTCAGCGCCAATCTCACAGCTTCAAATCTCTGTTCAGGTGCTCTCTTTCCCTTGCCCACGCTCTCCATGACCCACTCAGCAGTGACAAATTTGACATTCTTGCCGCCAATCTTGGAAATCTCCTTTTGCATTTTCGAAGCTGAGAGGCCGCCACCAGCGCCGGGAATAGCAGAGGCATTGGGACGACCGAGAATGACATGGGTGACCGAGCGACGACCGAGGTGGATGCTGAGGTGTGCGCCATGGGTTACGAGGAGGTGTTTTAGCTTGTGGTCGGAGATTGTTGGGAAGGTGCTGCCGTTTATGTAGATACACGTGCCGGCGAATATTTGGGGAGGATTTGGCTTGGTGGTAGCTTCTGTGTCGAGGTCTTGTTTAACATGTTGCGGTCGTTCTGGTGGGCTCTGGTGTTCGCTCAAGAGAGTGTCCTCGTAGCTTGACGTTTGTTCCTGCTTTTGCTCCTGGGACGAGTCTTCCCTCACAGGTTGTGCACTTGGGATGTCCAGAAAGTCCAACTCCTGCTCTTCCACCTCCTTGACATCCAACTTTGCCTTTTCTTTCTCGGTCGCTGTGTCTTTGACGCACGTTTTCTTGACCCTGAAAGCTTCCACTACACTCGGCTGTCCTCTTCCTCTCAATCCAGATGCACCCTTGATCCACCCGCCATTTTCCAGTCTTCCGTCTTTTCCAAAGTTTTCACTGCCAGCTCCAACAGTATCTGCGACTCGAGCGCCGCCAGAAGCACCACCACTGAACTGATTTCTGAGTTTGAGACTCCGCGATTCTCGCCAACTCGTGCTTCCAGCGAGATTGTTTTCTGCTCTTTGATGGCCAGTCGAAGACGAGTTCCAAGGATCGAAGAAACGGCGTTTGGGCTTTGCGCTGACCGGCGGTGGAAGCTGTGGCGGCTGTGGCATGGTTGCGCTTTGGAAGGGCAGTCGCAATCGTGACAGTTGACCGGTGTTATTGCGACATCTGGTATGGCCTCGACTAAGTCCCTATATGCAATGTTACAGGAGAAATGTTTTGGTCAAGTCATTGTTCTTTCCTTTGGATGACGCGACGAATCAACCGCCAAGTCACGTTTCTCATTTCGCTTGCTCTTGCCACATCTGCTGTCTCGCCTTCACTTGCCTTGGTTGACGAACAATTCACATTCAACCAATGTTGGTCGAGTCTTCCTAATACAACTAGATATACAATCAACACGTTTACTGTTCGGTTTGTGAAGCTGACTCCTGCTCTAGCTGTTCCAAGCGTGCCACGACTCTCTTCAATGGTAGAGCTGCTCCTCTGCTAACCACACTGAGTCCGTCGCGAGCCTCGACCTCAGCTCCCTCTTCGCTGTTCCTGAGAATTGTGTGTGCTGCTTTGATGGCTTTTGGCAATAACTTCGCTCCATCACTGTTGATGTAGAGCCAGCGGAGTACGTTCTCGAGTCCTTCCAGACCTGCCGTCTCGCCTCTACACAGGCGACTAACCGGTGAGATCAGAAAGGCTCTTGCGCGAAGGTATGTACGCTCTGTGTAGGCCACACTGTTCTGGTTGATAGAAGAAAGTCCTTGAAGCGGCTCAAAGCCTGCCTCGTTGTAGTACGGCTCCCTGACCAGGACGAGACCTAAGATGCTGACCAGTACTTGCAGCACGGTGCTCTGATGTGGTGCCCATGCTTCGTTACGCGCCTCATCACCTTGCCACGTGCCCAGTAGAGACAGACAGATCTTTCCCTCCTCGTACAGGTTAGGGTTTACTCTACCCGACATACCCGCACCTTCTGCTGTCCAGCTGTGGAAGAAGGCTTTCGGGGGCTCGTAAGGGTACTGTGCAGGTAAATGTAGATCGATCATGAACGGAGCGTACTCATATGGTGTTCCAAGCGGACCAACGAATAGCACTCTAATCAAATCCATTCTGGACTCCCACGTCCGAACGTAGACGCCTTCCGGGAGTGCCCCAGGGGCGCTGAGAATCTTGTGCTCTTTGGAAACACCTTTCATGTGGTTTGCAGATGTGGGTCCACTTTGGAGTAGGTAGTGATGACCTGAAGGAACTTCTGTTTCAAGTATTTCATAGGCCGCTGGAGTGTTTGACAAGGAGGATAGTAGTAGCTCTTCGACAGGTATGTTGCTCATCGTCTGGTCGGTAGCACCGTCGTTGTTGATCTGTACTGCTTGAGGAGGCTGAGGAGCAGGTACTGGATGTGTCGCGGGTTGTTCTGTGGCGGGGAAGTCGTCTTGTGTTGACATTGCGTCTGAGAAGTCATGGCCCTCTTCATCCTCTGTACTCCAAGAATCGTCTGCATCGTCGATCGGGATGTCTTGCCCATCTTCAAACCAGACGTCTTCCTCCTCGGAGAAGTCTTCCATGTCAAAATCCATGTCATCGCTTCCATCGCTGAGGTACTCGCCGGTTCCATCACCGTTCTCCACGAACGGGTTGTCGCCATCGTGTAGATTCATGGCAGGCACTGTGTCTGTGATGTCGCACTCGACTTCTTGGACCGGCTCTGCTGCTCCTAGCCTGACCGTACACTTCCCGTTCATGCCCAAGTCCACAATCTCCCCGAACCAGTTAATACTGCCAGTCTCAGTTTGTTGAGCGAGACTTGGTATTTTTAGCAGCAGCACGTAGTCGCCTCTGTTGCGATTGACACTTTTGGGTGCCCGGATATCGTAGAAACTGACTTCTTCCTCTTCTTTGCTCAGAGTTCCAAGTTTGGTGTCCGGGACCAGCAGAGTCAAGCTTTTGTCACAAAATGAGAGAGTGGTCTCATTGAACCACTTGACATGCGCTACTCTATCCTTTCCGTTCACACGTTGAGCGACGCCTACACGTGTTGGAGTGATGGCCCAAGAGGTCATGGCCTCTGGTGGAGGAGCTCTTGTCTCGTTGGTACAGATGATCTCACCAGGAAATACAGCGTCCTCATCATCGATTGAGGGATCAGGGATGATGGAAGTTGTTCGGACTGTCTCGATGGTTTTGTCGCTCCAAAGAACATCAGCTTCTGTAGTTGTGCTCGTGATGGTGAAAGCGTTGAGATCGTATCCAAGATTTTGTGCACGGTCGAGTTTCTCGAGCTTGCCATGAGCGGTTGACCCATCATATTTGGCACACGCTCCAGGAAGGTCTTTGAATCTGACGCGAAGTCCGCCTTGGAACTCGGGATCTGAGCGCGCCTTGGTCGGCTTGTGTGCATCTTCAGAGGTAGTGGGCATCCTTGAAACGTCGTACAGGCGGACCTCATCGCTTTCTAGTTCGTCGGGTCCAAGGAAGCCCTCAGGGGCACTGCTCCAAAGTGGAAACTCACTGGCTCGCTCCATTCGGTGGTGCAGCCAGTCCACTTGACACTCTTTCGTACGAGCTTCAACTACGACACCTACAGGTGGCTGAGAAGAATAGTCAGCATCGTTACTTGGGTTAATTGTGGACATGTAGAAGAAAAGTAGCACAATTTGCAAGAGCCATCAAAGAGCCTCGTACACGAGAAGACTTACTGTATTTGGATTGTAGGTGCCGAACACCCATCTACCAGTCCTGAGGACGCCTTTCTTGGTCTTGATGAGTGATCCAACAGCAAATCTCTCCTCGGGGTCGCCGCTCATGGGTTCAAGATTGCCTGAATCAGTGATGCTTACAACACCATTGTCGGTCAACTTGACAGTGACTTCATCGAAGCAGTCTTTGACGCGACCAATCCAGTTCTTGTATATGATTACGTCGCCTTCATTGTAAGTTTGGACGAGCTTGAGTTCGGAAGCAGGTACATCGTAGAGCAGCGTGCCATCTGCGACCAATTCGAGAGAAGGCTCTTCTTCCATGGGCAATGGCAACCAAGCGCACTTCACAACCTTGTTGCTTTTCGTCTCTCTGACGTCGCACATGCCGAGTAGTGTACATTTTGTCCTTGTGCTGACGACGGTTCCCGATCGGTTCCCCTTGCGCACGAGGTCTCCAGACATGAATGAACGATCCAACAAGACAAGATCGCTACATGGCACCAATTCGGCTTTGGTTGTGGTTTGCCATTGCATTAGTACAAAGCCTTGTGGAGGGACGCCATCCCGCAAAAATTCTTTGAAGAGTTGGCGAGGAACCTGTTTGTGACGTTGAACTCTGCCATATACGTTCAACGGATATGGTGCATGGCTTTCCACTTCGGCGTGCGTCCTGTCGATGTAGCCGACTGCTTGGAGATTGCTGCTATTGGATGTACAGACATCGTCGACGTGTAGTTGAGGAGTTGAATCTTCGGTGGACGCCATGTTGTGGCCCAAGCAAAGGTGAGTCAAACTCTGCACAATCTCGAGGTCTGTGGTTCTTTGCGACTCTCAAAAGGAAGAGGTGATAATTATGAAGTTGGTTTTTTTGTTGTTCTGCTTTCTTGAACGCCGCTGTGTTGGAGAAGTGACGATCCCGGCCGGCGCTTTGACCATGTGCTTCAATGGGTAAAACCCTGACCTCTATCTCTGCCTGTTCTATCACATTCACAAGTGGCAACAGGACTTCTTACAAGACTAGAGAACGTTCTGGATACTCTGAGCTTCATTTCCTTATTTTTTTCTACAGAAGCATACTCATGTCGCGTCGACTCTGAGGGAAACAACGAAAGAACATGCTAGGTTTCAGTGCAAGACGGACTTGGTGTTGAAGAACCATGAGCAATGTTCATTGGATACATAAGAAAGCATCAAAAGCAGACAAGGAGCAAATGCGTTCTCGGGGCAATTCAGCCTTTGTTACGGAAAAAAGGACATTGAGTTCAAGGAGCACGGCGTGTCCAAGGCGACCAGGAATTACGAAATATGCTGTCTGCCATGTCTCGTCACATCCTTGCCATGCTCTGCCGCATAACCTCCCATGCATTTTCCCAGGCTTTGTTCGATGGAACAGATGGGGCGACATCACGTCTTGCTTGGTCGAGCTCAGTGGCCGCCGTTTTGAAGATCAACTCACGCTCATGTCTCATTCTCTCAAGATTGCCTTTGTTGTCTGGCAGGCGCTCTGTGTTTGACTCTGCTTTCTCTGTTGGCTTTGATGAGGCGGGTAACGAGGTAGAGCTGGTACTGAAGGCAGGGTCGAGATATTGTGGTGGCGCCGAAAGACGGATGTTCAACCTATCAGAAGGGTGGTGCGTGTGACCATAGTCAATATGTGGAGCGTGCGATGTGTGTTTAGGCGGTGCAGCGGGTATGAAAATGGGACCTCTCGACGCAGTCATACCGCCCGTGACTTGACCGTATGGTGACCACTGATCGCTGCGCATCTGTGCTTCCGGTATACCACTATCCAGGCCATTAAGATAGTAAGGGCTATGCGGCGGAGGTACGAGATTGTGATGAGTTTGGAGATGCTGTCGTGAGGGTTGTCTGTTGAGATGAACAGGGCTCCCGTAGCCGTGTTCACCACCTTGCGGCGGCCAAGGGATATCTTGTGGTGGACCGCGCATCTCTGGCAATAACATTAGGGATCTAACCAGGGTTATATGCGAAGTGGTTATAAGTATGCATGAATGGCTACGAGACTCATTCTCAAACATGACACTTTTTGACAAAGGCGATGGTCTTAGGAGTCTGAGATGTTTCTAGAGTCTAAGAGTTGGGTTCGTTCTTGAGTAGAACATTCCGGTCGAGCCCTTGAAACGTTGCATGGTGTCGTTTGAGTCGTGACTGGCACCTACGTAGGGTTAGAAAAATCCATTATCCAAAATCAGTAGTTTCATTGTCGATCAGCTGGACGCTGTACAGAACATGCCGCTCGTATCCAATTGGTCCTTAGAGGTTCGATTTCCGTGCTGAAAGTGGAGTATCGCACTGTTTTCGAGATCGCGGGTCGCAAGAACGAAAAATTGACATTCGTTGGCGAACACATGAATCCTGCCATTGCGAACACCTTTTGCGATGCTGCAGCCTCTGCCAGATATCGAAGCGTTGATTGCGCTGACGACTCCGGACATTTCCTTCTGGTTCGGGGCATGCTTCCACGATGCTGAATGCGCCGAGGTTGTCGGAACAAGGCAGTGAATCGCAAGACCCAAGCTAGAAGAAGGGAAAGGGAAAACCTGCGCAAACTATACCATAACTGGATTCACAAGAAGGGTCAAAATTCCGAAGAACGAAAATCGCGAACTGTCTCCCGCGCCGAGCTTTCAACAATCGATCGATGCGATGTAAAATACGCACCAGCCGGCGTGATGGGTTTTCTGAGTAGCAGTACGGCCGGACAGCTACGGGGACCGACGGATACAAATGCCACGGACGACAGGCAAAACAGGAAGCCAGCGGCCATAATGGAAAGTGGATCTTCAAACCAGTTCCATCGACGACAAAATTATTCAGACATCGAACTGTGTCAAAGCGGGAAAAGACAGCTTCGTGACAGCCCTGCAGATGGTGACAATCTGGAGAATATGCGCCTCGATATGATTACCCCAGGGAGAATGTCACACGAGTAAAAGCACTCAAAAGTGGTCAGACTTCAAAGCTCGGAAAATCACCCAGGATTTTGTTGCTGTTGAAGCCCTAGTTTTGGTGTGTTTCAACATCCGACCGATCGTGATTTTGGTCAGCTGTCCACGTGCGAGTTTGTCAACACTGGTCAGAACATCTTAACAGAAAACGGTCCGCCCCGGGAAAAGCTCCGATTTTGGACTTATTGGACAATACCGATGGACTTGGGACGCCTCAGAACGCCACAAGTGGTATTGTGTCGACAGAAGCCTTGTCGAAGTTTTGGCGAAGGAAAACAGGTGCCCAGAAATCATGCCGTCTCACCGACCGGATCGAATTTTTCTTTGGCCGAGCACCAGCATGCCCCTTGTTGTTAGATAAACACGGGGCGGACTTGTACCGTGTTTGTCCCAACAGAGTGCAGTCTATCAGAGTCTAGAACGGTGCATGCTCCTGGGTGCACGCTAGGCGGCACTATTCTTACTCTCGCAAGCAAACTGCTGTTCTTTCTCACACGCTTTTCTTCACCGACGGTCGTTGATCTTGTCATTCGTCGCTCTTTCCACTTGTTTCTCTTTCGATCGTTCGCAGGCAGCCACAATTCGCGTCCAGCTACGCGGCGAGTGCTCCTTCTTCCTCCTCAGCCACAATCTGCTGTGCATCCTTTGTTATCTGATCAAGGTGTCAGAGCTTCGGTTTCAATTTCATGGACAACGCAGAGCGAAATTTGCGTGCTTTGGTTGAGGGTGTTCAGTCTCCAAGTGCCGGCCTGCTGGATTTCCCCTCACCTGCAAGCGACTTTGAAATCTTCACGCCGGGAGCTGGCTCATTGTCTTTGGCAGCGAACGTGACTTCTGCTCCATGGCCGGGTTCTGATGCGTGCCTGCCTTCGACAACAGCTCCAAACCCTGACACAGTAGAGCTGCAGCCATCTATTGTCTCACCAGCTCACGAATTTGAACAGCCTGGTCTTGATTTCGACACTGTTGTTGGAGCTCGTGTAGCCCCTGTCCCGACCAGTCCTCCACTTCCATCGTCGAGGGACCCAGCAGACCTTCGTCTACCATCTTTCGCGCGACTAGGAATAGCTGCCCCGCACTCCGAGGCAATTCGTCCATCACTTGTACGCAACCCACATGGTTGTCTTGGCGGCGACTCACCATCTCTACCCGAAGTCGGCACAGTCGACCTTGGAGCAAACACGAATCTACTCACTGATCATCACGTCGACGATGCTGTGTACGAACACGTAGACTCATTCCAGCCCGACTTTTCGCATACAGTGCAACCCAGGATACCTCTTCATAGCCCGGTGCACCACTATGTGACAACGCTTACACCTCCTGACGACACTGGCAGAATAACGTGGGAACCAATCACGAGTTTCGCGACAGGACCCACAACTTCTCCAATGACTGAGGGTAGAGGTTTGGCTGCTGGCGGCGATGCTTCAACAGCTTCAGAAGCGGACGGTTCAGGCATCCCGTCAATTAAAGTAGAGGCTTCCACTCCAATGGAAGATTCGCCGCGTCCCTGGCTGAACGACGCGATACAAATCATGCGTGAGTGCATTCGGCACGTGGTTTACTCAACATGCTAACCCCTGTCTCCCCAGTCAAAAACATACGCTCTGCGTCCAACGCTTATCAAGATCCAATCAAGGTTCTTTCACATGCACTGCCATGTCCATCGACAGAAGGACACGCCTTCCCTACAGTCATTAGCTCGCTTCACGACGAGACTCCCACATCCCCAACATGCTGGATCAATGTCTTCCACGCACTACCTGTAAGTACTCCAGAATGAATCCACACCGAAAGCCCTCCTCGAAGTCGATCTGGGCGAGCAGCAGCTTCAAGGCTTCCATTCGCGCTTATTAGATCATGTGCTGACATTCATTGTAGGGCAGATTCAACCTGGCAGATCTTCCCACATCACCTCCTAGTACCCCTGGACCTCCAATTGGAGGAGACGATTACTTTACCAGCAAAGTGTTCGACTCGGCCGTCCACATTCTTGACTACGCCGACAACCTTAAATCTCTTCCGCAATCACCTCGTCCTGTGGTACCCCCGTCATCGGTCGACGTGTCCATTGTCGAACGTTACATTCCGCCAACTAGCAAGAACGAATTTGTTGACATGTTCACCACAAAAGGCCCCTCGTTGCTCGTTGACAGACTGGTCGAGCTATCACCAGACAACGGTACCCTCATCTTCGTGTACCCTACCAAGCGTGGAGCTCAGACCTTCGTGACGGACTATCTCGCACCTATCCTCGATCCAATCCTTAGATCAATGGTTGTTGTAAATGGTTTCTCCTCAGACATGGGCCAGGAGCTAGGAAGGATGGTCGCTGTCGACGAACTGCCTGATAATGACACGATGAAGAGGAAGATCCTCCAACTCTGCACCACGTTGAGCCAGTCAAGCCCCGGCATGGAGCGCTTCCACAAGATACCCACAAAGTTCGAACTCTTATTGTCCTCGACACAAGAGGTCACGCTGAGCCGCAAAATCTGGTCCGAGGACTGGTGGGCCAAACAAGAAAAGCCACGCATTAGAGAAGTCATCTCCCGATACTTCCGCAAAGCCAACAGAGCACAGGAGGACCAGACTCCCGTCAGTCTGGTGCACGAAGTGTTAGATGGCGTCGCTCAGAAGGCGTACCCAGAAGGAAGAGCAGAGCCAGCCGGAATTGAGATCAACGTGTTTGTCATCTCAAGATCGAGGTGTACAAACTGAGTTGAAGGTACGGATGAAAGGACAGAGGATTGTGTTTCTACTTTTCTACGCGAAGATATCCCTTTGAACATTATGGATGGAAGAGAATAAAAGGCGAATGGTGTCATTGCATTTCTTGGGCGTAAGAAGGAGGGAACAGGCGGTAGTTGCTCCCTAATAGTTGGAAGTTCGACGAATTCCGGCATCTCCAATCAAAACCTTCAAAGAAAACGACTTCAAATTTCGCAAGTCGATGATGTTTACATGGCTGACAGGTCGATGATCGCGTGCGGTGATACTTGAGGCTCTGCAAATTGATCGCCAATTCAGACAAGCACGCAATACTAAGTAAGCATTCCGGCACATCTCTCCGATTGGATGCCTGGGGCATTTTTTGCCTCCCACTGCGAAGCCCTCCCCCGCATGAGACGACTACCGAGGAACAAACACCTCGACATTTCCAAGCAAGGTTACAAATGACGTGACAGAAACATGGAGATACAAACATGTTTAGAAATCAAATTGTCGAGCATTTGCCGCTCGTCCATTGCAAAGATGTATATAAACCTGAGTTAAGTCAAGGCAAGTTCAATCCCATACCATTTTAGTCCTCCCACACAAATAAGCCAAAATGACTACCACTACAACCACAACATCAACATCCACCCCTTCAATCATCAAGCAACAAGGGATTGAAATACCTCGAGGTCCTGTAGAGTCGACTTTGATCTTCTACGCACCACCACCCGACAATGCCGCACCATGGAATTACGTCGAACAACCACCACCAGGTCTCCCCCAACGAAACTACACCGAACACCCCTCCCAAGTCCTCCTGAACGACATGCGCGGCAATGAATCCACCTTTCAACTAAACACCCACGGTTTCACCACCGCCTCTTCCGTGTCCAGCAACTGCACAGATTTCACATCCGACGACGATGTCAAAAACATCTACTACCCAGAAGTTGAGAAGTTGATCTTGGACAAAGTCCCCGGAGCTAAAAGGGTATTCCTATTCGACCATACCATCCGCCGTGCAGATGTCAACGCAAAACGTCAACCCGTCCATCGCGCGCACATCGATCAAACCGAAACCGCAGCAATCGCTCGCGTACACCGTCATCTCCCCTCCGAAGCTTCAACCTTACTATCCTCCCGCGTACGCATCATAAACATTTGGCGCCCATTAAACGGCCCAGTTGTTTCTTTCCCCTTGGCTGTTGCGGATAGTAGAAGTGTCAAGGACGATGCTATTGTAGGGATTGAACATAGGTATCCCGATCGCGTTGGAGAGACTGCTGGTGTGCAAGCTGCGGAAGGACAGAAATGGTGGTATTGGAGTGGTATGGGGAATGAGGAGAGATTGTTCTTGCAATGTTATGATTCTGAGGGTAGTAGGGCTAGGACACCGCATACGGCGTTCACGGACCCGAGGACACAGGAGGGGTGGCCTGGACGCGAGAGTATCGAGGTTAGGGCTTTGGTGTTTGGATGAGGTTTTGATTGATTGATGAGATTGATGAGAGGGGTTTGGGAGGATATGAGGTGTTTTCTAGAGTTTCATTTGATATTGTAGTGATGGTATAATGGAGTGGTGTTATAGGATATCAATTTTGCTTTGACAATTTCCAGATGAAACACATGAGTTTTAACCATCTTACACTATCTACATACTTTTCATCATCTCATACTATCTACATATTAGTTTTCGTCATCTTGTTTTACATGTTACGGTTTTGCACGCCATATCTAAGTGACCTCTCACTCCTCATCACTGCCAGGCTGTGTGTTCTCCAAGATACCAGCTTGACCAAGGCGAACAGTGCCATCGTAGTCAAATCCGTTGGTGGTGTTTGCAATAGTCCAGTTGCCGAAACAAGCATAGTCGTAGTTACTCAATGCGTAAGAAGCATTCTGGCTGGCGACAAACTTGTCCAGAGCACACATACCATCAGTGCGGCCCTTGCAGGCACCTCCTCTCAGAGTGTCCAAAGGCAGGATACCATTGTTGAGACGCATGCGGACGAATTTGTGAGTTGCGTTGGAGGCACTGTAGCCATATTGCTCGGGGTAGTATTGGACGCGCTCTTTGCCGACAGTAGCAGGGTTGGGGTTGGAGCAGCCAATAACTTCAGTGGTAAGGTGGCCGCCGAAAGGAGTCATCTTGGAGAGAATGAAGTGACGGTCAGGGTCGGGAGGGAACTGAGTGAGGCTAGGAGGGTCGCGGAAGTAATCCAGAGACATGGCTGTGAGGACACTAACGATAATATCGTCGTGGCTGAAGTCGGCGTAAAAGGGGCGGTCCAGAGGGAAGTCGGCAGAGTTATTGGTGATACTGCTGTTGACGGAGCTGTTGGAGACGGTGATGTATTGGTGTGTCAAACGAGCGAGAAGTTCTTGGACGTAGCCGATACCTTGGGCTCTACCTGTTGGGTTACCGTATCCGTAGTCGTAGTAATAGGCCATATCAAGGGTGTTCTCAAAGCCGGCCCATTCATCTGCGGTGAAGAAGTCACAGAAGTCTGACATGCCAATGAAGCCGTGTTCTGATAGGTTTGTTAGTCAAGCTTGATACACATAAAACGAATCACATACCATAGGCACAGATCAGCTGCATGGCATAAGTGTCGTTGTTTGTCAAGGTGAAGCCTGAGGGGACATTTTGTTGCAGACGGGCAGTCGCGTTCTGGAGGTATCTCGGAATGTAGACAAAGACATCTTGGTCACCAAGATCACCAATGCCAGAAATGAAGTCGTTGAAACATGAATCGTAGGACGCAAGGGTGTTGTTTTCGGTGCCGCCTTCGGGAATAATGACAAGATCGAACAAATCACCAGAGGTAAAGTCAGTCAACTTCGGCTCAGGGACCTTTTCGTAAGTAGGGCCAAAGAAGCCTAGAGCCCAATTGATCTGACTCTCACGGATACGCGATTGACTGGTTGTACGCAAGACGGGCTTAGGTCTGGCAGTTCCATTGGAGTAGTCTGCTTCATATCCAACCTGTCCAGGAGAGGCATTGTATACAATTCTGCCGTAGCGGTTCCAGAAATCGACACCCAAATTGAACTCGGTCCGAGCGCCGATGCCGGTCAGGTAACTTTCATTCATCTGATACACATACGAGTTCAAGAAAGATAAGGGACCGGAGAAAGTAGCCGACGAGTTGAGCTTGAACTCGGTGAGCTTTTCAGCAAAGGCTTCTGCCAATGCACCATCATCGACGTAATCGGTGGGAAAACGCTGTGAATGTCTCTGCAGAGTATGAGCCTGTTCGACCTGGCATCCAGCGGGGAGGCCGACGTCCTTGACGCCAAAGGCATTGGCGGAGTTGTCGGCGTATGTGCTGATCTGACCCCAATGCTGAGAAATGAAGTTGATGTCTGAAACGAGAGACTGGTTCGTACGATGGTGAGTACTGGCTACAGCAGGAGCAATTGCTCCCGCAAGCAAAGCATACGGGTGTAGAGATGTCAAATGCATGGTGAGGAGCAATGAAAAGAGAGACAGAAAAACTAGAAACAACAACTTGTCGAGATCAGCCAGGGCTATTATAACACGGGAGGCATAAAACCGCAATGACTAGGCGGCGCTCCGAATCGGAGCATTTTGGTTGGGAGAGCTACATTGATAGCGCGGCTTCTTGTAGAAACGCGGATCATCCTGGCGATGACTGAGGAAGGCGACTGCACCACAATTTGAGACGCTCAGTGCTCGTCCATGGTTCTGATCAGGTTAGATGTATATGTTCATAACAGATCCCAAGACGGTGAAGAGTGAGATGGTGGAGATGCGTGTGCCATGTGGAGGAACGAGGGAGGAGTCAGAATTGCTGTGAGCAATCGATGACGTACCGAGGGAAAGTCTATTGCAAGTGTTCGCGCATCATGCCTTTGTTGCACAGAAACTTGTAACTCTTGCTTCAACCCTGTTCGAAATAATCCTTGCCGACAAGGAAGATACAAACGAGAGTCAATCCAGTCAGACAAGCTCGAAATTTCGACTTGTGCATACCGCCGACCCCCACCAACCCCGCAGAGACACCGACGGCCAATCATAGCCATCGCATTATCCCCGTCCTCGACTTTGCTACCCCGACACGACACTTCAAAATGGCTCACCGCAGAGTCAAAGATATCGACTACGATGAGGACGAATATGATGACTATTACTCGGGCGAAGAGGAATATGGCTACGAAGGCGCAGAGCCTGCTGCTGTCGCAGCAAACAATGAAGACGAGCTTAGCGCCGAGGACAAAGAGCAGATGCGCATAGGAACTGAGAGCGTGAGAGACGCTCTAGGAGACGCCTTTACAGATGTGACAGACGCCGCCATACAAGAAGCTTTGTGGCATTACTACTATGATGTCGGCAAATCTGTCACGTATCTCAAGAGTACGTTGTCGCCCAAGCGTCCCATGCCAGCAAGCTGATGTTCTCTAGACCAGAGTGCTCCCCAGCAAGCGCAACCAAAGAAGCAGAAGCAAGTGTCCAAGTTCGACCAAGCTGCTACGTCGGCTGCTCAGAAACCAGTTGACATAAAGGGTACGTCCTTCTTTCCCTCCCTTTCCTTTTCCTTGTCCCTCTCGCAGAGTGCCACCACACATTGCCCAACTTCCGGAGTTGGACTACCTTGCCAGAGAATGATACTCGGACGGTGCCATCGCCCACTTCCCTGCCGATTCACCAGCGAGCATGCTCTGACTGGGCTTGGAACAGTGCCGACCAGCCCACTGCCTCGACCGCATCTCAATCCCGCCGACCTCTTCAACGATATTCCTTGGTTCAACGTTCCGCAAGAAAGAGTTGGATGCATCATGGCTGAACAAGTCCGATCACCATTACGTCTGCTGGGCGGCACTGGCAAGCCGTCAAAGCTAGCTGCTCTAGCTGCTGCTAGGAAGAAGAAGGAGGCCGATCAAAAAGCTGCTCAAGAAGCTGGTCAATCTGAAAAGCCTGCTGGCACCCCATCACTGATGGATCGTCTCGGTACAAGGTCCGCTCAACCTACAAGTCAGGAGAACACCAAGCCTGGAGATGCTTCTCAGCCAGAGACTCGTTCTTTCCCGATTCGCAAGCGCAAAAGTCCTTCACCGCCTCTGCCAGCAGAAGATCGAAGACCTTCTGCCCCAGAACCGACCTCTGTTGCAACTCCTGAGCCTGTTTCGAAGCCTGCCGAACATGTCCGCGCAGGTCCATCCATCTTCGCCAGTACAATGTGTGGTGGCAGCTCGCGAAGACGTCCCTCGCATCAAGACACTGCTGTTCTTTCTCAAAACATTTTGCCTGCCATCTACGGCCACGACGCGAACCTTGCTAACACCAATGCCTTTTCAGGTCCAAGCCCTGATGACGTTGTCATGCAAGCACAGGCAAAAGGTTCGGCGCGGTCGTGAAAAGGTAGAAACGAGTAACATGTACTAACTCATACTGTCAGCCTCGGGCGCAAAGAAACAGGCCTCTCAAAATAAAGACTCCAAGTCTGTTACGAATGGTGTCTCCAACCTCAGCCTGGAAGAACCACAAACAAGTCAGAAGTAGGATTATCCCGTGTACTTTTGTTTGACAAATGCTGACATTACACAGGGTCAAGAGCAGAAATCTTGATGTCGTGGCAGAACATGCAAAGGCTGGACGTAAGAATGCTGCCAGCTTTGTTGTTATTGGACATGTCGACCACGGAAAGAGTACCCTCATGGGCCGTTTGCTGTACGATTTGAAGGTCGTCGATCAACGTTCGCTCGACAAATTCCGCAAAGAAGCCACGAGTATTGGTAAATCTTCTTTTGCCCTGGCTTGGGTCATGGACTCGACATCAGAAGAGCGCGAACGTGGTGTAACAGTCGACATTGCCACCAACAACTTCGAGACCGACAAGACAAAATTCACCATCCTGGATGCTCCTGGACACAGAGATTTCATCCCAAATATGATTGCTGGAGCCAGTCAAGCTGACTTCGCCGTCCTCGTCATCGATGCCGGAACCAACAGCTTCGAAGCAGGTCTGAAGGGCCAGACAAGAGAACACGCTCAGCTTGTCCGCAGTATGGGCGTCCAGCGCATCATCGTAGCCATCAACAAGATGGACAGCATCAACTGGGCTCAAGATCGCTTCGAAGAGATCCAGCAGCAAATTTCCGCTTTCCTGACCACCACCGGTTTCCAACAGAAGAACATTGCATTCATCCCCTGCTCTGGTCTTACTGGCGAGAACGTCGTCACACCGGCACCGGAAGCAGCATCATGGTACACCAAGACATCCAACCCTCAAACTCTAGTCCAAGCTCTCGAAGCCCAAGAACCGACGAAAGCCGCCCTGACATCTCCCCTCCGCCTCCCCATCTCCGACATCTTCCGCGGCGGCGTCACAAACCCCCTTTCCATCTCCGGCCGCATCGAAGCTGGCACCCTCCAAGTAGGCGACACCCTAATCGCCATGCCCGCCAGCGAAACCGCCAGCATCAAAGGCATAGAAGTCGACAACGAAGCCGCCGACTGGGCAGTAGCCGGCCAGATCGTAACCCTCCACCTCACAGAAATCGACCCCGTACATCTCCGCATTGCAGATTTGCTCTGCGATGCACGCAAACCCGTCGCCAACATCAAAGCTTTCACGACCAAGATATTGGCATTCGAGCATGTTATGCCCATGACTGTGGATATCCATCGCGGACGCATGCATGTGCCTGGAAGAATCGCGCAGATGACTTGCGTGCTTGATAAAAGCAGTGGTGCCATCACGAAGAAGAAGCCTAGAGTTGTGCAGCCGGGAAGTGTGGCGAGAGTTAGGGTGGAGTTGGATACTGCTGTGCCGCTTGAGGTACCTGGAAGGATTGTGTTGAGATCTGGTGGTAACACTGTTGCTGCTGGTTTATTGGAGGAGGTTTTTGCATAGATGTGATAAAGCGGCATCATGAATAGGCATCTCAAAAAAGCATGGATGAATTTCGAAACATGAATGTATGTCTTTTCTCATCGATTTGAATGGTCGCCATGAGCATTTAGATCTGAGCGCTCACAGTGATAGTCTTGCGTATCGCCCTGTTCTGTGACGGTACAGTCGGCTCCGTCTTCTGTTGCATGCTGGTCTCAAGATGCAGGATAGAGTCCGAGAATTCGCAGGCAGGATTACTCATCTAGAGGGGCAATGTAGACAAAACACGGTTGCTCCCCTTCTCCAGTCAGATCAACAATATGACTGTCAAAAGGCACGATACTTTTCAACATCGAAGTCGTATCCAGGGAGCGCATGAGAAACATCTGTTCTTCAATGGTAATGTCAACTGTTTATGGAGTAGTTGCGCGTGCAGTTGAACGCATCTTTAATTTCCAATGATGATGGCATGATTGTGACTCCTATATTGACAACATCGGTCCGCAGTGTGTACAAATGGTGAGTAGTATTTCTGGAGGGTACTTGAAGATGCTTGCAATGTTTGCAAGCATTAGATGAAGCGGTTGCGTTGTACAGGTAGATGATTAGATGTGGTCAGGGTCGTCCTGGTGGCAGAATTGGTTCAGACAATATCGAAGACAGTGTTGGAATGTTTATTTTTGAGGAAGCGAGAACAGCGCGTACAAACGTGTAATGCATGAAGAGTAGGAGGGTGGAGGAGCAGACAAGTATTGGTGAAGGCAAAAGAGGAAGGAACACGCGAAAGGAGAGCCAAGGAGGAAGGCACGATTCGGTCACCACCAAAATTTCGAAGAACATTAGTTATCAATTGAAGCTATTAGCTACTAGCTACCCATGCAGAACGCCTCATAATCATACCATCAACGTACTAGCAGACTTGTCGTCCGCTTAGTAGTTCCAAGTCCAGTTGACAAAGTCATCAGGGTCCTCACCACACTCGTAAGCGTAGTTCATGGCCTGGGTACGTCTGTTGAGCAGAGTTTCACGAGTGGCAGAGCCCTTGTTACCCAAGACAGACTTGAGACTGTCGATGGCAAGCATGGCCAAGCTGTAGCGATCGGTTTCGTTCCTGATAGCCAATTCGAGTGGAGTATCAATATTTCCCTTCTCCTTATACCCACGAACGCGCATCAAGTGCTGACCCTTTCTCTTGTAGGTCATTCTATGCAAAAGCCACGGGTAACTGTGGAAATTCTTGTCCGTTTTACGTCTTTTGCTGAATCTGACCCCAGTACACCCACTCGGCGTAGAGAGCAAAAGCCGTGGGGTCATCTTTGAGTGCTATAAATTTTTGCACATCTCGGACAACCCATCGATTCTCTTCGGAGATGGCTTCGAAACAATGAGCCGGGACGTAAACGTGGATGCTGAACTCGGTATGGGCTTCCGAGTTTAGGACTGTTCTGACAACTCAGCTTTTATAATCCGTAGAGGCATAATTAAAGTGGGAAGCCAGACACATATGACACTCCGTACGAAGCAGAAAACTAGTCATGCCTTCCGATAACATCCATGTGTCCTTTAAGCCCCTCTCTTCAATCCTCGACGGCCATGAGCTTAAGGATCTCTCCCTCGAGTGCCTAAAAGCGTTTGCTGCCTTCCATTATCAGCAGCCCCTCTTCTCGTTCGTAACTTTGTGAGCTCCGTCTGTCTCATCCTTTCGCGGTTCTCGAGAAGATCCACGGCCGCCTAAAGGTCTTCTTTGATGTACATGGCTTCCACTTTTTGGAAAGCAGTCTTCGTAGCTCTAGGGGTGATACGAGCAATCTGACATAGCTCGTGGACGTCGAACTTTCCGTTAAGACGGCGATCCCAGGATGTGAAGTCGTCTAGGCAAGTCTGTACAGCATTCACCCGAGTAAGAACATCCTATTGGTGAGGCCCTTTGCGCAGCTGTATAGTTTTAGTGACGTGCCTTTGATGTATGTGTAAGTGCACTCTCACCTCTACGTTCTCAATGAACGCAGGCATCTTAAAGCTGACTGGGAGAAAGTCGAACAATCCGCGGGGAGGAGGAGAATTGTCTAGGTCCACGAAGATATTAAAGTGTGAGGGAGGACGGAAACTCATAGTGAATCGACTCCAGTCAAGAATTACGATGAGAAAGTGATTTGGTTGATCAGGGGATGAGTGACCTAAGCCGTGATGGGTAGAGGTGCGTGATAGATAATGCGTTGAAGTTTTAAAGACAACAAACAGGCGTGCAGCGGGGGCGAATGGAAGGCGCATCCAACACAAGCTCTGGTTGTTTTTAACCTTCTTCTCCGAATACCTTGCGTTGCTTGATCCCAGCTCCGTGAGTTCCGTCAACTTCATTTTCTTGTGTTCTGGATGAACGTCAATGATCGGCGAGAGGTCTTCCTCGATGCGGTACTGTGATTGGACTGGTAGCCGTCCAGGTGGCAGTGTACGTAGCCAGAAACCGGTCTAGCGATTGGTGGAGCGAAGGGAGCAGCAGGTCGTTGGACGGGGTCGGCGCGCGTATGGATAAGTGAGTTCATGTGCTGGTCAAGCCGGCTCGATTAGAGTAGCGCTCGCAGGTGCGGCAGTAGAGATAATCCTAGTGACCAAGGGCATGCATGTGCTGATGACTCCCTTGAATGGTTCTGAAGCGTTTCTCGCATGTATCACAGTCGTGAGGAAAACGACTGTGACCCAAGGCATCCATGTGTTGCCTGCAGCCCGACTATAGGGTGAAGGTCCGATCGCATGAGTCGCACTCGTAATCATCATCGTCGTCATCTGAAGCTTCATCCTCGTCTTCGTCGTCTTCTTCATCATCATCCTCCGCATCCCAGTGGTTCAGAGCGTCCATGTGTTGTGCTGCTGCTTGCTCGGTACCGAACCGCTTGTTGCATGTCTCGTGGTCGTGAGGAAAACGACTGTGACCCAAGGCATCCATGTGTTGTCTGCAGCCTTGCCATGAGCCGAACTCGCGATTGCAAGAACCGAATTCGTAGCTGCTCATAGTTGAATTGTTCAACGCCTTCCGGAGCAAAGAAAAGGATGCGGCAAGAAAACAGACCGCTGCGCGACCAAGTGGATCTGGCACAAAAAGAAAAAGAAGAGCCGTTGTAACATGAAGACTTTGTGATAAAGTCAATACTCTTGAACCAGAATCATCACCTTGGTGGTGAGACTGATACCATCACGATTCGCAACGACACCCACAAGACACTCTTGCCGCTCCCAACGCCAACGTGGACCAGTGGGAGAAGCATGCGATTGAAGAAACAACACAAGCCAATCAACTTGGTGGCGAAGTCGACGACCAGGAGAAACTCTTGAAAAGAAAGAAGACCAAGATCGGACGGCCAGAAGAAAGTCTTGAAAAGAAAGAAGACCAAGATCGGACGACCAGGAGAAAGTCTTGAAAAGAAAGAAGACCAAGATCGGACGACCAGGAGAAAGTCTNAAGGAGCTCGAGCGACCGAGAAGACCCTCTCACAAGCCTTCAAGGCTGAGCAAAAGGGGCTCAAGCGGCCGAGATGGGCGTTGACACAATCCGCACTCCATCATGGAGAACATGAAAAAGGTCAAGGACGAGAACCAGAAGCTCAAGGTCACACACCTGCGTCAGGAATCCAGAATCAGTCAACTTGATGAGATCAACGCCATTACGATCCAGAACGATATCCTCCAAGACAACCTTACCGCTCTAAGAGCCAACGTGGATTAGTGGGAGAAATACGCGGCCGAAGAGACAGCAAAGGTGAAGGAGCACAACGTGTATATCGACTACCAGGAGAAAGTCTTGAAAAGAAAGAAGACCAAGATCGGACGGCTTAGAGGCCGCCTAACGAGAAGCAAAGGTATAAACCGAGATCTCTAAGAGCGCAGCGACTACCTCGAGGGACGTCTAGCGACCAAGAAGATCAAGTCGCAGGCTTTCAAGGCTAAGCAAAATGAGCCCAGGCGAAGCATCAAGGACTTGCAGCAACCCGTTTGTTAGCGCAGCTCGAAGAAGATCAGACCGACTTACCAAGTCTGCTAAAGAAGAATGTCAAGTTGCATGAGCAACAGCTTTCCGACGCCGCTCTAAGATGAGTGCATATTCTGCAAGCTACATAGGTTGGTCTACAGCTTAACCAAAATGTCGAGAGAATGGAAACGGAGGAGGCTGTGGTTTCTTTGGACAAGTTTCCCGTAGGATCTTCAATAGGGGAGACATTTGAGGATGGAGGAAGAACCTTGATACGTGGGTCTACCATTCCCTACTAATAGGCAATTCGACAACTCGAGCGCATCTCCCGGGAGTGTCTCGAACTCTGCGGAGAGTATACGGGATCTGCAAATCATATCAGAAATACTGAATGACAAAGATAAGGAGATGGTAGACATACACATCAAGGTCCGGCATCCATGAAAGCCTCTTGCATGAATGATCAGGGATCCATCAAATCAGGAGTGCCGCTTCTCTTCATTCTCGCAGTCTCATCTCTAAGGTTGTTGACTTCGCTGTACAGCTCTCAGAGACGATGTACTTGTGCCTAACAGACTGCTCGGAGTGGGCGTCGATGAGCTGCTGCTCACGAACCTTGACCGGCTTCTTCAGGTTGACGTTCTCCTTGAGCAGAGTTCCAGGGTCTGCTTCTAGGCGAGTCGAACGCTCTCTCTAGGCCAACTTGGCTGCGAATCGAAACAGCCTTGCACCGAGTCAGGAAGGAAGAGTATAGAAGCAAGAAAGAGATAGGACCTTCTAATCGCTACGTCAGTCTGCCATGTTCACATGAATAATCAAGAAGAAAGGAAACGAACAAAGGGAAAGGTCAGAAAGATTGAAGGAAAGGGTATGTCGTTCTTTGCTCCACGCACCAAGTCTACAGCTTTGACTACTCGGGAGGAATTGCATCGTGTAACCAGTATCCGGAGAAGCAACATAAATACAACAACGAACCAATTTGCCCGTTCACTGTAAAGAGCTTGGGTTGCCGTTAGACCGTAGGTTGAGATGGCCGGTGGTTCGATCTGCTCTTGTGACGGAATTGGTTGTTGGGCGGCTCTCGCTGCACGCTCTCTCTATATTACCTTCGCGCAGCAAAACGTCGCGATAGGCTTGGAGACATTGGCAGGTTGCGGGTCGGGGTGAGGATTGCTTTCGGGAAATAGTCCCTTCGGAGGACTGGGCCATTGCCGGCAGTGTGGCGTGTTCATCGCTGAAAAGCTTTGGAGCTGGCGAAGCGAAGACTATGACGGGACAAAACATTTGGCAGGTATTGCTGCACGCTCCCGCTGTGATGTCCCCGTGCGGCGACAGGCGCGATAAGCTTGGAGACAGTGGCGGGTTGCGAGTCGATGTATGAATTGCTTTCCGATGATAGGTATAGGTCTCTTTCAGAGAATTGGGCCATTGTTGGGAAAATTGTGGGTCGTACTCATCGCTAATCGGATCAAAAGGTGATGGTATTGGTTGTTGGGCAGCTCTTGCTACACGCTTCTGCTGCAAGCTGGTCTCTGTCTTGAATGAGGGCGAGACTTAGAGAGGACACTTCGCCTTGCGTTGCCTGGCATGGGTCGTAAAAGGGCGAAGTGGGTGTGCGATGCGAATCAGCAGCACTGCGGAATTGGAACATGTCGCGAGGATCTGATCGAGGCAGAGGTACGTCGTGATATGACATGGAGTATTGGTTGTGAAGCGGGCCTCGTTTTAATTTGAGGCAGTACTTTGTTGATAAGGTGATGACGGGTGTTGATTTGCATCAAATGATTGAGTTTGAATTTCTCTTAAACGACGGTTGGCCACAACCTCGGCTTTGCATCCAACCCTGGACTTTGGCTCGACTCATACCGCGACATGACTTCTTTTTGGAGGAGCCGATTCAAGTTACCGCCAAAGTCCTCGTCGCTCCGAGGTATTAGCTAGCCGACGAATTCTGCACGCTACAGATAGAAGAAGAACGCGTTTCAACAACTGGACGAAAGGGACGCCGAACAAGAAAGTCTCTACCAACAGGCTCTTGCGCAAGCGAATGCCGACCAAGAACGCCATCGCCAACAGGCTCTTGCACAAGCGACTGCGGAACAGGAATTCTCCACCAACAGACTCTTGCACCAGCGACCGCCGAACAAGATAGTCTTCACCGACAGGCTCTTGCACAAGCGAGAAGTTGAACGACAAGAGCAGGAACAATTGAAGCGCACTGCGGAAGAGAAAGAATCGCAGGAAAGATAGGCGCGCCTTGCAGAACAGAGGCAGAAGGATGAAGCATCTGCTTCGTCCCTCTGCCCGCCAGGCAAAGGAACAAGCAGACGACGTCTCCGCCGCCGCAGCTGTTGTCCCAGATGCAGCGGCCGTGAATGACAACAGGAGAAGCAATTGAAGCAAACTGCGGAAAAGAGAGAATTGCAGCAAGGGGCAGGCGCACCTTGTAGAACAGAGACAGAAAGACGAAGGAGAGGCTCTGCTGGAGCAAGAAAAATGCGTCAAATCACCGGATTAGCAGCAGAAGAAAACATATTCTGCTGTCGCTGCTGCCACGAAAGAAACAGTGCAATTGGCACCATCGACACCTCTACCGCTGCATTCGAAAAGCACCGACGCATGCATATTTGGGCAACCATTAGCACCACAGAAAACGCGTTCGAAAAACCATCGGCGCCTCCGCAATAAACCAGTGCATTCGGACAGCCATCGTGTGGCTGGACAGTTCCTCGACTTAGGCATATCGCTCCTAGAGTTTTGATTCGGCCAGCTCTGTGGAGTCAATTCGGCTAGCAGTAGCCCGACCAACTGAGATCAACCAGGATGATATTAAGGCAGAAGACCCTTTTTCCACCTATCCATCTTGGTGCTCCTGCTCTGGCTTGTTAGTCAAAGGTACACGGAACAGGTATCATCTTAAGTCGAAGTACTCACTGACAAATACACATGATGGCAGCAAAGCCTCGGTACGGGCCCAAGCAAGCAGGTGCAAGCGAGCAGACCTTGAAGTCCTACATAGACCTTTCAGATCGTCGTCATTAACGACGCGTCTCCCAGATGCAAAGGGATCGATGAAATCAGGGAGCACAGGAAGAAGCATTGTATTCAGAATTGATAGCCTTACCTATCATTTCTATATCCTTGCAGTTGTGCCTCTCCTTCGCCGTGGTTCTGTCCGTTGGTGTATTCCCTCTGTTAATATATATCTCGACGCGAAAGTTCCTGCCTGTCAAGCTCTGATCGGTTGTTATCCGTAGACTCTGGCGGATCTGTCGAACAGTGTCATATCAGTCCGGAAGGAGCTCGACGCTTTGTGGTCGTGTGGTTTCTCTTATCCACGTCTTTGGCCCATCGCTAATTTGTCACAAATGATCAATTGAAGACAACGCGATCTGACGCGGCCACGGCATTCCCGAGACAGAACCGCCGACAATGATATTCACGGACAACACAAGTTACGCCAAATACCAGAACGCAAACACAACAAGTCTTCTTCGACACCCGGTTAAAAACCAGAATGCAGATGAAAATATTTTTTTTCTGTAGGGTTTTCCGCCCCGGTTTTTTAACGAAGCGGGTCTGCTCGAAGAGGGGATGTCTCTTTTTGCTATTGCAAACTGCTTCTCCCAGTACGACGCGAACGCCGAGCTTTGCAGATCGTAGTTGTTGACGAGGGATTGCACCCCGGTTGTTTTAGCGAGGCAGGTCTGCTCGATACACCCATGAGAAGGTGTTGCATGTGAAAATGCGGAGAGGTGGTGCGATGTGAGTGGAATTGCCTGTGAGGAGGCGGAGAGGGGATGTGATGTGAGTGGAATTGCCCGTGAGGAGGCGATGCCCGTGAGGAGGCGGATGTGCAAGGTGAAGGGTGAAATTGGGATATGCAAATGTGAAGCGGGAATGTCGTTTTTACCAGGAGGCAGCACTGATGCCAGAGCTTGTGATGGTCCATTGAAACCGGTTAGAGAAGAGCCTAATCGGCATGTCTCTTGCGAGCCATCATAGCATCGTAGAAGTCGTCAACCGTGTCCCAGCTGACTCCCTTCTTCATCTGAGCATGGGTCCACTGACGACAGGCTCTGCAAAATCCAGGGTACTCTTCCTCGAATTCGAATCCCGGTGGAGGCGTGCCTGCTGACTTTGCTCCACAGATACATGGAGTCTCTCGGGCCAAGTCCTCTCTGTTCAACGCGATTCGACTTCTTACACACTCTGCCGAGAAGTCTGAAAACGCAGTGAAGGGCGTTCTGCCTTTTCTGGTCGATTCCTGCCATTTCGAGTTGCATTTGTAGCATATGGCGGGCACGGAGTCGTCGAAAGGAACATTGAATGCCTTCCTCATGCGCTCAGGTACGTCTTGCAAGTCGGCGATGGCGAAGGATGTCTTGCAAAACTTGCACTCGAGCTCGGCAAGGTCTCTCCTGACGCGCTTGTTCTCTGCCAGAGCGGCGTTGTGGACGAGGAATTCGTCGAAGACCTCCATCCATCGGGCTAGGTCGCCTTCCTGGTCCTCGGAGACTTTGTCTTTCCAGCCGGCAGAGCTCCATTGCTGGTAATGAGCAGCGCAAGAGGATTCGGATCCAACGTCCCCAAAGAAGATTCGTGCGTTGGCCGGCTCGTTGCAGACCGTGCAGAGTGTGCCCTTGGGAATGGGCTTGTAAAAATCCGTTTTCTCCTGAAGCGATTTGTGCTCCTCCCATGTCGAGATCCTGTCTTCTATCGAGAGAAAAGGGTGACGCTTCTCCCAGCTCCACCAACCAATGTAGCAGTGGTTACAACCGTAGCGCAGGTTGCCACCGTCCTCGACGAACATAACCATGGTGGCCTTGGTCGCCTGAGTACACCCCTTTCCGATCATAGAACACGCTGGGGTCACATGTCTGGCACCCTGCTGAAACTGATGAGCCCTGTTGAGCGGCTTGTATGGAACAGCACGCATGTCCTCGGGAACGGCGGCCGGGTAAGCCTTGATCGATGCCTCTGTGCGGTAGCGGCCACCAGTCGGAGAGGTGACGTCGAGGGCGTTGAAGACGTCAGTGCAAAGTCCCTCCACCAACAGCATACGTGGTGCAGAGCAGGTGTTTCTGCTCACACCGAAAACGCGACGGATGTGGAGCGTGCGGTT